CAATAAATTGAGCGGGGTGCGAGCATACCTATGCAAATGCATACAATTACATTTTGCACATTCATTAAAGAAAGGTTTCGCATGCAACTGAATCTTTAATCATGAGACTGGTAAATCAATAAACGATTGCAGTTAAATTACATTTTCAATGCAGTGGCTGCTATATTTTAAACTGGACAGTAAAAATAATCAATAATTCTATTCAACAATTTTTATTAATTTTTTCCTATACGATTATACGTTTTATATTATAAAGGTAATAGAACCTCCTGGATTTTGATTTAAACTGACTTTTTGACACCCCTCTTAAAAGTATTCTTTCGTTTGAAAAATAATAAATTACTGTTGATAAGTTAAGGTAATTTGTTTCTGTACTTGACACCAAAAACTGCCTCGTCATTTCCAATCAAATATTTGTAGTTTGAGGCTAGGGTCGAAAGTACCACACAGGGTAAGTGTCTTGCCATTCTTATGTTTCATCAACCCCCGTAAGATAAAGATATGCGAAAGGAAATGTATTGCTCCCCCAATTGCCATTAAAACCGAGAAACTGTAAGGGAAGACCCGTGCAGAATTTACACCAACTGATCTCCTGCTTTATTAACATTTTTCTATGTGCTGTGTGCTACCCTCGTATCCAGGTTCTAACATTTAGCTACACACAGGGGACAGTTTCGGCAATACAAGGGTTGGCTAGCCCACCTGATTGAAAGTGCAAAAAAAAAGTGCTTAGGGGAACCATGGCACAACCTTTCCCTTGGAAACAATTATATATTTTCCGGGTCCAAGATATTTCGGACGGGGGTAGATTTTCTTTGGATAGCCCTCGGGAAACATCTTGCCGAAATCTAGCATATGTACGGCGTGGGAGTGGTATGGACGTTTTATTTATCCACCCACAAAGTGTAACCCTGGGCTACTGCCAATTTCAGTCCTAATGCACCGAGATCATCATGATGTTTGACCTATAGATATAATGTTTTTCCACTTTTTTTGTTTGCCAAGCGTAGGAAAACACACCCAAAGGCAAACAAAAACCATAAATATGCAATGTAAAGTGCGTGGTGCCAAGTGAGCAGAACTTTGGCCTGACCCCCAATTCTTTGTCGCAAATTGTCGCCATTTTCTATAAATATTTTAACAAAAGGCAGGCAAGGAAAACTTATAGCAGAAAGAGAGCCAGTACCCGGAAAAACAAGTACGTTTTTATGGCATCGTTGTGATGATGAGGGAAACAAAAGCCAGCCCAGGTATCCAATATACATATGCAAATAGCAACGTTGGGCACCAAATGATTGGACAAACAACTCGACATGGTTGTGGGATTTCAAAGTGAGATGGCAACTGAGAGTGTTCTGCCCCGTAAATCAGCAAAGAGCTCTGGGGATAAGTTGGGAATCACTTGGTAACCGAATTCAAAAGCTATATTTAATTATTTTTAAAATCGTAATTTTGTTGCCTACAAGGATATGGCTTGTATTTATTTACCACACCAGTTTTGTTTCCAAATTAACTTATAACAAAATTTCAGGCACTTTTAATTCCATTCATTTTTCCTTTAAATTATAAAATCATATTTAATTATTTTTTCCGATTTTTTAAAGATAATTGAATATTATAATGTATGTCCCTTTTGCGGAAAGGGTCTTCCTGTCAGTAAAGCCAACATTGATATCCGACAATTGTTATTTAAATATCTGCTTCTCATTTTTGATTGTTTGATAAAAGGGACCCAGACATAAAAGAAGGATCAAGTCAAAAACAATAAATGTGCATGTATGCAACGCGTTGCGAAAGAGCCACAACAACATTTTAAATTCCCATATTTTTTCGGGATGACATTTAACCTTTTTGGACGGGGATCCCCGCAACCTTGGCTCCCTCCCCTCCCCCGCAACCGCTGCCTTCCGCTGCTTTTGACATCTTTCACAGCTCCTGTGTGACAGCTTACAGCTTTGGTAGCTTCTACCTGAACCCAAGAGCTTCGGGCGCCGGCCCTGCACCTGTCATCACTCTTAACACAGTGTAATATTTTCCACCATACAACCGGTGGGAATCGCATATCCCCAGCATCCGACTTCCTTCGCCCGCCCACTTAATTGAAAATCCAAACTGCATTTCCTCCTTGGCGCTTGGCGGTGACTGGGCGTTGCTGGTTGCTTGTTGGTGAGTGGTTGTGTGTGAGCTAAATTAATTAGCAGCTAATGAAACGGGGCACATATTTATACAGGGCTGCTTCCTGTCTGGCTGTCACCAGGTGCTGTTCCTGTCCCCGTTTCTGGCATTCCATCGCTGCCGCCAGGCCTCCACTTTGGACGCTACAAAATTAACCATTTTCATTGGCAATTGAGCACATTGAGCGCTTTTCTATACACACAGGGGAAAACTCCATTGATTCTTTTCTAAAATTCAATCGAATTTGGGGACTTATACAAATAAATATATACAGTATTTATTGATACAGAAATTTATATATACGAAAGAAGAGTTTATGCGATATTAGATTAGTAACTTAAAAAAAATTCTGAAAAATCTGATTGTTGAGTTTTTCCCCATTTCATTTTACACTTTTCCCAAGTGTATCTATTAATTTAAAACCACATCCAACTCACATTGCTGCCAATGGCTAAGCCAATGTCCTTGTTTGGTCTTTTTTTTCCTTTTGCTCGAACAGCCATTTATCAGGGGCCCCGAGGTGGCCTGCACCCCGAGTTGATTAATTAAATTGTTGACAAATTTAAAAGCTGCTATGGAGAGGGCATTATTCACAGCTTAACATATCCTTCCTTGCCTCTAAGCTGCCTTCTCTCTCACATCCTCACCCACAATTTGTTGCTGTAAACGTTTGCCATGGTTTTATTGCCTTTTTGTAGCATCGTGAGCTGAGTTGCCGATGAATGCACTAGTAAATTAGCTACTTGTGGCTAAAACGCTCAAGTTGGTTAAAATAAAGGGGGAGATTTACTTTTAACCATTCATTCAAATTGTTAAAAATCGTTTAAAAATGCATGAACTATTTGTGTTTTATTGAAATTTAAAATAATCTACGTACCTCGTTTAGAATTTTCTTATTTATTTAGTCGACCATAGAAAATTAGTTCAAGGTATATTTAATCATTGGATTAGAGGTCGTATAAATCACCCGATGATCTTTTTCAATTATTAAGTTAGTTAATTTATACATCTCTTTTGTAAACATGTCATCACTGGCTCAATTTTATGATTGCTCTGGTGCCCTGATGGCTAATAAAAGCTTATATCCTGTCCAGGACCTCCACTCCCTTTCAGTACTTAAGCTTGACAGAAGCGGGGTCGTTTTGAGTTGCATAAGTCAATTTTAATTGAAACCGCAACAAAACAATTAAAACTAAGCCAATAGTACGCCCAGCCCTGGCAGCACTAAAAAATATGTTATTTTTATATTTTTTTTTTTTGCAAAACATAGATATCCAGGGGACTGCGTGCGAGGCATTAACTTAACTTTTCCACCCAACTCAATTAAAATGTTGGACAAAATTGCATATGCACAAGAGCAGGCAGTAAGTAAACAAATCTAAGTGTGTATGTGTGTGCTGCATAAATTAATAAACTTGATAGTGGGCGCCAGAGGAGGGGGCGTGGCACCACTCGTCGGGCATAAAAACTAAACGAGCTTTGAGCGCTGGGCGACACGTACGCAGAGAGTAGCAGCAATTAAAATTTTAGTAGTTGTCCAGCCGTGCCAAGGGGGGTTAAAAACGAGGAGGGGTAAAGGGTTTTGGGGGCCTGTGTCTGCTGCTGTCGGCACATGTGCCCCTCTCCCATCATCCTGTGCCATTCAACTGATCAAATTTCACGACAAACCCTGGCAAACTCTGGGGAGGAGGAAAAGGACGTGCTCTCGTTTTCATCTAGTTTTGAATTTGGCGATTTTATATAAATCTGACGGTTTTGATATTGGTTGGTTCAAGAATGGTTTAAATTTTTTATTTATAACTAAGTTATCTAATAATAAAGCACAGAAAGGCTACAGATTTAGAATCACTTTTGTTGTGCATAACATTTCTGGTTTATATTAGGGATCAATAATTAAAGAAAACCCATAATAATACTAAAATAAACATATGGGTTTTCTTTTAGTATTATTATGGATTTTCTTTTAGTATTATTATGGACTTTCTTTAATTTCTTTAATTTGTCTTTAAATATTTAAAAGAGAATAAAAAAATAAGTAAAAACGCTAGATTTTAATCCTAAAACAAATTTTGGACAAGGTCTTACGAAAACAGAAAGAGGAATGGCCGAGAAAGGTGGTGAAAAGAAGGAAACGGAAAGAGAAAGCCGCTTCCGCAGTTGCCGAATCGACAGCGACATCCTGCTGTGGGCATAAATAAATTGTGCTGCATACTTTTATGCGTTTACCTGAGGTTCCAAACTCTGTGATGGTGTTGGCATAGCCCTTAATGATGCATGTTTGTAGGTACAGCTAGGTCCATGGCAATATGCTGACAATTAAGCAGCAGTCATGTGAAAGTTTTGGCCACACACCAAACACACTTATTCACACAAGATATAACATAAGGTTCCAGTACATCGCTGTGCAAAGAGAATTCCACTGGGAATGTATCTTATTCACCTCTCGAATTGGTTGAACTCCTGTGGCAAACCAGAACAATGTCGCCTAACTTTATGGCCCAGTAGCTGCCATAACTAATTCTGTCAACGCTACTGCACAACTAATTGTAATTGTAATTGCAAAATAGTTCGACCCGCAGTCGGCTTTTGTGCAGCCCTTAAATTGCAATTTGCCAAAGAATTTAGCACAATGAAATTCAATTAACAACAAAGCACACATACAGTTTCCAAAGCTGCGGCAAAATCCCTGCCACTGTTTTATCTTGGTTGCACACAATTGCATAGAAAGAGAGGGGAAATGGCGAGAGAAAGAGACGGAACAGCTTATGCCATGCGTCACTAAATCAGAACAAATTTGCACAAATTTCAAAAATAATAAATGCCAGTTTTAATTACACTCACCCTCCTTTTTGTGGACAATTTTTATGTGTGCGCACTAGAATTCTACAATTTAGAAAAAATATATATTTTTGATATGAGCATACTGGTAAAAAATATGCCTTTAAAATATACATAGTAGAGGGAGAATACTATTATCATTTACTAATTGATATATTAACTAAAAACGGTTTCAGAGTGCAATTTTAATGGCACACTGTGCAAATAGCTTTAGCTTATAGTCGGTTCTACTTCATATTAATACAAGAGCTTTCGTTTAAAATTATCTAAAGTGAAAACGCCTTGCTAACGATCGATTTCACCAAATACGATATCCAGCGATCCGATTATGGCAACTACATCGGCTAGGAAGTGTGCTGGTGCTATCTTGGCCATGAGGGCGAGGTGGGCATAGGAAGCCGGACGAATCTTGCACCGATATGGACGCGTTGAGCCATCGGAGATAAGATACACGCCAAATTCCCCCTTGGGCGACTCCACGGCCGTGTAAGTCGCTCCGGGCGGAACATAGAAGCCCTGCGAAAAGTGCTTGAAGTGGTGGATCAGATCCTCCATCCCCTCTTTCATCTTGCGCCGTGCTGGGGGGCAGATCTTGAGATCGTCCACCTTGATCTCGCCCGGGGGCATACAGTCGATGCACTGTTTGATGATGTTCACCGATTCGCGCATCTCATGCATTCGCACCAAGTAACGATCGTAGCAGTCGCCATTCGAACCCACAGCCACGTCAAATTCCATCTCGTCGTAGGCGTCATAGGGCTGCTGCTTACGTAGATCCCACTTGACGCCAGTGGCCCTCAGAACGGGTCCAGTGCATCCATAATTCAGGGCATCATGGGCAGATATGACGCCAATGCCAATATTACGCATACGCCAGATGCGATTGTCGGTCACCACATCCTCCACCTCGTCCAAACGATCGCTGAACTGATTGATAAACTGGTACAGGTCATGCAGGAAACCCAAGGGTATGTCAGAGGCCACGCCCCCGGGTCGAATGTAGGCGGCATGCAGACGAGCTCCAGAGGCACGTTCCGAAAATTCATACAACTTCTCACGCTCCTCGAAGAGCCAAAACAGCGGTGTTATGGCACCGCAATCGAGAACCGAAGAGGCAATGGCCATGGTGTGATTGGTAAGCCTCATTATCTCGGAGAACATGGTGCGTATATACTTGGCCCTGCGAGGAATCTCCACATTTAGCAACTTCTCCACGGCCAAGGCATAGGCCAACTCGTTGGCCATGCAGGAAACATAATCCAAACGGTCAAAATAGGGCAGTGCCTGCATATAGGTCTTGTATTCGATCAGTTTCTCGGTGCCGCGGTGCAGCAAACCAATGTGTGGATCGGCGTTCAGCACCGTTTCATTGTCCAGCTCGAGGATCATGCGCAATACACCATGGGCCGCCGGATGGGCGGGTCCAAAGTTGATGAACTTGGTGCGAAAAGTGCGATCTACTGGAGGACTCTGTTTGCCCTTGTAAACTGGTCGACGCCTCCACTCATCGCCGGTGGGATACATGACCACGTATTCCCTTTCCTTATAAAACTCGGGATCTGGATACCAGAAACCCGAGTCGTTATCTTCGAACGGCGGACCGGGCGGATAGACTTCATCCCAGTCGGGGTCACACTTTGGCTTAGCCTTTGGCTCCTCGTGGCACTCTGTATACAATAGTGTAAAATAGAAATTTGCTGGGATTAAGGGGTACAATAATTACTTACCTTCCTTATTCGACGAAAACGTTCGATAGTTGAAAAGCTTTCCCAAATCCGGTCTCTTAAAGTTGGTCTTCAAGCCCTCCACGCTCAGATACTTCTGGCTAAGACGATTCTTGTACGCCTGGAAACGACGAATTTCGTTGGGTGTGAATAGCTTATTCGCCAGCTTACGAATTCCATGCATTCCGCCAGACATGATTATAAGAGCTATTAATGAATATTTGGATCTATAAAAGTAGATCGAAGAAATTAAAAATGAATCCTTATATTTCTATGATGCAAAGTTCAAAGACTGCTATTCTGGAAGCAATTATATCAGTGAAGTTCATTTTCTATTGCAGTCTAATAATATACCCTTCCCTCTTTGCAGATCTTTGAGGATCACTACCACTTCGCACATCACAAGGTATCGAAGCGGTCGCTCTCTCCCGCCTCGCATCACCAAACTCGCCTCCATGACGACCATCGCGTCCTCTGGGCGAAGCAGCAGCGGGCCAAGTCGCGATCCAAGCGGGACTTCATCCGCCTGCGTCCTTCTAGGACCTCCTCGCGGGCCATGTCGATGGTGGACGCAATGCCCTTCACCGACTCCAAGTGGTCGCAGATGTGGTATCTAGTAAGTGTCCAAAAATTCTAAAAAAATTTGTTAATTACCAAGATAAAATAGATTACAATTAAATCTAACTATATCCCTATTAAACCTATTTAAAAACTTACTTTGCAACTTTTAAAACCTGTAAGATATGGTCAAATATTCGAGATATAGGTTATTCCAACCAACTCTGCATATGAAACTAAACTCTTTTTTTATAGAACCGCGGTTCAGGCCTGGACATGAATGTGATACCCGCCTGGAAGGAGGGGATCACCGGCAAGGGCGTGGTGGTGACCATCCTGGACGACGGCCTGGAATCAGATCACCCCGATATAGAGGATAATTATGTAAGTCCTAGATGTTTGCTAAGAACGGACCCATATTGACCTATACAATTTCACCCAAAAACAGGACCCCAAGGCCTCGTACGATGTGAACAGCCACGACGACGATCCGATGCCGCACTACGACATGACCGACTCGAATCGCCATGGAACGCGCTGTGCCGGCGAGGTGGCAGCCACCGCGAACAACTCCTTTTGTGCGGTGGGCATCGCCTATGGAGCCAGTGTGGGCGGAGTGAGGATGTTGGACGGTGATGTCACGGATGCAGTGGAGGCCCGATCGCTGTCGCTGAACCCGCAGCACATCGATATATACAGTGCCTCGTGGGGACCGGATGACGATGGCAAGACCGTGGACGGACCCGGGGAGCTGGCTTCGCGCGCCTTCATAGAGGGGACAACAAAGGGACGTGGCGGCAAGGGCAGCATCTTCATCTGGGCATCGGGCAATGGCGGGCGGGAGCAGGATAACTGCAACTGCGACGGCTACACGAACTCCATCTGGACGCTGTCCATCTCCAGTGCCACGGAGAATGGCAACGTGCCCTGGTACTCGGAGAAGTGCAGCTCCACGCTGGCCACCACCTACAGCAGCGGCGGGCAGGGCGAGAAGCAGGTGGTCACCACGGACCTGCACCACTCGTGCACTGTCTCCCACACGGGCACCTCGGCGTCGGCCCCGCTCGCCGCTGGTATCGCCGCCCTGGTGCTGCAGTCCAACCAGAATCTCACCTGGCGCGACCTGCAGCACATTGTGGTGCGCACCGCCAAGCCGGCGAACCTCGCTGACCCCAGCTGGTCACGCAACGGGGTGGGGCGGCGGGTGAGCCACTCCTTTGGCTACGGATTGATGGACGCCGCCGAGATGGTGAGGGTGGCCCGCACATGGAAGGCGGTGCCGGAGCAACAGCGATGCGAGATTAACGCCCCCCATGTCGATAAGTAGGAGAAGCATCAGGTGGTCTCCCAATCACTAGATACTCATTGGATTTCTCTCCTTGACAGGGTCATTCCGCCTCGCACCCACATCACCCTGCAGCTGACGGTGGCGCACTGTCGGTCGGTCAATTATCTGGAGCACGTCCAGGCCAAGATCACGTTGACTTCGCAAAGGCGCGGCGACATCCAGATCTTCTTGAGGTCACCCGCCAACACCAGTGTCACACTCCTAACACCCAGGTAAGTGGAACTCTCAGTGGCCCAAAACTTTCACTTATTTATCGTAAACACTTCGCCAGGATACACGACAACTCGCGCTCCGGTTTCAACCAGTGGCCCTTCATGTCCGTGCACACCTGGGGAGAATCGCCACAAGGAAATTGGCAATTGGAGATCCACAACGAGGGTCGCTATATGGGTAAGTCTAGAAGTCAGCCTAGAACTAGAACTTGTGCCGTCAGATAGATGCTTTAAACCTGTACCGTTTTACATGCTGCGCTTTTGTGGATCTCACCACCGACTCACCCACCTAACACCCTTTCAACCACCCCAAACCACCCACTAACCCACCGATCCGTAGGCCATGCTCTGCTCAGGGAATGGTCGCTGATCTTTTACGGCACCACTCAGAGCATCGACCCCAACGATCCGATCTCGGTGCCCAGGCCGAGTGGCTCGGAGGCCACCACCCCAAATAGCAGCAGCACCACCAGCAATCTGCATCAGGCCTACTCCCCGCAATATCCCCGCATTCCACCCAATAACTTTGGCAGCTCGCCTTCTGGCGGGTCAAAGTTGCCTTTGGGCAAAGTGCCTGCTCCCAATAAATCCAGTTATGTGACCAACAATCCGCTGCTGAATCCTGCACCTCCCAAACAGGGTTACCAACAGATATCGGCCACCTACGGGGTGATATTGGGGAAAGCCAATGGGAAGTCTAGCAATAGCAGTAAGGAGAAAACCAATAACAAGGGAAACAAGGCTAATAATGGTAATAAGGGTAAATCCGGCGGATCGGGTGGTAATCGCAAGGAGCACACCACCCAGAGCACAATCGTCCAAACAACCACCAGTAAAAATAAGTACTACCGCATTTCCCAGCAACAGCAGCAAAAGAACAACAAACATGACAGGAATGGAGTGCAAACACAAAGACCCAAAGCCAATTCCGGGGAGAAATCCTACGATGATAAAAACCGTAAAGTAGTGGGTGAAATCACGACAACCAGCGGCGGCTTCGGCGGATCGATCAAAGCAGCCAAGCAGGTGAAGGAGAGCACCACCTCATCCTCGAATTCCCGGATACCCAAGCTCTTCGAACGATACGAGAAGATACAGGCCATTTTCCCGGAACTGGAACCCTATGAGAGTAGTTCACCCAAGGGAAAGGTTAAGCCGGCCAAGCAGGGCAAACAATTCGAGGTGGATCTGTTTAGACCCACTACCGGCGGAAATAGTCGGCAGGGAAATACGAAGAAGTCACCCTCGGTGCCACCACCTTCGCAAACGATGGCCACCCTTTCCATTTTGCCCATACTGCCCGCCGGTGGCAGTAGTTTCCTGCCCGATCAGAAGATCCTGAAGAAACAGCAACTCCTGATGGCCGCCGCCGGAGTCATGGCTCCCGCCCAGGTGGAGGTGGAAATGGAGGAGATTCAGGCGACACCCGATTACGGGGAAGCAAGGGACCAGCGGAAGGAGGACAACGGTCCAAATGGTAGCCATTCAATTTTGCGATTTTCATCATTGCTTTGTTTTTATTTCAAAAGCATAATTTGTAAAGCTTTTATTGATCTGAAATCCTCATTGACACTTTTCATCTACAGAATGAATTAATGTTTATTATTTATAAAATCTGCTTTAATATGTATTTAAAAAAAATTATTTTATTTAATTTTGTTTTCTTAGTTATCTTGCTTTTCATGTTGTTTTTCAAATGTTTTGTAAAAAATATCTATTTTTAGTAATTTTGTACAATTTGTAGTAAGCCAATAGCTAGGTTCTTAAACATTGCAAAAAAAAAAAAAATTTTAAATTGAAACTGAAACTGTTATATAGTAATTTAAATCAACATTCCACGTTTTGAGTATACGTTTCATTTAACCAGTCTGTGAATAGTGTTTTGATTAAGTGTCCTTATCTTTGTGGTATTCCCGTCAAAGTGCTCTTTATTTCAGAATCCTTTCCGTTTTGAATTTATGATTTTACTCATCGTAGCCTTCAATGAAAGTTTGACAACCACTGAGTGGCAGTTTGTTGTTGCTTTCATCAATCAAAATGAAACTCTAAAATTCGTTTGGTTTGTTTGGCTATTGGTGCCGTTGCTCTGGTTTTCAGCAAAACAATTTTTCATTTTTATCCTTTTTTGCTGATGCTGATGAAAGTTGCGATTAGCTTTCGGCACTTGATCGGCGCCCTATATAACATAGTACGTATATCGTTCATGTGGCAGATTTATTGGCCCTTCACTTGGCTTGTTTGCCCGCCCTTGCAATCTGCAATATATCAAACATTTTAAAACATTTTGCGTTTGCCGTTTGTTGTTGATTTTGTATAGATGTTTCGATTTTATTTGGATTATTGAGCGCTTGGCCAGTCAGCAATAACTAAATGCATTTGATTTCTCTGCTCTGCGTTGCAGCACAAATCACACAATGGGACATGATATTCTACGGCACGGAAACCCCCGCTCAACCCGAGGACCTGGCCAATCCCAGCCAGCCGAATCCGTTCAATCTGTACGGAAACGACATGGCCCACAATGACCTCGAGTACGATTCCACCGGCCAGTGGAGGAATATGCAGCAGGTGAGTACCGCTTTTAGTTTCTACCTGTAAATTTAGAAGTGAAAACCTCTTACCTGCATGAATAGTCACTCAGTCTGGAAGCCCTAATTCATATCTAGATGATGTATAAATGAATGTTTGCATATGGAAGATAATAAACCGTAAAAATATACACATGATTCCAACCATTATTATGAAAATATTATGTTAAATCCTAAAGCTTCTTAACTTATGAGTAGTATATTCAAATTTATTCAATAATAGCTTAGCTTTTAATGCAGGCCCTTTAATTAAATCAACTTTAATCAAATTTCATTTTTTAATAAAGTGCCTAAACTTTTGGCTGAGACTGAAATGTTATTAATTTCCGAAATTTTAAATTAAATTTTCCTTTTAAAAGTTTATTAAGCTACCTATCTCGCGACCATAAAGGATAGTGTACGCAAGCGGTTTTCACACATACAATAACATGTCTGGCTGTGCAAATCTTCCTCTCAAATAGAGGCAACATGTTGTTGTATGGTGTGCCGACCACTGCCTTAAATCCATCTAACCCTAGACTTTGAGCCGGCTTTGTGAGCACTCACTGTATTCATCCGCCCCGTTGTCCTCCGTGTTCTGTTTATTTCTTGGTCTTGCAGTGCCTTGTTGATGCTTTATCGGGCAGTGAGGATATAGGAAGTAGTGATGAGAACCCGCATCAGAATCGCGGAATAATGCAGCGCGCTTGCATGTGGCTAGCTTGATTAAACCAGTCAGTCAGTCGGTGGTTGGACACTTCCAGTGCCTTGCAAACTGTGTAGCCTTGCAAGTTTGTAGTCCTTTGGCAGGTAGCACGCTTACTTTGCTCGAGTTCCAGTTCGTTTTTTTCTGTCAGCATGCCGTTTGTTGTTAATGTACGAATTTCCTCTGCACGCGCCAATGCACAGGCCCAAAAAGTATGCAAAGCACTCGCCCAATAGCGCTCATAAATTTGCAAATACTTATGCAGCAGCTATCTGTGGGCCTGTTGCCGCACTCTCCTCTCTTTTAGCATTTGCCAGCATCTTAATTCCACTTTTGGCAGCCGTTTTTAGCCACGTTTGGCAGTGGGCCAAGGCAGTGCCTCTGTCAGGGCCGCCCGGACATCAGGGGCACAGAGAAAAACTATCACCTGCATTAATTAGTTAACCTCGTTTTTGTGAACACATTCTTTTAAAAACTTACTCACAAAAAATGCTCAAATAGTTGTATCATCGGGTGTGGACTCTACAATACATAGCTCCTTGCTTTAAACATGCGACACATTTTCATTGCACAGAATATATTCCATTTTAAACAATTAAAATCGAAAGAGTTCGTGTGAAAAAAGTATAAAAACTTATAATTGAAAACAAGGACTTCATGTTCTGTTTTTTTTTTCTCTGTGTTCAGAATCAGCATTTTTCTAAACTTTTCCTACGTTTCGCGAGTCCATGGAAGCCTGGGCTTTATTCAAGTGCACTCTTGCCCCGGGCAGGCAGCAATTTTTAACCTTTTGGCACCTATTGTGCTTTAAAAGCGTTGCTTTTTTCCGCCACTGGCAGGGCAAAAGAGGATGTGCGGTAATAAAGGCGAGTGCAGTGACCTTAGTTTTTTACTTTGCACCGCTCGGGCTGGCTGCAAAAAACTTTTTGCATAACAAACACTTTTCCAGGCCCCTCTAAAATCCCTCGTCCATCCACTTTTCCTTCCTTACTAACATGCGACGTCATTGCATGTGAACTTAGATAGACTTGGACAGACTGTTTGGGAAGGGGCAGCTATAAATAAGGACAGACATAGCCACATACATAAGTGCTTAAAATGCCAGACAGAGCGGCAACATGCAATGAACTACAACTACTGGAATCAGACGAGGCAAAACTTTTCAGCCACTTCTGACTTGCCAAAAAAAACCCAATGGCGTTGGACTTTAAGCAAAAATAAAAGCTACGTGTGACTTAAAGTCTTCGTCTTAATTTTTTGAAATTTATATTACCATGGGAAATTTGAGGTGTATTAATCGGGGGAATTCCTCAACGAAAAAGTAATCAACAACATTTTTAAAAAAGTCATTGAATAGATTAATGCTTTTTTGCATTTCATCGGAAATGACCTTTCGCTTCTAAAGTATAAATATACAAATTTCCGTCTTATATTGGCATCACTTGATTTAAATATATTAGTCAAAATTGTGATCTCTTATCAATTTTTTTGAATATGAAAAAACCTGATCATTATGTCGTGCTAAACGTATAAATTCACATCAGTTGTCAGTTAATATCAGTTGCATAAAGTCGTCTGATCATGCGGGCAGCAATCGGTTCCCTTTTGATTCTTGGAGTTTTCTTCATCAGAAATGCTACTTCTGAGTGTTGCAATATGCATTCCCAGCTACTGTATAGCATTCAAGGGGAACCCTGTGAAGCGGTTGGTGGTCAAGAGGACCATCTAGATCCTGAGTTGTGCACCATCTGTATTTGTGGCGATGGGAAGAAGGTGGACGGCTTATATTGCGGCGAAGGAAACTGCGATGATTTCGGCTGCAACTGCCCTGGAGGATGTCGCAAAGGCAACTGGCACTATGAAATCGTGGAGAGAAATAAGCAGTACAATATAAGTATAGTTGAAGTAGTCAGATATCTTTACTAAGTCACTTGACCAAAATAATAGATAATTAGCAATAAATATAATTAAACCTGAAAATATAAATGAGTAATGAAAAAATGCACATAAAGTATTTCCTATTTTGACTTATTTTGTCTGTAATTTTTAGTTTCGAAAAAACTTGGTTTTTTTTTAAGTTTTTTGTTGTAACTTTGTCAAAATAAGACGAACAGACCAAAGAATGACAGTTTTTTGCAGCTGAGAACCTATACAATCAATTCCTGGTGGATTTGGTTAAATTTATTTTTTGACCAATTTTAAGATTTTTCATAAGGGGTAACACTATGATTTTTTGCGAAAACTGGACAAAAATGAAATTTTTTAGCTGTGAATGCCAATCGATTAGAAATTTTATAACGAATTCAACAAGGTATGGCATTCCATCGTGTCACCATTATTTCCCATGGTTTTCATCAAAAAACCGAAATAAAAGTTGATTTTTTCCGGATCCCCAGGATTTTGCCATTTTTCATAAGGGGCTAGCTCATTATTTTTGGCGAAAAATCGGACAAAATTAAATTTTTTAGCTGTGAATGCCAATCGATTGGAAATTTTATAGCGAATTCAAGGAGGTATGGCATTCCACGATCTGACCATTATTTCTAAGGGTTTTGATAGAAAAACTGAAAAATCGAGCTTATCTTTTCCGGATTTTGGCCATCGAAACACACATTTTTTACAGGTTTTTTGTTGTAACTTTGCCAAAATATGACGCACAGCCAAAAGAATGACTGTTATGTGCAACTGAGAACCCATATAATTAATTGCTGGTTGATTTGGTTAAATTTATTTTTTGACCGATTTTTGCATTTTTCATAAGGGGGAACACTATGATTTTTATCGAAAACTAGACCAAATTTAAATTTTTTAGCTGAGAATACCTATAGATTGGAAATTTTATAACGAATTCAACGAGGTATGACATTCCAAGATCTGACCATTATTTCCAAGGCTTTTGATCAAAAAACCGAAAAATCGAGTTGCGTTCCATCTTTGCGTTCGAACCATTACCCCTTTATCTACCTTCTCCTAACATATTTAACCCACCATTATCCTTTTTTATTACAGGTGGGCGATGTGGGCATGACCCGAGATCACAGGAACACCGCCGCGTGCCTTAAGTGGAGCGATCGCAAGTGCTTAGGTTTGTCCTTACTCTTTTTTACGATCATGCAAGTCTTCTTTCTAAACTTTAAACATGCCAACGACAACAACTACAAGAACAACATTATTAAATGCATTAGATAATTTAGCAATTATTTAAAGAGGAAATTGGCAACAGAAAAGAAACAAAATTGAACTATGTAAAGAACGAAAAACGGAAAGGAGATGAAAAGCGAACAAAGAATTTCCAATTAAATGTTTGATGGCAACAGGACGAAGAAAGAAAAAGTAACAAAAATAAGTAATTTAGAGTAGGCGAGATATGGAAGAATCACTGCAAGTCCAAAAAAATATACATACTAAACATTTTTGTAGGTAAATTTAAATGTAAGCCTAGATTTACACACTGACACAAGCAACACACACACGCTTTCAAACGCGTGGCAGGGCAAAAACAAAGGTTGTTTTCTATTGGGTTTCCTTTTTGTAGAGGAACGGGACGCACAAAGGAAAATTTTGTATTATTTTAGTCGAAATGCAATTATACACAGCTATATACAGTATCATAAAATATATATTTTACATACATTTTACACATTAGTAGTAAGAGTTTAGTTGAAATTTTATTTGTACGATTCGTTTTTGATTGTTTTCGTTTAGAATGTTTGTGTTTGTTTTAAGCCTGTTTAGTTTGATACGTTTTCCACTGTTTTTCCAAATGCCTGCTCCCCCACACACAGGAAAAAATTAAGATCACTTCAGACTTGACATTACCGAGATCAATTATTAATATACAATTGTTCGTGTCATTTCAAGCGTTTAACCTTTCAAAATTAATATCGTTTGGCTTGATTTTTATTAATAGCAAATTAAAAACATACACATGATCTTAAAAATAAAAAGATTTTTTCCTGTGTAGCGATCTGTATGTATATATGTGTACATGTGAACTAAATGCATTATTTCAGATATTGCCAAGCCAGCCAAGTAGTCGCGCCTCAATTTAAAAAGCAGTGTACGCAAGCTTTAACTTTTCACTTTTCTTTGCCTAAAGTTTGAGTCCCCTTCCTACCTTTTGATTTTGTATAAGAAATGTTTTTTGCCATACAGACGAACGAAAGAATGTCCAACAAACACAACAACCACTGTTTAGAGTTCATAGTAAAAGACTGTTTCTTAAAATTAAATCTAAATCATGGACAGCGGTAAATTTTAAGGGGTCGATGGAGTAAAAACCAGATGCAAAATAGAAAAACCAAAACTAAGTATATAATGGAAATGTTTCTAGTGTTAAGGCGTCAAGCTAAGAAAACCATTTTTGTATCAAAAAACAAAAGAAAACAAAATCAAGAAAAAGGCATAAAACTAAACGTGAACAAGTTAATAATAATATAAGGTGTAGGGGTAAAGTATAGCGTAATAAATGAAAAGTAGGCAACAACCACTAAACAATTAAAACGTAATTATATTGAACAATTTATACAAAAGTTCCTGCAGTTTTCAACAAAGTTTAAGATTTAATTAAACATAAAATCACACAATTATTACCAATTTACACTGAATTGCATATTTATTTTGTCCACAACGCCAACACACACACACAAAACATATCTTTGTTACAAATTTGTTGCTTACTTAAATCTATAATATTAAACACAAATCAAAAAGCAAATTGAGTGCAATAATTATTATTAATTCTGTATTAAGGAGCAGTTAAAAACTTAACAAGGTTTTCGTTTATTATCAAGCCGACAAACAAAAACATATCATTTTATAGTTTTTTTTGTGAAACTTGGTACAAACTAATAGTTTACCTTAAAAATTCTATCGAAATTGACTTATTTCCAATTGTTTTGACTTTAGAAAAATGTTCCCAATATCTATGCATTTTCGTTGTATGAATAATCATATCGTAACTGCACAGTAAACAAATATAAATGTTAATTTAACAAACAAGTTAATAGCGAAGTAATTGACAAAAGGAGGAGTATCTTTTTGTTGTTGTTGTAATTAGCAAACACGCACACTTTCAAAACAGACACACACACACATATTAGCCAGCGCATAAAATATAAACAAACTAAAGCTAGCATTTCTCTCTGTGCATTGACAAGCAATCGAAAATAGTTGAATTAACCCCTAATTCCCCCCGTATATACTATGGGCACTAGCAGCGAACAAACAAGAAATATTAACCAAGCCAATACATAAACACTCATAAGTATTTACCAAAACTTCGGCAAGTACCAAAATAAATTATGTTGAACAAATTTCTAAGTGAGTTTGGTTTGGAACACAACAAACTTCTGCTCCTTTCCACGTATTCAGATGCTCTTCATCGCACACGCAATTTTGGTTCATTTATCTTTGAGAACCAGAATACACAAGAAATTAAACTCTAAAGCATAATTACTCGATCAAGTAATTAGAGAAAAAGCCAAATTAATATATAAGCCTATACTTAATGAACCATTTGAAAGATAAAAACAAAACAAAATACAAAAACTGGTACTAGGGCATGGGGTAGAAATTAGCAATTATATATATTAACTTTAAAACCACGAAATTGTAAAGTAACATTGGAAAAAAAAACACTAAATTAATGCTTGCAATTAATAAAAAGGAAACGAAATGAAATTAAGCTTTTTTAAATGTAAAGTAAACGAAACAGAAATTAAACACTTAAATTAGAGAAACAACCTCGTAGGTATGATAAAAATTGAGAATGCCGCAATTGAAACTCGATACAATTTTTTATGTACGTTTGTGTATATATCTATCTATATAATATCTATATGATTAATAAATAAATGCATCAAAACCGTAAAAAAAACAAGTTTCGTTGAAGCCATTTATTTCCAACAAAAAATTCAAAGCAGCAAGCAAACATGCTCAAAAAAACTAAGATCTATAGGATGAGGGGAGACGCTCTCTGCCGTATTTTACCCACTGCAGTTCAGAGTTCACAAATTCCCATTGAGGTTTTGAGATTGCAGACAAGGTGAGTGTAGTTCCATCCTAAGTATTGTTTTGTTCTTCTTTTTTGGTTTTAACGGAAAGTTTAATTTCCCCTCACTGCTGTGTGACACTACCCACTTTCTAATTCGTTTATTTCGTTACGTTAACTTTTTAACACAATAAAAACCTACATTCTCATGTTCATGCTTAATGGTTTTTTGGTGGAGGTACAGTGAACACACCTAAGCTGCCATCCTCAATCACACACTGGCTTTTATGATTTTTCCTTCTGTTCTTTTTTTTTCGAGCATGTTTTTCCGGCTGAGCTTGCTTTGAACACATCTTTGAATTTTTTGTTGCTAATAGATGTTTTTTTTGAAAACAGTTTTATTTGTAATTAAATACTTATTACACATGATATAAAAAATAAGATGTTTAAATAATAAAGTAAATAAGTATTTAAATTATCCATTATCGGACTTATAATCTAAATAATTAAAGACATGTAATCCTTTTCGTTGCCATTTACTTTTTATATATGTTTTTTTAAAGCTCTCAACACCCAGAACACAGCTCATTTTGGTTTTGTTAAAGTTCAGCTAAGTTTTCATAACATCTGTCTAACCTACTAATTTCCAACTTTTCTGCTTCCACTAAACTTTCGCTGAGGTAAAGCACTCTTTAGACCTTCTGATTATATATATAATTATTCTAATGTATTTTTCTCTAAACGTCCGCAGAGTGCAATGATTCCTCTTATATGTTTGAGGACCAGTGCTATGATGTCTGCCCGGTGCACACATATCCACTTGATAAATTGGAATCGGATGAGGAAGAACTGGACGACGATGTGAGCAGGGGTCCTCTCAATCCCTACAGCAGGCCCACCACCAATCATCCCTCGTCCATGTCCAATAGTTTGGACGGCAAGCAGGATCCTCTGCAGGCGGAGGATCGTCGTCGTCGTCGTAGAAGTTATTCCGCTGGCGCCCCGCTCACCCAACTGGTGGAAACGCCCACTCGGATCTGTGCCGATTGCGACCGGAGCTGCCTGGCCTGTCATGGACCTCTGGCCTCCCAGTGCAGCACCTGTTCCCCGGGCAGCCAGCTCCGGAAGATCCAGAACGATACCTTCTGTTATGCGTATGTGGTTCGCAGCACGGGAATGGCTTCTGTGGAGGACATTTCCCAGGTGGGTGAGCGAAGTACCCTGCACTACTTTACGGCCACTACGGTGCTCCTTCTGGTCGCGGTGATCATCACCCTAATGGGCGCGGTAATTGCTGCCGGCATAGTCTACCATCGCAGGGCAACGGCGCGATCCAACGAAATTTACTCCCGAGTATCTCTGATGACCGGCGACGAAAGTGACTCTGATAACGAGGACGAACTATTCAGGGCCCATTTTCTGGGGAAAAAGAGGGATGTCATCGAATATCGCGATGAAGCGCCCAGCGAAGAGAAAGAGATCAGCCATTGGGTACACTAGATAATCAAATTAAATTATTAGTTTCGTCATGCATTTAGCCACCCTCATAACCACCAGAAATATTATATAAATCTTCAGCCGAGGACAATCACATTTTCGGTTTATATTATTTTATATTCGACGGCATTACAGCTCCTTGACTTAAAGCCAAAATAGTTTAAGTCTTAAAAAATAAACTAAAGAGAAAATCAAAACTAAATATATGAATATTTATGCATTAATAAAACTATTAGAATTTAATCACTGACCGCTTACTCATTAAAATCCGGAAAAATACCAAATTGTGTATGCATGACGTATAAGCAACAACAATTATATTGTTATTTAGAAACAACTGTTTACAACTTGTTGAGAAAGGTAGCACTTAAAGAAATCTTCAAAATGTTTAGAAAGATAAGAAAAGTGATAAATGGAATTGTAAGATTACTTTGAAGCCGTCCTTGACCATCAGATCCCCTTCTTGAGATATCCATATTCTGTTGTCATTCCGCACTTTCGGAGTAGGTGAACCGCAATCTCAGTGCTAACAGCAATCAATTAGCTAATGGAAATTATACAAGCCCAGGTTGCGCCTTAGTAGGGAGGGCTTATCAGCCGGGTTATCACGGGGCTGTCTAAAGTGTTCTCCCCAGGTGAGAAATGTGTTGACAACACTCAAGAGTTTTATTTGTATAATATGCTGACCATAGGTCTCTTTAGAATTTCCTCGATTTCCTTATCGCGGCTATATTAGGAACATCGACTGGCACCTGCCCGTTAGTTGGGTTTTGTGAAACGGACGAAAATGAGGCTTGTTATATTACCCCTGCTGTTGGTATCTTGCTGCCTCTGGGAGGTGGTACACAATTGCGCCAGCATAGAGCAGCGCTACAAGTTCCCAAACAGCAATATCTACGTGCGGCTCAGGCGAGGTGACAAGTTGCAGTATGAGCTGATGAAGGGAGAAAAGAGCCTGCAGACGGTGACATTCGATAACTTTGAGAGCAGCGCCAATCTGGTGGCGACCAACAGTGGAGGCTACACGCTCACCGATGGCACCACTACCGTGGAGTTCACCCTGGTTAAAAATGGCGTGGTTTCCGGCACCGGCAGTGAGATCACCCATGTCAAGATCTCCCGCGATCAGGTCCTGCAAGGTAGCCAACCCAGGGATTGCTTCCCGCTGAACACCGGAGAAACCCACTGGTTCAGTGGTCCGGAGCAGAAGCAACACTACTGGCCCGTAGAGCGGCAGAGGCACAGCAACTACTCCTACCTGCCCAAGGAACTGGACAACTTTGGAGTCGGTGAGCGTTACTGGCTGAACGGCAACGGAGTCTTCCTGTATGTGGAGAGCAACACGCCGCTGTTTATTGACCAGAATACAGCGGACTATCCGGATCAGCTCTGCCTGAGTGCCACCAGTGCTCTGCCCTACGATCCCCGAGTGACCTCCGCCAAATTCGTGTACCACGTTGCTGTGGCCAAGGATGCCAAGGCAGCTCACAAGTACGCGGTCAAGACTTTCCACGGACAACCGACGGGCTTCCCCGATGAGCGAATGGTCAGACATCCCGTTTGGTCCACTTGGGCTCTCTACAAAGCGGAGGTTTCCGACGATGTGGTCCGGGACTTTGCCAAGCAGATCCTGGATAACGGTTTCAACAACAGCCAGCTGGAAATCGATGATGATTGGGAGGATTGCTATGGAGCCATGACATTCAGGAAGAACAAGTTCCCCGATAGCAAAAAATTGACCGACGATCTCAAGGCTTTGGGCTTCCGCGTGACTCTTTGGATTCATCCATTTATTAACAACAACTGCACGGCCATTTACGAAGAGGCCAAGTCCCTGGGCTATTTGGTGCTGGATCACGAGGGTAGCTCCGATACGCAGTGGTGGAACAGTAAGCCGAAGGATGCAGCCATTCTGGATTTCACAAAAACCGAGGTTCAAGAGTGGTTCAGCAAACGCTTAAAGCGTCTGCAGGATGAGGATGGCATCGATAGCTTCAAATTCGACGCTGGAGAGACTAGTTGGTTGCCCAGTGATCCAGTTTTGCAGGCCAGCAGTTCCATGGTGACTCCTCTCCAGGCCGTGGGAGATTACGTACGAACTGTGGCTGCTTTCGGGGACATGGTGGAGGTGAGATCAGCCCAGAATACCCAGGATCAGCCCATTTTCGTGCGCATCGTAGACAAGGACTCCGAGTGGGCCTGGAACAATGGCTTGCTCACGCTGATCACTTCGATGCTACAGATGAACCTCAATGGGTATCCTTTCGTGCTGCCCGACATGATCGGTGGTAATGGCTACTACGAGAAGCCGCCGACCAAGGAGCTCTTCCTGCGTTGGCTGCAGGCCAATGTCTTCATGCCTGCCCTGCAGTTCTCCTTCGTGCCCTGGAACTTTGACGATGAGGCCATAGAGATCAGCAAGAACTTCACCGCCCTGCACGCCAACTACACTCCATACATCATGAAGCTCTTTCAGCGAGCCGTGGACTCTGGAGAACCGGTGAACGCTCCGCTCTGGTGGATCGCCCCCACCGATGAGGTGGCGCAGTCCATCTACGATGGTGAGTGGTCATCATATTGAGTAATATATTATATATATTTATATATATTTTTTTAACGCCCGCAGAGTTCCTCCTTGGCGATGACATTATCGCTGCTCCCATCGTGGTCGAGGGCGCCACCAAGCGGGACATTTACCTGCCGGAGGGCGAGTGGAAGGATGGCAATAGCGACCAGGGGTACACCGGACCCACGTGGGTGATGGACTACGCCGCTCCCCTGGACACTCTGCCCTACTTTATTCGCGTGGGATTCCAATTGGAGTAGAGCCGGAAGCATTCCTCACATTTTGCTTCTTAACATTTATATTTTTGTACAAAAAAAGCCAACACAACTTATAAGTTAAACTAAATAAAAAAAGGTACACAGTAAATTTGGTAAAATTCAGGGAAATATTTTCTCTTAAGCCGGATGCCAGTTTTTGTTTGGATGTGAAAAGTCACCGGATCCTGACAATGAGTCGAGGGGAAATTTGGGAGATAGGCCACTCTGACGGAACTGTCCGTACTCGCGTTCGAATTCCATGGCGTCCTTCGTCAGGATCTGCCTCAGGTCAATGGGACTGAAAAAAACATTTATGTACTTATTACCAAAAGAGATATTAATGATAGACGAGGACATACTCGACTTTAATGTTATGCTCCCTCTCCACATTCCTTTCGTACATTGCCAGCTTGAGGGCATGCACCCTCTGGGCAGACCTTCGCCACCGCTTTTTGTAGCGTTCCTTCTCAAGGGCAAGAATATTATATCGGCTGTTCTGGGACCTCAGTTCCCCAAGGACCTGCTTCAGATCGCCTTCGTCGGAGCCTCGATCCTTTAGATCTTCGATCTGCTGTTCCATGGCCGCTAGGCGAACCTTAAGTTCGGTTTTTTCGGTGGACAACTGAAGGTTTTCCTGGCGCAGCTCCACACTTCGATCCTCGAAAAGCCTCACCTGATCTTCCATCTCCGATTTTAAAAGGGCTATGTGCTCTTTCAGCTCCTCGAATTTGGCCTCATAGTCAACGCCCAGTAAGTTTGTTTGTTTGCTAATGAAAGTCTCATCTAGATTCGGATGCTCCTTGATCAATTTGTGCTTATTAGACTCTTGGTTTATCATCTCCTCCAATTGATTTTTGTAGTTCAACTCCTTGATAGCCAGTTCCTGCTCAAATAACTCCATTTGTTGACTTCGCCAAGACTTGATTCGCTGACCTACTGAATCTGAAATATTCGTAAGCTGATCCGTGTCATCAAATTCCTCAGAGGTGTTTAAATCTTTGATCTGTCTTCCAGAATTGTTTTTCTTTTCATAATTTAGAGATACTACTTTCTGGGCTTTTGTATGTTCTTTAATCAATGGGTTCTCATCTACGGGATTTGATTTTTTTATAACTACTATCTTTCTTTTAACATCTACTACTTCTTCAGGTGGATTTACGTTTTCGCTGTGTTCTATGTTGTCAAAAATTATAGATTTTTTTCTGATTACTTTCTTTTTGACTGGCTTTACTAATTCCTCTTCTTGAGTTTCAATCTGAGGATCTTCCTTGATGAAAGTCTTTTTTAATTTCTTTTTTTTGAGGACTCTTACATCCCGCGGTTGAGAATTTTGATTAATAAGCTCAGTGGACATCACATTACCCTCTGATATTGAGATAAATTCTTGGGAGCTAGTGAGTTCCACCTGAATTAATTGCTCCTCGCTTGAAGTAGCTCTCTTCTTTGTTTTAACTTGCGCATCCCGCTGATCGGTTCCTGTGTATATCATCTCAGTGGATTTTAAGTTCGCCTCGGATGGAGTATACTTCTCGGACTTTTGAAGGGACAACTGGTTTACGTGGTCGTCGTCTGACGGAGACCTCATCTTTTTCTTAACACTACCTTCTTTAGAATGAGTAAAAGTAACTCGGACATCCCGATGTGCTGCTTCTGAATAGATCATTTCAGCAGATCTTAAATTGCTTTCCGACAGTGAGATATATTCCTCGGAGCTCCCTATTTTCATCTGGTGCAACTGATCGTTGCCAGACATTGCCCTCTTCTTATTTTTTCCCAGATCCCCCTGAGACTGACATATAGTTATTTCCTCCAAACTTGAGTTTTCGTATTGGATGCTTTTTACCTTGTCTTTCGTGGATTTTCCCAGTTTCTTTTTGGGCTTAGAAGGCTTATCCTGACCGAGCGCCAGCTGATCCTCGTAGAGGATCTCGTCAAGCTCGGCACGGCAGGTCTCCTGCAGAAACTGTTCTGTTTCACCCAAAACTTGTGTCTGTTTTTTATTAACCTCTACCCAACGGGCTCGAAGGCCTAGGTCTCCCCTTGATGTTTTGAGACTCCTGGTTTGCTGGCTACTTGTGGATATTTCCTCAAAGTCTTCCAATTCTTCGGAAAGTAATAATTTTGATTTGGTTTTTTCGGTACCTATTTCTTGTGGTTTTATAATCTTTGGGGCTTTAGGCTTCTTAGGAAAAACATGGCCGTAACCTAGATCCTCATCAATCTGTTCGTAGCTATCATTCACGAATCCTTTACTTTCTGATTGTTTTTCATAACCAAATTGGTTTCCTAAATTAGATTGATTTTCATGGGTTAAGGAAACTTCATTAAATTCTGTTTTTGACACCTTTTTTACGTTTTGTTTTATTTTCGGCTTGCTGATGGTCTGTTTTGATGATTCCGGTATAGCCTCACCAATGATGTTAAGATTGCTTTCATTTTGTAATACTTCACTGTCCAGCTTTTTGGTTTTTCGTACTTTGCTTTCCTTTGGCATTGATGAAGATTCCTCGATCTTCCGCCTTCTTATAGACTGCAGTTCAGCTTCCTTTGCTTGTCTTTTTTCTTCCTGCTCAAACAGTTCCAGGGATGTCAGTTCTCCAATGTTATCGTAATCATTTTCCTCCATAGGTTGAATGTGGTTTTTGGGCTTCTTTATTTTTAATTTGGAAGATTCTCTGAGCAACTCTTTCTTGGTAGATTCAAATTTATTCTTCCCCTGAGATGTTGCTTCCTTTTCGAACTTTCTGCTAGCGTACAAATCGGCATGTTCCGTTTCGAATTCATCTGACTGGTTTACCATTTTTTTAAATTTTCGAACAGCTGGCTTTTCTAGACTACCATTCAGATCTTCACGAACCACTAAAGCGGAAAAGGTCTTGTCTAGGAACTGCTCATCCTCGCTGTCCCTTTTGTGTTCCTCACCCTGCAATCGCGTAAATTTCTTTCGCCTATTTTGAGCCCTTTGAAGATCCGCTGAAGCATCGGAGTCGAGGCCACCTTCTTTCAGCGAAGCTGTGCCGCAGGATCCTTCCGATACTGACAGCTCGGCACCTACATTCAGACTGGCCACGGAGGCAGTGTCGTGGGATAGTGAAATGACCTCAGGATCCTGTCGATCCTTTGGCAACTCCCTGATAACGCCGCTCGCGATCGAAGGCGTAGACTCAGCTTCCTCTTGCCCCTGGCGTGATAATATTGTCCTTACGTCCACACTAAAAGAGTACTCCATCAGAGGCGGTTTGGGTTCCCTAGCGCTGTCCGTTCTGCCAAATCGATTGAAGGAAAATGAGCCGTTGTAGGTGTACTTTCGATTGTCGGAGAAGAAGTTGTCTGGCGGCAGCAGATTGCTAAAGTCCATGCGGTAAGTGGCTGAAAAAGAATTAAAATAATCAATAGTTATATCTCCACTAGTTGAACGTATGGTTTTACCCACCTATCGCCGATCCGTTCATGTACATGTTGATGGGCAGGTAGAAGATGCGCTGGAAATAAAGTCGCATGCTGCGCAAGGATGTCTTGAAACGCAGTCCAAGGACGTCGTTGAGAATGTAGGAGTCGGACTCGTTTAGCTTCAGCTCAATGTTGGTCACATTGCCCACAAAGTCGAACACCAGGATAACCGAGCCGGGTCCCTTTCCCTGGCTGAGTGACTTCACCAGCCGGTTCACGTTCTTCAGCTGCTTCAGCTGCAGCACCACCTCGATAATGTCGCAGTCGATCAGCGGATCATTGCCCACCTGCAGCAGGCCCAGTTGCACCAACGACTGCACGTAGACGTTGGCCTGGAATAGACAGTAAACTCTTTATGCCTGAGAAATTGAATTCGAAGACCTGCATTTACCTGCGACTGGAGCATGCTGGCAGTTATCGAGTGTCCGGGCGACTGCATCGGCGGCGTAGGCGGCGTTTTTTGCTGATAGAGCACCATAAATAATTAGTAAAAACTGTATTTTATTAAAATAATTTGATACACATTTAGTAATATATTTTTAATAATAAAAGTTTGCATTGAACAAACTTCAAGCGTAATTGCATGATACCAATTTAGATCTTCGTGTATAGCTTTACTTACTTCGGTGAACTGCATGATGTGATCAAAATCCTTGGTATGCAGGATGGACTTCTTGATGATAGCCAGCATTAGCAGGACCTCCGGCTTGTGAGAGCGGAATTCGCTGCTGATGCAGATGAGCTTGTGCCAGAACATCTTCAGATGGGCGCCATTGTGGCTGCCCGTTGTGCTAAGTACCGGAAGTCCTCGCACAGGAAGAAGCAAGCTGCCAATGGACTTGCGCTCAGCACCACCTCCTCGGCAGCCAGAGAAGGTAATCTTCACGGGTCGGTGGTCCGTCTTGATGCGCTTGATCCCGGCCAGGTCGCACTCCCAAATGCAGTTGCTGTTGAAAATGATGGTCTCGGCCGACTGGGTGCCCTCCACCTCAAAGTCCACCGTGTTCAGGGCGGCGTTCATCACTATCTGCTCCCGCTCGCTGCCATCGCGGCTCACAAAGTTGATCGCTGCACAGAGGATACATATCAATATAAAGAACTATTCAAATTCCAAGCCAAACCATACCTTCGACCACGTGGAGAAGCACACAATAGACCTGGTCCGAATCCTTGTAGCTGCCATTTCCGCTTCCACCATCGCTGGCCGTCAGCGAGCGGGACGCCTTGTAACGCTTGACCATCGTTGTGTTTGGGGATTTGATGATGGCGAAACTTAACAATTTTCGAGCTTGGAAGTTTTAAGCTTTTAAATCTAAATTTAAACGTGGGCGTTCGCGAGTTCTAGTTCATCTAGTTTCTGTTATCAACTGCTCCACCTTTCCTGTATTTACCTCTGATTGTTCGTAGTTTAACGTGGCAGTTCACTATGAAAGGAGACATCAAAGGCTACTTGGTTTGGTCGTCAAGGCGACGTGGCCAGCAGGTGGCAATATCGCAGGACAAGTGAAACAACCCCTGAAAAGACGGAGGGTGTAAACCTGCAGTGCCTCTAATTCTCTTTTAGTTGGTGGGATCCCGCTTTTGGCCAGTTGCAACCAATTAAGTGATAATGTCATACCTTTTTTAAAATAGCTTGGCATTTAAAGCATTTCTGCAAATAATATTTTTGCTGGGTAACTCAGCTTAAATAGGACCCCTAGAAAAATACCGATAATTTTTCCGTTCCTAAACAAGCGATTGCCAACACTTATTCGAATTAAGGGGGTTTGGTATTTAATTTGTTTTTCCTATTTTTTTTCTGAATGTACAACATTTGAAGAATGTTGCGTTAAAATTTTATATTGATCCGAGTAAAACTTCTGAAGTTATGGGCAGTTGAACATATGTATCTCAGTCACTTTTTAATATTTTTGGATGCACATTTGAAAACATATTGTTTAAATGTTGAATTATCACATAGGAATTACCCTTACCCCACTTAATCAATTAATTATTGCTTGCTTGGGAAAAAGTCGGAGAAATTTATTTGTATTATCAATTAATTAAAATTCGTAAAAAAGTTTCTTCTAAAAATAAAAATTGCAAGCAATGCGCCAAAATTAACAAAACTCAGTCCGAAATTAATCATGGCATTTTTCTCTAAAGCAGCAGCAGCGCCTCCAATGAGAATGATCGAAAATCTCGGTTTTGCGCCGCATTTCTATGGAAAATTGAGAGACTTCTGGATTTAATACACCAGGCGACCAGAACCGTCTAGCAGCTATAAAAACAATTCTAAACGACGTTTACTTAGAGATGTGCGCGTGTTTAGTTATTTCCGCTCGCCCCATACAAATATAACGGATATTCGTGCCTGGCGTGCCGAAACCGTGACACGAACAAAGAAACAAGCCGTTCGCCCATCTCTAAGCTCACAACATAGTTTCAAACTAACGGTTGCCTTCCAGAGAGCTGAATTCCTATTGGTCAACCAATAGGAATCCGTGATGTGGCAGCCATTAAGCAAAAGAACAGTTATTCGGTGGACATTCGCTCAGATTTCTAGTTACTTGTTAAGCTTTCTGTTCGCCTGGTACCTCAAAATCAGGAATTGCCTAGTTTGCACGGGAAAAATAAATTTTGTCGGTCCATATTGAATGGCAAAATCCAGATTTTCGATTTCAAACACCAGGCCAACATAAACATTAGTAGGTGTCCTACTTTCAGATTTCTGCTCTCAGGAGGGGCGTAGTCAGAATTTTTACAACAGGGATTAAAGTTGGTATTTGGGAACTTTTGACCCCCAAACCCCTGCTCTGACTGACTACGCCTTTGTGTGCTGGAACAAAACTAACGGTTCTTTCTCGAGTATTCTGCAAGCTTGCGTCCTATTGGTCGACCAATGGGAATCCTTCGTTTGGCAGCCATTATGATAAGAACCGCCATTATGAAAAGAACAGTTGATCGGTCGACATTTGCTTAGATTTCTAGTCACTTTTTCAGCTTTCTGATTGCCTGGTACTTCAAAATCAGAAATTGCCTCGTTTGTATGGGACAAATATGATTTTGTCAGTCCATTTTGACGGGCAAAATGTTAATTTTTGATTGCAAACACCAGAAGAACATAAACTTTAGTAGGTATCAAAATCTCCGATTTCATGGTTTAACAGGGGCTTACCAGAATCTGGCCAAGGGTGATCAAAATCGCTAATTGGCAGTGTTAAATAACAGCAGCCTCACAGAAGTATGTAACAACCAATGCATAAACGCTGCCGAAAATTATTTAACACTTTGCAGGCCTTAAGAAACAGCAGCACAAAAGTATGCACCGTAAATTAAAGATCAGATCGAAACTTAAAATATGAAAGCAAAACCAATAAAAAAAATTAAAAACAAATATATTCGCTTTATATTTAATTATTATTTTTAATGTCGCCTCTTAGATATACATAAAATCTAAGCCAACACTTGAGTTAACTTAACTTCCCACTTTTTTAAAGTTTACACCCACAAAATCCAAACTAAAAAATACTTCTGAAAAATTAAAAATAAATAAATTAAAAAGGGATCCGTTACTCATTTCTATATAGTAAACTGTTCCAGAACCGTGCGTCGCGGCGGCTCCCCTGATTCCTGTCCTTCGTCGTAGTGGCTTTGCTGCATCCGATGGTTCTTGAGGGCCGTTCCCTGGATAAATCGCTCCCCACAGACGCCGCATTGGTAGGGCCGCTCGCCAGTGTGCCGACGAATGTGGAGGGTCAGATCGTTGGACTGCGTGAAGCTTTTCTCACAGTAGGTGCATTTGTATGGCCGCTCTCCGCTGTGGATGCGCATGTGCTGCTGCAGTTTGTAGGAACGGGCGAATCCCTTTTGACACACGGTGCACACATGGGGCCGTTCGCCCGTGTGCGTCCTCCGGTGGCACTGAAGGTCGGAGGATCGGGGAAAGGCCATTGTGCAGTACTCGCACTTGAAGGGCTTTTCGCCGGTATGGCGGCGCATATGGATAATCAGGTTGGAGGAGGAACTGACCGCCTTGCCGCAGAAAGCACACAGGAAGCGCTTGGGCTCCTTGGGCGATGTGGTTCTATTGGAGACCTTCACTAGGTTGGAGCCTTTGCCATCGGGCCCATGGAATTTCTTCGAGTGAGCCGTGAGACGATCTTTGCGGTTATATTTCCTTGGGCAAAGTCCACACTGAAATACCTGGCACTCAGCTTTTGGCTCATCTCCAGACACCTCCTTAGGTTCATCCAGATCTTGATCATCTGTCTTTTCATGTTGCAATTGCATGTGCTGCAGCAGGTTGGACTCCCACATGAACTTATAGCCACACCGAGTGCATTTGAACTGCTTCTCCCGATTTTCGCACTGAGTCTTCTTATGATGAAAAATTATTTCCGGGCAGACGCTTTTGAAGATGCACATGTCACAGCCGTCGGGAATCTTCTCCATTCGGTGCATTGCCTGCTGGTGTTGATGTAGCTCGAATTTGCGCGAACATCGCAGTTGGCACATACCGCAGGTGTAAAAATCAGGGGCTCCAGGTGGTTTTGAATGTGTCCTGCCATCTTCATCATCAGTCTCTGAGTCATCTAGGTCCATCTCGTAGCCCATTTGGTTTGTAATGGAGTAGTTTTGAAGTGAGGTGAGCTCGTGGTGACTTCCTGAGGGCATGGTTTCGAGGTGCAGACGCAAAGCTGCGATTGTGGGAAAGCTAACACAGCACACTCGGCACTCCACTTTTTTGCGACCCCCAGGATTCCCGTAGGAATCTAAAATTGCCTCCGCATAAGGCAATTGGCCAACACCTATTCCATGGCGCGCGATGTGCTGTAGAAGATTGGCCCAGCGATAAAAGCGACGGGCACACCAACGACACCTGAAAATGTTTGACTCCTGGGCGTGCATCAGTGTGTGGCGCGTGAGGTCCTTTTGCATTTTGAAGCTACGATGACACTCCCCGCATTCAAGGTTCCCATCAGCTTGAGAGAATTCATCTGGGTTTGGAATTTCGAATTGCTGATGGGATAAGTTCACGTGGAGCTTCAGGTTCTCCCGCCACCGGAAGCGAAGTGGACATTTGCGGCACTGGAAAACCTTCTGCGGATTGTAGCACAGTGTCCTAGAGTGATGATCAAGCAGAGATTCGTTGACGAACCTAACTTGACAATGGGAGCAAACAAGGAATGCTTCCTCAAACTTGTGCTCTTCCAGTTGGTGGGCAAACAATTCATGTTTTCTTCTTACAATCGTCGAACAGAGGTTGCAGGAATAGCTTCTTACTGATATTTTCTGCTCCTGATCGGATTCAGAATCAGTTTCACTACTGTCGAGACTTAGTTCTAGTCCCGCTTCGTTGGTGATTGAAATAAAACGATCCAACTCCAATCCTTTATCCACATCAGCCATAATTTTTCCGGCCAGAATATCTCTTTCTAAAGCAGTTTCTAGTTCCGGGTAAAAAGATTTTGAGGCACTGGGAATATCTCTTTCTGCGGACAAACTTAATCCGTATTGATGCGACTTTAGGTGGGTCCGTAGATCACTGATTTTTGAGTGGCGCGAGAGGCAGATCATGCACTGAATCAACTTGCAACCATGAGGTCGACTAAGCCGCGACAGAGCCATTCCTTCCACAACGTTGGCGGTGGTACGCTCTTCCTTGAGGGTCTCGGGTTCGCCGGCATGCACTTTTAAATGTGATTTAAGGCCATCTTTGCGGTGAAACTTGCGATGACAATGGGGACAGTCAAACTGGGCTGCCGACTGAGGTTGATGTAAACGCTTGTGACGGGTGAGGTCTTTGTGCCAGATAAATACCTACACAGAAAATTTAAGTTGTGCGATTTAAAAAATATGACTGATAGTATGCTTACCTTATCACATTCATCGCACTGAAGCTTGCTGACCGAATAACCTTGTTTGCCAGCCAGTGGCTCTTCATCTTTCTTTACGTCATGGTGTGTCCTCAGATGCTGCTCATAGTTTGCCTGCCACACGAATTGGAGACTGCAAATCTGGCAGTGAAAGCGAGAGTGTTTCTGGCCGCAGCTGCGCCTACGGTGTTGATGAAGTAGCGCTTTGTTTACGAAACCAGAACCACACTTTTCGCAAGAACATGGCAGATCAATGGATCCCTCAGAATGAATGCGATTTTGATGCTGCATTAAGGTCGTCAGGGTACTCGTAACTGCTCCACATAGCAGACAGGTATGAGAGAGATTCTTAGTCTCCTCATCGCTTTGTTCCGATTCAGAATCAAAGAGATCCAGCTCTTGGCCACTTTCCGTGCAGGCATTGTAATAACGATCGAAGTCCTGGACCTCGAAATCCTCACCAATGCGGGCGGCCAGATCCGCGGTAGTGCAGTCCAATCCATTAGGGTAAAACGAGCGAAAGAAGGACGAATTGAACTCCGGGTTAATGCCATTTAAATCCAATTGGTGTGTGGTTAAGTGAATACGAAGTCGCGCCAGGCTGGGTAGTTGAGCATCACACAAAGAGCACGATATTTGCCTGGGCGTTGTTTCCTCGCGGCTATGGGAACAGGCGTGTCTCTGAAGGTTTTCCGGCCACATAAACTTTCCAGGACACTTACGGCACCGATATCGCTTTATTTTGCTGTGGCAATGGGTTATCAAATGTTGATTGTAGAGTGTTAGGCAGAGGAAACCAATTTTGCAGAAACTGCAGCGTTGCCACGGAAGCGATGGGGACTGTGAGTGCTCCTCCAAGGTGTGTTTCACCAAGCGATGTTTGCGGCTGAAAGAGTCATTGCACACAAAGCAATTATATTTAGCCTCCAAGCTTTCACAATTATCATCTGAATCACTGAGTCCTAACTCATAGCCGTGAAAATTTACAACGCAGGCATATTTTTCTAAATGCCCTTCGGCTATGTTAGCACTGATCTGTTGCTTGATAATATCCAAGTCACACGGCAATCCAGAAAAATGCTCCCTGACCACATCACTATCCTTTCTCAAATTGACTAAGGTCTCCAAGTCCACGTGACTTTTTAGGTGACTTCTTAGCTCCTCTATTTGCTTGCACTTTAGCCCGCATAATTTGCACTCGATTTTTTTTAATCTGCCGGAGCTGTAAAGACGCTCGGCGAAACGCCACTCGTATCCGAGCTGAAGAGCCTTCCATTTGGCTTCTCGTTTCTTGTGGCAGCGAAGGTGGAACATGTACTTGTCCTTGCGCAGGAATCCCTTTCCACAGGTGTCGCACACGTAGGAGACCTTCTCGAAGTGAATCCTAGCGTGGCGCTGCATATCGCGGAACCACGAGAAAGTCTTTCCACATACTCCACAGGCGTGGCGGCCATCTGTGGTCATCGACTGGCTTTTGGCAGGACCAGGCGGACGTCCTCGACGGCGTTTGATGGGTGTTTCAGATTGTTCAGATGGTTTAGCACTGAGAAAAAAAGAATTTAGTTTTGAGATTTACAAGGCAATTGGAACAAAATGTAATATTTAAGACACTGGAGGAGTTAGACTTCGTCTGATTTATGTTAATAGCCAGTACAGCTAATATATGACAGCTATAACATAAAGTCATCCGATTTTGATAAAATGCAAGGTATTGCTTACGAAAAAGATGCTTGATCGTATCAAACACGACGTTTACTTACTCCTCCTTTTCGCTTTTCACTGGCTGCCTGACTTTCCGAGAGCTGCGTCGCAGATGATAGGGCTTATTATCCACTTCGTCCCTATAAGGAAATTTTATATTACCCAAGTTTCCTTGGAAAACTGAAATATACCTACTCTTCGCTTTCCGCTGCATCAGCGAAATCTGCATCGCTGTCGCTTTCCGGCCTCCACTTGAGCTCTAAGGCACCCATTCCGGTGGCGTCCACATTCACCGCGGACTTGTTGCCCTCATCGTCAAGGTCCACTTCGGTTTTTATGTAATGCTCCTGGGGAATATCGATGGGCATTTCATCCAGGCATTCCCTCAGGCGAGCCTGGAGCTCTCCATTGACTTTTCTGGCCTGCTCCACAAAGGCGTGGGCGTTCTTTAATCTTGTCCAGCAATCTGTGCAAAGATGCTGTGGTAGATTGTCTTCAGAGCTGTCCCGCTGGGCCTATAGTTCGATTTTTCAAGATATAGTTGTTTATAATTCCTAATTCATATATGATGTTTACTTACATCGATTTGAGTAAGTTCCTGGAGCACATCGTATAAACTTTTGGAGGCGTCTCTGTCCAGGCAAGTGGATAAGGGCAGTAAATTGTGGCTTTGCAGGGCACACGTTCGGCAAATATCTGATGGAAGCATTTTGCCGACAATTACCTCATTATTAACAATGGGAAATTGATAAAAAACTGGGCAAACCAATGAAAAACTTCCGGAGATCAAGGAAAATGCAACAAGAGCCCTTTTTTTAGGTGTGACCGTTGCGAACCCCAGCTGTTTACAATTGGAAGCCTTCGCTTTTCAACACTGTTGTCTCAGCTGTTTATTTGGCAGTTTTTATCAGACACTTTTCGCTATTGGATTTATCAAAGTTTAAACGAAATAAATGTTTAAACATGACTCGGACATGTAGGATATGTGGCGGCGACGACGGTCGCTACTGGATTGAAACGCCGGTGGAGAAATACGCGGAGAAGACCTTCGGCCAGCTGCTGCTCGAGTTAACGCGGATAGAGGTGGGTAAATTGTCCTTTTGTCAATCAATTGCCGCCCGCATTGATGTTAATTAAATTTAAATGATATTTAAAGGTGGCCATGGCGCAGGCGGAGAAGTTCCCCCAGTGGCTGTGCATTGGATGTGCCGAGAAGTTAGAGAGCACTTACGATTTTGTGCTGCAGGCGCGGCAGACGCACGAACTCTGGCTGCAAAAACTAGAAAACTCTGTAGATCGGATGGACGACATGGAAGGACCAGAGGCCTTGGAGTGCCTCCGCGAAACACCAATCCACCTGTTCGAAATAGAAGGCGTGACCATCAAGACCGAGGAGCTGGCTCCCACGCACCTGGTGACTAAGGCTGATCCTCTAGTGCGCTCGCGCTTTGTCAAACGGAGCATTGTGCACTTTAGCGACTCGGATGATGACCAGGACGATGTGCCCCTGCGTCAGCGAAAGAAAACTAGTTCACTCTGCGCCTCTGAACCGCCAAGGCAAAACGTTTGCGAACTGTGCAACAAGGCCTTTAGATATGTCACCAATCTGTATCGGCACAAGCAGAGGGATCACGGCCTTCCTTGCAAAAACGGAGAAGAGTGAGCTAATCTTCCTTTGAGTTAATATCCCCACCTACAAGATCTGTTTTCTACCTAAAGCTTTGATGATAACTATTACAAGTGCGACCAGTGCGACAAGTCCTACATATACGTGATGGCGCTTGTAAAGCACAAACACAAAGAGCATGGAGCTAGTCTGTTGCCCACCAAGATGTCCAGGAGAAAGTTACCCGGAAGGCCAACGGCATTGCCCGAGGATGGCTGCCCAACTAGTCCAGCCTCCACCTCTGGAAACTCCACTCATCGAAGCAGGACCAATAACGACACCCTCGTGCACAGCATTATCAAAGCAGTAGAGTAAGTCTATTGTTATTATTTATTATGCTGGTTCCAAATGTGTCTCATATTCTCAGTAGTTAAATTCCGCTCAGGAAGTCTATTGTATCTATTATTGTATTGTTCATAAATTACCTTCTTCCCGCATCTTTAGTATTCCATAATATCAACTGAATATTTTATTAATCTCTTTTACAGACTCTCGGATGAAGACGGGAACAGCAACGTGGATAATTACTACAAATGCGATAGCTGCAGCAAAAGCTATAAGTACATCGTGAGCTTGATCAAGCACAAACATAAGGAGCATTCGGACAAACAGACGGACAAGCATTCGGAGACAGAGGACGATCAGCCACTGCCCTCGACCTCCTCCGCGGCAGTTGCCCGAGCCGCCAAACCATCGAGGATTAACCGACGAGTCGATGGCTTCGATTACCATCGATGCGAGCCTAATGGCGCCAAGGAAATTAAATGTATGATATGTTTGCGACGCTTCACCAAATTGCGAGAGCTCAGGGATCACTTGCAGAAGCATCCCACTGACTTCGATTTTGAGGCGCATGGCGAGCCCATTGAGCGCATTGCGGAAGGTTTTTTTAAGACAGCCGTGGAGTCCACGACGGAGGGTTTGAAGCGGAGGATCTTTCGAGATCTCAGGATGGGTGTTTATGGACGCTACTATTCTATAACAAATCAAGCTCGTTATGAAATGACACTAGACAGCTCTGATACGGACAGCGATGGCGAGAGTGAGGAGGATGTCGTTATCCGGCGAAGCTATTCCTGCGAGCTATGCGACTCCCCGGAGACCAGGTGGCCGCGCAAGTATCTACTGCACCAGCACCACCGGAAGGAGCACACCTGGCTGGATGCGCCGCATGTCTGCCAGCGCTGTGACTCGCGGTTCCTCAGTGTTAGGTTGCTGGAGCACCACACAAGCCAGCTGTGCCAGAACACTCTGAAGCGATTCATGTGCGACAAATGCCCTCAACGTTTCTTTTGGCGCCGGAATCTTCGTGCCCATCTCGTCGAGCACAAAAGCAAGGTGAGGAGCTGTACAGATCAGAGGATAATAAGAAGCTATTTTTTAAGAACTACCACAGCATAAAATAATTTTTAATTTCCTTGTTCTCATTTTGTTTTTACTGCTTTATATCGAAGAATATAAGTGACATTTTTTCAACCAAATCTCAAGCACCAAAGAACCATAAGTTAATGGCTTTAATTTTTAGTTGTAATTGGGTTAAAAATCTTAAAAGGGGAAAAATAGTTTTCTGTGATTGGTTTTTAATGTATACCTTTTACAGCTAAGTTATAATTTAAATTGGGTAGGTAAAGGTCACTGGCTTTTATCAATTAAGAGACCAGGAGTAATTTCGTACATTTACAAAACTTTATGGGCTTGACAAAAATACGAAAAATTACTTACAAACCTTACTCTGATCCATATTTCAGCAAGAGACCTACCCGTGCGATCTGTGCTCCCGCAGCTTTCAAGACAAAAGCGCCGTGACCAAACACAAGCTAATGATACACCGGGATAGCAACATGCAGCTCTTTCCCTGCCGCTGGTGCACACGGACCTTCTACCGCCCTGCCCTGCTGTTCAAGCACCTACAGCGGCACGGATTTACTGGCCATGACCTGCCGCTGGCTGAAACTTTGCTGGCTGATGCGTCAAAACCGGCAGGGCCGAAGAGCATCCAGTGCAGGATGTGTGAGATCAAGTTCATAAGCGTGGCGGATTTGCGCCGGCACATATCCATGCAGGGACACAGCGATCAGCCTTCAGCCTACATGATCAGCACTGCAGCTGGATTTGAGCTGCTTCTTGAGGATACGGACGACAGTGATGAGGAAAGCTCTAATAGATCGTACACCTGCGACCTATGTGATATGATCTTCCGGCGCCGACGAGAGTTGAGTGAACACCAGTACTCGCTTCATTGTTTCGACAAGCTTCCTTATTCCTGCGACCACTGCATTTTCAAGACTGTGGATAAAGTAAGATATTTCTTAAACAGTTATGTTTCCCGTGCCTTTTTTAAATTCGTTTAATATAATCTACTTTCAGTACATGCTGGATCAACACCTTCGCACCCAATGTTTGAACAACGAGAAAAAGTTTGTCTGCTCGCGCTGTGGCTACAAGTTCATGTGGGAGGAGAACCTAACCCAGCACCTGGCCACCCAGCATCCCAAGCAACCTACAGTCTTAGAGCAGCAGCCACCGCTTAGGAGGAAGAGACGCTTCCGCTACCCGTGTCCCCACTGCTGGCGGTCCTTCGTTGTGGAGCCAAGCCTGCAGAAGCACATAAGGGACATGCACCTGGCCAAAAAAAACCCAGTCAAGAAGTACCTTTGCTCCCTATGCGGCCTGGAGTCGCTGACGCCCAACAAACTAAGCATCCATATGCGGCGTCACATGGGCGAGAAACCCTTCAAATGCGATCTCTGCGACATGCGCTTCACGGTACACTATGAGCTTAAGGTGCACCACCGGAGACACACCGGCGAGCGGCCCTACCAGTGCAACTTTTGCTCCAAGGACTTCGCAAGGCAGGACAAGCTGAAGCGGCACGTCCTAACCCACAACGTCAAATCGTAGGATAATGATTCGAGGACTAACTGATAAATAATGAATAATTCTAGGGTAATTTTCATTAAGATCTAAGTCTGTTGAAAGGACATTACATACACATTTTACTTTCTGACTTTTTCTTTGGCAAGCAAATCTACAGAAACCATATTTGAAATAGTTGATTTAAAAAAACGATTTGAATGACTTTAATGTGATTGGGTTCATAATTGGGTTTTATTTATTATTATTGTTATATTTCATTATAAGTATATTCCGAAAATGCTGCTTGCAAGTTGGAAAAGTCATTATATTAGGCACCATAAAAATTAAACGTCTTAATAGGTATTTCTAAATACATTTTCTCTCTTAAAAGTTAAGTTCACCTTTATAAAAGTAAGAGCACGGCCGTTAAGAGCGAGCTATAAAGAGCTTTTATTCGGTGAAACATTTTGTGGGGTCAGTAAGTACTTGAAAGGCATAAGTATCAGACGCTAGCGCATCTAAACAAAGATACTATCATGGCAGACCAAACAACACCGAAGTGGGTGAACCAAGAGCTTTTCAATGGGTTATTGGAACAAAATAACAAGAATTTCAAGGCGATACTAACATTTGTTCCCACATCGGCGATTAGTAAGGGCGAGAATTATTTGACGATCGTGCTACGTATACAAATTCAAATGCAGCTAAAAAGTGAGTAGGAACACCGAATGTCTCTTATCAAATGATTTACGAAAAGATTTAGATGACAGCACAGAAGATGTCAGCTTCATATTAAAGATTCCTCTGGTTCCGGATGATCAGGAAAACGATTTCCACGATATGTTCGATACCGAACTAAATATGTACGACCATCTGATACCAGAATTGGAGGACCTATATGCCAAGAACACTTCCCTGTCACCGAGATTCAAGCCGCTGCATTTTAAGTTTCCTGGGACTCCGGTTAAAAGCGACTACATTTTGTTGGAGGATCTGCGAAATAGGGGATACAGAAATGCTGACAGAATTCAGGGCTTGGAGCAGTTCGAAGTGGAGGCAGTGCTTAAGAAGTTGGCCCAGTGGCATGCAGCCTCTGCAAAACGAGTCGTTGAGCTGGGAGAGTACGAGCAGGGTATCCGCGAGAGTTACTTCACGACCGAACACCAGAAATTGTTGGATGAATTCAACATCAATTTCTGTATGCCATTCTTGGAGTGCATGCAGCAATATAATCTGAATCCAGGACAACTGGTTCTAATAGTAAGTTTACGCTAGTTTGTTAAACATTTTTATAACAAACAATTTATTTTTCAGAGCGACTACACATCGCGTTTGACGGATCTGAATATAGAGTTTGGTAGAAATGATTCTATGGAGTTGAGTGTCCTAAACCATGGAGACTTTTGGTGCAACAACTTTATGTTCAAGTACAAAGATGGTTCAGAGATTGAAGATGTTTGTTTCGTTGATTTTCAGCTGCCTAAATTTGGTAAACTAACGGATAGCCCCAAAAGAAATTTATTTAGTATATATATAATTTCATTATTAGGCACACCAGCCCAAGATCTTCTGTGTCTGCTGATGACCTCCCCCAAGTTCTCGATCAAACTGAATAAGTTCGATCATTTCATAGAGTATTATCACCAGCAGCTCGTCCATCATCTCGGTCTGCTCAACTACAATAGGAATGCTCCCACACTGGCTCAACTTCACACCCATCTGCACAGATATAGTCTCTGGGGTAAGACCTCGACCCGAAGCTTATTTCAGGGTGATTTTCAATTCAAACCCCTCGTACTTGCAGCTTTTATATGTGCTCAGCGTATGCTGCCTATAGTGCTGCTCCCGCCCGATGACGATTCGAATATAGGCAATATGATGGGAAACTCGGAGGAGGCAATAGCATTCAAGCGTAAGATGTTTCTCCTGCCGGCTTATGTGGATCAGATCAAGGTCATATTGCCTTGGCTCATTAACCGTGGTTACATAAGATAAACCGGAAATAACTATAAATAGATATAAAACAGAGCTCAAAGTGGAATAGAAGTATTAAAATGAGCAACTTAAAATAATCCAATGTAAAAATCCAAAAAAAACTATACAATTGGAATTATTAAAAAATATTCTAAAATTGCTTTATATCAGGTTGTAAAGATAATTAGAAATAATTTTCTCGTGAAAAAAAAACGTAATAATATTAGTATAGCTTTTAAGTAAACTCTATTTAACCGGGTTTCCGCTAAAATTGCTTGTTGTAAATGCAAAAAGCAGAGCTTTCGAGAGAAGATCGAAAGATAGCTGCCGCGCTCTTTGAAATTGTAAAAGCTCCCCACTGTATAGAAATATCTAATTCCCCGATTTTCGTCAGTCAACGCAACACCGCCAAACTAGGCGTATACGTGTTCTGTTCGTTTTTCAAATAGTAATCCCAATAATCTAAAATGGCTGCTAGTAAAATTCCCGATTGGTTCAGTGCGGAACTTTTCGAAGATGTACTCAAATCGAGTGTCGAGGGATACTCAAAAGTCAGAAGCTTCAAGGCGGAAAGTGGATCCGCGGCTGGGGACAACTACGCCACAATTATGCTGCGAGTTAACATCGAAGTGGAACTGCAAGGTGAGTTCAGGTGTTGGTTGCCAGATAGCCGTATTGATTTTGTATTTCTGGCGTTCAGATGGTACAACTAAACAGGTGTCGTACATGGTTAAGTTGCCACATCAGAACGATGTATACAAGGAAATGATGAAGCACACCAACATCTTCGAAATCGAGCGCACAATGTACAATGAGGTTGTTCCCGAGATGGAGGCTATTTACAGGGCGGCGGGTGTGGAGGTCACGTTTGGAGCCAAGAGCTACGATCTGAGGGAGCCAAGAGCTACGATCTGAGGGATGCCAAGAGCGAATACATAGCTCTAGAGGATCTGTGCACCAAGGGGTTTAAGAATGTCAACCGCCTCGAGGGACTAGATCAAGCGCATACGGAGAGAGTTCTCCGGAAGTTGGCCCAGTGGCATGCCGTAACCGCTGTGCGGATAGACACCAAGGGGCAGTATCCAGAAATCGTGCTGAAGGGCTTCTTCAAGGAGGAAAACAAGCCGATGATGAACGAAATGATGAACGGCATGGGCCAGATATTCCTCAAATGCTGTGCCACCTACGAAGGTAACGAGGCATACATAGAAAAAATCGTAAGTTGTAATTATTATTTTGAAGTCCATTGTTTCTTATTTAATCAAATTAGAAAGCCCTAAAACCAGTCGTAATTGATGAGATGTTCAGGTTGGGTGAGGTTGATCCTACGGATTTTAATGTGCTGAACCACGGCGATTCCTGGTCGAATAACATTATGTTCCAGTACGATGATTTTGGCCAGATCAAGGAGGTGTATATGGTCGACTATCAGGTATCGAAGTACGGATCTGTGGCTCAGGACTTGCTCTACTTCCTAATATCTTCCACGAAGCTGGAAGACAAGTTGAGCAAATTCGACTACTATATTAAGGTGTACCATGATAATCTGGTGGAGCACCTCAAGATCCTGAAGTACTCCAAGCCAGTGCCAAGTTTGCGAGACATTCACAAAACGTTGTTCAAGTATGGTCTTTTTGGTGCGTATATTTTAGAATACCAGTCTAACCTTATATTTTAACTGAGATTTTACTGATTTATTTTCCAGCATACTCCGTGGCCACTGGTGTAATGGCAGCTGTCCTTGTTGATCCAACAGAAAACGCCAGTTTTGAGAACTTTGTTGGCGACTCCGCCGAGGGAGTGGACTTCCAGATGCAAATGTACAACAATGCCCGATACCGAAAACACATTCAGGCAATCCTGCCCTGGCTGCTTAATCGCGGCGCCCTGGATATCAATTAGAAAATGAATTCCCGCAGGAAACGCTCAAATCCGTTATTGTGGCTCATAGAGCTCGGAACCAAGTATTAAAATAAATAAAATATAGACAAAGACTTTTATAAAGAGTTTATTTTCAAAACATCAACATGTTACCTCTCCAATACCAAATAAATAGTTTTTAATGTACTTATACTGAAAAAGTATAAGTCATAATTTTCAACTAATTTTATAGAATGAAAAACGTTCTACATTGACATAGCAAAACTTGTTTGGGTTGGGAGAGAACTAGTTAAAGTACAATTAGCAAAGCTTGTTAGGGAAGACTGAGAAAAAGCCCGTATTCTATAAACTTATGAAAGCTCACCGACAGATATAAAACCATTGATCCTCCCTGCGTATCGTCAGTCAACTCACTCTAGAGCAACTAGGCGTATACTTAATTTACGTATTATTATAGAATAACGTCTATCATGGCTAGTAAAATTCCCGATTGGGTCACTGCAGAGTTATTCGAAGACCTTCTCAAGGCGAATGTTGAGGGGTTTTCAAAAGTCAAGAGTTTCAAAGCAGATAGTGGATCTGCTGCGGGGGAAAACTATGCCACCATTATGCTTCGAATTAACATCGAAGTGGAACTACAGGGTAAGTCAAGGGGGGCGGAGTTCGAGGACAAAGTCTGATTTCCCTCCCTTAGATGGCAAATCGAAACCAGTGTCTTATATGGTCAAGTTGCCTCACCAACTGGAAATGTTCCAGGAGATGATGAAGCGGACTAACATCTTTGACATTGAGCGCTCCATGTACAATCAGGTTGTTCCCGAAATGGAGGCTATTTATAAGGAAGTGGGTGTGGATATCACTTTCGGCGCAAAGAGCTACGATCTCAAAAATGCCAAGACTGATTATGTGGCCCTTGAAGATCTGGGAGTCAAGGGATTCAAGAATGCAAACCGTCTGGAAGGACTCGATCAAACGCACACGAAGAGAGTTCTCCGAAAATTGGCCCAGTGGCATGCAGCATCGGCCGTGCGAGTGGCCACAAAGGGTTCATATCCTGATGTCCTTTTACATGGCTTTTTTAAGGAGGAAAACCGTCCGATGATGACTGAAATGATGAATTCAATGGGTTCGAATTTTGTCAAAAGCTGTCCCACTTACGAAGGTTATGAAGTGTTTATAGACAAAGTCGTAAGTATTTAGTACTTGAAATTTATAATCGGTTTAATACGCCTTTAATTATTTTATATCTTGTTAGAAAGCTCTTCAGCCAGTGTTTATCGACAAAACGTTCGAAATCGCCAAGGTTGATCCCTCGGAGTTCAATGTGCTTAACCACGGCGATTCCTGGTCGAATAATGTTATGTTCCAATATGATGCTTTTGGAAAGATCAAGGAGGTCTATTTGGTCGACTACCAGATCCCCAAATATGGATCCGTTGCCCACGATCTGCTCTACTTCCTGATATCTTCCACAAAGCTAGAAGACAAACTTTCAAAATTCGATTACTATATCAAGGTATACCATGAGAACCTTGTAGAACACCTGAAGATTCTGAAGTATTCCAAGCCGATTCCCAGTCTGCGAGACATTCATTTGGCGCTCTTCAAATATGGCTTTTTCGGTAAGTGTTTTAAGTTATTATTTTTCTGATAAAATACATTTAAACTATTTTCCCAGGCTATACCGTGGCTACTGGTGTGATGGCCGCCGTTCTCTTAGACCCCACGGACACTGCTAGTTTCGAGAACTTTGTGGGTGATACTGATGCGGGTGTGGCCTTCCAGATTCAGCTTTATAACAGTCCCCGGTTCCGCAAACACATTCAAGAAGTTATTCCCTGGCTCTTAAATCGAGGCGCGTTGGACATCTAAAACTGCATATTTTCCAATTTTCACAATAAATAACCAACGTTGAGTCAGAAATAAATGCGACCACATGATAGTGTTATCTGTAACTGCGTGCGATAGTGGACACAAGTATTAATAGCGAGTTCAATTTGAACTAACCAATTCATGTATTTCGTGGGGATAAGGGTTTCCCGTATATGGAAGTAAACAAAACTTCAAAATACAAGACTAACCAGCCCATCAAAACAAAACATTGTGAATCACTCTAAAGTAGTTAACAACACCACTTTACGATGGATGTTTAAACACAAATTATACTGTTTGGGGAGTTCGTGAGCATACAAATGATAATACGGAGAGAGAATACGACTATTATAGCACCCGAAAACCATATATGGTCACAAGAGAGTGTAACAAAACAAAACTCCAACCGCATTAGGTTGAAAAGCGTATCTTCTCGGCTCTCCTAATGTTTGTATCTCAATATTTTATCATACAAAAAAGAACCAGTTATAATGCTGAAAACGATCTCACTTTTATGTGAAAATATGTATACGGTCGTATTTTATTAAATTGTACCAAACCAATTGTTTTAAAAGAAATTTTTAAAAATGAACAATAAATGGTTTTAAATTGAGGTTTTAAAAAAATTATCTTGCTATAATTATTTCTTGTGTTTATATAATTAAATCTAAATGTCGCAGATAAACTTAGTTGAAGACTATTTCTTTATGCAGTTCATCGAAACAACCACAGTGTTTCAACATTTATCCACTTTTGTTTTGTGTACCTTTCTCACTCCATTTATGGGCAAGTTGGCTCACAATAAAAACTTTTTTTGAGAACGGAATAAGTCATATGCATTAACATAAGTTTTGGGTCGTAGCTCTTTGCGCCGAAAGTGATACCTCTACCAACTTCCTTATATAGCCTACATTGCACGATGTTCTAAAATATCAATAAAAAATATTGGACTGCAACGGCCCACACTGACATGGCAAATATTTGATAGAGAAAAAAATTACTGAGAGCATTTCAGTTTGATAAGCTTGTGAGAGAAGACTGAGGAAAAGCCGTGTTGTTTCCTAAAACTGAGTAATGAAAGCTCCCCCACGATTGATATAAAACTATTGATCCTACATGCCTGGCCTCAATCAACACACTCTAGACCAACTAGGCGTATACTTGTTTAAAGTAATATTATAGAATACAAAATAACAAATATCTACTATGGCTGCTAGTAAAATTCCCGGTTGGGTCACGGCTGAGTTATTCGAAGACCTCCTCAAGGCGAATGTTGAGGGGTTTTCAAAAGTCAAGAGTTTCAAAGCGGATAGTGGATCTGCGGCGGGGGAAAACTATGCCACCATTATGCTTCGAGTTAACATTGAAGTGGAACTACAGGGTAAGTCAAGGGGGCGGAGTTCGAGAATAAAGTCTGATTTCCCTCCCTTAGATGGCAAATCGAAACCAGTGTCTTATATGGTCAAGTTGCCTCACCAACTGGAGATGTTCCAGGAGATGATGAAGAGGACTAACATCTTTGACATTGAGCGCACCATGTACAATCAGGTTGTTCCCGAAATTGAGGCTATTTATGAGGAAGTGGGTGTGGATATCACTTTTGGCGCAAGGAGCTACGATCTCAAGAATGCCAAGACTGATTATGTGGCCCTTGAAGATCTGGGAGTCAAGGGATTCAAAAATGCAAACCGTTTGGAAGGATTCGATCAAGCACACACGGAAAGAGTTCTCCAAAAATTGGCTCAGTGGCATGCAGCATCGGCCGTGCGAGTGACCACAAAGGGCTCATATACTGATATACTTTTAGATGGCTTATATAAGGAAGAAAACCGTCCGATGATGACTGAAATGATGAAAGGAATTGGTTCGAATTTTGTCAAAAGCTGTCCCACCTACGAAGGTTACGAAGTGTTTATAGACAAAGTCGTAAGTATTTTGTACTTGAAATATCCAATCAGTCTAATGGGCCTTTAAACCCTTTTTATTGTTTTATTTCTTGTTAGAAAGCATTACAGCCTGTGCTTATCGATAAAATGTTCGATTTCGCCAAGGTCGATCCCATGGAGTTCAATGTGCTTAACCACGGCGATTCCTGGTCGAATAATATTATGTTCCAATATGATGCTTTTGGAAAGATCAAGGAGGTCTATTTGGTCGACTACCAGCTCCCCAAATACGGAACCGTTGCCCAGGACCTACTCTACTTCCTGATATCTTCCACAAAGCTAGAAGACAAACTTTCAAAATTCGATTACTATATTAAGGTATACCATGAGAACCTTGTAGAACACCTGAAGATTCTGAAGTATTCCAAGCCGATTCCCAGTCTGCGAGACATTCACTTGGCGCTCTTCAAATATGGGTTTTTTGGTAAGTGTTTTAAGTTATTATTTTTTTTCTGATAAAATACATTAAAACTATTTTTCCCAGGCTATACCGTGGCCACTGGTGTGATGGCCGCCGTTCTCTTAGACCCCACGGACACTGCTAGTTTCGAGAATTTTGTGGGTGATACTGAAGCGGGTCTTGCCTTTCAGATGCAGCTTTTCAACAGTCCCCGGTTCCGCAAACACATTCAAGTGATTATGCCCTGGCTCCTAAATCGAGGCGCGTTGGACATGTAAAACTGCATATTTTCCAATTATATTTCACAATAAACAATCAACGTTAAGTCAGAAATAAATGCGACCTCGTACTAGCGTTTTCTGTATTTGTGTGCGATAATGGCAACGAGTATTAATAAATGAAAAACTTTGAACGATAAACGGATTCAATCGACTAAGCATGAAAAGTATATTTCTAGAGAGTAAGCGGCTATGATCACAGCCTAAAAATGATCGGTGTAGATTGAACTTAATAGTTTAATAGTAATAACACTGCACAAATAAACTGTAGAACCAGAACTCATTATGTGATATAGACGTCCGATCATTTCTCATTTTCCTTAGTTTTTATATTCAAGACAATAGCTACTTTCAAGGCTTGTCACATAAATTACGTAGAGTAAGGGTGCTATATAACACATACCCCCTATAAAGTCATAGGCGAAACCGTTAGCAAAACAAAACTAAAAACAAAAGCTTCAAAAGTTTCTATTTTTATTATTATTTATAGAGATACATATATGTTGATTGTTTTGTTTACTCACAACAAAATACCTTTATGACACGACACTTTTATACAAATAGACTAAAAAAATCTGCACGTGCCAGTTGTTATCTAAAACATTTCACTGATAATTTAGATTCTATTTTATTTCGCACACTGATATGTATTTATAAAAATTAAAAATAATAAAATTAATATTTTTTGTTTTGCATAGGTTTAAATAGTGTATTGTTAAAGCTAAAGTACAGCTTTAATTTTTAATCTTCCGGTTATATTCCTTAAACTTAAAATCTCTAGCTCAAAATAAAAATGTATTGTGGTCCAGCCAAACTAGTATGTTCATACATAAGCACTGTCCCCGCGATTAAAGTGGGAAAACGTGCATTGTCAGGTTGCAATAAAGACTGTTTGTGGGGATTGAGATAATGTTTATCTCCCCCATCGCAGATCTACATACATCAAAGCTATAATAGGGGGCGCGAGCTAAAAAAGTTCCCAGTACGTGCCGTGAAGTCCAATAGATTTAGCTAAATATGCCGCCGCAAACGAATGACGAAGAAGTTGGCCAGAGTGATGTCCAAATTCCCGACTGGGTTAAACCGGAGGCATTTCAGGATCTACTCAAAAATAAAGTTAAGGATTACAAGAAAACCAAAGCGCTGAGGGCCAAGGCAGGAGTCGCTGCTGGTGAGAACTATGCCACCATAATGCTGAGACTGGAACTTGATGTGGAGACAAAAGGTGGGTTTATTATCGCATTCTATGGAGTACATACTATATACCTAACAATAATATTTTTAGACAATTCCCAGTTTACCAAGGCCTTTATGTTGAAAACGCCCCACCAGTCTGGGGCTTGTCGAAAACTTCTCGAAACAAACAACATCTTTGATGTGGAGCGCGGAATGTATCTGGAAGTCGTCCCGGAACTGGAGCAGATGTATCGGGATGTGGGTGTGGAGGTGAAATTCGGGGCAGAGGCCTACGAGATAGAGGCCAGCGACTACTACGTTCTTTTGGAGGACCTCAAGCCTCGGGGCTTCAAAAATGCTGATCGCCTTCAGGGTTTGGATCAAGCCCACACCGAAAATGTCCTGAAAAAATTCGCCCAATGGCATGCGGCCTCTGCAGTTCGTGTGGAACTCAAAGGACCCTATAACGAGAAGTACACAAAGGGTTTTTTCGAAACCAAAGAAATCATGGATACATTTTGCAAAAGCAGTACTAAAACTCTTCTGAAACAAATCGATCAGTATGAAGGTCATGAGGCATACGTAAATGATTTGGTGTGTAAACTATAACTTAGTAACATTTTATTTGAGTCTTATCTTTTAACATCTTCCTACAGCACAGTGTCTCAGAAAAGTCATTTGATATTGTGAACGATTTGATGGAACCGAAATCTGATGAATTCAATGCCCTGAACCACGGTGATGGATGGTCTAACAACATTATGTTCCAGTACAACGACAAGGGCGAGATATTGAATACTTACTTTGTTGACCTACAACTACCCAAGTGGGGAACAGTGGCACAGGATTTGTACTACTTTCTGCTTTCGTCAACTAGCTTGGACATCAAAACCACGAAATTTGATTATTTTATTTGGTTCTATCACTCTGAGTTGATTAAGCATCTCAAACTGCTGAATTACTCAAAGACATTGCCCACTTTAAGGAATATTCGCGATGCTCTTAACAAATACAGTGGATGGGGTAAGTTGACGCATTCCGACTTCTCAAATAACTAATAACAAATAACTAAATTCACAGCTTTTTTGTGCAGCGCCTGCGTAATGGCATATGTTCTTCTGGATCCCACAGACGGTGCTGATTTAGATAAAATCATTTCAGCGGAAGACTCTAGTTTTAGGGATTCCCTTTACACCAACCCCAGATACCGAAAGCATATGGAGGTACTTATGCCATGGCTACAGCAGCGAGGGGCCCTGGGATAAAATTTTCAAAATCAATCAATACTTAAAAAAAAAATGTATTTGTGTTATTGTTTAATTTAATTTGTTACTGGAATGAATCAATAAATAAATGAAAAAATTCTGATGCTACACACAAAAATATCTAAGTATTCTTTACAAAAAGTATTTAATTAATATAATTTAATTACATTTTGTACCGATGTGACAATTTGACCAACAAAAGGATTGCATTATCAAACAATGACAGACCCTCCACGAACCCATTTTTGTTATCGCATTTTTAAGAGTTTGCTGACTATTACGTTATAGATAAGGTTATCACTTCCATCGAAATTAATTTATTTATTATCGTTACATATTACACTTTTAAAATATTGCATAATAACGTTATTACTTACAAAATTGGAAATTAAACTTACGCAATAATCATTTTCCGGATTGCATAAAACTATATTTGCTTAAGATATAGCTTGTGTTTGGTGTGAGAGATCAGCTGTTCATCAGGTGGATAATTTGGAATAAATAAATAATCTTAAGCTTACAATTAGTTTAGTATTCTACCAGTATTTCACAACTGCTCTGTCATGATGAGAATTTAATACGCAGATTGTTTGATTGAGTGACAGACACACCCACTCAGAAAATGTGCAACTATCTGCCTTGTCACTTTTGCACAAACGAATTTAAAACAGTTTACTGACTATAAGGTAAGAGATAAGGTTTATAGCACAATTCGTTGCATATTTCTCACGAGAGTATTTAAAATATGTGCTTAGTACGCATAGCGTTCAGTTAGTCTGCTACAGTCAACGAGATTATTTGAAAATGCCGTCCAAGACGAAGGATGAAAATAGTAGCCAGATACAAATTCCAGACTGGGTTAAGCCGGAAGTGTTTGAAGATGTCCTTAAAAGAAAGGTCAAGGATTATAAGGAGATCAAGTCGATGAGGGCTGAACCAGGTGTCCCTGCTGGCGAGAACTACGCCACCATAATGCTTCGAGTGGAGCTGGATGTTGAGACAAAAGGTTTGTTTTTAAATCCTTTGGTTAACTAATTTAACTAGTACTTTTACTGGTATAAATTGAAGTGGGATTTTAATAAAACATTTTGTATTTGTTCACATACAAAACTATATTTTTTTCCCAGATAAATCCCAAACAACCAAGGCCTTCATGCTTAAAACTCCTCATCAATCCGAGAAGTACCGCAAAGTTATTGAAAAAACGGATATGTTCGATGTGGAGCGTGGAATGTACTTGAAAGTGGTTCCCGAATTGGAGCAGCTTTACCGCGATGTGGGTGTGGAGGTGAAGTTCGGAGCAGAGGCCTACGAGATAGAGGCCAGCGACTATTATGTCCTGCTGGAGGACCTTAAGCCTCGAGGTTTCAAGAATGTCAATCGCCTTGAAGGCATGGACCAGGCTCATACTGAAAGTGTCCTAACAAAATTTGCCCAGTGGCATGCGGCATCTGCTGTCAGAGTTGATAGGAAAGGTCCTTACGAGGAGAAGTACACGCATGGTTTCCTGAAGAACGAGGAAATTGTGGATGCCTTCTGTAATCGCAGTGTGAAAATTTTCCTGAGTCACGTGGATTTGCGCCCAGGCTATGAGGCTTACTTAAAGGATTTGGTGGGTAAACATATGTTTTCTTATCTGTGTCTCAGTATCTTATCTCCTATTGTTCGCTACAGCATATTGCGTCTGACAAAATATTGGACTTTGTGGAAGAACTAAGTAATCCGAGTCCGGACGACTTCAATGCCCTGAACCATGGCGATGGTTGGGCCAACAACATTATGTTCCAGTATAATGAAAAGAACGAGATAGTTGATACCTATTTCGTCGATCTGCAATTACCCAAGTGGGGATCAGTGGCCCAGGATTTGTACTACTTTCTCCTGTCGTCTACAAGTTTGGATGTCAAAATATCCAAATTTGATTACTTCATTTGGTTTTACCACTCTGAATTGGTTAAGCATCTCAAACTGCTGAATTACTCCAAGACTTGGCCAACTCTAAGGAGTATTCGCAATGATCTTAACAAGTATAGTGGATGGGGTAAGTTTCCGCTTGATTACTTTTACTTATAGTTACTATAAATAAGTTTATATTCCAGCTTTCGTCTGCGCCTCAACCATAATGCCGTATGTTCTGCTGGATCCAGTAAAAGGCGCTAATTTTGAAAAGGTCCTTGGGGATAATGACTCCAGCTTCAAGAAATCGCTGTACTTGAATCCCAGGTTCCACAAGCATATGGAAGTCCTCTTGCCTTGGCTGCAATATGGAGGTGCTATGGAATAGAAGTTCGGGATACATATTTCTACAAGCAAATCAGTTAAAAACTTCCTAATAGATAAATATTTAAATGTATTTAGGAAATCAAGTATTTTATTACATTTGTGAGTGCTACATTTAAAGATAAGATAGATTCGTTTTCTTGTCTAATAATAAATTTCACCCAATGAATTGTTTTTGTTTAACTGCTAATCGATAGAGAATTCTTTCATGGGTCATTTGAGTGTAAGTTTTATTGGTAAACAGAATGCCCATAGTTGGTTTTATATACATACATGGCAATATATATGTATGTACGAATGTCTCATTCGGGAACTTTGAAAACAAGTTGTTTGGGGAACTCTTATTAGCCGGCACTCTCTGTTTATTCTCGCCACAAGCTTTCAAAGCTTTCTGATCGGCCTTTGTTTAACGGAGAGAATAATACAAATATGTTTATATTTCGTGGCCACCAACCGGCGAATCGACATTCAGTTTATTTATAATGTCGGAAGAGATTAGTTCGGTTACACTGCCCGCCTGGTTGAAGGCAGACCTATTTGAAAAATTGCTTAATGAGCGATTTGGCAATAGATATGTGGGAATCAAGGCCTTCAAGCCGGTGGCTGGTCTCAAGCCGGGAGAAAATTACTCCACCATTATGCTACGCCTCCACTTTGAAGTCGAACTGAAGGGTGAGTCACTGATATGCGAAACAATGACGAGATTCACCAATTTTCCGTCACTAGATCACGCCATTGAAAATGTGAGCTATATGCTGAAGACGCCGCATGATTTCGAGTTGTACCGCGAGATCCTGAAGAAGAACAACATGTTTGAGGTGGAGCGAGATGTATTCCTGCAAGTGAAACCCGAGCTGGAAAATATGTACAAGGATGTCGGATTGGATGTCACGTTTGGAGCCAAAGCCTATGATATCGACGTTCCCGATAATTACGTCCTGCTGCAGGACCTAGGTCCTTTCGGTTTCAAGAACGTCGATCGCCTGGAGGGTCTGGACACGGCCCACACCAAAAGTGTTCTGAAGAAGATGGCCCAGTGGCATGCGGCCTCGGCCAACAGGATTCACCTCAAGGGTCCCTACACCCAGAACTACTTGCAACCCACATATGCCGATACTATGAAGGAAAACATCGAACAGGTAGCGGAAACATTGGGAAAATACCTGCTCAAGTGTCTTCCTCTTTACGAAGGTTTCGAGGAGTACAGCGAAGCGGTGGTAAGTAGTTCCAACCTTTATTTTAAAGTCCTTCTATGTAAAATTGGTATTTAATTATTTAATTTGATAAAAGTTTAAACAAGGCCATCGTCCATGACCATTGTTTATCTGATTTTTGCAGCACAAGATCCAGCCAAAGATTGTGGACCTCATGTATGATATGAACAAGCCCGATCCGGAGGATTTCAATGCGCTGAATCACGGAGATTGCTGGACCAACAACATTATGTTCAGGTACGAGGGTGAATGCCCCGAACCAGCCGAAACCTATTTTGTGGACCTTCAGTTGCCCAAAGTGGCCTGCGTGGCCCACGATCTGATTTATTTCCTCCTCGGTTCGACGAAGTTCGAAATTCAATTGAGTCAGTTCGATTACTTCATCAAGTACTATCACGACCATCTAATCGAGCACTTGCGATTGCTGAAGTACCCCGAAGCCAAGACCCCCTCGCTGCGATTCCTGCACACTCAGCTGCTCAAATATGGACGAGTTGGTAGGGTGAAAAGCTCTTTCCGCAAACTTGCAGATAATAATATTTTTGTTTTATTATTTCTAGGGTATCACACTGTCCTGATCCTCTGCCCGCCTGTGCTGCTCGATCGCACCGAGGATGCCAATTTGACCGATTTCGTCACAGAGTCGGATAATGGCGATGGTCTCAAGATGGCTATGTACTCCAATGCCCGCTACAAGAAACACGTTAGCGCCATTCTCACCTGGCTCAACAATCGCGGCGCCCTTCAGTAACTTGAATCACTTTATACCTCAAAGTATTTAGTTTTCCTGTGGCATTCGCTGATATGATAATGCTACTCAAAAAAGATTTTGTACGCTCTCTATATAAATAAATATTTTGATATAAAACAAGAAATTTCTTTAATTTAAGCCACAATCATTTAGAAGAAAGCCACTTTAAAATCGGATGTCTGTAAGAAAAGTTGTGGGCTTGGAAGTGCATGTTTTATATCGTTTTTTGACGAAAAATCGACCTAAAAATACAAACCAAGTTGAAAACACAGTTTTTTATAGGATTAAGCCACAATCATTTAGAGGTATGCCACTTTGAAATCGGATGTCTATGACAAAAGTTATGGACTAAGAAGTGCAGGTTTTAGGTCACTTTTCTGCAAGGCCATTTTTCGAAAATTTGGTAAGGGGTAACACTATAAAAATGATGAAAAATCGACCAAAAACTACAAACCAAGTTGAGAACACAGTTTTTTAGATGATTAAACCACAATCATTTAGAGGTATGCCATTTTGAAATCGGATGTCTGTAAGAAAAGTTATGGGCTAAGAATGCAGGCTTTGGGTCACTTTTCTGCAAAGCCATTTTTCGAAAATTTGGAAAGGGGTAACACTATAAAAATGATGAAAAATTGACCAAAAACTACAAATCAAGTTGAGAACACAGTTTTTTAGATGATTAAACCACAATCATTTAGAGGTATACCATTTTGAAATCGGATGCCTGTAAGAAAAGTTATGGGCTGCAAAGACATTTTTCGAAGATTTGGAAAGGGGTAAACACTATAAAAATGATGAAAAATAGACCAAAAACTACAAACCAAGTTCAGAACACAGTTTTTTAGATGATTAAACCACAATCATTTAGAGGTATGCCACTTTGAAATCGGATGTCTGTAAGAAAAGTTATGGGCTAAGAAGTGCAGGTTTTGGGTCACTTTTCTGCAAAGCCATTTTTCGAAAATTTGGAAAGGGTAACACTATAAAAATGACGAAAAATCGACCAAAAAAACAAAACAAGTTGAAAACACAGATTTTTAGATAATTAAACCAGTATCATTTAGAACTATGCCACGCTTAAATGGGATGTCTGTAAGATAAGTTAGAAGTGGTTTAAATTTGGAATAAATTTGTCGTGAAATTTAATTTTGAAAGTAAGCGTTGAAACTTTTTAGGCTTGGCATTATTGGATATGCAAAAGTAAATTCAACAACTGTGAAAAAAAAAGTATTTTAGTTGTCCCGTTAAAACTCAATTACTTGCAATCGAAAAGCCAAATTGGGTCTTGTTTGTATTTATATTTAGTAGGATTACTAATGATAATTTACGGAGTGGTGCTCGTGAAAATGAGGGAGGCGGTCTATCTAACTTCCCATCACATGTCACGCCCGCAAACAGCAATTAATGAGGAATCACGAAATAATTAGAACGAATAGCGAGCGCAAAGAGGAACGCAATTGCCTGATAAAGAAGTCAAATCAGAAGTGGAAACAAGAAACAGTTTTCGTTATCAATCAAACAATTGACGGCGCTCGCCTTCATATCATATATCACATCACCTCTCGCTCTGGCACACTATCTCTTTCCCGCTCTCGCCACCGCCAATTGCCACTCTTTTTGCCGGTTTTGGCGAACTGAATTACAAAATAAACTTTAATCGAATGCATGCGATAAGGAATTTCTTTTCCCATAGCCTAATCGGGGCAATAGCGCTGGTGCCGAGTGTCGCACTTCGTATTTCCCATTCGACAGTTGCCCGGCCTGCAGTCCATCTATCAGCACGAATCCCGCTCCGATTACCAATTAAGGAAAAAGGTTTGCTACCGATGTGTATTTTCCCAAGATTGGCAACACAGTCCCGATTCGAGGGAACCAATCTCTGACCAACAGAGTGCTATAAAAACGTAGCTCGGATTGGAGAAACTCTAGTATACAAAATAAAATTGTGGTGAAAAGGGCAAATTAAAGTGAAATTCATTGACAAACTGAGTTCAATGAGAAAGAGTTCTCTCACGTGAAGTTTTCTCTTATTAACACACAGGTAGGATTCCCCGAAATCTATGTCGTAATGGACAAAAACTCACAGCAGGTGTTTCATTACCGGACATGTGATCTGATTTATGATTTTTGTTCATTAAATAGCGATATTTCTGATAATTGCCTAATCATTGAAAGCCCCACAAAAGTTCGGTAATTACCGTCATTGAAATGAGCTCGATTTGTTAAATCACGTATTCGTAAATATATTGATAATGGCTTGCAGGGATTTTCCTATGAGCAGATGTATTTCCTGTAAAATTATTGTAATACAATTTTTTAACCCAACTAACTGCTATTAAAAAGGAATCCGAGATTATCAGCAATTTTTCAAGTATTAAAAAACATACTTGAAAGGGAATTAGTAGGTCCGTTTAATAGCTTGAGTCATATTCTTAATGAAAAATATTTTTCACAATGAAATTAAGGTAATATATTTTCTGAGATAACCATGACTATTTGTAGATCATTATTTAATAGAAATCTGTTAAAAATTTATTTAAAACGATAATATCACTTTTTACTGCAGCAATAAGTGTACTTAACTTTATTAAAGATAAAGTTGTTAGCCTCAAATGATGCAATTTCTGGGCTGGGCCCAGAGAAGAACGCATTTTATTATTCAAATATTCCGGGCATTCCATAGAAAACGCAGGGCGCCACCTATGTTTGACAATGGTCTAATAATCGTTATGTATACGACCTGTTAGCCATGTTTGCATCGTTTTATCAGATAGATGTTGGTGTTGACTAAACATTTTTTCTTCAAATAAATAAATCGCATTCCCTTATTCTAGATTCATTATGTCGGAGGCCACCAATGGGAACGGCGAGTTGCCAGCCGAAAGCCTGCCAAAATGGCTGCCCAATATTACTTTGGAGAAGGCGGTACAGGCTCAGATCGGGGACTTTGAAAGGATCATCTCGGTTAGCCCCCAAAAAGGCAGCAGCGAAGGCGAAAACTATTCTTCTCTGTTCCTTCGACTGCTGGTAGAAGTGGAGCTGCTAGGTAAGTGAATGGTTTCTATATAAATATTAAATAAGGAACTCATTGGACAGATTATTAATCTTAACATTATTCCTCACAGATCACAGCACCAAAAGCATTTCCTTCGTTCTGAAGGCCCAGCACAACAACGAGGTGATGGCCGCCATCCTGGCCAGGCTCAAGCTTTTCCAGAAGGAGGAACTAATGTACCACAGCATTCTGCCCAAGTTCGAGAAGCTCTACGCGGATGCCGGCAAGCCCATTCAGTTTGCTCCCCGCGCCTTCAAGGTGGATCGCGATCTCGGAGTGGACTACATTCTGCTGGAAGATCTGCACCGCAAGAACTTCAAGAATGCCAATCGCTTGACCGGTCTGGACCTCGATCATATGCTGAAGGTCCTCGAGAAGCTGGCGGCCTTCCATGCCGCATCCGCCTGCTACGTGGAGCACCACGGACTTTTTGGGGAGGAGTTCACGGTGGGCGTGTTCAGTGAAGCCAACCGCCAGCTGCTGCAGGAGTTCAATGCCTCTGGTGCCTTTTTGGCCCAACTCAAAAAGTGGAAGAATGCCCAAAAACTGTACGAAAAGTTGGTGAGTCATCGGTATTTTGTAAGGAATGTCGAAATAAATCAATCATGTCCATAACAAAATTATCGAAATAAGGTAATCTTTCTACACCTTTTTTTCTTCAGAAAGCAATTTGCTATTTAATTAATTATAAATGAGCTTATGAGCTTATAGCTAATCATTAATTCATTTCACAGGCTGACAGCGATGACTACTTGGTGGATCGCCTTCTGCAGGATCAGCAGTACAATGCCAGGGAATTCAATGTCCTTAACCACGGAGACTGCTGGGCCAATAACATAATGTTCCAGCACGATGCATTTGGAACCATTAAGGAGACCCTGTTCGTGGACTTTCAAGTGGGAAAGTACGGAAGTCCGGTATGCACATCACATATAAATCAATATCTATAATAATTAATATCTTAAACTTTTCTCTAATAGGCCAATGATCTGTACTACCTAATCCTGTCTTCGGCTGCTCCCGAGCTGAAAACCGCCAAGTTCGACTATTTGGTTCGCTACTATTTCGATAATCTTGTCGAGAATCTGAAGCTGCTGCAATACCACCGCCCACTGCCCAAGTTGAAAAATCTGCATGCAGCCCTCTTTCGCAACGGATTGGCTGGTGAGTAATGCGACCTTGAACTTGGAAACCGTGTTTATAACGCTCTGTCAACAGCCTATATGGTGGTATCCAAGGTGCTGCCCGTCGTCATGCTGGACAAGACAAACAACGCCAATCTGGAGAGCTATATCAGCGACGAGTCCAAAATGAAGGCCGCCATGTTCACCAACCCGAAATATGTGCAGGTAATGACGGAGGTGCTTCCATGGTTGGATAACCGCGGCCTGCTCGACTGGAAGTGATTACCTCCCAAACGTCGTGTGCTAATGATGGATTCGTACTATAATAACGAATATTTGATTACTTCATATTCAAATTGTTTTGCCTGTCAAATAAATGTATAATTCAAAACAATCTTTGGCCGACGATTAAATAATTAATTGGTCTGTATTATAGTTAAGTATGTTTATTTACCTTCATAACCAAGTATCAGCATAATTTAATTTTAATTTTTGTTCAGAAATTTCAGTCAAGTTATTCATAACCTACAAAATTCAGGGGTTTATTTTAAATAAGTGCTTTAGAAGTATATTTTAATGCCATGAAAGTACCGAAAATTCCCGAGTGGGTTTCCACTCTGTCCCTAGAGCAGGCGGTCCATTCCATTCTGGAGAGTGGGGACCAGGTCCTGGCGCTCATTCCCAGCGTCCATCTGATCCAGTTTCGCAACTGCACTGTCCTCCTTCCCATTCAGGTGAAGGTTCAGCTGCAGGACTTAACGGTGAGGAAGGTATTCTTTCTGCTGAAGGCGCAACATGGCAACGACTTCCAAGCGAGAGTGATGAGTCAGTTGAGAATGTTCACCCGGGAACACCAGGTCTACCAGAATATCCTGCCCAAGTTCGAGGAACTCTACAGGGAGGTGGGCAAGAAGATATCCTTTGGCCCGAGAGCTTTCAAGCTTGACCACAACATCGGAGTTCAGTACGTACTGCTGGAGGACCTCAAGGCCCAGGGTTACAGAAACGTGGGGCGGCAGGAAGGCTTCAATTTGGAGTGCCTGAAGCAAGTGCTCAAGATGTTGGCCCAATTCCATGCGGCCTCCGTCGTATATGTGGAAAGAAATGGCGCATTCAATAAACTCTTGGCCAACGGAGTCTACACAAAGACCAACCGCCTCGTCCTTCGGGAACTCAACGATCCGGATCTTTTCCTCTCACAGCTGCGACGTTGGCGAATGGGTGACCAATTCCACAAGCGGTTCGTGGACAAGGAGCAGGACCTCGTCGATCGGTTACTGGAGCTCCATGCCCCCAAATCCGATCAGTTCAACGTTCTGAATCACTGCGACTGTTGGGTGAACAACGTGATGTTCAAGTTTGACGACGCGGGTCATGTGGAGGACACCGCTCTGCTCGATTATCAGCTTGTCAAATACGGCTCTCCGGTAGATGTTTTCCTAAGATCGCTAGACTATGAATCAATATACTTCATAATTTAATAATACTAACTAATTTTCAATTTTCAGGCTAATGATCTGTACTATGGCATCTTGTCATCAGCCGAAAAGGAAATCAAGCTATCCCAGTTCGACAACATGGTGCAGTATTACTTCTACCATTTGCTGGATAACCTTAAAATTCTCAACTGCCAAGGGACGCTTCCGCAACTCCAGGATATTCGCGATGACCTGAACAAAAACGGCCTGGCTGGTAAATTAATGGAACACTAACAACTAATATAGAAATAATCTTGATGGGTTTCTAGCTTATGTGGTCGTGACTAGGGTGTTGCCTATAGCAATGATGAATCAGTTCGAGGACGAGGTTAACGACCGATATGCTTCCAAAATGAAGTGCGCCATGTTCACCAATCGGAAATACATACAGGCGATGAAAGATATCCTGCCTTGGATGGAAGAACGGTCCCTGCTCAATTAGGTCTACATCTATTTTATAATTTATGTCACTTTAAGGTACTAAATGCTATTCTTTAATTTTGTAGTATTCATGTTAGCCAATCAAAGATGATAAGCCAGGGAACCATCGAAACTTTGTATTTATGCTGTCTATACAATAAAAATATTATTAATACAATAATCAACTTTCGGTTGAAACATGTTTTTATTAATTTCCAGAAAAAATAAATACACTTACCTAGCCAGAAAATTCTCAATATTTTGCAAATGACAGTCATTTAAATTTTTCCAATCTTGAAGAGCTGACTCTGAACGTGTGTCAACGAGACAGGGTTAGTTTTTTATAATGGTTGGACATTTCAATAACAAAATTAAGAAATTTTAAGTTTTATACCAAAATAAATCGGACATTCCCGCCCCATGCTCACTATTTTGGGGGACAGACCTTCATCGAGATCCACACAAACTTTATTACCCCATTCTTATCGATACTGTTTGAAATGATTTCCTATTAAAAAGCCAGTCATGCCGCTCTTTATTATTTCAAATGGGCCGTATCGGCTTACGTTTGCCATTACTACGGCACTAATCGCTCACGACAAACTAACTTAAATTTAGCCTCAATATTTATTATCAGGCCACCACGAGCACAACCGAATGCTAATGACACACTCCCTGAAATCGGCGAGCCTTATTTATTCCGATGTAGGATGACGGGGCTTGTCCAATAATCATTTTTTAGTTAAATGTTATATATATATATATATATATAGTAAAGCTCTGTAGCAACAATGAATGAAACTGTGCAAAATTCTAATTCATTTGTTACAAAAAAATTGTCTTTATTTGAAGAAAAAAATCGCACTCTTCATTCATTCGAAATTTGAAATAAGTTTTCTAATATTTATTACCCTATTTCAAAGTTTTTTTTTTAAATCAATGAAGGTTCAATTCAGCTTGCGCTTTCAACAAAACCGACCATATTATTTTTCATACCCATCAAATAGAACATTGGTGCCCATTGTAATGTACCATATTGCATGGTGTAATTGCTTGTCCATCAATTTATTAACTATAGTAAAGTCATGCCGCCACAACCAATTAATCCCAATGAATTCTTGGTCATTCCTGAGTGGATATATGAGTACACTTGGCCTTATTATCCAGTTATTCACTACACAGCTAGTGGTCAGTAAAATGCCCTCTGATAAGGATTAAATTATGGAAAACATCGTATAAACCGAATCTGATGCAATCCGCTACAAGACTTTCCAAATTCAACTTTCAGATAATATTTGAAATTGGTTCGTTTAGGGTCAACCAATATGCATTTCACGGTTACGGTTATCCAGAGATATGGAAACCGATTAGATGGGTATGTTGTTACCCTTTGTTCGGCATCGTAGTATCGACAGTCGGTGTCCGCCTAAACAAAAACCAGTTTGCGCTATCAGATCGGCCCAAACACATAGACAAAAACACACAAACCTGCTAATATAAAAGTATGGGAACCGCACGACGAGCTCAGTATTTGTTTGTCGTTAGAAATCGTAGGAAACGGCCGCGGGTGTTCCACCGAGCGGAAATTTAAGTTCAAAATCCACTAAAGTCGGTCAGTAATAAAAAACAATTGTAACACATTTTATGGGCGGTTCATACGTAAACAATTACTGCGAAAAAAACTTTGTTCAGTAGAAACCTAATGGATATATACGTTTTAAGTGATTCTGTCTTTATACACCCAAAAAAACCAAAAATTAATAATTAAAAAAAAATTGACATACAAAGTGAGCCCAACCCATAAAAAAGAAACAATTAACCAATTCCGTTTTAATCCATAAAGGTGTTATTTAAATAGGGCGAAAACTAAATACAATTTTCACAAATAATGGACCTTGATCACAAAAACACATGTTTACTATTACGATTTTAATATGCTTTCCGTTTCGCAAACTGTAATTAAAACAAATTGAAAATAGTTTAAGTGCTTTTATCTTCAACCGCCGAGAGTCAATTAATTGATCTACCGATTACAGCATGAGCATCAGAATGTCACCGAACAGCAACTCCGAAAAGCCACTCAATCCCAACGAGCTCCTTCACATTCCAAAGTGGGTGAATGAGGACTATTTCCAGCCCATTATCGAAAAGGATGTGGAAAACTTTGACAAAATCGTGAACTTTACACCCATTGCGGCCACTGCCCCCGGGGAGAACTACACTTCTATTATGATCCGAGTTATTGTGGATATTCTGTTGAAGGGTGAGTTCAAGAAATAAATAAACTCTGTTGCTAAATGTAAACTTTCGATTCTATTCAACTGAATTATTTTAGAGTGCGAAACCTTTTTAAATTTGTATCTCTTTTAGATGGCAGCGAGCAGAAAATATCGTATATTCTGAAAACAATGCTGGAGGCGGACAGTGGAGCTGATGTGGTCAATGGCATGGGTCTGTTCCCCAAGGAGAGGAAAATGTACGAGGTGCACATCCCGCAGTTCGTCGAGCTTTACAAGGAGGCGGGCTTGGATATTGAGCTGGCGCCCAAGTGTCTCCATGTCGAGGCCAACGCCGAATTGATTACCCTGGTTTTCGAGGATCTGAGTCGGCAGAATTTCAAGAATTGCGATCGGCTCAAGGGCTTTGATCTGGCTCACATGAGCCGTGTGCTCCGGAAACTGGCCGAACTACATGCCGCCTCCGTGGTGGCCAGGGAAATAAATGGGCCCTACGATCCGATGTACCTCATGTCGATGTTCAACGAGCAGAGTCGCGATCTCTTCAAGGCTCTTGGGGAGATGCGGCAGGTGCAGTTTTTCAAGGCGATGCGTACGTGGGACCTAGAGGACATCGACAAATACATCTCCCGGATGTGGGATCCCATGGAGGTATTCGAGGAGGCAATGCAGGTCAATCAGGTCGACGAGAATGAGTTCAATGTGTTGAACCACGGTGACTGCTGGTCCAACAACATCATGTTTAATTACAAGGACAACGGGGAGATAGACAGAACCATATTCGTGGACCTGCAGATCGGAAAGTGGGGCAGTCCGGCCCAAGATCTTTGGTACCTGATCACAACATCTGCCTCGCTGGACATCAAGATCAAGGAGTTCGATCACTTTATTCAAATCTATCACGAACGACTGGTTGAATGCCTTAAACTTCTTAACTACTCGAAGCCCATTCCTACTCTAAGGGATCTGCACATCATGATGCTGAAGTACGGATTCTGGGGTAAATATCTTTGGGTTTTAATTTGTAATTAGATAATTTTTTGTAACAATCATTCGTTACAGGACCCCTGACATCCACGGGTGTAATGGTGGCCACACTTATGCCCACAGACAAGGATGCCAACATGAAAATGATGATGGCCCCAGGACCAGAGGCCGATGCTCTGCGTTACAGGACCTTTACCAATCCCATCTACGCCAAGGCCATGAAGTTGCTATTACCCTTTTTCTATAACAAGGGACTTTTGAAGTCCACCTAGGTTTAATTCCCCTTCCAACTTAAAGTGTAGCCAATTTTTTGTGATATCATATATCATAAGAACAAGCAATAAAGAGTACCTAGAATTGTCTTAACTTAATGCACTAGTCACAATATGGAGTTTATTCATTTTAAACTATTTGGATCACAATATTATTTTGCATTTTGGATTTTTAAAAAGGTTTGAAGAAAAATCTACAGTCAGTGTAACGAAAATCAGTATAATATATTTTATATAATATATTTATTACCAAATAATAACAAAACGAGATACCACATTTTAGTGTTTCTCGGCGCGTTAGTGCCTTGTTTTGGCCATCGGGTTGCAGCATTCTAGTGGAATTTGTGTAGAGAAAGGTGTTAGAGCAATCGAAAGTGCACATTAAAAGTAATATATTCATTGTGTATAAATACATATATTGTGAATAAATAATCGTAAATTATGAAATATTAATTAGAATCACACACCTGCAAATCAAAAAGATCTGTTTAAAAATATAAATCAACCCAGTACTCTTACGTTTACAACCTCCGGTTTCCATAGTAATTTGCGCAGTTTGTGTGTGAAAGATACATGTGTGTATCTATACGCAAACGCAAAACACTTGTTACCATGGAAACTGAAGGATGAAAACAGAAAGGTGCCCAGTTGTTTTTGTTATTTTATTGTGCTCTGTGAATACATACATATATGAGTGTCCTTGTAAACAATTGTAAATATATTGTCTTGCTTTTCAAGTGTGGTTCAATTTTGAATTAAATACTAGAAACAAACCAGTTTACTTTATTTAATATTAATATTGTTTATTTAAATAGTGGACGCATTTTATAAATATATTACAGAAAATGATTTGGTCATAGTTTGCCTAATTAATTTGATAGGTTGCAAAGTACACAATTTGGTATCTTGGGCCTTACCGAGTTCATAGCAACACCCAAAAATAAAAAACAATCACCATGACTGGTCAAACATGAAAACTCATGCGACGACGATTGTGACGAATAGTATGTCGTTCAACTTTTTACCAACTCTCTACAAATTTGTGGAGAAACACAGACACCGAAAATTTTTTTCAAAACTAAAGGTGTTGAATTTAATTATTTTATTTAATGTGAGGGAATATAAATTTTCGGCCATGAACACATTTACTGGGATGGTCGGTTTAGTTGATCTTTGTAAATAATATCCCAAATCCAGTTTGTATGTTTGATAACATTTGTGAAAACGTGTAGGCCGTCTGATGAATAACTGACCATAGCTAACAAAATGATATGACTTTTCTTCATGATGGTTGTCATTATTTCCCCACTGGTTTTTGGGGCTCTATTCATTTCGGGAGGACTTTCCACACAAAACTGATTTTGGTCGAGTTTAGCCCCGATATGATGTTCACATAGGTTGGGATCCGCAGGTCTAACGGCGAAATTTTTAGCTTTCCCATCGTCAAATATGGCAAAAGGCAGACCTTTTTGGGCCTTTTCCTGGGATTCTTCACTCGCGAGCATACAGATGGGTTTTAAACTGTCTGGAATACAAAATCTGTGATCGAGGTGGGGGATAATACTCTAGAAATTTACCATAGCGGTCAAGTTTTCTATCTAACTTTAGCAAGGCTATATCATACTCTGGCAACTTGAAAACCGAGGAAACTTTGTGTTCTTCATAGTTCTGTTCTCCCATCAATGTCACTTCTCTGAAAAAAATAATTCAAAAATATTTGAAAAATGTTCTTTTCTAAAACTTTGGGACAGCTTACAGAGAGTTATGATTTTCTGGCAAGTCTGTGGCAACTGTGATGACAAATTCTGAAAATCAAAGATATTTCATTTTTAGCACCATTATTTTACGAAACTTAAGAGATAGATACTCACGCGAATGGATCAACACGCCTTGTGCCTGGAAACCAGGTCCATAAATAGTAGGCCGTATGACTGATCCCATGGTTTCTTGAGCGCAGTCATCGTAAAAGAATTCCTGCGTATTATAATTGCTTACAGGCGAACGCACTGAGGGAGCTTCCCGAAACTGAAAGGGCACTTCTGGGCCATTTAGTTGTTCATCATCAGAGCTTTTTATTGTTTCCTGAATCCAGTCTACAAAGCTAGTCACATTCGTATAGACTGCTGCTGAATTGCATGCTGCCGTCCCAAAGCTTACGATACCGAGCTGGGTTGTATAAATATTGTCGTATAGTTTAATCTTGTTGATCAACGGACCGCCAGAATCTCCCTTACAGCTATCGCCCTTTTTGGATCCAGCACAGATCTGAGACGGTAAGAGATCTTGAGCAACCAGCTCTTTGCAAATATCCTTATCCAATTGGTTAAGAGTGATAGTTTGCAGAATTTCGCTATCCTTAAAATGTTCTTTTAGGCCCCAGCCAAAAGCTTCGAACGTTGGCAAGCTTGGTATTTTACTATTAATTCTCTTATCCGTACAAATGCAGATTGGTTTAATGTTGACTGCGGAGGAAAGCATTAAAAAGATTGTCTAAATACGTCAAACAGCTTACTTACAATTATACACGACCCTGGCTGACAGTTTAAGCAGGCCTATATCATACGGCGCAAACCCGTTTCTGTATTGAGGGTGCTGTATCTGTTGACTGACAGGGTACTTTTCCAGGGGATTACTTTTACTGTATGCTCCCAATCCGACAAATCTGTAAATAATATAATTAAATATTTTCAGTTGCATATTGCATATTGCATATTTTCAGTTGACTGGATGCAAAGTCGACTTTTAAAAAAAGCTACTATGTTAAAATCTAGTTCGATAATACTTACAGATCCTGTTTAACATCCAAGCAATGAGCTGCAGTCAACACAAAGCCTACAAAAGTAAGAATGATGTGATCATGCCAACGAGTACTTCTATAAAAACCACGAACGTTTGCTTATCAGCGTGCCACTGCATATAAAACTCTTTTTGTTATATATGGCTGCGAGAAAGGAAGCAGATTCTGGTCGTGCGTCTTCGCCTCCGAAAATCCTGGCCTTACTTTCAAGTCCACAGGGCATCTCTAGGAATTGGGAAACGCCCTGGTGGACAAGAAACAAGGTGAACAAAGGAATTAACGCGAAAGTTGACTCCATTCTACTGGGAGCACAAAACACAACTGAAACATCACCGAGTAAAAACAATAAGGATCATTTCTTATCAGCTTTAATTTTAATGTCTTGAAATACTCAATCGGTAGGTGTTATGGCACCCCAGAGAAAATTCAATTCCTCACATTTTAAACTAAATATTTTAGATAGTGAGGTGTTGTTTATATATTTATATATTAATATATTATAAATATATTTATATTTTATCCTTTTTGGAAATAGATTAAATATGTTCATATTCAAAGAAAAGTGTTTTAGTGCTTGAAACTTCAAATATAAAAACATACATTCAAAGATTTAAATATTTAAAAAAAAATTAAAAAAAAACAATTTATTTTTGTTTTGAGTTTTTAAAATTTTTTCAAGTTGCATCGATTCCTAGAAGTTGGAAAAGCCACTAGTTCCCAGAAATATTCTCTATAAAAGCCTTTGTTGTCGAGTTTAGTGTCTCTTTGAGATTATTTTGTTATCAGCAACTGAGTGCGTTGTATAACATATGAAGAAACAATAACATTTGAAATCGATAAGCCGAAGCTCATGTACATGTGTACATATATACCCCTGCAGCTTTTACAAAAATGAAACATTGGTCGGAAGTGTATCCTTTACCCCGTTGAAATCTTTTGACTGGAAATATATATACCCCCTGGAAAGCTATATAAATGAACATATGTACGCAAAAATGAACCACATCCGCCGTTGTCGGATTCGATCTTGACCAATCTCCTATTAAATGCTCCTGGGCTCGACCTTCTTATCCTCTGATCCGTTCAGTTGATTTGAGGAATTTGCAATTAACCGCTCATTTAAACAATAAGGGCACTGCATACAGTTGGCATTGAGCGAAATATGGTTGGATTAGTGCGACATAATGGGGCCTTAATCGCCCGAGGCAGTTAGTCTACACAATTATCGAATGGGCGACTATAGAGAGAGAATTTAGCTATTCAAACGAGCTACACACATACTGTTTAATTTTAAAATAATTTTCTAGCGTTCCATGCGTACTTTTCTAGTTTTTTATATCATTTGGAAATTGTTAATATTTGGTTTTATTTGTAAGCGGGAAATATCTATTAAACAATGAATATTTTAGAAAGTATTTACAACATTGTTAAATTAGGATAAAACTACTTAAGTTTATTATTTATTTCTATTTTTAAATTTTTGTCTATACTACTATTGAAATAATGCCTTAAACTTGGAGTAAGCCCAATTTATCCAATCGGGCTAGCATTATTTTCACATCTTTTATATAGCCCTCAGAAAATGAGCAGTTTCTGCGCTTCTCCTCATTTTGAAGTAGATCTCCAAAGTCGACAGACTTATCCTTCAACGCCCACATTAAAGGCAAGAAGGTGCTTATGAGAAAGAATTCTGAAGGAATAAGGCCAAATATTAGGCAATGTTTACAAAAACATTTAAAACTAAGAACCTACCGAAGTATTTGTGCTGGTGTAGGTGTTCCCAAAGACCCGATTGGGTTGGCATTTTACCCTTATAGCCGATTTTCTTCAAAACATCCTCCAAAACGAAAAAGTAATAGTTCATTAGGTCTTCGCAGTCCTTCCAGCGATGCTCTGGCTCCATAAGCATATATATCGAATACACCAAATCGATTGAAAGTGGAAAAAGATGGCTGATTTGAAAGTCCAGCAGCATACAGTCTTCGAAGGATCCAGGTCCCTTGTACTTAAACATAATGTTTCGAAGGTGCAGATCTCCATGACAAAGTACTCTGTACTGATCTTCTTTGCGGTTGTTACGAAATTCCTTCCACTCGGCCACAAGTCGCTCAAGAAAATCTTCCTTAATGCTTTTAAAATACAACTTGTACTTATTAAGTTCCGGCTCCTTGTCCAAAAGTTCCACGAAAAACTCCATTCCACTCTTTATAAAGGGTTCCTTCAGGAAATGTGGCATCTCAAATAGTCCGTGAGTGTAAGCGTTTAAAAAATTTGGTTGCTTAAAAAACATAACAATAAAAATAATTTATTTAAATCGCATAATTTTACTAATAAGCTTTTAAACCAAAAATAAATTTACGGACAAAATAACCAATTTTTCTAGGTTTTTTCCGTTGTTCTCATTTCAAAACAAAATTAAAGTATGACATTCTATTTTGGGTCCACTAGTTGGGAGCTCAAAATATTATTTTTTAACATTTAATATTTTTCAATAGCTCACCTCGTTCTGTACTTTTAAGCTGGCTGCATGCCACTTGGCCAGTTTAAAGTAGACGCGGTGTACCTCATCCAGGGTAGCATCCCGATCCCTCAAAACAAAATAATCCATTTGCACGAGATCGTCAAATATTAGCACTTGATGAGGTGCCAGAGTGTGATATATGCAATTCACATACAACTTAGTGCTATCACCGGCCAGACGAAGAATCCTCTCGAATTCCGGCAGCACCTTCGTGTACATGCCCATTTCCGTTTCGAAAATAGGCGATCCCTGGAGCATTTCCTTCTTGTGACCCTCCGCTTCGGGCATTGTTTTAACGATCAGCGACTTTACGAAATCGCCCTTTCGATTGGAATACTTCACATTTGCCCGGAACATAATGCTGGCATAGTGATCCCCCTTGGCACTCGCCGGGGATAAGGTCAAATCGATTACCTTTAGCACGGGTTCCTTCTCATGGGAACTCAGAGCAACTGATATGAGCTCTGAGTTTAGCCACTCAGGGGGCACCAATTCGTCATCGTTGAACTGACAGACGTCGGTATTCCCTGACATTTTGTTTATCAACTTCTGTTTCGACCTCCAGAAGAGAGCGTACTAAACAAAACTTGATTTCGCTGCCACTTAAATCAGCTTTTTGCGAGAATTTCGATTTGAAATGCAATAGTGGAAGCTTTCTACAGCTTTTACACTGAGATAAAGAAGAGCTTTTTATTATACCTGAAAACATTTGTATTTAAGCACAATAAGAGAACCAAGAAAAAGAGAGATAAGGAAGTCGATATCTGGGATCAGCTGGGGGCATATTTATTTTAAAATTGGTTATCTGAGTAACAGGTATTTTATAGTCGAGTCACTCGACTAAAGCGTTTCTCTTTATTTAAGACCTCTGAAGTCTTCAAATTGTTTGTTTACAATTATTTTAAGCCTGCGATCACAACTTTTTTAATGAGTTAATGCAAGTAACTGATGAGTAACGCTAACAAACTATATCTCAACAAAGCGAAGTACGCTTTACATATATTAGTAGGGTCGAAAGCAGCTCGACGATCGAAAACCATCAGTTGAAAGACAAACTTTGGCAAGAGAGCACCTCACATACAGAATGGCGAGTCCTACAGAAACGATAGTTAACCCGAACGAGGACTTGGAGATCCCCCAGTGGATCACCGCCGAATACTTCCAGCCGGTTCTGCAGAAAGATGAGCCGGATTACGAGAAGATTTTGAGCTTTAAGCCGGTGGCAGCTATACCGCCGGGCGAAAACTTCACATCTGTAATGTTGCGGATTCACTTTGATCTTCAGATGAAAGGTAAAAACAAAAATATTTTGTAAATCAATGTAAGTTGGAATCGAGAATTATAAAAATTAAGACAAACTTGTGTCGATGGGTTTAGACGGCGATGACAAATCCATTCCAATTTCAGATGACAATTATTATTTTAGAGGAAGAGAATAATAATTTTAAATATATCTCCACAGATGGAAGCACTAAGCACAAGACCTATATTTTCAAGACAATGCTGGCGGAGGAACGTGGTGGCAAGGAGATCCGTGAGGGAGGCATCTTTGACAAGGAACTAGTAATGTACCAGACTTTTCTGCCCGCCTTCGAAGAGCTCTACAGTTCCGCCGGGGAGAAGATTCAACTGGCTCCCAAGTGCCTGCTAACGGATCAGCGTGACAACGGAATCCATTTTGTGATCGAAGATCTTAATGTGAAGAAGTTCAAAAATGTGGATCGCATCAAGGGTCTGGACCTTGTGCACATGAGAAGATCCCTCCGGAAACTGGCCGAATTCCATGCGGCTGCAGCTGTTTACGCCGAAAAAAAAGGACCGTTCCCCTCGGAATTCGGGGAAGGATTCATTGCCAGGGACCAACTGCAGCACCACGAAGAGGGCTTTTTAGTAAAAGCGAGATCTTATCATAAATCCATGGCTGATTGGGGCTTAGAAGATCCAGAAAAATACATAAAAAGTTTTGTAAGTCAGCTATACCCATTTTCCACTTTGAGCTTGTATATTCTCATAGTCTGTTTCCTCAGCCCACCGTAAAACAATATATAAAAATGTGTGAAAAGAATCTGGCCACGGATACGAATTCTTCGACCTTCAACACACTTACGCATGGTGACTTTTGGTCCAGCAATATAATGTCCAATTACCTACCCAATGGCGAAATCGACAAGGTCATCATGCTTGATTTTCAGCTGTGCAAATGGGGCAGTCCCGCCCAGGATCTGCTCTTCTTCATCACTCTCTCGGCGGCCAGCAATATTAAGCTGAAGGAGTTCGACAACTTTGTCAGGATATATTGGGAGCGGTTGGTGGAGTGCCTAAAGCTGTTGAAGTACCAGAAATCTGTGCCTAAGCTACGCGATCTGCAGACTTCCTTGTACGAGGATACAAATACTATATATCGTAAGTTGTTGATATAAAAATCTATTACATGTAAAACTAATTTAGATTTTTTATAACATCTATAGCTTTCATTGCGGTATTCAACCATCTGCCTGTGCTTCTATCCATCCGACAAGGAATCCAATTTGCATTCCCTTATGCGTGACGACGAGGAGGGCGATAAATTTCGGATGCGCATCTTCACAAATCCAGGATTTTGCCGCCTAATGAAGGAAATCTATCCCTTTTTCTACAATCGTGGTATCTTTAATTTCAATGACTTCGAATAGGAAAGGAATTACATTATTTATGAATAGGTTCTAAATAAAATAAAACTTGTTTTTGGGTTCAACAACCAATTGTCTTTTAATCTACGTTCAACGAACTAACTTGTGACGTCTTTTATAAGATCACTCACAATGACTTGCTAGAAATAGATACAAATACAAGCAAAACGAAATTCCGCGTGATGTCAGTAATAATTGCTGTCCCAAACATTCTCAGACTAACAATGATGAGTGAAAATAAAGACAAGTCACTTGTGTGGCTTATTATTATCTAAGTTGTAGAGACAAACGAATTATCTGATTTGGTAAATATTTAATTAAATACGTAATGAGGAAATACTCATACAAAACCTTTTGGTTCCACACACTTGTTCGTATCAAAATTATCTTTATATAGTTGGTTGTGTATCGCAAACAAACACTGATTAATCAGTTGTGTATGTGCGGTATCAACTCAATTGATTGGCAAGGCCAGCAAACTAAATTGGAAAAGGAAAATATTAACCACTTACATACCCTTTAAAAATTAATAAAAAAACGTATATATACAACGCAGATGAGGTATGAGCAATAAAAAATGGCCATAAAATGTACCAAAAACAATAAGTGTCAAAACGTAACATTCTTTATAGGGCAACACCCATTAACATTATAATTACTGAAAAAAAAAAGGAATTAAAAAAAAGTGGATTTTTACAGATAAGCTGTAAAGAATTACACAAGTTCACTCAATAATATAAAAGTATAAAAAAATAAAATAATTATCACGCTACGTTTGTTAAGATTGAGTTGATAGTTTTGATAATCAAAAAGACAAGTCTCTACCACTTGTAGGTATTACGCGCACAAATGAAACTCGTTGATAAGGCAGCATAGAAAAGCCCAATAAAGCTCCGCGGTAAAAATTAGCAAACTCAGTTCCAAACTAGCAACTGCCGGAAAAGGTTCTTTTTGCCAAATATACGAAAGCCGAAAAATGACTGACACCGACGAAATCGTGAACCCCAATGAGAATCTAATCATTCCCGATTGGATCAATGAGAAATACTTTGAAAGCGTACTGGCCAAGGACGAACCAGATCATGCAAAAGTATTAAAATTTACCACAGTTGCCGCTATTAAGCCGGGTGAAAACTTTACTTCCACCATGCTGAGGAACTACATCAAATTGGAAATGAAAGGTAAGTCTGTTATTATAGCTATAAAGAATTTTAGTTAATAGTTATAGTTCTTTACCGCCGAAAACTCTGCTAAGTTATAAATGAAATTGCCGAATGTCCTATGGAGAAAGATTTCATTTTAAATATAATATCTTACTTATTGCAGATGGAAGTGTGAAGACCAAGACATATATTTTTAAGACAATGCTGCCCGATGAGCGAGGGGGCAACGACATCACCGAGTTTGGGCTCTTTCCCAAGGAGGCCAAGATGTACGAAACATACCTCCCTGCGTTCGAGGCCCTCTATAAAGATGCCGGGTGGAACATTCAATTGGCGCCCAAGTGTCTGCTAACTGAGGAGCGTGAAGGGGACATCCACTTCATCTTCGAGGATCTGAGTGTGAAGCAATTCCGGAACGTGGATCGCACGGAAGGACTGGACATGGAGCACATGACGAAATCTTTGCAAAAACTGGCCGAGTATCATGCGGCCAGTGCTGTGTACGAGGAGTTGCATGGTCCCTATCCCAGTGATTTCAACGAAGGATTTGTCAAGCCGGATGTTAAAAAGTTTCATGTGGATGGATTCAACCTGAAGGAAAAGGCCTACAAGAAGGCAATGCTTACTTGGGGCATGAAAGACGCAGAGAAATATGTTAAGGACTTTGTAAGCAAAAATTACTTTAAAGTGAAATTGTAGCACCCGACGTAATACTTATTTTCCTCAGCCCACTACCGACCAGTATTGGGCCCAATGCCTGAGCACCTTGAAGTTGGATCCCACTGAATTCCATGTGCTCAACCATGGGGACTTTTGGTCAAGCAATTTGATGACCTCCTATCTCCCGGATGGCAGTCTCGATCAGCTCATCCTCATCGACTTCCAGATCGTGACGTGGGGAAGTCCAGCCATGGATCTGCTCTTCTTCCTCACCCTCTCGCCCGCTCAAGATTTGCGTATCAAGGAGTTTGATCACTTCGTAAGAATCTACTGGGAACGCCTAATCGAGTGCCTAAAGGTGTTGAAACTGAAAAAGCCATTGCCAAAACTACGAGATCTTCAAAACTCCATAAACAAGAAGCACCATTCATTTTACGGTGGGTCCTGGATGCAATCATCTGTTATATCTCACTAATAACAAGTCTTTTCCTGCAGCTTTCTTCAGTATATTGAATCACCTGCCCATAATTCTGTTCCCCACCGATAAGGACAGCAATCTGCACAACATGACTGCTGAAACAGAGGAAGGCGAAAATCTTAGGCTACGCTTGCTAGCTAATCCCGCCTTTGCAAATGTTATGAAGGATCTATATCCATTTTTGTATAACCGCGGAATTTTAAACTTTGAAGACTATGATGTTTGATATTTGATATATAGCTGGCAATAAACTGCAGACAGGTATTATGAAATCAAGTTTATCTTGGAGAGTCGATTACGTGTGTGCTTTATCAGTATGGCACTTAATGGAGTCAAGTTGATGGTTACTAATGATACGTTTTAGTACCCACAGTACTTCAAGAGACAGATTCATTTTATCAGTTTTATTACGTATTTAATTTTGTTGTCAATCTGATTGAACTAGCAAATTAAGCACAAGACAAAAGTTCTAAAATTTTCCTCCAATCATAATTCTAATAAAAAATGGAGGTATATTAGATGCGATACCTCAGAATATACTGGGAACATTTAAAAAAAACTGCTTGGCCGTGCTAAAGTACGAAAGCTCCCTTCTCCAACTTGGGGAACTGCAATCTGCCATTTTAAAGAAAAACAACACATTCTTTGTTGGCGAAACTGATATGACTTTTATCTTTGACTTATATTCTTTCCCTTTAGCTTTCTTTGTAGTGATTAGCCACTTATAAACAATTCAAGGACGAGGTAAGCAGGAGGTACCGCCTTTGGAGCTCCAATCTTGTCTTGTGGAAATTCAAATTGAACTTCGAAGACTCTAAGTGATTGCAAGTTCGTTTATCTTGCGATGCTATTTGCATTCGACTCGATTAAATAAATTGTGTGCGAATATTGATTCTGGTTTTTCCCAGTTTTCCATGGCGAATGTCATGGCTGCACTACAATTGAAACCGAGAGACCTTGAAATAGTTTTCCAGTCTTTAAGATTGTGCGACTTTGCATTGTGTAAGTCCTGAGAGTTTACATATATTCATGCACGTTGAGATAATACCAAAATACAGTGTCTACTTATCTCGTACCCACCGTATCTTCATCAGTAAACTGATAAAAGATATAGAACGACAATTAAGTAAAATAATCTTCACCTAATAGAATATAAACGAATTTCGAAATACAATGGTAATGGCAATGAAGTTCTGGAAAATTCAAATTCTTAAGAAGTAGAGCTCCCAAAGAAAAATATTTTTGAAATAATATTTTGTTACAATTAAATCAATCAAATAATAAAAACTTGCTTATTTATATACTATTGAAAATCACTTTATGACAAAATATTTAATTAATTTTCCAATCATTAAAGGGTATTTGATAAGTTTCAGTCATCTACCTTTTGTAGATTGTCAGGTATAAAATCGCTTGAGCGACAGAGTATTACACTTGACAGACATAAGAGCTTTTCTGCCCCTCCCGGTGCTAGCTGTCTTGTTATCAGGTATTCAAAACACAACACCGCTGATAAGCCCGGCGCTACTGCATTGCTTGACCAGTCCGGGTGAGCGGGGAAAGCTCCAACTACTGTCACCCACCTGTATCCCGGGAGGGTCTTTGGCAGACGATGCTCAGTGTCCGAGTTGTTGACGAACCAGTTAGACGGGCGACTGGCATTGCTTTCGGGGCGTTGAGAAGTGCGCACCTCACCCACCTCGACTGCGTGCAGTAAAATAAAAATAACATCGCGGGGCCTAAAACAAGAAAAACATTCTCGATAAGGAAAGGCGAGGCAAAACAGTTGCGCCGCACACTTCGGACCGGGAACAACGCATAACCGACCCGATCCGATCGCCGCAGTGAGCTCATTCCGGCGGAATCACAACGACATGCCCGATAACAGCAACAAGTTCTGCGCCTCCAACGATGTCCGCATTCCGGCCTGGATCAACGAGGCCTACTTCAAGCGGCTGCTCAAGCGCGAGTTCCGCGAATTCCGTCGCATCCTAAACCTCTCGATTATTCCGGCCACACCGCCCGGCGAGACCTACACCTCGCTGCTGATGCGCATCGTCATTGACATTGAGATGAAAGGTGAGAAAAAAGGTGGTTGGCATTTACTATATTGAACAGCAAACTGGTATTAGGGAGCACCCCATACTTAAACACCTTAAATTATATACGTGCTTAACACTCATACGCACTGTTGTCCAATTACAAATAACAACTAAGCGCTGCCAGATCCAATCTACAAAGAGCTCATAATTTTGACCACATTTTTCTCAATTTTTATACAAAATATAGTAAGAACTAAAATTGTATCACTCATACGCACTCTTGCCCTTGAGTGCGAAACTTTTCTGTTTTGAAAAAAAATTGTTGTGATGCGCATCGTCATTGACATTGGATGAAAGGTGAGAAAAAAGGGGTTGGCATCAAATAGATTGAGCAACAAACTGGTGTCAGGGTGTACCTAAAAACCTTTACAATTTAAGTATTTAACACTCATACGCACTGTTGTCCAATTACAAAATACAACTAAGCGCTGCCATCAGGCAATCCACAATACAAAGATCACACAAATGTTGACCCAGTTCTTCCATGATTCTATACAAAATATCGCAAGAACTAAGATTTTATCACTCATACGCACTGTTGCCTTTGATACTTTTACTCATACTTTTCTGTTTTTAAGAAAAATAGTTCGTGGCATGGTAAGAAGCTTTCCAATAACTTAATCTTTTAAGCAAGTACAATAACTTCAGCTTTGGGACATCCGGACTAACAATTACCTTTTCTTTTAATAGATGGATTTTCTCAGCAAAAGTCGTACATAGTAAAGACCATGCTAGACGATGCCCAGGGAAATGGTGGCTTCGTGAACACCCTCAATATATTTCCAAAAGAGAAGATGATGTACGATACGATCATTCCGCAATTGGAACTTATTTACGAGCAGGCTGGACTGAGTGTGAAATTCGCACCCAAGTGCCACTGGTCGGAGGAAATTAACGGACGGATCTGCATGGTGCAGGAGGATCTGCAAACAAAAAAATATAGGAACATCAGTCGCCTGAAAGGCTTTGACATGCCCCAAATGCAACGGGTGCTGGAGAAATTGGCCGAATTCCATGCTGCGAGTGCCGTTTGGCGTCAGCGGAACGGACCCTTTCCAGAGGAATTTCAACGAATCTACCTTCCCGCCAACTACAACCGATCCAAGTCTTATCAGGCGAGGATCCAGAGCTATAAGATAGCTATAGCCAGTTGGGGTCTGGAGGATCACGAGCAGTACGTGAGTCGCATCGTAAGTTCCACTATTATAAAGGTGCCCAAAAGTATGCAACAATATTTGAATTCAGAAGTCCAACGGATTTATTTCCAACGACTATGTTTTTCACGGCATATTTTTAGACAAGTTTATAGCTGTTTTCTAAACTCTTTTGTTTCTATAGCACCTGAACTTAATAAGTTTGTAATAAATATTCGTTTTTCCGCTCTTTTTAAAGCCCACGGCCGATCAATTTGTGCAATCCTATGCCCGCTGCTTCAGCAACAATCCGCATGAATTCAAAGTGCTTAATCACGGTGATTTCTGGTCCAGTAACATAATGTTGAATTACACCCAGTCTGGGGATGTCAACCAAGTTCGTTTCGTGGATTTCCAGCTGTGCAAATGGGGCAGTCCGGCTCAGGACTTATGGAACTTTATAATATGTTCCGCCAGACATAGCATAAGGATCCAGAATTTTGACTGCTTCGTAAGAATTTATCATACTCACTTAGTGCACTGTCTAAAGATCCTGAAATACGGTGAGAGAATGCCAATGCTCAGAGAACTGCATATGAACATGATAAAATATGGATTTTGGGGTGAGTTTGGATTATTGTTACAATGAAATTTCATTTAACTGAACATATCCGCAGGTTACTTTACGACCTTCACCCATCTGGTGTTCATCCTGCTGCCCGTGGACACGGAGGCCAGTTTGGTTAAGCTAACGCAGCCTGGAGAGGAAGGAGATCGGTTCCGGGCGAAGGTCTACACAAATCCACTTTACGTCCGAGCTGCCCTCAGTATATTTCCCTTCCTCTACCGGCGTGGCATTCTAGACTTTTGAAGCGTTTCTACTTATATCTAGGTGACCTATTCCGGAATATCAATACACGTTTATTTACTAATAGACGAAATTAAAATTTCTTGAAAAATAATTCCACATTTCACTTTTAAAAGAAAAGACAAATCAGTGAAAGTTTATAACCCATAACTTCCATCTCATTTATGCCGACTTCGACTGAGCTACAATAAAAAAAATGTTTGATGTTATTAAAATAATCCAACATCTTATAATAAAAACTGAGTATTTTATTTTGTATCAAGAAAACGAAGGCTTATCTTTTGTTCAGGCGCGACAAAGTATTTTTAAGAAAATAAGCCAAATAGGTAAAGTTTGTTTTATTTAAATTATTTAGAAGGTTTCTTATCAGATCTCTAACCGAAAAGAAGCCTACCTACTTTAACAACTCATCAGGAATGTATTTGAGCAATTTAATATTACTAGATTAGTATATATTTTTTAAAACAATATATCTTATTTATATTAATATAAAATATTAAACACAAATAAATATTTAAAGTCAACTGATTGCTTAATTCTAAACAAAATATATAGAGCTATCGACTTATCTTTTTCGACGCTTCAATTAATTTTTGTGAATAAGTAGATCAAATATTAAATACTTTTCAAGTAGTGGAAGGTTATCTCAACTGGTGCTTCGATTAGATCACGTTTTATTTATCACTGTTTATTACAGTAATATACCGATAAGATAGGCCTAAAAATATGAAAATGAGCATAATAATTTCTTCCATTTCTTGTTTAACTTAAAAATAATAAAATTATAAAAGTTATTACTTTCTGAGTTTAGTTATTTTGATGTGTCTAAAAATACACAGTCACCACCCACTTCTGTATGTTATCGGCCAACAACATCCACAACATTCGTTCCAAATTTGTCCACAAACTGGTTTCTATGCCATATGCTTGGTAGTGTCCACATGTACAAATTATATATACAAAAATATATTATATACACAAATCAGCTGATAAGCCAGTGTAAAGCTAACAACAGAGAGAGCTTTTTGGAAGCTCTATCTTTCTCCCAGCCGTCACATGTTCGGCTCCACATTCTTGATTCGATAGCCCCCAACGTAAGTTGCTGCTCCGGTTTCTCATTCAACTTGGTCAGCTGACTTGAAAAAAATTAAATAAAATACAATGGGAACCGGCAGCAAGAACTACCAGGCTCCCGAATGGCTTACTGCCGAGTTCCTGCAGGATGTGCTGAAGGAGCACTTCAAGGAGGAGCAGCTGGTGGTCAGTGAGTTGATAGTGAAGAGCGCCCAGGTAGGCGACCAGGCGGCGGGATTTGCCAGTGAAATGCACCGCGCCAGCTTCAATCTCCAAAGGGGTTCGGCTGCGAAGAGCAAGTTCTCTGTGATTGTGAAGGATCATCCGAAGGGACAAACTGGTGCAGTGGCCCAGAGAAGTAAGCTCTTCAAACGCGAAATCCTGGCCTACAAGGAGGTGCTGCCACGAGTCCAGGCCCTCCTCCAATCCATCGGAGATCAAACAAAAATTGCCCCCACTTGCTACTACACCACCGAATCGCCCGAGCCCTTTCTCATCCTGGAGGACATGCAGCTGTCCGGCTTCGAGAATTTCGAGCGGGGTCGTTTGCTGAATCTGGACTACGTACTGCCCACCATCGAGAAGGTCGCCAAACTGCACGCCTGCAGCGCCCTCATATCCCAGGAGAGCCCAGAAGTACTGGAGTTCTTCAATGAGGCGCCCATCTCACGGAATCCCGACCGACGCGACTTCCTCACCTTCTTCCCCGTGAACATCCGTTGCGTCGCGGAGGAAGTGGCCCACTGGAAGGGCTATGAGGAGATCACCGAGAAGATGTTCAAGCTGGCCGAGAACGTGCTTCAGAGAGCGCTGTCCATGTTCGAGACTACTGGCAAGGAGTTCCGCGTCTTCAACGTCACCGATCTGTGGATCAACAATCTCCTGTTCCACATCAACAACGAGACCAAGGAGCCCGACGATGTGGTCACGGTAGGTCATTCATATTGTAGGTGTTCGACTAAAATTCATATTTCTCACATTTTGATTTCCAGTTGGACTACCAGTTGGCCTACGTGGGATCCCCAACCATCGATCTCAACTATTTCCTCTACGCCTCTTTGAACGAGAATGTTCGCAAGGTTCACTTTAAGTACATCGTTCGGGAATACCAGCGGGTGCTTCAGCAGACCCTAGAGAAGCTGAACTACAAAGGACACATTCCCACCCTCAAGGAGATCCACATCGAGTTGATCAACACCAGTCTCATGGGTGAGTTACCCAATCCTTCTGTAAAAAAATATTAATACTAATAGCTCCCGCTTTTTAAGGTGTGATTGGTGCAACTTGTTTGACCCCCCTGATTTTCCGGGAGGGAGCTGGCTTCGAAAACCTTGAAGATCTAAACTCACGCACTGAGAAAGGCGATCTGTTCCGCAGGGAAAATGTCGAGAACCCCAAGTACAGAGCTTTCCTACAGCGTACTATCAAAGAGTTCGAGCTCTCCGGATTCTTGGATGAATAACTTACATAAACGGGGGAGAACGAGTCAAATAAAGAACACTTTAACATTCGATCAAAAGTATTCGGGCTTCCATACAGAATAAGGTTTGAGGAAGAAGCTTATTTCCAGACCAAAAAATCCATGAGTATTTTCAATATGCAAATATAATATCAGACTTTGTTTTACCATTTTATGAAAAGTTTGGAAATTTTATTAACACATGGGTAATTGCACAAGTACGCTCAATTATGAAGCTTATTTTAAAACATAATTTCATCGGCTGGAAATTCCTATATAAAATAGGACATAGGAAATTTATAGATCTTTAAAATATCCGGTTTCTTCGAATTTCGAAAGAAGCTTTTTAATATCTTTCACGATAAAATCAAAAAAGTACGCTTTCTTTCTGGCTTCGGGGTCCTGAATTATGTCGTTCATTTTCAGCTCATTCGCTTTAACGGCCAGGATCATTGGGAAAAAAGTGCTCATAAGAAAGAAGTCTGTATTAAAATAAAAATTGGAGTTAGTATTTCTATCTGAAAAATAAATAATGCACTTACCAAAGTACTTGTGTCGAAAAATTTGCTTCCACAGGCCATTCTGCGTGGGCATCACGCCCTTGTAGCCCACTTTCTTCAAAGTGTCCTCCAACACGGAGAAATAATAGTTAATTAGATCTTTACCGAGATCCCATCGCTGCTCCGGCTCCATTAACATATAGATGGAATATATCAGATCGATTGTAATGGGACACAGGTTGCAGATTTGGAAGTCCACGAACATGACATCCTCGTCGCCCTTGAACATCATATTGCGGAGATGAAAGTCGCCATGACACATCACATAGTATCCATCGGATTGATAGTTCTTTCGGTACTCCTGCAGCACGTCGGTCATACGCTGAAGATAATCCACCTTTATTTTCTCAAAATACGGCTTGTACTTTGTGAGTTCAGGTATCGTTTTGAGCAGAGTTATAAAATCATCCATTCCACCTGTAACCATGGGATCGGTCATTAGGGCCGGCATGTCAATCAAGCCATACTGGAACTCTTTCAAAAATTCGGGTTGCTCATTCATCACCTTCATGCTGACTGCATGCCATTTTGCCAGCTTGGAGAACACTTTTTTTAGTTCTTCCAATTTGACCGGTCGATTGCGGATGACGGTGTATCCCTGCGGTACCAGATCTTCGAATATCATCACCTGTCGCGGTTCCAAACTGTGATAAATGCAAGGCACATATAGCTTAGTATTATCTCCTGCCTCCCGCAGAATCCTTTCGAATTCGGGAAGGGCTTTGGTGTAGGCTCCAATCTCTGTGGCAAACAAATGCGATTCGCTCAGCATGTCCTTCTTGTGACCTTCCTGCTCCGGCATCGTCTTGATGATAAGCGGTTTGGAGAACGTTCCCTTTGAGGTGGTGTACTCGGCAGTGGCTCGGAACATAACACTGGCATAGTGATCTCCCTGGGCACTCGCGGGTGTAATTTTCAGATCGTTTACTTTCAGGTCCGGAGATTTTTCATAGGCTCTCAAAACCTCACCAATAAACTGGGCATTTAGCCAAGTCGGAGCCTCCAACTCGTCGGCATTGAATTGTTCCGTATCTGGGCTATCTGTCATCTTTGCTATTTTTTCGCGGTCTCGGAATATACGTCTAGTCGGAATACTGTAAAAGCTGGTTATATCAAACTCAATTGCGTACCCGCTCATTTAAATGGTTTGCTACGTGAGCTTTGCAAAGCGGTTCAAAGCTTTTCTATATAAACTTTTCGATTTTGTGTGAAATACCCGTTTATCAAATCAAAATTCCTATTAAAGTTTTACTGAAGGATACAAAACTTTTGATCACTTATCATTTAAAAGTTAAATCTGATAAGTAATACAAATTTTAGTGGGAAATCGATATTTATTCAAAACATTTTTTATTGCAAACAGGTAAATAATATAGTCACCACAAAAATTGTTTATTGTTTGCTCAGTAAGCATGACAATCAGTTTTAACTAAAAGCTTTAGAAATACAACTACTATGTTACTTTAAAGCCAATATTGATTACGACTGACAATGTTCTTGAAAAGTTTATAGAACCTCCAAAGCTCATTGCAAATGAATTTGAATTTAACGTAGAACTTATATCTTTTAAAAATCATCTTTTCATAATTACAACAAATTTTATGTATATAATTGATACAAGTTTTTAATTTCTTATTGTTTTATAAATTATTAAAATATCCCATTTTTTCGAATTTAGGCAAAAGCGTCTTTACTTCTTTGAGGTAATCATCTAAGAAGTAAGTCTTTTGTTTTATTTCCGGATCCAAAATTAAGTCAGTCATTTTGATACTGTTCGTTTTGATGGCGACTATCATAGGCAGAAAGGAGGTTAACAGGAAAAAGTCTGTAACGATTTTAGGAAAAACAAGAGAGAACGCTATAGTCGGGTGTCCCGACTATCAGATACCCGTTACTCAGGTAAAGGGAGTGCGAGGGAGATGGAGATAGAAACTTTGATCACGCATAACTTTTTAACGAATGGTCCGATTTGAAAAATTTCTTCTACATTTCGATAGGTATTGAAAAACACAATAAAACTGCATTTTTACTTTTCCGAAATATTAAAATTTTTAAAATCGTATATAAGCGATTGTGGGCGTTAAAGGGGGCGTGGCACCATTTTGAAACAAACTTGCGCCGCGTAGGAACTTCTAAAATCTACATGCAAAATGCCAATCTTCTAGCTTTTATAGTTTCCGAGATCTCAGCGTTCATACGGACAGACAGACAGACAGACAGACGGACAGACAGACGGACAGACGGAGAGACGGACAGACGGACAGACGGACAGACGGACATGGCTAGATCGACTCGGCTAGTGATCCTGATCAAGAATATATATACTTTATAGGGTCGGAAACGCTTTCTTCTACCTGTTACATACTTTTGCACGAATACAATATACCCTTTTACTCTACGAGTAACGGGTATAATTAGCTTAACCAATTCTCTATATTGCAAAATTTTACCCACTTACCATAGTATTTATGACCATGAATGTGCTCCCAAAGTCCACTCTGCGTGGGATACTCGCCTTTGTAACCCACTTTGTTCAGAGTCTCCAGCAAAACAGAGAGATAATAGTCGATTAAGTCCTTTCCAAGGTCGCAGCGCTCCTGCCATTCCATTAGCATGTAGACGGAGTAAGTTAGGTCGACGGTAATAGGACAAATGTTGCTGATCTGAAAATCCACCAGCATCACGTCTTCAGAGGCTCCAGTCTCCTTGTTATTCTTAAACATCATGTTTCGAAGATGAAAGTCGCCGTGGCACAGCACGTAGTACCTGTTCAATTGCGGATTGGAGCGGTACTCCAGCATTATTTCACTCATCCGCTGCATGTAGTTACTATTTATTTTATCAAAATGCGGCTTGTACTTTGTGAGCTCGGGAACTTGGTCCAGCATTTCAAGGAAGCAGGGCAGCCCAGTAGTCACCATGGGATCGGTCAAGAAGGTGGACATATCCCACATACCATATTTGAATTCCTCCAGGAAGTCAGGTTGCTAGAACGAAAACTTTTGTATTAGTCGAGATTTAATCTTCGTTAGAGCAAGTCCATACCTCATCTATAACTTTCATGCTGACTGCATGCCACTTGGCCAATTTGGTGAAGGCTTTCTTCAGTTCCTCTTTGGTGGCTGGACGATCTCGGATCACGGTGTATCCCTGCGGCACCAGATCCTCGAATATCATTACTTTTCGCGGCTCCAGGCTGTGATAGATGCATGGCACATAGAGTTTAGTATTATCCCCGGACTCCCGCAGAATCCGCTCGAACTCGGGCAGAGCCTTGCTGTACATCAGTATTTCCGTTTCAAAGATGTTCGATTCGGACAGCATGTCCTTTTTGTGACCTTCCTGTTCCGGCATTGTCTTGACGATCAGTGCTTTAGAGTGCCTTCCTTTCTCGGTGTTGTACTCCGCCACAGTTCGGAACATGACGCTCGCATAATGATCTCCTTGGGCAGTTGCCGGGGATATTTGCAGATCTGTAACTTGCAACTCAGGTGCCTTTTCATAACCGCTTAGCACCTCTTTTATGAACTGGATATTCAGCCAGGAAGACGGTTGCAGTTCGTCGGCATTAAATTTATGGGAATTTGCGTTTTCTGTCATGCTTGAAGCCACTTTACAGAACTTTAACTAGCTAGATTACTGCTCAATTGGGTTATGACAAAAATGTGTGAGGGGCCGCACATTTTATACTATTCTCAAAAAAGCTAACCCATATTGCTCCAAAAGCTTTTCAGGCGACATATCATTGTCATATTATATTATATATCATTCTCTTAGTAAGAACTATAATTGTAGAATTAAATATCAAACATTTACATGCCGTTTTCCGACAAAATTAAATTGTTTCAGTCGGCAAGAAAATATAATCCACTAATCCACTTAATTGATAAGCAAACAAAGCCGTAAGCCTAAACTTTTATTTGAATTTAAAGCTTTTAATTTATAAAAGTTTTAACTAAATGCGCTTTTATTAAAAAGTCCACTAGTTAGGCGAAGTCACGCTGATATTAAGCAAATCATTTTAAATTTATAAATTGTAAGCTTTGGTTCTTAAATTAAAAATAAAGTGTGCTAAAAATGTGCTATACAAAATATAAATTATTTCCATTTATTAAAACAATTAAGTAAACAATGAAAACAGTCTTCATGTGTATTATATTACAGAATGCATTTGTGAGTATCTACAGATTCTTAAAATATCCCAATTTTTCGTATTCAGGTAATAATTTACTAAAATCCTGAATAACTTTCTCTGAAAAGTAAGTTTTCTGCCGAATTTCATCATTCATAATGATATCTTCAAGTTTATAAGTATTTTCTTGTACCGCCAAAATGTTTGGCAAAAACGTAGTAGCCAGGAAGAAATCTAAAATGAGATGCGTTTTATTAAGAGTTCGTAGCGTAAAAATAGTAGTACTTACCATAATATTTGTGATGTAAAATTAACTCCCACAGTCTGTCTTGACTGGGAATTTTGCCCTTAAATTTAATTTTTCTTAGAGTATGATTCAAAACGGAAAAGTAATAATTGATCAACTCCTCTTTCAGATTCCAACGCTGTTCCGCATCCATGAGCAAATAGACGGAATATATTAAATCAACTGTTGGAGGCGCAATATTGGAGATCTGAAAGTCCAGCAACATAACGTCGTCGAATTCACCAGACTCCTTATTATTTTTAAACATCATGTTTCGGAGATGAAAGTCTCCGTGGGATAAAACGTAAAATCCATCGGGTTGCCGGTTCTTGCGATATTCCTCTAATACTTTAGCCTGGCGTTGCATGTAGCTTTCATTTATTTTCGCGAAATAAGGCTTGTACTTTAGCAGCTCAGGGGTTTTGTCCAGCATATTCAGGAAGTTTGGCATTCCTGAGGTTACCATAGGCGTATCCAAAAAGGCAGGCATACCGCACATTCCATACTTGAATTCTTTCAAAAACTCTGGTTGCTGTGAAAAGGGGAATTCAAAACTAACTGCAATATTTAAACCATAATAATTACTTACCTCATTCAAAACTTTCATACTGATGGCGTGCAATTTGGCCAATTTAGAGTACACTGCTTTCAGTTCCACCAGAGTAGGCGAACGATCTCTCATGACGGAATATCCTTGCGGCACCAAATCCTCGAAAACTATAACCTGACGCGGTTCCAGGCTGTGATAAATGCAGGGCACATAGAGCTTAGTGCTATCTCCTGCCTCCCGGAGAATCCTTTCGAATTCCGGAAGCACCTTGCTGTACATTCCGATTTCAGTTTCGAACAGATGCGACTCGGCCAGCATGTCTTTTTTAGCACCTTCCACTTCCGGCATCGTTTTGATGATCAATGATTTGGAGAACTTTCCTATTGATGTTGTGTATTCGACCTTGGCTCGGAACATAACACTAGCATAGTGATCTCCCTGGGCAGTTCCTGGCGTGATCTCCAAATCAGTTACTTTCAATTCCGGATCCTTTTTATAGGTGCTTAGTATTTCACCAAGAAACTGGGCATTTAGCCAAGCCGGTGCATGAAGCTCATCATCGTTAAACTGATCTACGTTTTCCGTCATTTTTCTGCCGCCCCTTTTACAACCCAATAATGCTTGATTAAAGTGTTCAACGCACAACACTGTTCTAATCAAATTTCACGGCTACGATCGTTTTAAATACAAATTCGGTTGCCTGCGAAAAGCTTTGTACAATCTTTGGTAAGCTTTTATTAAATGCATTACGTTTTTCCTTAACCTTTTGTGAAATTCGTATTTTTTTATGAGATTACAAAAAATTGTTAAAAAATCACTTAACTTAATTGAAGTTATATTTCAGGCGAATAAACATAAAAATTGCAAACAATTAGGTCACAACTTTCTGCTTTTTATAATTTTGGAGAGGGTATTCGAATTTCGGTCAAAAGCTTGCAACTCAGTAACGGGCACATTTCCGTCCCCATAAAGTATTTAAATTCTTGAACAGTATTTATCGCAAAATTTTAAGTTGTAAGTCCTTTTCAATTTTTCTAAAAATAGCTATGAAGAAATATAGCTATGAACAAAAGTGACCAAAAACATGACTTCTCAGCGCATAACTTTTCTTACAGACATCGGATTTAAAAGTGGCATACTTCTAAATGATTGTGGTTTAATCCTCTAAAAAACTGTATTCTCACTTGGTTTGTATTTTTAGGTCGATTTTTCGTCATTTTTATAGTGTTACCCCTTTCCAAATTTTCGAAAAATGGCTTTGCAGAAAAGTGACCTAAAACCTGCACTTCTCAGCTCATAATAACGTTCTAACATTTTAAAAATGAGACGACTATATCAAATAGCAAGCATAGGAACAATCGAAAAACTAATCGGAAATCGACTTATTTTCATTATTTTCAAGCATCGAAATTGAAATACAGAATATTTAATATTTATTTAATTTTTGTAACTGCGGCAAGAGTATATAAACTTCTCCTTCACGAAGTTTGCTTTTTTTCTTGTTGTTCTCTCAAAATACTCACCAGATAAGAACAACATGACCAATTGATATTGAACTTAACCTTGCATTAGACACTTAAGACCATTTTACAATTGTTACTTCAACAAAAAATAACAGATAGCACGGTTTTTTTGTGTAAATAGCGTAATCAATTTATAAGCAAAAACATTTTATTTTCTATCATTCTCTTCATGTCTCAATTTTAAAAGTCTATAGTCTGAGTTTAACTTTTATTTTCTGAGCAAATGTATTTATTAACATTTAAACTAAAGATCCTTAAAGTATCCCAATTTTTCAAATTTGGGCAATAGCTTAGAAACATCTGTTACATAGTTGTCAAAATAATAGGACTTCTTTCGAGCTTCCGGGTCTTGAAGTGCTTCATGAATTTTCAGATTATTGGATTTAACGGCCAACATCATTGGAAGCAATGTGCTTATCATAAGGAAATCTGAAAGATAAATAAATTGTTAACAATATCAGCTTCAATGAAGATTTGATGTGATTTTTTTCACATACCATAGTATTTGTTGTGGTGTATTTGTTCCCACAGTCCATCTTGGGTGGGCACGTCGCCCTTGAACCCAATCTTCTTAAGAGTTGCAACCAAAACCGAGAAATAATCGTTGATCAGGTCCCTTCCCATTTCCCAACGCTGTTCCGGCTCCATCAACATATAGATGGAATAAGTGAGGTCAACAGTAATTGGACAAAGATTGCTGAACTGAAAATCCACCAACATGGCATCCTCTTGAGCTCCTGTCTTCTTGTTATACTTAAACATCATATTCCGGAGATGGAAATCGCCGTGGCACAGGACATAGTGTCTATCATTTCGCCGATATTTGTGATATTCATGCATCTCAACCTGCAGCCTTTGCATGTAGTTATCTTTTATTTTTTCAAAATGCGGCTTATACTTCCTGAAATCAGGAAATTTGTCAAGCATTTCAATGAAGTTCCCCATGCCAGTAGTTATGAAAGGATCAGTTGTGATGGTGGGCATTTCAAATAGGCCATATTTGAACTCCTTAAGAAAAGTGGGTCGCTGATGGATGCAGTACAATTAAAAAGATAATCATTAAACTTGGGTAAGTTAATAAACATACCTCATTAATAACTTTCATGCTGACTGCATGCCATTTGGCCAGCTTGGAGAAGACTAATTTAAGTTCATCCACTGTGACAGGACGATCCCGGATGACGGTGTATCCTTGCGGCACCAGGTCCTCAAAGATCATCACTTGCCGCGGCTTCAGACTGTGATAGATGCAGGGCACATAGAGTTTGGTATTATCCCCTGCCTCTTGGAGAATCCTTTCGAACTCGGGCAGCGCATGACAGTACATTCCGATCTCGGTTTCGAACAAATGCGATTCGCTCAGCATGTCCTTCTTGTGTCCTTCCTGCTCTGGCATCGTCTTGATGATCAGGGGCTTGGAGAACTTTCCCTTTGAGGTGGTATACTCGGCAGTTGCTCGGAACATAACGCTGGCATAGTGATCTCCCTGGGCACTGGCGGGTGTAATTTTCAGATCGGTTACTTTCAGTTCGGGACTGTTTTCATAGGTGCTTAGAATCCCACCGATGAACGTGGCATTAAGCCAAATTGGCGGATGAAGCTCGTCGGCATTAAATTCAGTAGTTGACTTGTCCATTTGTGTTTTTTGTTTACCGCAGTAATAGAACCTTTTGGTTAAGAGTCTAATGTAGAACTGCAATAGTTATACAGGACGATCGCTTTAAGTAAAAATTGGGAAGCAGCTTTTAATCAAGAAATATTTCCTTTAACTACAATATATTGCGAAATTATCTTATCTTATCACCCCTTAAAAAATACGTTGTTCATGCTGCGTAAGCAAGTATAAAGCAAATAGAGTTATTTAATAACAGCTTTTAGAAACACTCTACTATTAAATGATCAATGTTTATACTTTTTTACTTACTCATTTTATTTTCTAAAAGAAATTGTATTGTTCTTTTAGTTTTTCTTTATTGCAGATGTTAGTTCAACAAATAACAGGTTGGCTTATTTTATTATTACAACTTTTGGTATTATGAATCAATTTAAAAATTAAAGACCCTTGAAGTAGCCCAGTTTTTCGAATTTGGGCAATATTTTGGTAACATCCTTTACGTATGTATCCAAAAAATAGGTCTTTTGGCGAGTTTCCGGGTTCTGAATCAAATCGTGCATTTTAAAACTATTTGATTTGATGGCCAGAATCAGTGGGAGAAAAGTGCTGATCAAAAAGAAATCTAAGGGCGTTTTAAAAATATAAATTAGATACATTAGTTCTTGAGGTTAGCTATGACATCAACTTACCATAATACTTGTTTCGATGAATCTGCTCCCAGAGTTTAGATTGGGTTGGCATTTCACCGTCGTATTGAATGCTCTTAAGGGTCGCTACCAAAACTGTGAAATAGTAGTTGATCAATTCCTTTCCCATTTCCCGTCGCTCTTCTGATTCCATCAACTTCTGATTCCATCAACATATAGATGGAATATGTTAGGTCGACGGTAATAGGGCAGAGGTTGCTGATCTGAAAATCAACCAGCATGACATCCTCGTGGGCTCCTGTCTCCGAATTGTTCTTAAACATCATATTGCGCAGATGAAAGTCGCCGTGACACAGGACATAGTACGCATCATTTCGCCGATTGTTCTGGTATTCTTGCATCTCAACTTGCAGTCGGTTCAAAAATGTATCTTTAATTTTTTCAAAATGAGGCTTATACTTTTTCAGCTCGGGTAATTTGTCCAGCATTTCTATGAAGCTACCCATGCCAGTAGTTATAAAAGGATCATTCTGGATAGTAGGCATATCGAATAAACCATATTTGAAATCCTTGAGAAAGGCGGGTCGCTGGAGGGGCCAAAAAAAATATTAAATAATAATAATAAATATAACTTTTAAACTCACCTCCTTAATAACTTTCATGCTAACGGCGTGCCATTTGGCCAGTTTTGAGAAGGCGGTTTTGAGTTCCTCCTGTGCAACAGGACGATCCCGAATAACGGAGTATCCCAGGGGCACCAGATCCTCGAATATCATCACCATATTCGGCTCCAAGCTGTGGTAGATGCAGGGCACAAATAACTTAGTGTTATCTCCTGCCTCTCGAAGAATTCGCTCGAATTCGGGAAGTACCTGGCAGTACATCCCGATCTCGGTTTCGAACAGATGCGATTCGCTGAGCATGTCCTTCTTGTGTCCTTCCTGCTCCGGCATCGTCTTGATGATCAGCGGTTTGAAGAACTTTCCCTGTGCGGTTGTGTAATCCACTTTGGTGCGGAACATAACACTGGCATAGTGATCTCCCTGCAAGCTCGCGGGTGTGATTTTGAGATCAATCACTTTCAATTCCGGGGCGTCTTCGTACTTGCTCAGAATCTCTCCTATAAACTTGGGATTCAGCCAAGCCGGGGCCTCCAGTTCGTCGTCGTTGAATTGTGCCGTGTCTAATTTGTCAGTCATTTCGATTGCTTTTGCACAATCTATTCTGAGTGCAATCGTAGTTGGTTATGGAAACCCCGTTCATGTGCTAGTCCCATTTTAAGTAAAATGGTTAAGCTTTTGGAATGCTTTGCTAAAGCTTTTCGCATTCAGAAATAGCCATGGTTTTTCTAATTTACTATAAATTATTACTTATAAGGTTGGGCTGAACAAGAGAGTGAACAGGTTTCCGCATTAGATTTTTCTTACAGGAATTTAGGCACTGTTACGTTATTTTCTCTATAAACAATTTCATTGCATTTACTAGAAAAATATAACTAAGAATTACTAATAGTCCACTTCAGAATTTTACAACAGGTAATTTAGAAAAAAAACTGATACCAACTCAATCAAAAGGCACACTTTAAGTATCTTTCTGATTAATAAAGTTTCCTACAAACTGCCGGTATCCCAATCGAACTGAGAGATAAGAATAATAAACACGCAAACAAAATTGATAATAATATGATATTATATAATATAATATTTAATATGAATATTATTATAGTTGTATAACGAATATTGATAATATTTTGGATATAGTATAAGGTTGTGAATACATTATTTAGCCTATATATAATTTGTCTAATATTTCTCTATGTACAATTTGCTCTATGGTGTACTATATAACACAGGTGTAAAATAATATGATCCATTATTGATCTACATCAAGCAATCCTTCTGCCACAAAACCGGGCAGGAGTTCACGCAAAATCCTCTGAGAAATCGGGTTGGTATAGCAGGCATTCTTGAAATTTATGGCTCGCTGGTTGTTCTCCATTAGGGCATTGAAATCGGCATCGGCGGTCTCCACATTTCGCTGGATTGGAAACACTGAGATGGATGTGTGGGCAGCTAAAAATTGTATGAAAAATTCCAAATTAATCACCATCTAATACTTTCAAAAGATTCTTAACTCACCATAGAACTTCTTCGTGTGCAACTGCTGGTGGAACTGATGCAAACTGGGAACTGGAGCTTGGTATTGCAGCTTTCTCAAGGTGTTGGAGAATATGTCGAAATAGTAGGCAATCAGTTGTTCCTGATGGTTTTGATGCAGGTCAAACTCCAGCGAGGTGTTCAGGAAGTAGAAAAGATCTAGGGCCGGCGATCCCCAGGCCGTGTATTGGAAGTCAATGATAATGACATCCTCTGGCTCCCCAGTTTCCTTATCGTACTTGACCAGCACATTGTTGGTCCACAGATCGCCATGGGCCAGGACATTAATTTGACCCGGAGTAATGTCAAAGATTCGCTTGCCCAGTTCCATGTAGATGGGGACCAGAGCCTCCATCTTCTCCGCATACTTCTCGTATCCTGGCCACTGAGCCACACGACGAGTGGCCGCCTCGAACATGCCAATGAATGCAGGTGCGTAGTTCTCGGTGTACCGATTGAAGAATCCCCTATCGTAGCCCTCCAGACTGTGCTCCTCACGCTCGTTTAAGACCGCCGAGGTGGCATGCATCTTGGCCAACTTTCGCAGCACAATTCGGGCTAGCTTAAGGTCCAATCCGACCAAACGATCCGGCATTACAAAACCGCGGGCATTGAGATCCTCGAAGATCAGCGCTGAGTTATCAAGGTCCACGGCCATGGTTTCGGCAAAGATCTGCTCGGCATCCCCGATCTCCCGGAGGAGGGACTTCTGTTTGGGCAGGACCTGCTCGTAGATAGTCATCTCCCGATTGAAAATGTCATAGGGCTCCATGGTGTTCTGGGCAAATTCGTTGCCCTCGAAAGTGGACTTCACTATGTAGTGACCCAGTTGGGAGGTACCATCGCTGCTGGTGAATTGGGCCTTCACTCGTGTCAGAACTCCGCCGTAGTTTTCACCTTTGCCCAAGGCAGGATTAACCTTAACCCAGTTGATCCTGAGCCTCTGATCCTTGTAGTATTTTCGCAGGGCATCCTGCAGATACTCCTCCGTTAGCCATTCAGGAGCATCCAAGAAAACCGAACTGGGCTCCGTAGCAGAACTAGGAGCTGTTAGCTTGGGAATGGCATCAAGTGCACCGATCAGATCCGAAACCGACATTTTAAAAGTGATCTTTTAGCAGTGAGACTTCCAAACGAAATTGTGCTCAAAACTAAGAGTACTTGCGCTTATATGGCAAAATCTCAGACGGTGTAGACTGTTCCCAGCTCCTAGATATGGACTGTACATATCCGAGAGGCCTCTCGTCACAATTGCGATTACTATAACCATAAAATCGCAGATTTTGTAGCTCTGAACGTATGCAAACACGGGCACACAGATTACACTTTTTATTGGATGGCCCCCGTGCCTCCAGTCGGCGATTCGGTGATCTGGATCTGGGTCTCACCTCCCACCTCCCGTGGCTACTGCCTAATTGTTTGAGTTTGTCGAAGGCAAGCCAGTTAATCTTTATAGCACTCGCTGTGGGCTTAGGGCTGCGCAAGTGTTTTCTTAGTGATTACCCAGGCTCACAAGCGCTAAACGATTCCCAGCCATATCACTTTAAACCCGAGTGATTTGTCAAAATGCTAACGTCAGACGCTGGGAAAAATCTTAGGGATATAGAAAAATATACAATTGCTAAAGATAACCTTTTCCTAAAGTTCATCAGAATCTTTACCCAGTTCAAATCCCAAAATTGCACAAAATACAAAAATTGCATATATAGTGCATATTTTGGTTAACTTTCCTTTAAAATTTAAAAAAAAAAAATTTTTTAATTGTTTAATATTTATATTTTCTCAGGTAGGAAAGGTGTAAAACTATACTTCAACAAACTTAATAAACTTTATTTAAATCATTTTATGAGTGGGTTTTTTAGCTGTCTTAACTTTGTCGGCCTTTTACTGATAAACTATGTTTGCTTTGTCTAGGTAAATATGAGTACTTAAAATTTCTCAATGGTTTATAGCTCAGAACAAAGTTACTTAAAATCACTCTTTACCCAAGTGAAGGATATTTTAACTAGAAAGAAGTCTTAAAGTCTAAAAACATAGAAAACAATTTTTTCAAAACCAAAACTGAAAACTGAAACTGAACTTTATGGTAATGTTTAAAATTTCCGATTTTAAATAAATTTTTTGCAGGTAAATATCAAATAAATTTTAATAGCTTAATACGTCTTGGTAAATATTGAAAAAGTTACTAAGGAAGTCTGGGCAAACAACGTTGAAAGACGTCATGCAAATATTGACAAAATGCAATTCTGGTGCTCTGGGATAAAATATCATCTGGGACATTGAAAAGGTTTACGTAAGACAATGGAAGCTGTCGATGGGAAATTATGATGATGAATGGGTTTCCGCGTGATAAGGCGCTGACAAAAATTAAAACGGAATACGAAAATGAGCTACTTTGTTAATATTTATGTGTATCTTAATGATAAGGACTTGGAGGCGTCTGTTCGCGTCACAGATGCTTAAAGATATGTACTATATCTGCCAGAGCCACAGTGTTGAGAAATGGCACGATTCTTGGCACACGACACGCTTATTCGAGACCTGTTGCCAAATGAAGATAATGCCCAAAGCAAACATACTAGGCTGTAGCTGCAAATATTAATGCAATTAAATCTGCAAATACAAGCACAATACACTTGGAAAAAATAAATTTTAATGAAATTCTGAAACAGAAAACAACAGAAGATCTCAACTTTAATTAAAGTAAAAGAAAATATCGATGAGGCATGCGCTGATAAGTAGTTTTATACTTGTAGCCAATTTATTTTGGGATATATATGGGAAATAAAAAAATTAGTCTTTTATTTATATTTATTTTTTTTAATAAAGATATATATATTGTTTAAACAAATGCATTTCTAGAAATCTAAGAATTTACGAATAACAGATAACAATGTAATGATAAAATGTTATTTTATAAGTCGATGTCTTTTATACCTGCGCGTCACGTTCACATCTGGCGACCATGTGTCGATCCTTAACTTAAGATCCTATTTAAATCCCTTCACAGTTTAGCTACCTAAGTTCATACAATTGATATAAATAAACAGTTTTAGAGGTATTTCTCCCAGTGCAATACAAGATCACGTACAGAGGGGGTCGTTTAGTGCACCTTGACAAATGTACAGCATTAAGGGGTAGTATAAAAGCAGCCGACTTAGCGTCTGTTTTTTAGTGCTCACTCTGAAAAATTAAGGCAAGCAGAAAAGATGGCTGCAGCACCCGAGTGGCTGACCCACGAATATCTCGAGCACGCCCTTCGCTCTCACTACAAAGACGATGGTCTAACTATAACCCAGCTGCAAATAAATCCCGCCTTGGGACCCGGAGAAAACTACGGAGGTGTTTTGACCCGGACTCGAGTGCAATTTACACTGTCCAATCAGGAAACACATCTGCAGAACCTGATCGTGAAGACGGAAATCGATGATGACGAGTTGACCCAGGAACTGATGGCTCCCTACGATATCTACAACAGGGAGATGACAATCTACCAGGAAGTGCTGCCCAAGCTGAAGGATCTGCTGAATGAAATTGGAGATACCGAAAGGATTTTCCCCACTGCCATATACGTGGATCGCGAGCGAATGGCCATTATCTTCGAAGACCTTTCGGTTCAGGGCTATGTAATGGCCGATCGAGTGCGTCGCCTCAACGAGGAGCACACCCACCTAATCCTTCGGAAATTGGCCAAGCTCCATGCGGCTTCGGCTGTTTTAAATGAAAGGGAAAATGGGAGCCTCGAAAGCTACGATCGTGGTTTCTTCAACCGCTATACTAACGCGTATAAGGGCTACTTTGTGGGTGGTCTTTTGGCCGCCGCCCGCTGGATGAGCCAGGTGCCCAAGATGGCCCATTACGCAGAGAAACTATTCGCCTTGGCTCCCCACTACATGGACATTGGCAGGGAGTGCTTTGCACCCACTGCGGGTCAGGTGAATGTGTTTGCCCACGGCGATGTTTGGACCAACAATGTGATGTTTAAGTACGACACGAAAACGGGACGACCCGTGGACGTCCTGCTCATTGACTTTCAGTATTCCTTTTGGGGTTCGCCCTGCATCGATCTACATCACTTTTTCAACACGTCTCTGAAGGAACCATTGCGTCGAGATCAGCAAAGTGGGCTTTTCCAGTTCTACCACAGTATTTTTAGTGAAACGCTGAAAAAACTAGACTACCGTCAGAACCCCATTCCCAGTTTGCATCAGTTTAAGCAGCAGGTGGAGCAGAAGCGATTCTTCGGTGAGTTATCTTACTGAACCCAGTAAAATCCTCTTTCTAATGAAACATTTTCTATAGCTATGCACTCGACTGTGGTGGTACAACCAGTCATGATTAGCCAGGATCCCACGGATGCCTGTTTCAATGCCTTGATGAACGATGATGAGCGTGGCATTCGGTTCAAGAACCGATTATATAATAATCCCACTGTTCAACAAAATCTTCATTCTCTGGTCCCCTTCTTCGATGAAAAAGGCCTGCTGGAAGTAAATCAGACCTGTGGATGAGATGATTAGAACTGATTAACCGTGTTCCTTAGCTCTATATATAAACTAGAATTAGTTTTAATAAATACTTTTAGTACCAATTACATTTTCCGTTTTATTTAAATAAAGAAAATTATATAAAATATACACTATTTGTTTGAAATCAAACAAATCATTAATTAACATGGCTCACACGTCGTATGAGCAATTCTCAATAAACAAAACGCTCTCAAGATATGCTCAAATATATCTTTATAGTTTACGAAGATTTAAATACGCTCCTAGTTCACTTTCAGTTGTACTTTTTTATCACAATAACGAATATAAATTTTGCCCAAGTAGTGAAGTCTCGAAAGAAGTTTCCATGCCCAAAAGTAAGCAATATTAAATTCTTAAAATCTGCTAAAAGTAAACAGTAGGATTGTTTAGGGGAAGGAATGACAGACATACATTTTAAAGTTTATTTTTATGTTAAAGTCTCAGGAGTGTTGTTATCGGTAACACCTGAAAGTATGCAGGGGACACTTCATTTGGCTTTATCTCCTTAATTTACTTTCAGGTTGTTTGATTTCCACTACCTATTATCAAGGCACTTGAAATCGCTTGCAGTTTTACTTCTTCTGGTACTTTCTATTGTTTCCTTGTGAAATAGCACTGTCCCGATATGTATTTAAACAAAAATAAGTACGTCGACTACTAGCTAGAAACAAACAGAGCCACTGTAAATATGTAAATAGCCCCCCACAAGTGAATCCCACTCAAATCTGTTCACGTTTATGTTAGCTTAACTATGCAAATGGGCAGATGGATTTATGGGTGTGAAGAAGATTAATTTGAGGCGGGAACGAGAGCGATCTTTAAACGCCACGACATCAAGTTCTGGCGTACAACTTACATCATATATAGACGCGTGCACCGATCTGCGCGATGTGCGGTGTTATCTCCCGAGCTTTGAGCACTGTCTGTATCTTGTGCGCTTTAGATACTCGCGAACCTCTAACGTAGGCATCTGAATCAACGGCGAACAACTACGTAATTGTCTGAGTCGGCTTGCTTTACGGCTACCATAATGTGGGATCTGTCGTCGGCGAGATTGCGCCTCCCAGCTGCCTATAAATGGGGCCTTTCGCCGGACCCAGCGATCCAGAACCCAAGTTGAGCATCATCATGGTGGAGCAGGGCAAACAAGACGCTAAAGACTTCCATCCGGCACCAGTTTGGCTGGATGAACCCTATCTGGAACGCCTGCTCAAGGATCTGAAGAAGGATCCGAATCTGAAGATCACCGACCTGGAGATAAGGCCCGCCACTGCCAAGGGTGACAATTATGCCAGTGTTATGACCCGCGTTAAGGTTTTCTACCTCAAAAGCGGCGCCAAAAACCCCGAGATCGAGTACTATATTGTGAAGACCACATATGAGAACGACGCCTTCTCCTCTGGTATATTTTCGCAGTACCAGGTCAGCACTACGGAAATGCGAATGTACGAGAAGATCCTGCCTCAGTTGACTTCACTTATTGGCAAGACCCGCCAGCCGGAGAAGCTATTTGCGAAGACGTTGCATGTTGACTACGAACATGAGGCCATCATTTTCGAGGACCTGGCAGTGCCTGGCTATGTCCTGGCCGATCGACTCATCGGTTTCGACCTCGAGCATACCCGCTTAGGCCTTCGGAAGCTGGCCAAGATGCATGCTGCCGCCGCTGTCTTGAACGAACGTCAACCGGGAGTGCTGACCCAGTTCGATCATGGCATCTTCAATCGTCACACTCAGGGCTTTGCGCCATTCTTTGTAAACATGGTGGGCGTGGCGTCCAATTTTGCCAAGGAATGTCCAGAACTGGGTGAGCCCTATGCAAAGAAATTAAAGGAACTGCAAAAGCGAGTGATGGAGTACTCCGAAAGGGTTTACGATCCTCAGCCGGGGGAGTTTAACACCCTGGTGCACGGCGATTACTGGGTGAACAATGTGATGTTGCGTTATGGGGAGCAGAAGGAGCCCCTGGACATGACCCTGATCGACTTCCAGTTCTGCAGCTGGTCCTCGCCGGCAGTGGACCTGCACTACTTCTTCAACACCTCGGTGCAAAGCGCCATTCGCTTCGAGCAACAGGATGCACTGATTCAGTATTACCACTCGGTGCTGGTGGAAACCCTCAAGGATCTCAACTTTGGTGGCTATACCCCCACATTGCGGCAATTGATCCTGCAGTTGGAGAAGGGAAGATTCTTTGGTAAGTAAAGAAAATGCTTTTCCCTTTTGTTGCCTTCCCTAATTTCCTTTATTATCTTAATATATTTAATAGCCGTCACAGTGGCTCTGGTCTGCCAGGCTATATTGACCAACGATCAGACCGCCGATGCTGACTTCCATGCCTTGATGAAGGACGACGAACGAGGACGTAACTTCCGGAAACTGCTCTACACCAACAAAAGACTGCAGGACAATCTTAAGTACGAGCTGCCACGCTTTGATAGGAGCGGTCTTCTAGATGTCACCGACTGAACGGGATCCATGTGGTTCTTTTTTATCCTTACCGTCTACTATATATCAAATAATAGTTCAACAAATAAATTTTAAAATTATAAATGTTAAATGTGTTAAATGTTAAAAATGTTAACTTAGAGATGCCCACACTGTGACTTTAAGAAAGTATATTATGCTACAAACAAGTGCTTGGTGTATTAAAAACCTTTTAATTCTTACAATTACAATAGTAACGAAATTATAGCTTTAAGTTTGTTCTCGTGCACTTTTTGTGGACATTTAAGCCCCGAAATATTCCTCAACTTTGAGTCACGTTCAGAAGTTATTGATAGACTATTTAATTAATTTGGCTAGGGATGGAAAGTGATCTTTAAAGGCCACGTCAGAAAATGGTACACACTTGCTTTATGGCTTATGGCCTTCTAATGGGATCTGTCGTCGACGAGATTGTGCCATCTGGATGCCTTAAATTGGGAGTCCGACTGGTACCAGCGATCCGGAACTCAAGTTAAACATTATCATAGTGGAACATAAACTTAGATGTCACCGATTGACCGGCACATTTTAAATGGTGTTCGCTTATATCGGTACCTTGTATTATGTTTAACATATTAACTCAGCTTTAACAAATTATTAAATGTTTTAGTTTTGAACAATCATTTTGTATGAGCTGGTATCATAAATGTCTGTTTAAAAACCCAATCAGTAAGCTTAAGATGATAAATTATGGTAGATATTGTGTGCTTTGTAGATAAACCTCTATATTATAACTAATGTGTTCTTACAAATAGAGTCAACTGATAGTAAACTTCGTTTACTCCCCCTTTACACTGTGTTCTGTGTTACTCTTATAAACAAATAGGTAAGCCTCAAGCTTATCAAGAGTTTTATTTTTATTTTTTTGTTTTTTATTTTTCCATTTTACTCTTTAATTGGTTAAAATATGCTATTTATTTAATAATAAAAATGTGTTTCGTCGCAGATTTTTTTGTAATATAAAATATATATATCTTTGTCCAGACATTTGGGATTTATCTTTTTGCGTATCTCGACTGCTTCTATTTCACCATTTTTCAAGGGCTTGTAACTGTTATCACCTGAGATTTTTATTATTGTTTGCACTTCTAGTTTGCCAAGCGCCTTACTTTATCTGGCCGAATTCAAGTAGATCCTTTTCTTATCAGTCAAGAGCCCAGACTTTCGTATGAAAAGGTCAGTTATGGCCCAAATAATGGCAGCAATTGCAATTACCATTATCTCGTGATAGTGCTCTGCAAATAAATATGGCTATTTTTCCAAGAAAGTATATATGTGCAATTAACTTTCAATTAGGAACGGCGTGACTTGTTAAATACGATCTAGAACTAGAACCTTTATTTACTTAAACTATTCGCCCTCAAATCACATTTCATCCAGCAATCCAAACTGATCGAGAAACGGAAGAGTAAGTCCCAACTTCTTTTTAACGGCTTCCGACTCATAGACGGAGTCCTTGAAACGCATTCCGCTTTCGGAAGTGGACAGTATTTGCTCAAGAGAAGCGTTCTCCTTGCCCTCGTACTGCATGACGGGCTCGAAGATCAGGGAACAGAAAACAGCTGTAAATATACATGATTGGAAATAACAAATTTAAAACTGAATGAAGGATTACACCCACCATAGAAGCCTCTCGAACGGAACTGCAGTTGGAAATCGAATAAGCTGGGAATCCGGCCCGAATACTTCAACTTCCTGAGGGCCTCCACCAACTTGTAGTAATAAAACTGGACCAGTTCCGACTGATTTTCGAGGCGGAGTTTGTCCTGCAATGATGTTGCAAAAAAGTAGTGCAGATCGATGGCCGGAGAGTTCCACACGCAGAACTGGAAGTCGATGAAAATGGCATTGGTGGGGTGATCTTTCGCATCGTACTGGAACATAAAGTTGGTGGTCCAAAGATCTCCATGGGCTAGGGTTAAAAAGTCGCCCGGATTATTCGTCGTCGATCGCTCGCCATAATCCATTAGTCGTTTGATAAGCTGATCAATCTTGGTCTTGAATCGTGGACCCAACTCCTGATCCGTGCTAAGGGAACGGGACAGGGCCTCCAATAGATTGATCATAAGCTGCCCGTAGGCGCGAGTATGTTTATTGAAGAAGCCTCGATCATAGTTCTTCGCAAAAATCCCAGGTTGGCGCTCGGCGAGAACGGCTCCTGCTGCATGGAATTTGGCCAGTTTCTCCAGCACCAGGTGGGTGTGCTCCAAGTCCAGTTTCTTCCGGCGACAGGCCACTTTGTACTGCTCCAGAGACATGTCCTCAAAGATGATCGAGTCCCGCTCGCGATCGACATTCAAGGTAGCCGCAAACATCTTCCTGGAATCCTTGAGCTCCTTCTTTACGATATCCGTTAGTTGGGGCAGGACGAAGTCGTATATATCCATCTCACGGGTATAGACGCCATAGTGAATGAGGACATCGCCAGCAGGATCCTTATTCGCGAATGTAGTCTTGACCAGAAAGTTAGTGGCCACCTTTTCCTTTGATTCCTTCGTGGTGTACTGGACATTCATGCGGGTCATCACACTGCCGTAGTTTTCTCCATTGGCAACAGCTGGCTGTGTGTCCAGCTGAATTAACTTTAGAGAACTGTTTTTAAAGTAATTACGCAGTTTTTCCTGCACATAATCCGATGTAAGCCAAACTGGCGCCGGATGAACTTTGTGGGTAGTGCTCTCAGACATGATGATCCTAGCCGTAACTCAGGGAACTTGTTTCTGAGACTTTTAGACAGGGGCCCACTGCTTTTATAGTGTGCTAAGGTATATGTGATAGGTATAGTGCAACTATCTCGTGGCGACTAGCTTTGTCATGGTCAAACAACACTCGAATGATTTCCGAGTCTAGCCGAATGCGCACTTTTATTACAATGTAGATTTAAGCATTCTACTGGCATTTAAAATTCCAGGTAATCCAATTTCTCTGATTTCACTGATAGGCACTCCTATACACTATACAAATAGTGAAACTAAAAGTGTGTGCGTCCTAATTTACTTAATGTAAGAAACACATCTACATTCGTTGAGCTCTGATTATATGTATATAAACAGATTTATTTTGTACACAGTTTCCTATTCTAGTCGCATCTATATCTTAGGCAGAGACAATCAAGTGTTAATAAGTTGCAGACAGTTTTTTGTCTTATACTTATAAATATTTGTGTTCTTCTGAACACATTTTCTATGTGATAATAAATAGTGTAAATGAAAAGTCAGTTAATTTAGGTGTGAAGAAATTCGCCCTTATTATCTGCTGCTAATTTGTTTGTCCATATCCATTAAACAATAAAATAACTAGTTACTTTTTCATGATATACTCGCCCATCCATGATTACCTGTAATCTACGACTACGACCTATTTTCTAACAGCATTTTTTATTAATGTGTATTCACAGTTTGAGTTATTAAAGAAAGCGGATATTTTAAATATATTCATTTATTCACAATTAGACCTTTTCAACATAATGGACCATACTTTTAATGGATTTTATTCAAAATATTAATATAATTTTACATAATGTCTAGTAATCCCAAGTGATCCAGAAATGGCAGGGTAAAATGCATTTCTTTTCTGATTTCCTCCCTTTGATAAATGTCATCCTGGAAACGCAATCCTTTTTCGGAAGTCGTCATAATCTGTTCCATGGATGCCTCCTCCTTGCCATCGTAAGCCATCACAGGCTCGAAACACAGTGATGCAAAGGTGGCTGAAAGATCAGAAAAATTATATTTAATTAAAATAAATAAATAAATAGTTCATATAGTTAAGTACCAACCATAGAAGGACCTTTTACGGAACTGCTGCTGAAAGTCGAATAAGCTGGGAACTTTTCCCGAATATTTTACTGCTTTTAGCGCATCCTTCAGTTTGTAGTAGTAAAACTGGACAAGCTTAGGCTGATCTTTCAAACGGATGTGGGACTGCAACGCGGTTGAAAGGAAATAGTGCAGATCAATTGCCGGAGAGTTCCACACGCTGAACTGAAAATCGATAAAGATGGCATTGATTGGATGTCCTTCACCATCGTACTGGAACATAATGTTGGTGGTCCAGAGATCCCCATGCGCCAAGGTCAAAAAGTCGCCGGGAACAATGGAAGTCGATCGCTCGCCATAGTCCATTATATTATCCACCAGACGATTGATTTTCGCCTGAAAACGCTGGCGGAGCTCGGGCTCCAGATTCAGGGAGCGCGACAGGGCCTTTAGAAGATTCTTCAAAATGGGCTCGTAGCCCCGGGTGTGTTGGTTAAAAAACCCAACATCGAAGTTCTTCGCAAAGATCCCCGGCTGCCTTTCGGCTAAGGCAGCTCCGGCTGCATGGAAATTGGCTAATTTCTCCAGGACCAGTTGGGCGTGCTCCAGATCCAATTTTTTGAGCCGATCGGCGACTCTATACTTCTCCAGGGATAAGTCCTCAAAGATGATGGAGTTCCGGCCGCGATCGACTTTCACGGTGCCCGCAAACAGTTTCCGACTGTCGCCAAGCTCATTCCGCACCAGATCCGCCAGTTTGGGCAGTATCAGATCATACATGTCCATTTCCCGGGTGTAGACCCCATAGTCCATTAGCACCTCCGCCGCCGGATCTCTGTCGGGGAAAATGGTCTTAGCCAGAAACCTAGTGGATTCCTTGGACATTGTGTTCTTCGTGGTGTATTCCACATTGATGCGGTTTATCACACTGCTATAGTTCTCCCCGTTCCCAAGTGCGGGCTTAATGTCCAGTTTCTCCAGCTTAAGAGAGTCATTTTTAAAATATGAACGTAGTTTTTCCTCAACGTAAGGCCGAGTGAGCCAAGTAGGTGTAGAATTGTTGCTTTCCTGGGACATGATTAGATCCGTAGTGCCGGCCCTAGGGAACTGCGACGTTTTCACCGGGCATTTGTCTTTTATAGTGTCATTGCAAGTATTTATTATTCTAGTCTTATCTTCCAATCTATTTCACTTTGACTTGCCTCTTCTAGAAAAAAAAACTGCCTTTGGGAAAATGAGATAAAGCTTACTACTCTAACTACTACCACAAAAAAAACTTGTTAAATGGTCAGCGTGGAATGCAATTCATATGTTATATATTCTTTAATTAAACATAAGTCTTTTGATCTAAAATATGTGTTAGACTAGCACTTTTAATGGCACATTATTTTACATTTCGTCCAGCAGTCCAAACTGATCGAGGAACGGCAGCGTCAGGTGCAATTTCTTTTGGGTTTCTTCTATTTGATAAACGGCATCCCTTAAACGAATTCCTTTCTCGTCGTGGGACATGAACTGCTCTATGGACGGCTCCTCCTTGCCATGGTAAACCATGGTAGGCTCAAAGATCAGTGATGAGAACACAGCTGAGGAGGGGGAATAGTAATAAAAACTTATTCAGATAAGGGTTTTAATTATCACAATAACTTACCATAAAACGCCCTCGCCCGAAACTGTTGTTGGAACTCAAACAAACTGGGAACATTACCCAAATAGTTAACCTTTTTCAGGGCCTCCACCAGCCTATAATAGTAAAATTGGACCAACTCCGTCTGGTTGTGCAGGCGAAGATTTTCGTGTATTGAGGTCGAAAAGAAATAATGAAGATCGATCGCCGGAGAGTTCCAAACGCTGAATTGGAAGTCAATGAAAATGGCATTGGCGGGATGTCCTTCATCATCGTATTGGAACATGACATTGGTAGTCCAAATATCTCCATGGGCCAGGGTTAAAAAGTCACCTGGATTACTGGACGTTGATCTCTCGCCGTAGTCCATTATATTATCCACCAGACGATCGATCTTAGCCTGGTAACGCTCTTTCAGATCCGGATGCAACTCTAGGGTACGCGACAAGGCTATCAGAATATTCTTCATGATGGGCTCGTAGCCCCGAACGTGTTTGTTAAAAAATCCCCGATCGTAGTTTTTCTTAAAGATCTCAGGCTGCTGCTCGGCTAGAGCTGCTCCGGCGGCATGAAACTTGGCCAGCTTGTCAAGAACCAGATGGGTATGCTCCAGATCCAGTTTCTTTAGCCTGCATGCCACTTTGTACTGCTCCAGGGACAGATCCTCGAAGATGATTGAGTCCCGCTCGCGATCCACATTTACAGTAGCCGCAAACATCTTCCTGGTGTCCTGGAGGTCTTTCCTCACTATCAATGCCAAATGGGGCAGGATCTGCTCGTACATGTCCATCTCGCGAGTGTAGATTCCGTAGTTGAAGAGCAAATGGGCCGCTGGATCTTTGTCGGCGAAGGTTGTTTTCAGCAGGAAAGTGGCGTCCTGCTTATCCTTTTTATCCTTGGTGGTGTACTCCACATTGATGCGGGTCATCACGCTGGCGTAGTTCTCTCCATTGGCTGTTGCCGGCTTGACCTCCAGCTTCTCGACACTAAGGCTGTCATTCTTGAAGTAGACCCTTAACTTTTTCTCCACGTAATCCTCAGTCAGCCACGCGGGTGCCTTGTGTGTCGTGTTCTCCGGCATTGTGTTGCGGTTCTGCTGTTTTTCGTCAGAGGTGTAACGCTTTTATATGGCTGCGGAAAGTACATAGTAGCTGGCATTGAGCGTATCTCGAGAAATAAGCTCCTTAATTGCCAGCAATTGAAAAGATTCTGGGACTAGCCGAACGCAAATTCGAGAAAAATGATTAAGATAAGGCTTTAGCTCTATGAATAGCGGCACAAATACTTTTATAGAATAGCGACCATTGTTTGACAAGCTTTTATTCTAACTAGAAGTATTAAATGAAAAGTGTAATATTCAACATTATATGACATTTTTTTGGAATTTTCTTTTCCCTGTATTTAAACAAGAACAAAAGACAAGACAATTTCAAACCAAACATTTTATTAAATATATATCTAAAGCTATTCACTATACCATAAGGGTCAAGCATTCATCATTTTGATATTTACACATTTTTAATGTTTTAAAACAAACTTTACATTTCATCTAGCAATCCCAACTCATCAAGGAATGGCAGTGTGTGAAGCATTTCTTCTCTGATGTGATCAGCCGCATATACGGAATCTCTGAACCGTATTCCGCTCTCGGTTTCGGCCATTCCCTGGGCGACGGAGGCCTCCTCAGTGCCATTGTACAGCATGACGGGCTCGAAAATCAGTGAGGAAAACACAGCTAAGAAAAGTATTTGTTCAAAAAAAGTGTTAAATAAGATTATATTGACTTACCATAAAATGCTCTGGCCCGAAACTGCTGTTGAAATTCAAATAAACTCGGGATGGTTCCTGAATACTTCAGCTTCTTCAGGGATTTTACCAGTTTATGGTAGTAAAACTGAACCAACTCTGGCTGATGTTTCCAGCGCAGATTATCGTGTATCGAAGTGGAGAAGAAATAGTGTAGATCGATTGCCGGAGAATTCCAAACGCTGAACTGGAAATCAATTAAGATGGCGTTGATGGGATGTCCCTTTCCATCATATTGAAACATAACGTTTGTTGTCCAAATATCTCCATGGGCCAAAGTTAAAAAGTCCCCTGGATTATGTGACGTCGACCGCTCGCCGTAGTCCATTATATTATCGACCAGACGATCGATTTTCGCCTGGTAGCGTTCTTTAAGGCCCTCATTCAACTCTAGTGAGCGCGACAAGGCCATCAAAAGATTTCTATTGGTGGGTTCGAAGCCGCGTATATGTTTGTTGAAATATCCTCGATCGTAGTTTACATCAAATATTCCGGGCTGTCGTTCGGCCAAAACTGCAGCGGCAGCGTGGAACTTAGCTAGCTTGTCCAGAACCAGATGCGTGTGCTCCAGATCCAGTTTCTTTAGACGGCAAGCCACATTGTACTGCTCCTGCGACAGATCCTCAAAGATGATCGAGTCGCGCTCGCGATCCACATTAACGGTAGCCGCAAACAATTTCCTGGGGTCATTGAGCTCTTCCTTCACCATCTTTCCCAAGTGGGGCAGGATCTGCTCGTACATGTCCATCTCCCTGGTGTAAACCCCGTAGTCGGTGAGCAAGTCAGCCGCAGGATCCTTGTCGGCGAATGTAGTTTTCAACAGGAATGTTCCGTCCTGGATGTCCTTTGAATCCTTTGTGATATACTCCACATTAATTCGGCTCATCACGCTGGCATAATTCTCTCCTTTGGCTGTAGCCGGATTAATACTGAGTTTCTTCAACTGGAGGGTGTCGTCCTTAAAATAGCGGCACAGTTTTTTCTTCACGTAATCCCTGGTGAGCCATGCTGGACCGTTTTGAATAATTTCCTCCGACATTATGTGATCTCAACGTTAGCTCGGTTGCTTTAAAAGTGTTGCTTTTCGTAAGAATTGCGACGCTTTTATCGTCCTACTTAGGGACTGTATAAAACGTTTTATTTAATCCCTTCAATAAAAAAGCTTTCAAACTTTTTTGTTTATATGCGCGTACTTTTTTTCTGACTTAATTAATGATAGTCGAGTTACTTTAATAGAAAGCTCATTTCAATAAGATATGCTCGACTGAATACTTACGAAAATAACACATATATCGAGGTATTACGGCTGATAAGGACGATAAGCATTTACATTTTATGAAGGCATAAAACTCTAGACATGTGCATGTAGAGATTAAAGTGGCTTCTGTCTCGGTCTTCAGATTTTTTATTTTAAAAACCTTATATTAAATTGTTACTGAGTTCCAACAAAAAAGATTACATATCATCCAATAATCCCCACTGCTCCAGATAGGGAAGTGTAAGATGCATCTTTTTGATGACGTCCTCCTGCTGAAACACATCATCCTTGAACCTCATTCCACTCTTGTCCTCGGAAATAATCTGCTCCAGGGAAGCCTCCTCCTTGCCATTGTACAGCATAAAGGGCTCGAACATCATGGAAGCAAAAGCACCTGCGAAATAAGATCGATTTAGCCCGGAACTGAAATAGATGATGACAGTCTACCCACCATAGAAGGCTCTGGACCGGAACTGTAACTGAAAGTCAAACAAACTCGGAATATGACCCGAATACTTGACTTTTTGTAAAGCATCTTTCAGTTTATAGTAGTAAAATTGGATCAGTTTCGGCTGATCTTGGAGGCGGAGGTTGTCGTGTATGGATGTGGAGAAGAAATAGTGCAGATCGATGGCCGGAGAATTCCACACGCTAAACTGAAAGTCAATGAAGATGGCATTGGTGGGATGACCTTTGCCATCATACTGGAACATAACATTGGTGGTCCACAGATCCCCGTGAGTCAGGGTAACAAAGTCCCCGGGATTGTTGGTGGTCGAGCGCTCTCCGTAGACCATCACGCGGTCGACAAGTCGGTCAATCTTCGCCTGGTAGCGTTGGCGAAGCTCCTGATCAAAGTTGAGGGATCGGGACAGGGCCTTTAGAAGATTCGTCATGACCGGTTGGTAGCCCCGGGTATGTTTGTTGTAGAACCCACGATCATAGTTTTCCTTGAAGAAGCCCAGTTTCCTCTCGGCCAGAACTGCTCCGGCGGCATGGAAGCTGGCCAGTTTCTCCAAAACCAGATGAGTGTGCTCCAGATCCAGTTTCTTTAGCCGGCAAGCCACTTTGTAGTGTTCCAACGAAAGGTCCTCGAAGATGATCGAATCCGTTGTTTTATCGACGTTAATAGTACCTGCGAACAACCTCCGAGGATCCTGGATCTCCTCCTTTACCAAGTCCGCCATCTTGGGCAAAATCCGTTCATACATGTCCATCTCCCGCGTGTAGACTCCATATTTTATAAGCATATGGCAAACCGGATCTTTGTCGGGAAATGTGGTCTTTACCAGGAAGTTAGTGACCACCTTTTCCTTTGATTCATTCGTGGTGTACTCCACATTGATGCGGGTCATCACACTGGCGTAGTTTTCTCCATTCGCAATAGCCGGCTGGATATTCAATTTTTCAAGCTTAAGGGAATCGGTTTTAAAGTAGGCGCTCAGCTTCTCTTGGACATAGTCCTTAGTAAGCCAGGAAGGTACCAGATGGGGCTTTTCCTCAGACATTGTGGGATCCTAACTGTAACGTGAAGGGTTTGTTACTGCTATTGCTTCGTCACTATCGGATAGCTTTTATAGAGCAACTGTGGTCACAATAAAAATAAAAACTTTTATTTAAAGAATCTCTCGCCGACTTGCTTAGTCATTGTCACCAATTGAATAATTTTACCTAAAGTTCACCTCTCCGTATAACGCAAATGCCCTAGGATGAAATAAAGTTAATCTAATGCCATTTTAAAAAATCGTCACCATTCGGAAAGATGGTCTTGTTTCTGAATGGGAATTAGTTTTTTTAAACCAGTTAATGTTTCAAGTCGTTACATAAACAAATTAAATTTATCTTCCAAAGATTTTTTTAATAAATTGAATGTAAAATAATTGTATAAAAAAGTCAAAGCAGTTTAAGCCATTTTTAAGCCATTGTTATAAAAGAACAGCAAAAATTATTTTGAAAGGTAGCCAGCCTGTACCAAAAAACAATTTTAAACCAGCTAAGCATACTTTGAATGGGTATCGTTTAAATACAACAATTTGCTGACTCATGGAAGTGCTAGTACCTAACAATGCCTTGCTAGTCTGAATAATGGCGACATTTGTTTAGCTAGAGATTACAGTGGCCTTTGTATTTTATGGTGTTGTTATATACAAGTTACGAGTAACAGAACTGAGTAATTGGGGATGAGTGCAGTTCACTAGACTTCTACCCAAATATGGACAAGAAATTCAAAATGAAATCTTAAGAGCAGGCTCTCTTTATTTTAAATATACATATCACTATAAGGAGTAAGAAAGAGTTGTCTATTTTCTAATAGATTTTTAGGCTCAACCAGAATTAGAAGTCCCAGCCGGCGTATTCCTTTACCACATCTTTGTTCTCCTTGCGATGACGATGCACAGCACTTGCTTCTCCCTTGGCCACACACTTTTTGCGCTGCTCCCGCTTCTCCTTTATGTCCATGTTGCGCCGTATTCGGTCGGTAATCACAGACGGAGCTATTGTGCTGGTTGTTGTAGAGTAAGAGCGCTGACTTCTTGCATCATTTAGCATTTGTTCGACCATTTTGAGGCGATACATGCGTGAGTTGGGATCCAGACCAACCAACTCAGGCACTTCGTCGGTATCCAGATCGTTGGAACTGATTGACCTGACGTCTTCCGTAGCACTGAGTGCAGCTGGAGCTTCAGCGACGGCTGGAATAACTTCTTGAGCTTCAACGACGGCTGGAATAACATGTGAAGTTTCAACCGGAAGGGAAACATCTACTTCCTGAGGCAGTGTCTGATCGGAAACCTCAGGTCCTACAGTCAGATTACCCAGATATTGCGTGCACGATTCAATGTAGCGACGTACTGCATCATCTGACTTTTGTGCTGGCTTGGTCTCGCTGTAGAACACCTCGTTCTCCACCTGACGTCGACATTCGTCAATCTCTACAGCTGCTGCAGTAACCAAGGTGGGAGGCTCCTCCTCCTCTTCAACATCCTCTCCCTCGTCATCCTCATCTACTTGCTCTACCATGCCGTACTCCTGAAGCAGATCCTGCTCCATCTCCTTGGTGAAGCCATAGCCCGTGCAATGTACCTCGGCATCTAGATCATCTTCGCGCACCAAATCGCTGAACTTGGGGTAGTCTTCGCTTTCGTATCCAAACTTGCGACGAAACATTTCACGCACGCAGTTTACATCGCGATCGAAGAAGCTGCAATGGAATCCCGTATTAATTACACAAAGAAATTTAGAAAAAACTACGATGGTAGATTTAACGCTTGTAGGTATTTTCAGTCAGATTCCCACAAGAACAAATAGAAACTAAAGCTAAATTGATATGGATTTTCATATGAACAAGAGTGCTTAATCCCTAAAATACTCACAACTCAGCATTCTCATGCGAGGTGGACATCATTTGAGGAAAGTCAATCAGTATGGGCTTGCCGGCGTCCGTCACCATTAAATTAAACTCGTTAAAATCGCCATGGATAACCCCGGAATTCCCCAGTCGAACAATCAGATTCATGAGGTCATCGTATACCTGTGGAGCATCAAGCAGCTCATGAACTTGGGTCCTACAAATAAGCAAGCATTATAAAACAAGTAAAATAATCAAAAATAAAAAATTTACATGGGCCAGCCCTTGACGAGATCCATGAGAACGCAATGACGATTGAAATCGATGGGTTTGGGGACAGGAAATCCACGATCGTATAACGCGGACATGTAGGCAAACTCACGGGTGGCCGATATGCGAGACAGGTACAACCATGAGGCCTTGTGCCGGCGACCGTGGTAATCTCTCTTAGCTTTCACGTTTCTGAAGCAAGTGCGACCCAATCGGTGGAGTTTCAGACAAATGGCAGTACCCTCCTCATCAGCCACAACATAGATATTGGACTCCTTGCCGATGCCGATCTGGTTGCCGAAGGAGCTCACCGATCCCCGCAAGGTAAGGGATTTTAAAGCCAGGTAATCGTAGCCCGTGTTGGTCAAGCGATAGCCATCATCTACGGGATAGATTAAATTACTAATTGAAGAATTCCAACCTATAATCATTCTTACACTTCTTGCCGCGCTCATAGGCTAACAGCTTGTGCTTGCAGAGTTCCTTGAGCAACTTGTGGACTCCACCCGTCTTCAGATTCGCAATGGCAGCAGCCAAAGGTCCGGGGACCAGCTCATGGTTTTTCATGCCCATCTCGATGGCCGTGAGGACGCGGAAGTCCTCCTTGGTCAGGTAGCGCAGCACTGTTACGTTTAATTTACCCATTTTCGTTTTATTTTTGCAGTTTTACAGTGCTTTACAATGCATTTATCAATGTTTTTGTTTTACACGTGCAGGTACACTAGAGATGGAAGTATATCGATTTCCACTTGGGCGATATTTTTGTATTTTTTAAATGAATCAATAAGAACCGATAAAATACAACATTTATACTGTTTCAAATATCATTTCTAAACATTTTACTTTAAATATGTTCTTTCGGCAATGGGACAATTGTAGCATGGTTTAAATTATTAGAGATTATACTGATTTGTTCATTTATATACATTTTTCTCGAATTTTTCTAATTTTAGTTATTGCAACAGATCCGTTAAAGTTGAGAAGGAGGAAATATTTCCAAACACAATTTTCTCGTCCTGACTGCAGGATACGCAAAATGCATTTGGCGAAAGTTATAATTTGGCTTATTGATGACAATAACTAAATCAAATTATTTTAAATAATTAACTAACTAATATTTTTAGAAGAAACAATTTTACTAGCCAAATTTGAGAAAATGAAAAAGATAGCTTTAGAGAATGCAACTGGTGTTTTACTTCCGGCCAGATACGGTCTCACTTGGCCTGCACAATTTCATCAGAAAGAGACAAAAGTTGAGGACATGGCTGGAGAGGATCTGATTGCCCAATTCCAGGCGCTGGGGATGAGCGAGCAGAAGGCGAAGGAGACCCTGAAAAACGCCAACGTGACCAAGAACCTCCAACTTGCGCTTGCGGCGGCAGGGAGCGCTCCCTTGTCCGATGGCGTTGGCATGCTGATCTACCACATGGCCACCAAGCTGAAGCCCCAGACGGCGGAACAACTACCGCTCTTGGTTCGCTACATCGTGGATCGCAAGCTGGACAACACCCAGCGGGTGGACGCCGCCCTGGAATATGTGCTTAAGTGCGGCCAAACCCTGAAGGCTAATATTGATGCCCAGGAACTGGAGAAGGAGTGCGGGGTGGGCGTGGTGGTCACCCCCGAGCAGATCGAGCGCACTGTGCAGGCCAAAATCAAGGCCAGCTACAAAGACGCCTTGCTGGAGCAGCGCTACCACTTTAACTCCTTTAAAATCCTGCAGGACGTCCGGGGCGAGCTGAAATGGGCGGATGCCAAGTCCGTGAAGGCGGCCATCGATGTTGAGATCTTCGATCTGCTGGGCCCCAAGACGGAGGCGGACCTAAAGCCACCCACCAAGCAGAACGAGAAGCCAAAGGCGGCGAAACCCAAGCCGGAAGCAGCAGCAGCCGCTGAAGCAACGTCTGATGGAGCCACCACCATTGCGGAATTAATGAAGACAAAGGTAAACTTTCATGCTCCCGGAGAGAACTTTAGGGCCGACGGCTATGTGGTGACCGAGCAAACAGAGCGACTGCTCAAAGAGCATTTAGCGAGGACTGGCGGCAAAGTGCACACACGATTTCCACCGGAACCGAATGGAATTCTGCACATCGGTCATGCGAAAGCCATTAACATCAACTTTGGATACGCAGCTGCACACGATGGAGTCTGCTATTTGCGCTACGACGACACCAATCCCGAGAAGGAGGAGGAGAAATTCTTTTTGGCTATTAAGGAGATGGTGGAGTGGCTGGGCTACAAGCCCTTCAAGGTCACCTATTCCTCGGACAACTTCCAGCAGTTGTACGAGTGGGCTGTGGTCCTTATCAACAAAGGATTAGCCTACGTTTGCCACCAGAAGGCGGAGGAATTGAAGGGCTTCAATCCCAAGCCGAGTCCCTGGAGGGAGCGTCCCATTGAGGAGTCACTGCGGCTGTTCGAGGATATGAAGCGCGGCAAGATCGACGAAGGAGCGGCCACGCTGCGAATGAAGGTCACCCTTGAGGAGGGAAAGATGGATCCGGTGGCGTACCGCATCAAGTTTATTTCCCATCATCGTACGGGCTCCGATTGGTGTATTTATCCGACTTACGATTACACCCATTGCCTTTGCGACTCCATCGAAGATATCACCCACTCATTGTGCACCAAGGAGTTCCAATCGAGGCGATCCTCGTACTATTGGTTGTGCAACGCTCTTGATATCTACTGTCCGGTGCAGTGGGAGTACGGCAGGTTGAACATGAACTATGCCCTCGTTTCGAAGCGCAAGATTGCCAAGCTGATCACGGAGCAGATTGTCCACGACTGGGACGATCCCAGGCTGTTTACGCTTACGGCTCTGAGAAGGAGAGGTTTCCCAGCAGAGGCAATCAACAACTTTTGCGCCCAGATGGGCGTCACTGGTGCCCAGATCGCCGTGGATCCCGCCATGCTGGAAGCGGCAGTGCGAGATGTGCTTAACATCACAGCTCCCCGGCGTTTGGTTGTCCTGGAACCGCTTAAAGTTACCATTAAAAACTTACCGCATGCGAAGCCCGTGCAGCTGGAGGTGCCCGATTTCCCCCAGAACCCGCAACAAGGATCGCACAAGATCACCCTGGACAAGGTGATCTATATCGAGCAGGGAGACTTCAAGTTGGAACCTGAAAAGGGCTACCGCCGTCTGTCGCCGAACCAATCCGTGGGTCTGCGGCACGCAGGTCTTGTTATCAGCGTGGTGGAGATTGTAAAGGATCCGGCGACGGGTAAAGTGGTTGAACTTATCTGCACCAGCCAATCTGCCGAGCAGGCCGAGAAGCCTAAGGCTTTTGTCCAATGGGTATCCCAGCCAATTCAGCTAGAGGTGCGTCTCTACGAGCAGCTGTTCAAGCACAAGAACCCCGAGGATCCTAACGAGGTGCCCGGCGGCTTCCTGAGCGACATCAGCGAGCAGTCTATATCGGTGGCTGTGGCCTTCGCGGATAAGGCTCTCAGCCAATCCAAGGTCTACGACAAGTTCCAGTTCGAGCGAATCGGTTTCTTCTCCGTAGATCCGGACACCACCGCGGACCACATAGTGTTCAACCGCACGGTGGGCCTCAAGGAAGATGCGGGCAAGAAGTGATTAGCATACAGGATATCAACGAACCACAGAAAAAAAAACAAAATCCGTGTCACATTAAAATTCGATTTACAAAATCAGATCTTATTTTTTTCCTTCCACCATGATGATGTGGTAACCGAACTTGGTCTTGACCGGGGGATCTGTGTACACGGGGTTATTGACGGTGGAGATGGGAAGTGCGAAGGCGGCGTCTTGGAAAGGACCCACCATCGCTCCTCGGATTTGCCATCCGAGATCGCCGCCCTGGCGCGCCTTGTCCTCACTGTAAGCCGCTGCCACCTCGGGAAACTTCTGGCCCGCCTTTAGCTTCTCCATGGCCTCGGTGATCTTGCCTTGCTTTTCGCATAGGATGTGGCGCACCTTCACGGCATTGCCTCCCTTCTTCTCCTTGCCGGCAGCTGCTCACAGGTGGGTAAGTCATTGATGGGTCTGGTTTTTTGGGGATTTTATTTGCACTTACACTTGTCTTCGGCGGCTGGCTTTTTTCCGCCTTTCCCCGCGTCCTTGCCGCCCTTTGCGTCCTTCTTAGGTGGCATCTTTCTTTAATATTTCCTAGTTAACAAATTCCAATCAAATAAACAAATTTCGATGGAGCTGTCACATGTGGTCAGTGCTGCGAATTAACCTCAAATCTAGCTTTTTTTTAAATTTATTTTTATAATAAATACCCATTAAATCCTAAAAGGCTTTAATTTTAGGATTTAATGGGTATTTGGGTACAATACTAATTTAATTCTCAGTTTCAAAAAATCTATAACTCTTTTAAAATATTCCCTGATCATATCAAATTAAACTTTAAAAAACTTTGGAAAACAAAGAGTCTATTGGATTTCAACGTAGGTCGCTTATATATGGCTTAAAGAAATAAAATCAAATCAAATGTTTTAGCTTAAGATAAGATAGTAAACAAACTTTCTTCTTTGTTTGTTTGTTAATTATTGTTCAATATTTCAAATTCTAGTTTATACGTTAGGCGTACCTGCGTTTGGTTGTCACAAATTTATTTTAAATTAAATGAAATAGAAATAATTGTTCCTAGTTCTTTAAATCCCGAGGAAGACAAAATAAGAGCTTTATTTTAGACTTTATTTTTTTAAGAAGCTTAACATTTTACAAACTCAAACAACTCCATATCTTTTTATACCTATTTTAATGAAAAATTCGCAGCCCTGAAATAATTAGGAAGCTATCGATATAAATGCAGCCTTACCTGCCCTCGCAGACGGTCACACCTCGCTGCACTTTCTAATCAGTTTTGTTCCAATCAGATTAAATAAACCACCAAAAACAAATTATAGAATCCGGGCATTATCTTGCCTCTTGACCAAATGGAACTAAGCTGGGAGATAGTGCTCTGCGTGGGCATTGCCGTGCTGGTTCACGTTCTGGTCTACCTGTTCGTCATGGGCAAGCGGCCGAAGAGTATTGTTGGGCGTCATGTGGTGGTCACGGGCGGCTCCAAGGGAATCGGGCTCTGTCTCGCAGTGGAGTGCGCCATGAAAGGCGCCAATGTGACGGTGATAGCGCGCGACGAGAAAATGCTGAGTGAGTAATGTTTCGGGAAGGAGAAACCCCACCCAAAACCCACTAATCTATTTTACCCACTCATTTCCCAGGCGGAGCTGTGGCTCTGATGGAAGTGATTCGCCAGAGACCGGATCAAAAGTTCCAGTACAGGAGCCTGGACATTGGCGGCGACTATGAGCAGGTGGCCCAAGTGCTGGGCGAGATCGAGGAGAATTTCGGCCCCATATACACCCTAATCAATTGCGCCGGCATGGCCATTTGCGGGGTGTTCGAGGAGGTCTCGGTCCAGGATGTGCACAAGCTAATGAACGTGAACTTCTTCGGCACCTACAACTGCACACGGTATGTCCTGCCCAAAATGAAGAAGGCGGGCGAGGGCATCATTGTAATCACAGCCTCACAGGCGGCGATGTTTGGCATCTACGGCTATGGACCATATTCGGCCACAAAGTACGCCCTGAGAGCCATGGCCGAAACGATAGCAATGGAGTCCAGGGAGCACGGAGTCAGCGTAACATTGGCAATGCCCTGCGATACGAATACGCCCGGATTCGAGGAGGAGGAGAAATCCAAGCCAAGGGAGACCAAAATAATTTCGGGTGGAGGAGGTCTCATAGAGCCAGAGGTTATGGCCAAAGCTATACTTAAGGATGCCTTGGTAAGTCAGTAGCTATGTATTATGTTGTGGAAAATAAGTTCTTTCTAGAATCACTGTCTTACTAATTTTTTCTTCTTTTCAGACGGGAAATTTCACATCTACGGTGGGAGCAGAAAGCTGGCTAATCACCACTTTGGGTGGAGCTTTACTTCCTTGGGATGGCTTCTTTACCAATCTCCTGCATGCCGCCGTTCTAGGACCACTGCGGCTTGTTAGCTACGGCCTGCACAAATACTTCAACAGCGTCATACGCAAATGCGCTCAAGAAGATAAGGCCAAGGCTGGATCAGAATAGTAAAGCAAGTAAAAGCTTTACTGTCTCAATGCCTTTTAAGTATTCCAAGTGCCCAGTACATTAAATCGCGTGTTCATTGTAAATTATTCCAAAAATGCAAATGTTCCGCAATTTCATCTATTTTTATATATGTATTTTCCAATTGTAATTATTGTCTTTCTAAACTTTTTTCCTATACATATATCTTTTTCTATAGTGTTTTGTAATCGACAATAAGTGCGCTTAAACTTATGGTGATTGCTTAATTTAAATAAAAACTAATTATAACGTTTGAAAAAAAAAAGCCTTTGTCCAAAATTAAGGTGTAATATCGGACAATATAAATGTTGTTCCCTTATCAAAAGTGGTTTATATCTTAATGTCGTACAACAACTACATTGAGTGCTCGAAAGCACGATTAGATAAACACGAATTCCACGCCTCAAAATCCATTTTAAATAGGTCAAAATTAAACAAATGATTAATTTGGTTTTCTTGTGTCTTCTTTTATTCATAAGACGCACCCAGTGTACACTTCCTATAGTTTCAGTTTTTACTCCGCCTTTTAACATTTTTTTATAGTTAACGCTAACAAAAATTGTATAATCATAATGCAAAATATATATGTTTGTTTATATATTTAGGCATACATTGTTATAGCATCTAAGCATGATAATCAAAATATTTGTTTTCAAATACAGTTATTCTACTTTTTGAATCGAAAAATCATTAAATTATATTAGGATTAGGATGAAAAATTAAATTAGAGCTGATCTTTTGCCTTTCGGTATCGTTGGGGATTTACAATAGCTAAAAAAGCATTGTAAATGAATATTAATTTAAACAAGCATTAAACAATTAAACAAGGTATTTTGCACAAGACGCTGTACGACAACTCAACAGAGAAAAGAAAAATGCTACACAAACCGAAAAGGAAAATCATATTATAAGCTTGGTTCTGGTTGATGTTTTGCTTCTGGTTTTGGTTTCCATTCCGTGCTGCTTTTGGTAGCCTTCTCTAGTAGTCTTCAATGGCAATGATCTGCGGTGGTTTGATAGACGATGCTGTTGATCCTCCCACTGTTGGCGACCCCACATCCTTGGTCGCTGCGCTGTCGCTAGTTGTTAATGGTGGGACTGCAGCTGCAGAAGAGGCCGTTGAAGGATCGCCTGTTCCCGCTGCCGTCGCCCGTGTGTCCGGCGTCTGTGCGGCTAATTGTCACTTCGAATTGCCCGCCACGGAGCCAGGTCCGGGTCCCGCCAGGTCATTCACCCGCTGGTAACGTGGCTTGTTGCGCGTGAAGGGCAAGTACTTGTACTTGATCATGTGCTTGATCTGCCGTTTCATCGTGATGCAGAACAGCGTGATGAAGTACATGACCAGGATGGGCCAAAACACTGGCACATTGAAGAATTCGAAGAACGTGCAGATCAGACCGATGAGCGTGCTTTTCGCCACCGATAGCCAGAATTTGAACTCAGGTAGGCGTCGGATGAATGGCCGGAACTCTTCGTTGCTGCGCGTGGGCAGATTGGGACCCTCGTCCTCGTCGTCCTGCGAATACGGATCGAACTCCGGATCGATTTTGGGCGTTAGAAAGGCGATGAAAAGGTTTAGATGGTAGATCCCTAAAGCATAACATACGATGTACCAGCCCTGGTGGATAAAAATCCGCAGCACGAAGAGCAAGAGCAGGAAGCCGGCAAAGACCCAGCGCATCCGCGTGTGCGGTGTGCTCCGGTCTAAGGTGGATTGATAGGTCTGTGAAAGAAAAGTTAAAGAATTATCTAGAGTCCTGAGTCCAGCAAGGATTACATACCTGTGAGAGGCGCTGAAAGAACTTCTTGACGCCACCGCCACTGGCAGCGCTGCTGTCCTCGTTCATCATGGTCGTCTCGCTAGCCTTTCATGAATCTCCAGCCCACGACTTTGTTGACTTTGACGCTGTCACCGTTCCCGCTGCTCACGTGTATCGATTCGGGGGCTGTGTTCTTTTCGGGGGACAGGGGCAGGGGTCGCCAGAAAGGGGCTAACAAAACACAAAACAGGCCAACTGGTGTGCTCCAATCGCTAATTATTCTCTAATTTCATGTTCTGTACCGCCCGTCTTCGCCTTCGCCTCCTTCTTCTTCTTCCTTGTTGTAGGGCTCTTGCCACTGTCAGTGTGTTGAGATTGCTATTTGCAGTGCCTGTTTTCCAAGATTATAGGATCCGTAGGATTTAATTTCCAATGTAGTACGGTTCTGTGCGGTAACTAATTTAATTACACTAGAGATTTGTCGGCAATTTATTGTTCTTTTTTCACACAGAGTTCACCACGTCATTATGCTCTCTCAGTGGCAGGGCTGTCAAACTATCGATGGCGCTTGCGATAGTCGACGTTGGTGATGGGACAATCGATTTCCAAGCGACTATCGCAGAGTATTTAAAGAATTAACATTTAAATAAGTTATATATTTTAGTTAAACTTAAATTATATATATTTATGAAATTAAAATATCGAAAGGCTTACTCTTGTTATGCATCTAGACTTTTGATGCATTTTTTTCCTTAATGTACCGATTGTTTGTACTATGAATATTAGAATTGTTAACATACAGCTGCAAGGGTATATAAACTTCTGCTTTCCAAAGTTTATTTCAGTTTTGGTTTTCTAATTATTATTTCATTTTCTGTACTATTAGTTAAGTGAAATACTGGTTTCAAAAATATTTGTAATTTTTTTAAATACTATCGTCTAGGTGATGGAGATCTCACATCGAATTTTTATACCCTTGCAGATGGTATTATAATTTTGGTCAAAAGTGTGCAACGCAGTGAAGGAGACATCTCCGACTCTATAAAGTATATATATTCTTGATCAGGATCACCTCCTGAGTTGATATAGCCATGTCGGTCTGTCTGTTTCTACGCAAACTAGTCTCTCAGTTTTAAAGCTATCGAGTTCAAACTTTGCACACAGTATGTATGTCGGAACGTCCGGGATCGGCCGACTATATCCTATAGCTGCCATATAACTGATTGATCGGAAATGCCATAACTTTGGTGTTTGTAAAGTTAGGAAGTTGGGATTTTCTATGGGTTTTATTTTTAGCCAATCAATCTGACCTATCAAATTTTATAAGGATCGGCCGACTATATCCTATAGCTGCCATATAACTGAACGATTGGAAATGCCATAACTTTGGTGTTTTTAAAGTTAGGAAGTTGGGATTTTTTATGAGTATTAAGAATGCATCATATGAATAATTTTGGAGAATATAACTTACAGAGTATTCTGCAAGGGTATATCAACTTCGGCTCCGCCCAAAGTTAGCTTTCCTTTCTTGTTATTTTTAATATAAACTATTGGTTCACTAAACTTGCCCGCAAATTAGACAATAATATAAAATGCACTTATAAAGATTATCAAAGTTTTTATTATTAGATGAAAATTTTCAACAATTTCCGATACTTTTTCTTGACATACTATCTTATAAACTCAATCGTAAACATGCTACATATATTTAGTTCCAGTTTCCTTACGAGCTGTCCTGCTCCTCCGCCGCATCCTCCTGATCGCTGTCCAAGGCCTTAGCACGTTCTATGCAGGAGTTGACTTTTTTGAAAAACTCGTCGGCCGTTTCCTCCTTGCTGAATCGACAGGCCAGGCGTTCCAGAACGCCCTCATTGGCCACCTTTCCCTCCGCGTCCACGGCATAGTTGTAGCCGGCCCACAGGAAGCTCTTCTTCTGCTCGTTCATGTAATCCATCTGCAGGGAGCCGGAGATCTTCATGTTAAGCACTAACTTGTGGATCTGCTCTTGCCGCATGACCAATCGGAATGTCTGCAGCTCCTGGTGCTCCAACACCTTTATCTCTCCCACGCCTGTTGATGATTGTAGTTATTAATAAACTTGTTTATTTGGTTTGAAGAAATTTAACTAAAACTTACCCCGTTCTTTCCACTGTTTGGAGTCGGGGTCATAACGATAGAGCTTCGCCCGCTCGCCATACAGTTTAGTCTCGTTCTCCTCTCCCGTGGTGACTACGATCTCATCCGGCAGCTCCACAATAGGATCGTAGTGCGGGTCGTAGTTGTCATCGGTGGCGCCGTCTCCATCCTCATCGCCATCTGCAGCCGTGGCGGAATCGTTTTTGCCTGTCTGCGGCGAAGACCCGAAATTTTTGAAGGCGTTCTGGTGCGTCAGGTTGTAGAAGCCGCCGCTGGACTTGTCATTGGCCAAAAGGTTGCCAAAGTCGTTTTTTGCCTTGTTCGCTATATCAGCAAATGTGCCGCCCGGTTTACTAACCAAATCGGCAAATGTGTTTCCCGCTTTGTTTCCCAAGTCGGCAAATGTGTTGCCCGCTTTGTTTCCCAAGTCGGCAAATGTGGTGGTTACCGGCTGTGTTACAGACACCGCGTCGTTCTTATCTTTTGTCTCTTCTGTCCCCTGTTCTGGGGTGGCACCTTTTTGTCCAAAGATGGACGCACTGCCGGTACCACTGCCAAACACAAAGCTTCCGGCGGGTGTTCCTCCGAAAACAGTGGAGCTACCACCAAAGATGGATTTTTCTCCTTCCTGGCTTGCTGGTGCTTGGGTCTCCACTTTGGGACTTCCAAAAGCATTGCTGCTTCCGAAAATGCTTGGGGTACCACCGAAGATAGACTTTGGCGCTTCTTTACTGTCTAATGGCTGCCACTCAATTTTTGGGACTCCAAAAGGATTAGGGCCTCCGAAAACGTTAGCACCGACTCCAAATATGGATTTGGGGGCCTCTTGGTTGGCTGGTGCTGGGGAATCCACTTTAGCGCCTCCGAAAATAGACTTAGAGGATTCATTCTTCTGTTCCCCACCTCCGAAAATGGATTTCGCTGAATCATCACTCTTCGATGCGCCGCTCCCAAAAATAGATTCCAGTACGTTGCCTTGACCTCCGCTGGAGATAGATTTTTGCAGATTGGTAAAGGGTGCGGCAGTTCCTCCTGACTGTGATTTATCTGAAGTGCAAATTAATTAGCTAAATGTTGTTTTAAAAGAGAGACAATTCAACACTTACCCGTGCTGCCAAATAAGAATGTCGAACTGGGCGGTTTGGTTACCTCCGACGCGGACAAATTACTGAAGCTGGAGAACGAAGAGTTCGTTGTACCCAACGAACTGGCTTTGAATATTGAAGTGGCAGAGGTGGGAGGGATAACAGATGGCTGAGGGAGAGTCAGGATAGGCAGGGTCATAGGGAGGGGTGGGTTTACATCGCTGACAGAGAAGCTTACAGACGAGGCATTGCCGAATTCGAACTTTTCCGGATCGCAGCCCCTACAGTTTTCTTCGCCTATATGGTCCTGAAGCATATTTTCTTTCGAATTATCACTGGAGGACAGGGTTGTAAAAGCGGATGACACTGTTGAATCCGGGCCTTCTTCTAACGCCCTAGCGGTGCCATCGAGGGCGCTTTTAACCGCGTTGTGGAAGCCTTGGGCCACCTCCTGGTTTTTGAAGCGCAATGCAAACCGCTCCAGGACACTTTCACCCTCGCTAAAATCATGGACAGCAAACATCCACGAGGTCTCGGTCTTTGGCTTGTAGACCACATTAGAGTTCAGCACATGGTTGAGACAGATCTTGAACACCTGCTCCCGCCGCATTACAACGCGCAGCTTCTGAGTTTGTCTGTGGCGCAGGATCTTCACATCGCCCAAGCCGCGCTCCTTCCACTCGCCCTCGGTGAGACGATACAGCTTGGCCTTGTGCACGAACAGCAGCTCCTCATCCTCCTCACCAGTTTTTACATCAATCTGAAACAACATTTATCAATAAAAACAATTTTTGTTAAGGGGATGATTATCTTACCTTATCGGGTAAGGGGATCACTGGTGCAAAATAAGTGTTGTTCTCTTCCTCCTCCTCGTGAGAATCGTTATCTTCGCCCTCATTGGCCGCAGGAATCTTTGCCTGCATTTGGGTGGGCTTGGGCATGGAGAATGTAAAGCTGCCAGAGCCGATTAGGCCAGGAGGTTCTACAGGTGCCGCTACGGGTGGAGCCGCAAATTTAAAGCTTGAGGATCCAAACACACTGCTGCTCTTGCTGGGCACGTCGGGTTCCTTATCCTTGTTACCCGCCGCAGCAGTTCCAAAACCAAAACTAAATTGCGTGGTGGCGGGTAGGGCAAGTCCTGACCCCAGGGTATTCTCCTTCTTCGGTACAGTATCATCCTTAGGCGTTTCGCATGCGCTGCAGTAAAGGGACTCCCCGGTATTGTTTACGTAGCAAGCGGAGCATGACCAGCTGCCGACCTTGGGCTTAAAGGCGTCCCCAAAACCAGCTTTAACTTGAATCTGAGGAGCTGAGGCCGAGGCAGTAACAGCTGCCACCACTGGCTTTTCCTTGACCTCCTCCTTGGACTGTGTGACTCCTCCGAAGCTAAATCCGCCGGTGGAAGGAAGAGTTGCGGGTGCAAATCCGAAAGAGAACTTGGTAGCAGAATTAGTTGTAAGATTCAAAGCATTGCCTTGATCCAAGCCCGATTGCTTGGGCGGCACAGTGGCATCTTTGGGCTCCTGGCAGGCCAGGCAGTACAGCTGATCTTGACCATTGGTGGTATAGCAGGACTGGCAATTCCAACTGCCTGCCTTGGGCTTAAAGGCATCCCCAAAGCCCTTTGTTGGTTTCTCTTTATCCTTTTCTTCGGTAGCAGAAGTAGCGTTTTCCTGTTTTTTTGGTTCTTTTTCAATGCTCTGTTGAGCTTTCTGCACGGCATCGAGGAACTCCTGGCAGACATCGGTCGACTTGAAGCGCACTGCAAGCAACGCAGTGGTCAACTCCTCATCAGAGTAATCCTGACCAGCCCATGTTACGGCGGCCTTGATGTTCAATGCTGCAGTGAACTTTGTCTCGGGCATCAGGCGCTGATTGCAGCACAGTTTATGAACCTGCTCGCGGCGCATCAGTAAACGCACCTGGCTGGGATTGGAGCGATCGCGCAGGAGCTTCATATTTCCAAGTCCGCGTTCTTTCCACTCATTGGCCTCCCTGTCCCAACGCAGAAGCTTTGCCCGGTGCTCGAAGAGCACATCCTCGTTCTCCTCCCCCGTGACAACTTCCACCAGTTCGGGCAGGGCAATAACCGGCGCAAACTGGGCAGTGGGCACGTAATCTTCCTCAGCGTCCGAGGTGGCGGATTTGTTTAGTTGTGGTTGCTGCAGCGTCTGACTTTGCAATGTATCGTCCTTGACCATAGCTGTTGTAAAGAGTGTGCTGTCGCTGTTGTTGGAGCCAAGTGCGGACACGCCGCTGAAGGAGAGATTTCCAAACGGAGAGGCTGTGGAACCACCACCGAATCCTGAAACGGCTCCATTTCCCGTAAAACTAAAGTTGGCAAATGGCGCAGGAGCTGAAGGCGCTGATGATGTAGGTGCAATACTGGTCGCTGAGATGGTTCCAAACAGTGATTTGGCCACCGCTGCTGGAGCTGCTGGTACCGGATCGGATTGAGAGGGTTTGGTTTGCTCCTGCGGCTTGCCTAAGAGTGAAATGGGAGCCGGCGTGCTGGTCACAAAGCTCTTTGGAAGACCGAATGCGGCAGGAGCAGATTCAGCTGCTTCCTTGGTGGTCTTCGGAAGCTCCGCTGGTTTCTCTGCCGGCTTAACCTTATCTGACTTGGCCGCCGCCTGGCTCGCATTAGTAAACGCCAACCTGAACTCTTCCGCCACCTCAGCCGTCTTAAAACGCACAAGGAATTTCTCCAGCGTGACATGTTCATCCGCAAAGTCATTTGCAGCCCACAGGAACGATTTCTTCTCCTTGTCCTGGCTGGCTGTAGCCAAGCTCATGTCTGCATTGATCTTGTGATTGGCACACACCTTGTGGGTTTGATCGCGACGCATTAAAACGCGCGACACACCTGTTGTATTATCGCACAGAATCTTTATCAGACCAGTGCCCCGCTCCTTCCACTCCTTGTCCACGAAGCGGAAGAGCTTGGAACGGTTGCTAAACTTGACCTCCTCGTCCTCCTCGCCGGTGCGAACCTCCACTTCGTCGGGCAGCGGGATGATGGCTTGGAAGTCTGGTCGAGCATCGTAGTCTTCCGCTGAGGAGTTGTCTGCTTGCTGACTCTTGTTGGGATCACTAGCTCCACTTTGGTTCAGCTCCGCTGCCTCTCGTTCCTGTTCCATCTGTTTTTCGGCTGCTGCCTTAGCCACCTGGGACTTAAAAGAGAATGGACTTTCGGAAGATTTTGTGCCAAAGTTGAAGACGAAAGCTCCTGTGGCGGGAACCGATGGCTGTGCTGGTTGTTCCGGGGCCTGCACTAAACTGGCCTTTATATGTTGTGGTGGAATGGTCACACTCAGGGTAGGCTGGACACTGGCACTCGTTGGCTTTGGCAATGGATCAGAGCTGGTGATGACAACATTGGCTGGCGGCTCCTTTTCCACGGGCTGGTTGTTCAAGGCCCGGTTGAACATTGCCGGAACACTTACAGCAGCGGGGGCGGGCACTTGGGGTAACTGAATAGGAGCGGTAACAGGAACTGGCACTGCAGGACTCACAGATGCGACCAGTGGGGCAGGAGGAACAGCAGGAACTGGCGCGGATGGAGCACTCAAAGGCTTAGACTGCGGCACCTGAATGGGTGAAGCCCCAAAACCAGGCGCTGAAGAATTGAAAAAACTGGGAGTTGTCAATGGAGCCGCAGGTTTCGGCTCCAAAAGATTTTGAGGAGCCGGGGCTGGCCCTGGCTGAGCGGGGGGCGCTACCAGACTTGGGGGTGGTACAAGACTTGGGGGCGGCTGGGTAAAGTTTCCCATGGCGTCAATGTAGGGCGCTACTAAAGGCCCTGTCGGCGTTGGAAAAATGCTGGGCAGTCCAAAGTTTGGATTCCGGGGACCTACAACAAATTAAACATCAGAAATATGTAAATGGATTTTAATACTGGGGTCTTACCAAACATATTGGGTGGTGGAATCGAACCTGGAGCTGGTGGTGTACGCATGAACTGGGCTTGGGCTTGAGCCTGAGCGGCGTAATAGCTGTACATCTGGTTCTGATTAAACATGGGGTTTCCATAGGGTCCCGGCAGAAAGCGATCCTGAGCGGACGGCGTGTTCGGTACGCCGTTGTAGAAACCAGGAGTGGGTCCCCCATACGGACTAGGAACGAACTGATGCACTGCAGCTTGGTTGTGGTGCTGCTGCTGTTGTTGTTGCTGCTGCTGGTGCTCAGCCAATGCATCCTCAATAATGAACAGATCATCCAATCCCAAAGCGGATGCAGGATCCACGTCCCGCGTTGGCGTGTCTCGATTGCTAATCTTTATCTTCTTGAGCAGATCCTCCAGACCAGTGAACTTCTCTGTAAGGGTTTTGATTTCCTGGCGCATGGCTTCCATTCCCACGCTTACGTCGTCCTTAAGCACACACAGCGACTTGCTGATCTGTTTGACAGCCTGCTCCATCTCCTGACTTGGTTGTGCTACAACAATGGGAGTCACAGGAGCGGGTTCAAGCTGGCGACGCGATCGATTGGCAGATAGGGCAGCTCCAGAATAGAAGTCATCTTCGGCATCCTCATAGGTGGAGGAATTGTTGTGCACATCCGGGCTTCCGAAGCTATCATCTATGGCTTGGTTACTGCGATTCTGCTGGCAACGTCGCAGCTCCCGTTGGATAACCGTGCTGAGTGGGTGTTTAACATCGTTTCGAAGCAGCTGCTGCGTTTGCTGCAGGCACTCCTGCCGACGTTCCAAGAAACGCGCCCGGGAAACGCGAGCCGTCTTTCCGGAATCCTCAAGCAGACGGTACGCCTCCGCTTGCATATAGGAGGCCATGGGCAGGTTAATACCCCGCACCTCGTCCACAAACTGCTCGTACTGGCCCGCCTTGAACATTTTCGCGCTAAAATAGGTAACGGCTTCCTCGGCCAGTGATTGAAGCTCTTGCCAAGCTGCCGTTGAGGCGGCGGATCCGTACTTAAAAACGCGCACAAAGGGATCCAGTTGCTGTGTCTGCTGACGACGCAGCATTGTAAATCCCTGCCGGTAAAGGGTATCAATGCGTGCCTCCAGTGAAGCACGGTCCCCGCGAGACTGTAGGATTTTTCCGAGCTGGAAGATAATAATAGCATCTGCCTTGGGTCCATTTACCCCGCGAACCGCCTCCAATCCTACTTGCAGTTGGGCTCGTTGCTCGGCACGATTGCCCTCAGTGGTCAGCTGGTTTCTGTGCAGACGCAACACCAAATCCCACCAATTGCTTTGATCTGATGCGGCTAGTTGTCCCAGAAGATTGGCATATGGCATCATGTGCGGCCGAGTGGCAGCATTGCGATTGCCCAAGTTGGAGCTATCGTACGTTTCTCGCTGAAGCTGCAATCTCCGCTGGGTCTGGATAACGGTTGCATAAAGGTATATGTCCACATCCAACTGGCTGACCGAGTCGTGACCACAGTAGTTAAGGTTCTGCTTCACGTCCTGCCGGAAGCCCTCGTAAAATAGGACGCGTGGAGCTTCTCCTAGGTTGTCGGGTTCGTTACCCAGCGCTAGGTAGACGTGTTGGGCCAACGACTGCGGCGGCAGCAACAACGCCTGCTGTTCGCAGGTCTCGATCTCAGCTAGATTGGGCCACTCGAAAAGGGGCAGCTGCAGTCGTGGATAACGCACCAGATGCGAGGACTGATCCTTGAGCTTGTGTTCGGCGTGGGTAAAGATCAGCTGGTAGAGCTGACGGCGCCAACTTTTATCCAGACACTGTTGGTGAGCGCAGGACAGCAGCTCCTCAGAGTCGCCAAACAATCCGGACAAGGTTTGGGTGGGGGCTTGGTTCTCAATGAGGTTATTGTTCTCCTTCTGGTTCTCATTGTCCGTCCGTGAGCGTTCCAGACATCCCAGTAGGGTGCGACCAAGCTGAGCGCAACGGAAGGCTCCCTGCTGGCGCCACAGTTGCATCAGCTGCTTTTGCTCCGCGTCGCAGTGCTTCATCCAGTGGTGGGCATGCGTCTCCTGTAGCGGTCGCACCTGGTAGCCAAGCAGCAGGAGCGGCAGCACTGAACGCAGCGTGTTCATCCACTTGTTCTTGTTCCCCAGCAGCTCCCGTTTGAAGATCAGCGCCACCGCGTGCAGTAGCAGTTGACCGGTATAGTGCTCGGCACAGGACTGGTGCAGTTCCCGCTGCGGGGCATCGCCCGCTCGCTCTATCACGTTGCTGAACTTGTGCAGGTACTGATCGAGTCGAAACAGTTGGCTGCTGCTCTCCGCCAGTCCATTTGCCGCCTCCAGTGTGAGCTGCATGAGGCGATCGAGGGCGTGGAGCGCCAGGTGCCAGAAGCGCCAATTCTTCTTCACATCCTTGGTAAGCTCGATTTTCGTGAGCATCACCCAGACCATCTCGTACCATTCGCTCGACTGACTCGTACATCCTTTGGCCTCGAATTCCGCTTTGAAAGCGTAGTTAAAGGCCTGATCCAGTTTCTTCTTCTCTACATAGCTCCGCAGTAGTCGCACTCGTACATGGAAATCCTGGGGACGTGCCTGTAGCTCCTTGTGCATGAGCAACTCCAGGGTGTTGTCGTCGCCATCTACAACACCATCTCCCGCGCCGTTGCTTTCCTTGAGATTAACCCGCATTCGCAAGGCGAAGACCAGTTCGTTGTCGCTTAAATCTTCGCCAGCGGCCAGATCTAGCCAATACTTGGCCTGATCCGTGTTTAAGACGCCCTTCTCGTCGACCAGAAGTTGGCAGGCATCCTTAATCACATCGTGCTGCCTCGGACTGAGCTGGATGCAACGCTGTAAGTGCTGCAGCGCCTTCTGCATGTCGGGAGTCTTCAGTTTGGTGTAGCAGTATGCAATCAGCTTGTGGGCCACAGCCTCGTCCTTGACCCTCAGATAGCAGTTCAGATACTCGATGGCCTTTGGGTACTCCTGGATCTTATTGTACATGCGGGCCACTGCCAGACCTTTTATATCACGCTAAAAATTAAAAAGTTTAGTGATTGTCAAGTATCAAACCCTAATTTTTAAAAAAGAATAATTTTTGGAGACACACGACCCTGGTTTTCAATTCAAAAGCGGGAATAATAAGACTTTAGAGGGTTGGCATTATAATCATATTTTAAGGTACAAGTTTTGATTTTATTTTAAGACTAATATTTTATCAGTCAGCAAGGAAATTAAAAAACACTAAGCTACCAAACAAACTTAAACTAATTCTTAATAGTTTATTGGTGAAGCGGGTTTTTATGTTTAGTTTAACATTTTTAAACTATCGTTTTTTAAACTAAATGTACATATGCATGTAAGTAAAGGTACTTTATACTGGGGTGAAAAGGATTATTTTTTTCTAATACAAAGAATGTCTACTGTAACAGAAATAAACCAATCTAATAACAAGTAAATTATTAAATTTAAACGTTTTCGTTAACAACAAATATTTTAAATATCTTGTGACATTTTACGCAGTGCTACATATTCAGTGCCCACTGTAAATGTAAATTAAAATAACCGACAGCTTGCCGCCTACATACATAACCTCACATCTCTATTTTGATTTAAATCGAGAGAGGACAACAAAAAGCCTTGAAGCTGGGAGAAAAGTTTTTTTGCAAAAATAAGCGAAATGCTGGCGCCGCACGAAAAGCGCGCATTTTTCTTTTCGATTGCAAATACGCCAGCCAAATGACGCCGACTCACACACACAGACGCACGCACACAAACGCGCGAATTCAATGGCGGCGCCTTCGATTTCGCAACTGATTTTTTGGAGATTCCGATGCACGTTTTTAGTTTATTTACCTCATTTCCCGGCGGAAGTTTTCCCAATAGTTTGTGGACATGCTCGTCCACCTCCTTTCGCGTGGTGAACATTTCTCTGCTGCTTTAAAGGCTTATAATTCGCAATAGTTTCGTCCCCGCAAAAATGTGCTTCGCGCTCGATTCTTCTTCACTCGTCATCCGATCGAGTCGGATTCCTCGAACATTAACGCACAACGACCGGAAAATTATTTAGCTCCGGCTTGGCAATCACAGTTGTAGCACTCTGCACGGACTTTTCCTACAGATCAGATCGTTTATATCACTAAATACTACTTTAAAATGTTGCCTTGCAAACTCAGCCAACAAAAAATACATATGCAACACCGGGACTGACAATATAGTGTGGCTGTAATGTTTTCCCTTACAAATACCACAGCATTTAGTTCGGCGGTCAATATTTCAAGATATTGATTTTTAAAGCACAAAAACGAATAACCTTTCTGTTATGCAGGAATTAATATTTAGTTCCATTTCCAAAAATTAAAAATGATGCTCATCTATATTAAAGAACAATTTTAATCGCTTTAGCAATTTTATTATTTTTAATGAACAGAATATTTCTTCTGAACAGATAGTATTTCACATCGAAAAATATGTTAATTTCTTTAGTATACCCTTTTATTGATTATAAACTCCTACTTGTAAACTAATAAATAAATATATTTTTAAAAAAACTTCCAAAATCTACTTTTTACAATTTTCGTAAAAAATTTATAATTTTAGAGTCTTCAAATACATTTTCAGAGTTGTGAAAACAATTTATTTATAAGTAGTAATGTTATAAAAAATAAAGAAATCTTATAGAATGTTAAAAGAAATAATTTTCATTTATTGTATACAGTACTTTACTTCATTTGCACCTTCCAGAAAAGTAGTTTCCTATCAGATACCGCACTGATATACGGCAATCGCTGATGCCAGGCCATTCCGCCAAAAGTTTTTAGGGAAGCCTCGAGCAATGGAACCGTGGATTTGGCTGCGAATACCTTCAGCGTAAGGCCAATGATCATGGCGATGACCATTTCCGAGCTTCCTGGTGCAAATCGTACCACTCGGCCGCAATCTTCGTGAACCTGCTTCACATCCGCAGGCACAAAGGGTCTGTTAAGATCCCAAGTAATGACATCCCCGCCAGCGAGAGAGGTGATAAAAAGCCTATTGCTGTGGGCCCAATCTGCAGACATTAGCGGAAACTTGGGCGACTCCACGGAGATAACAGTCTGCTTACTCCTCACATTGTAAAGATGGATGATTCCTATAAGAAGATTCCTTAGTATTAAGGCTGAAAGTTAAAGGAGTAGTCCCACCTTTCTTCTCCGCCACCAGCACCTTGTTGGGATCCTCGGGGTGGCTCTTAATGGACATTCCTGCGGAGGACAGACCGAAGGTGATCACATTCTCCCCGGCTCCTGTGGTGGTCCAGAATCTACAGGTGAAGTCATCGCTGACGGAGGCCAGCAGCTCGCCCTCGCAAACCCAGGACACATCGTTCACATAGTCTCCATGGCCGAGGAGCAACTGAACCGTATTGAACTGGCCCAGATCGGTACGGAATATATTCAACTGGTTGCCGTGGGCGGCGCATATAGTCACATTGTTGGGTGTGCAATTTAGTGAGGTGTCCGGCGAAAAGGCCAAAGCACTGACGCACCGCTGATCCTTGTCGCCCATGTCCAGGTCCTGCAGGTGGGTGTACCCAAACTCCCCGCTCTCCTCCTGCGGTTTGTAAGATAGCAAACAATTTCATTCAATATTTCGTGGTTCTGCAGACTCACCGGCAGTCCCACGAGTATCAGACACAGGTGTTTTTTAAGGGCCACTGCAATCAGGTTGTAGGCAAAGTCATTGGTGCAGATCTCGTAGCAGTGGATGGCCTCATTTAGCTGGATGGTGTGATCGGGCTCTGTAACAGCTCGCATTTCTTCTTATTTTTGTTTTACTTAGATAAGTGCAACAAATAGCCGGCGCCAAAAAAATGTTTACGTTAGTATGACCGCAGTGGGGTCTACGAATTTTCTAAAAGATTTGTAAGCTCTCATAGTTGAAAATAGTTTTTAAGGATATTTAAAAACTAGTCATTGTGTATTAATAGATAGCAATAGATAAAACACTTGGAATTAATTTATTATTTTGAACGACCGAGAATATATATATTTTTATTCTTTATGAGTTTATACCTTAAACTAAGGAAGTCCCTTTACTTAAATTTTGAATTAAAAAATACCAAATCCAGTGCTGGAAAGTGTTTGCCTTAGGGTTGTCCCGCACATCTTCTCGGTATTTTTTAGTACCTTTTCGGCTAAGTTAAGTTGGCTGCGATTTACCCCACTTCCTTTTCCGTGTTAGCTGTGAAAGAAAAAACATGCCGGTGGGTGCCAAATTGCGTTAAAATTGATTTTAAACACAGAAATCTCATTTGAATGACAGCCAAAAGCGTGCTGAAATTACCCCCAAAGTGTCTAGTGTGAATGGAGCAAGTGTTGGGCGATAATGTCCCTTCAAAAGGCCTTAAAACAAATGTCTGTCCCGCTTCTATGAGTGTGTGTGGTTTACTAGCCACGCATGGCGTGCGATTGTGAAATTTCAACCAGGTGTGAAATTGATTAAAAGTCTCAACAAATTCGAATTTCTTCAGAGAGGAGTTTATCGACATACCAGGAGCAATTCGCGGAAGTCCTTGTACATAACCTAGAACACGCGTCTGCGAATTTATGTTGTTGTTGCCTGGAGGCTGTGCTCTGGATTTGTTGATACACTTAGGAAAACATGTGCCAATTGGATTATTTTCTCTAATGAAATGTCTTCTATTGCTTTTGATTATACTGAAATGTTTGTTCATTTTGTTAACAGGTAGTTTTCTTATCAATGTGATTTTTAACTTATGACATTAATCTAGTAAAGATTATTTCAATGCCAAGTTATGGCAAGTTAATTAGTGTAATCTTACCATTAACAATTAAAAATATTGTTAATTCCAATGCCGCCAAAATTGTCAAACAAATTTCACCCAAAAAATGATACATATTCCATCCTTTTTCGATTTGAATCTCTGTATTTGGATCTGCACACTCATTTGCTCCCTCACACTTTGGTGTCATAATATTACATATGTGATAGACTGCTAATTACTTGATTGTATACTAATCCTCTGATTGATCTCTCATTTCCAGCTAGCAAAAGATCTTCTGCACCCTCTGCCCTCTGAGGAGAAGCGCAAGCACAAGCTGAAGCGTCTGGTTCAGCACCCCAACTCGTACTTCATGGACGTGAAGTGCCCCGGCTGCTACAGGATCACCACCGTCTTCAGCCACGCCCAGGGCGTCGTGGTCTGCGCTGGATGCGCAACCATTCTGTGCCAGCCGACTGGAGGACGCGCCAAGCTGACAGAAGGTAAAGCCGAATTATTTAATGCCCTTTATTTCCTATTAACTAACTAAACCCTTCTTATTTTTCTTTTAGGCTGCTCTTTCCGCAGGAAGCCACAGTAAAATGGGATTCACGATGAACCACAAATTAATTTTGTAATAAAATCTATAAAACGTACCACAGAACCTACCCGAAAGAAAGCTTGTAATTCAATTGCTCCGGTCTTTGGTTCATTGTGCTTTGTGAATTAAAGAATTAACGATCTTGTGGTTGATTAAGTGAAAAAAGAGCATTTGAAGTATTTGTTTATAAAAAGCGGATCGTTGCCAGCAGATGAGGTAGTGCTCAATTGGTTGGTTTTCCAAATAGCAACGCTTTTAATGTAACTGATCGGGAAACTGTTCTGTGCGAGAAATACATATTTGGGTCTTGCAATATACCCTATTTGTGCCGCAAAACAATTCAGAAATTTTTCACTAGTTACGCGTAGATCTAACGATTACTTCACATCAATAAAGTATGTTTCATAGGTTTTAATATTGATTATTTGTGCAGGATTTACTAAATGAAAAATGTTTACGGAACTTGCGATCATAAAGTATTTACCTTCAAATGGTGCAGTTCGAGTTCTTCAGATTCTTATCTTTTGACCCAATATTTATGCAGATAAATTTAAATAAAACGTCATTAATTAAAATAGTTTTATAATTTTAAAAATTATAAAATTAAAGAAAGCTTTGCCTAGAAATGTGTAACGCAGTGTAGGATATATTTTAATGTCCGTAATCCTTAAATATTATTTTTTTTTTTATATATTTATTTTTATTGATAGGGCTTTTAAAGGGCTTTAAGAAAAGGATTTTAAAAAAATAAAGAATTTATTGTTTTCATTCCTTTGCTTGACCAGATTTTAAATCTACATTGGTTTGAGGATGCACTAATTCAATCTGCGTTGCCAGCTGTCTAGTGGAGTTACCCACCCCAGAGGGTGCGCTCCATCTTATTTAGCAAAGACAAACTCCTAACCGGCGATGCCAGACAGTTCGACAAAAAGGAATCGATACTTATCGATTCCTGTCGCCGATGGCATCGAAGCTTCTGCAGACGCCCCCTCCTCCTCTTTCGTCTTTCAACCCCAGACAGCGTGGCGTCGCGCTCTTTTTCAAACGGTAAAAAAACTTTGAAGGCGGCAGACACTTGATTCGTAATTTCGCTTGGAAAGATGTTCCGTGCACCTTCTTTGGGCCATTCGGCCAGCGATGACCAGGAATTGGACCACAATTTGATGGAGCTGCAGAAGAATCTGTCCTGCATGCTGGAATCCAACGAAAATCTGTCGCAAATGCCGGCTTCTTCGGTGTCCGAGGATCCGTTCGATATGCCGAGCAGTTCGCCCTGCGTTCTGGCGGAGATTCAAAAAAACTTCAGGGTGCTCCAACTGGACAATAATGCGCCACGCTTCGAGTTCCACGGCTTGGGTTGCATGCAACAGCTTTCGAAGCGTTCCCGTAAATCGGGTGGCGGCGGTGATCCGCCCAAGAAATCCAGGTCGAGCTGTTTCTACTCCCTGGTTTCCGGCCAGAAGCAGGAGCAACTGCAGCAGGAGAACATTTGGAACAAGCATTGCAAACAGGAAGTGACCTCTGTGCAGCACATTACCATTGAAAGGCTGCGTTCGATTGGTCTTTACGGCGATTGGTAAGTTTTATAGGAAATAGTACCCATAAAAAAAATGCTTGTAATGTCGCTCTTCCCATTTACAGCCTGGAGCACAATGCCGTAATGCGTCTGATGGATCTGTTCAGGTCCCTGCATGATCACCTGACCGCCGATTTGGGCTTTTCGCGCCAAAACTCAATGCCCTCGGACTTTCTGTTTGAAATGCCTGTGAGAAACCCGATGCCCAAGAGTCTGAATGTGCGCCACCAGCTTCAGGTGCTCTGCAGCAAAGTGGACAGATTCCTGGGGCACCAGCGTCGCACACTAGAGACAAATCGCAACTTCGACTACGACAAGTACACCGAGTGCGACAAGTTGCTTAAGGGATCGGCCTCCTATCTGCAGTGCTTCAATCATTTCCTAACCACCGAAATGCGCCACCGACGCGGAAACTTTGTAAACAGTTTTGCCAAATGTAAGTTTTGTATTCCATTACTATTCCTATAAGAATTTTCTGTATCATTTATAATCTATTATAATATATAGTTAATGCCCAGCGCTTGGAGAGCTTGCTGATCGGTCTGCGCGAGTGGCTCAAGGCCTCACATCTCAGCGTGCACGTGTTCAATTGGGAAATGGATCTGGATCACCGGTATTCGGCGGCCATGACCGAAAGTCACAGGTCCTTGAACGAGCGGGCCATTCTGCTGGCCGGTGCAGAGAGAATGGCGGCAAGGCCCCGTGGACTCAGTGCGGAGGAGATGCTTATTGCCAAGAAATACAATCTGGAGAACGTGGTTCAATGTGCCGCCGAGCAGGACGAGTTCCTCACCGCTCTGCTAGCCAATCCTGAGACCTACTTCCCGCCCAATGTTGTGGCTATTTGCGCGCCATCCAAGGTCGAAGTGGACATGGAGGAAGAGTGGATTGAGGAGTACGAGATTGAAGAGGACGCACCATCCTCACCGCCAAGACGCAACGAACGAGAGTTTCTACGCTTCAGAAGCTAAATAGGTTCTGTAAAAATCGAAGAAATAATAGTACCCAAATGATAAAAGAATACCAAATGCAGAGGCAACTAAAAATGGGTTCTGACAAATACTTTACAAACCTAAAAAGGGCATCTGTGTAATCCAAAGAGCAAAAATCAAAACGAAAAATGTTTGATGTTAATATTTTAACACTTAAATGTCTAAGTCAAAAATGATTTTGCCTCAAAATGGCATCCAATTTCTACGTATAGCAATTAGTTTTAGCATTTGTAAAATCAAAAAGAAAACGATTTAGTTAAAGTTTTACATTTATTTGTCAAAAATTGGGTACCAATTTGTACTAATATCAATTACTTATACAAGTCTGCAAATAATTTGTACACCTCAATGACCCAAAATCGAAATGAAAACGATTTTTTATAAATGTTTTAACATTTATTTGTCCAAGCGAACCGTAAAGCTAGTTTATTTTAATTGTTAAGTATTATAATAATCTTTCAGTGCCTGAATCTATTTTGCAACTACATTTAATTTGTAAGAGGAACTTGCCAGTGAATTGTTGGCTTTTCGTTTGTATTTTGAAAGTCAAATAAATATTCACATAACAGATATATAGATTTAAAGTTTAAATGTTTTGTACTAAGGAGATTAGACCACGAAGAGCTGTTCCAGCGGCAGTTTACCAAAGATCCTGTCCAGCACTGACTTGACTATCTGTCCGAAGGCCTCGGAGATGCCTGGTTTTAGTTCGTTGAATATGTCCTGCCAATTCTCGTTGATAAGGACGTGCATATTCTCACTCAGATCCTTCTGGCCGTTGAACAGGTTCTCCAGGTGATACGTGACATGGGAGGGATTCACCTCCACCTTGATGTCAACCACCTCGGCAAAGGTCTGGTGATCGCCTTTGGGAACACGCCTTAATTTGACAGCAGCCCGGATCTTGGTTTTTGCTGTAATTTTAATAAATGAATTTTTGATTGCGTAATCCAAAGGATGATTCGCCACAACTTACCCAATCGGATCTCGGCATTGCCCTTTCCCGTAATGGGCAGAATGAGGATTCTGCCATCAACTGAGTAGGGTCCTTTGACTGTAAGTTCGGGCACATCCATAATCAGTTCAATGGAGCGGCTGAGATCTTTTGTGAATCCGCTGTAAGCAATTTTTAATGTCTTGATTAGATTATTTCGTAGATCAAATTGAAATGCTGGCAGCTAAACTAAACTAAATTAAAGTATCATTGAAATAAAGGTAGAGGAGATAGTAGGGATATCAATCATTTTTCTGTGTAGAGATCATTTTATGCAATCACAAAATGGATTACAGTCTTGGATTATCTTACCTCACTCGCTTTGCAACTGCCTTATGAAGACCCAAAAGGTCCACTTCGCGGAAGCTCAGGTCAATGTTAACCGGACTGTGCGGATTACGGCCAATTTTGAACTTCTTGATGTGCAGCGGGTCCAGCGGGATCAGTCCCAGCTCCTTGATGCCGCTCTTGGCGTATTTCCCCAGCACATAGTTCACCCCGTTCATCAGGCACTGCTCGTCCGATGCCCCGCATTTCTCGATTCCCGAGGCTGCAATTCATTAGGTTGTAAGTTCATCAAACAAATCCTCCACAATTGGCGGCGCAACTCACGCAAATCGGAGGAGTGTCCGAAGACGGAGGAACATCCAAGCAGCAGGACGAGGGCGAGAGTCAGCTTCATAATTGACGCGGGCAAACGAAATTGAATACTGATCCATTAGCCTCGGATGATACTACTTATATACTCACTTCGTCAATTGAACATTCCGAGTGCGGGCTAAGTGTATCATGTTTTTGTTGCCACAAACGGCTTTTGCGTTTCAGCCTGACAGAATTTGACTTTAGACCGTCACCACGTACTATATTAACCCCCTGAGTCAGTTAAATGGATGATAAACCAAACCGGCAGGCAAGTCAGTCCGCCAAAGTGGCCTGTTATGGCCGGCGTATACATTTTACGATTCCCTTTAATGAACCCCCAATTTGAACTTGAACCTGTTGGGCTCCAGTCGCACTGTGAAGCCATCGACCTCAGTCCCATCTCTCCTAATCACGTTTTGCATGTAATTTGCTCGACATATGCAAATGAGAATGGCCTTCCCCAAATCGGACATTAATTCCTGTTCAAACTCCTTCGACACATTTGAATTGTGCCTAATTAATGGCTGAAAGACGTCAAAACAGCTTGTTTTTCAAGGGGTACGACTTGGAAAGTCAAGAACTTTTTAATGTAACGACCTTTTATCTCGATACAGAAGTTTTAGATCATTATCATCAGTTACCCATAACACATACTTTCAGGCGGGTTTTGATCGTTTTATTTTGAAAGTAATGAAAGTATAAATGGAAATTAGTTATAATTTTAAATTCCGAGAAAAAATAATACAATATATAGTTCAATGAAGAACGTTTTAACTTTATTGCCACTCGATTTTGTTCTATTAAAAAAAAGATACCGCTTACATTGTCTATAGTACTTTACTATTTTCCTACTTATTCTAACACTAAAATTGGACTCACGACCCCCGTTAAATCTAATGATGATTGCCAGCGTTAAAACTTATATCTGTCAGTGAACAAACAAACTGAGCTAGAGTGCGAAATATAAACAAGGCGGTTGTTCCCACTTATTAAGTACGGATTACTACACTGAAAAGAATAATCTACTCTTCTGCAAATAACTTGGCATACGGAACCTTAGCGAAAACGGCTTTCACGATGCCCAAATACAGCTCGCTGAAGGATTTGTCGATAGCTGGACCCGTCTCCTTGTAAATGGCCTCCGAGTTCTCGTTCAGAAAGACGTTCATGTTGTCGCCCAGCGCCTTGTCCCCATTGAACAGATTTGAAAAGTGGTAGTGGCTGGACTCCGGCTTCATCGTCATCTTCAAGTTGGTGACATCCAAAAAAGTCTCTCCGTTCTTCTCCACCGGATTGCCCGAGAAGCTAATGATTATCTTGACGTTATCTGGAAATATTTTTTTATAGTCCTTTGTTTCCTGGAGAATTAACTGGAGTAAACCTACCCATAGTTAAGTTACTTTGGCCGGTGCCGCTAATTGGAAGAATTAGCACTTTGCCCTGGATGCTATAGGGACCCACCAGAGCAAAGTGCTTCGCGACGATCTTCAATTCGTGCTTCGTGGCCATATCCTTACCAAATCCCCTAAAAAGAGAATGAAATCGATTAAGAATATTTGGTATTAAGAGCATTTTGATTAAACATTTTCTTTTAAAATTCATACTTTGAAAAACTACTAAATTTATTACATTCATGAGAGCTTATGACCTTGAAAATTATAATAATAATTTAAGCTTTCACATATTTAAAGGTCACTTTCAGTTTTTGAAGATATATTTTCGTTCTCAATTAAAATTTTGTTTAAGATGTATGTAAAAGATGATAGTCACCTACTTCACTTTTACGATCCTTTGATCCTTGATGCCGTACAGCAAATTGTCGGTCAACGTAAGAGTTATGCCCACAGGACTGTCGCTCACTCCTTGGCTTATCACCATCCTGTCCACCTTGAGGGGATCCAGCTGCACCAGGTTCAGGCCAGGATCCTCCGCCGAAAACTTCTCGCTGAACAATGTGTTGACCAATTGCATGATGCACTCGCCATCGCCGTATTTACAGGGTTTCGGATCGTCCGCTGAGAGGATTGTTGGTTATCCAAGGATTCTAATTTTATAAGAAAGTGTAATCCTTTAAAGTCTTACGGAAATTTGCTTGCACCGACAGGGAAAGACAGAGAACGATTGCCAACGCGATTCCGAACATGTTTACGCATCAATAACTAAAAGTAACTAAATATGAACGGGAAAGTCGACTAGTATTTATAGTGGCTCACTAAGTGCATCTCAAATACATCTAATAGCGAACTTTGCTTTAGCTATTATCTATGGGGTAACCATCTGCTGTCAATTCGAAAAATCGTTTGAAGTCCATCATGATTGTATTGTGCTAATAAAAATTAGTTACATTTTAACAATGAATCAATGAACTCGGAGAATCATTAAGCAAACAAATTATAGTAAATGCATAGAGATCAATTTTAAATGCTATTAAATAAATTAAATTAGTTCTATTAATACTACTGATATAGGAGCACTTATTATTTAGTGGATGTTCATGCTTGATTTAGTAGTTACATCTGAATTCTTTATAAAACTGACTCATCTCATCACATATGTGTAACAGACAGATTACAATTAAATACGTTCAATACCGATGTGGAACAATTATGGTATTAACTACTTCAATCAAAATATTTCCTTCGGCGTGTGAGGCTTTTTACACAAGTGCTAGTTCCAAGTATAGCCAAATTAAGTAACGAAAACAACAAAGTCATCGTGACATACAGCTCTCAAGAATCGGAGTTAAGGTGGAGCTCCAGAACAGGTCCCAAACTTCAGTTAACTTAATGGCCCACACGCCCCGTTTTAAGGCCCAGCCTCCGTGGAGAACAAAAGCCGCCTGTTACAATTCGTTTCGCTGCAGTTGATTGACTCGTGGAAGATTTTCACTGACCCAAGGCCAACTGGGTGTCCGATTCCCTGAACTGGGATGGCAGCTATACCGTTGGATACTCTTGAACTTGGTAAGTGAAACTGAAACGAATTCGAAATTGAACATGTCGGGAACGAGGTTGATTTGCTTATAGTTGTGGTCAGAGTTATATAAATATAGCACTAAAATTTTACATTTGTTGTACATTTTCTGTATTTTATTTTTACTTTATTATAATTAAATTTTCTAGGTTTTAAATAGTTTTTAAAAAGGGTTTTCATCTTTAATAAAACCCAATAAATTCTAGCTTTGAAATAAGTCCTATTATTTTAATTTTTAAATACTCAGTAATGTTCGCATTGTAATTTGTTGTTTTGCTGCTGATCAATAAAATTACAATATTACAGAAAACATTATTGTATGAGGAGTATCATCTTCATTGCTAATTTTCTGCCCGCACCTGTCGCATCTAGTGATTATGTATTTATCATGCAAATTTCGGATCAATCGTTCGATCACGTGAGTTGATTGCTGATCGCCGATTACTTGCCAAAATGTGAATGCGACAGTTGTGCGGAAATGCTGGAATCTACGCTTAGTTGAACAATGGCCCCCAACGAGCACAACCAGTTTTTGTATTAGGTTTGTTTATTCTACAATTTAAAGCTTAGCTTAGCAGATACGATGATATGTCAATGGCCGGAATGCAACGCCCCATGAATGTGAAATGCTGGTGAGGAAGTACTCGTACACTAAGTCTAATGGTAAAGGACTAGTGCTCAGTTCTCCAGGAACAGATCCTCGTAGGCAAAACGCTTGAATAGCTGGGACAGGATGCTTTTCATGATCTCGGCGATGGCCACGTGAATGGAGGGATGCAGTTCGTTCCACACCTCCGTCCAATTGTCATTGAGGAACTGGTTGAGGTTGGTGCCCAACGCCTGGTCGCCATTGAAGAGGTTCGCCAGTCGGATGTTCATCCTGGAAGATTACCAATATGGACCCGTATATAACTTATCTATATAAGATTACAATCCACTCACTTTTGTGGCTCCACGAGCACCTTCAGCTTGTCCACGCTCAGGTATGTGCGTCCATTGCGCAGTTGGGTGCCCGGCTTGAACTTCACCGAGAACTTGGGATTGTGCAGCACGATCTCGGCATCGCCATCTCCGCGAATGGGCAGGATCAGGATGCGTCCGTCCGCCACGTACTTGCCCTTCAGAACGATCTTAGGAAACGATCCGTACATCTCGAACTTGCTGGTGGCAGGATCTACGCCAAAGCCACTAAGAAAATATCAAAAAGGATTAGTTAGGGCTTATTTTTTTCTTTTCTTTTTGAAAAGATTCATTTAGATTCAGGTTGGCATTGCAATTAAAATAAAATATAGCTCTCGCTTCAAGGCAATACTTTTAATAATATTAAATCTTTTTAAATTAACGTATATATTTTACATCCCAGCTAATAATGAGTTCACTTTACTAAAACTTACATATTTACTTTAAAACTTAATATTAAATACGATCATTAAGTTGATTATTAAAGAAAGAGAATTGGATCCATGTTTTACTCCACCAGAAGCTTTCAAAACATAACTAATATTTAATCACTCTATACTTACACAGCCTTATCGAACTTGACTCCCGACAGGCCCTCCACATTCACATCCTTGAAGTTGAGCTTGAGGTTCAGTGAGCCTGTGCGTCCGTCGGAGATGTCGAAGCGCTTGATGAGGAAGGGTTCCACCTGGGGGAATCCTGCCGCAGGATAACCAGTCTTCGCATACTTATGGATCAGCATGTGCGAGACGTTGATGATGCAGCTGGTGTCGCCCTGTCGACAGCGCGGCAACTCGGGAGCTGCAAGGACAAAGCTCGGATTAGCACGGCACGAAGGGGGTGAACCACTGCGAAGGACTCACGAAAGTTGGAGGCACCACTGGCCAAGCAGAGGAGCAGGGCTACGGAGCACAGTTGGAGGAGCAACATTATAGCGATGGGTGGATCGACTGGGGTTCTACAGAGGCGCTGCGAAATTCACCCGTCCGAATATTTGGCGAACGCCCGACCAGGTTCAATGGCAAACTGTAAATTGGCTCTGGACAGACGGCGGCATTTATAAAATTTCTGATCGGCCAGAACGATGAAGCGAGGTGGCCGACAACCAGTACACTTCATAGTTTATTCATTCCTGACTTGTCTTGCCCGTTGTTCTTGTTGTCGCTGGCCGCCTGATTGGTGGCTATTTTTATTTATTCGTATTCGTATACCTCTTTCGTTTTGTGTTTTGGCTTCCACCCGTCATCATCGTCGTCGTGGCCACAGCCACCCCTAGCCAACAATGTTATTAATTAATATTATTAGCATGTGCCCGGTTTCGCGGGAACAGCAACAAATAACAATAAACAATAACAATGGCAGCGGACAAAAGGCAGCGAAAAATCAAAAGTGATTCTATAAATTTTAATGTTCGATTTACCAGCCAGTTTTCGAGCGAGTTGTCTACGCCAAGTCTATTTAATTCCCCCTTTTCTTCAATGCATTATAATTCAGACTATTTCGGCCTTTTGTACTTTTTATAGATCTAAGCTCTGTGAAATGGAATCTGCGCTTTGTTCGCACGTATAATGAAGTGCAAATAATAATTTGTACTTATCAGCGATGGCAAACATACATTGTATGTATTTCAACCATCTGATATTTGCTTTGAGATCAGCATTCGGCTTTAGAACTTTCAGGGAATTTCCTAAGTGCGTTTGAAATACCATGTGCTAAATGGCCATGCAGGTTGGAATAGAGTGATAATAAAGACATTAGGATGGTTAACTTTATAATATAATATTTGAATAATTTTGAATTTGATAATTTATTTTGTATTTTAATACAATAAATTACCAACTATCTCTTATGCAACTAGTAGATAAGTTCATAAAATGCAAGACAGAAGAATACGTCAGGATCAGAACAGTAAGTGCATTGGAATGTATAAAACAACATTTGAAACCTACAATATTAATCTTCATTAATTTTGAGAAATACTACAACTACATAACTATAGAAAACTCAAAGAATTTCCGTTTCGCAACATGGAAAGATAGATCTTTTTGGCCAACAACTCAATTCTGAACATAAACCAATTAGACATCATCAGGCATATTAGACGACGTTAAACTGGTTTCAACGACGATCTTAATGGAATCTCCGGATAAAAGTTGCCCACCGAGGTGGCTTCACTTTCAACATATATTGACAGGCGGCTTTTAGAACGGGCCGACTGGATTTAATTTGCCAAAATATGGTTAAAGGCTTCTGGGGTTCGTCATCGGCAATTAGCATATTCGGTGGGATTGCTTTATATACTATAGTATGCGATTGGCATGAAACCGGCATTTTGTTTATTAATTCAATTGGCGCCAGGTGAATCCACATATTTTAGCTCGGGCACTTTGATTTGTTTGCTTGGCCAATTCCTAGACGGTGTCGTAGACAATCGAGATTACAGCGTTTTTGGAGGCGCCAAAAAATTAAATTTATTTATTAAATGCGCACGCGTTTTATTATGAATTAGTTTGCATTCAAAATTAAGTTATGTATGTTAGCATTTGATTCATCTGGCGTAAACATGATTCGGCTTAAAAATTTGGTGTATTTTTAAAAGATTTGTAAATAACTAGTCTATCCACTTTGTAAAGCTGTGGAAAGCTTGTGAATAACTGTTTTATTTAATTTTAAGGAATTCATGATGAGTTGGGAATTTTTCTGGCATTCTTGTTTAGTTTTGGGAGTTCTAAATGCCATTATTGAATCTTGTTTTGTAATTTTACTAGCTTACTATTGGTTCTAAAGTGAAAGTTAACAATGCTGTTTTCAAAAATTAAAGTATTTAGCATGTTTTTAAATTATTATGATAATCTATGTATTATTATTATTAAAATTCGTTTGAGTTTATTCGTAAGTTCTTGAAAATGCTTCCTTTTTTCTCAATTGTAGCTAAAGACCGATAGTAAATTCCAAAAAATCCGTTCTTACACTTATACCCCTTTAAAAAATTCGGAACAGTTATCAAATTTCTGGCCGAACTCGAATTTTTATTTGATTCAAAATAAATTATTATTCCAATGATAACCTTAAATATAATTATATTTTTTTCAATTCACAAAAATTTGACAAGCTGCGATACTCGAAAAATGTGAGCTTGAAATTTAATATGTACAAATTTATAAAAATAACTGATTAGTAAATAGTATAATTTTGAATTTGAAATTAAGCTTTGACCGTTATTAACTGGTTCCACAACTTCTGATTCCCTGCGGAACTTATTCAAATCCAGGTGTGGTATAAATCGTGGATATGCCTACGGGCACACTGCCAAACATATCCACATCAGTGGTCTTAAAAGTTGGGTTTAAAAACTCTCACGAAACTCTTTAATTACCAGGTGAAATACTGTTCAAACACATTCTGGAGACAAGATAGGTGGAACAATATGCGTGGCAAGCAGATAGTAATCCTTCTGGCCAGTGTCCTGATCCTTGGAAGCCTACAAACGGAGGTGGCAACGGAATCGGACAACAAAACAAGTGATTTCGTGGCCACCAAGGAATGGCAGGTGATTGCGGAAGGTAACGGTTTTCCAGGTGACCTTTCCCGATGACGTGTACTAAGTGGTGATTCCTTTATTATAGGTCAGGCCATCCCCAAGGGCCTCCACGTACGTATCAATTTGCAAACCGGACTCAAGGAAGCAAAACTTTTGGACGAGGGTGAACGTGGCACGGCGCTGCAGAGTCAGCCGGACGATCAGAGGGATCAGGATCAGAATCTGGAAGATAATGAACCCCTGGCCCTGGACTACAAGCCGGACATCATCGAGGAGTCCCTGCGCCGCGTCAAGGAGCAAAAGAAGAGCTATGCGGAGCTGCGCAAGGCGTACAAGGAATTCCAGAAGAACTTCCGAACGGACGGAGAGCTGATTGTACAGTTAATTGATCAGTACCGAAACTTCAGCAAGACGCCGCTGCAGTCGGAGATGCGCTCCAAGCTGGACTGCCTGGACAACCTGGAGTATCTACTGCATCAGATAGACAATGCCCTAATGTTCATCGATAATGGAGGACTGGATGACGTCCTCCTGCCCATTGTGGTCAACGATACCAACACCTCGCTGAGGGTCTCGGCCATGCGGGTCTTGGGCTCGCTGGCAAGCAACAATCCGAAAGCCCAGATAAAGGTGTTCGAAAAGAACTTTGGCTCGCATCTGGCCCAGATCCTAACGAGTTCCGGGAATGCTGGAGAGATCTCCGCTGCACTGCATGCCTTTGGAGCTCTGCTTCGAAAGTTTCCGCTGGCCCAGCAGCGAGTGCTCTCCACCTCCGGCACACAGGCTCTGATCAAGGTCCTGCAGAGTGCAGAGGTGGAGCTGAGGAGCAAGGCCAAGGTGGTGACCCTCATCAGTGACCTGGTGCTGGAGAAGCGGTCAGTACTGGAGGCCAGCAAAGATGCTCCCGAAGCCGCCTCTACGATGGCGCAATATGTACTCCTGGAGTTCGAGCCTTGGCTGCAATCGCAAGGCTACTGCTCGGCGGTGGACAGTGTCGTGACCAAGGATTTCCTTCATCTTCTAGAGCAACCAGAAGTGGTGGAACAATTTGCCACTGCTCTAGAGACCACCGAGGATCTTTGCATTGCCTCCTGGTCTCAAAGTTCGGGTCTCAGGCACGCACTTCTAACGATTCGAAATCGGTATACCAACAGCAAGGACGAATACCGACTGGAGGTTTCCCAACTCCTGGCCAAACTGTGCGAAAGATTGTTCAACAAACCCAAACACACCGAACTGTAATCTTAGCCAATTTTACTGTACAATTTTTATTTTATTATAAGCTCAGTGTGAATTTAATTCATAGCCAAACCATAGACCCAAATTATTCAAGTTAAGTCAATATGATAACAAAGTTGCCAAGTACTTGTGATGCGAAAGTAATGCTCCTTCTTCGGAAACTTTTTCCTACTTTGTCATTAATTTAAGACGTTATCTTAAACTATGTTTTTTTAACAGATAGTTTTGATAATAAATCTTATTTAATTTTTTAATGAGGCTGGAGAATAGTTATGCCAATGCTAAGCTAAGAATATATTTATAATACTTTCGGTTTTCAAAAAAGTCGACCTTTCAAAGCTTGAAATTTAATCTAAGGTCAATTTATTTTTCAACCTTAATGTTCGATTTGTTGCAGATAGAGCTTATATGTTAAAACACAGCATAATATTATTATATGTCTTTAAGTACTTATTTTTTAAATTATGGTAACGCATTAATTTATTTGAGTGTCTTATTTTTTAAAAGTCATTGAACTCCAACAATCCCTTTTTTCTTTTAATAACTTACAGAGATGAGCTCCACACTAGACTGCCTGGAGAACCAGGAGCATATGCTTCATCAGATAGATAATGGCTTTACAACCACAGAAACCCATGGTTTTACCACTGTGACTATTTATAACTAAATATATAAAATGCAATAGTTCTTTAACTATTTTAATCTGACAAAAAATAAAATAACTAAACACATTATACTTTTATTGTTAATATTTAACATTTTTTTTTTAAATGTAAACTATAAAAAGCTGATTAATATCAATCCATTCGATTTTGTAATGAGAATAATAAACTAAACTAAATTTCAATTAAGAACTCCAACCCATTAAAAGCCCGATAAGTCGAGCATAATCGACCGGGCCATAAAGTAAGTCAAAAGTGTCGGAAGGAAAGCAAAAACCCATGGGAAGCATGTCCCAAAAAACTACTTGAAGTTTGTGAGTTAAGGAAACCAAGGAAAAACAAGGAAAGCCTGGCACGAAACTGTACAGGAAGAAAAAGGACTTTTTTGGAGCGGGAGAGTGCAATTATGTGCCGACGACGTCCAGCGCGGGAATTACAGCAATTAACGGCAGTCACATGCAAATGCAATGTCACTGGGCCTGAGTCACGAAGGAGGACAGGTGGAATGGAAGGAGGAGAGCCTGGAAGAGAGCCGGCTAGGACGCCGCCTTGGTTCCTATGGCTACGACACACAATGTAAACAGAGAGAGCCCCAAAAAGAGAGTGAGTAAGGGGTTGCAAAGCCGGCTCAGTGGAGCGCAACGAAGGCAGAAGAGAGCCCCAGAGAGGAACTGCCTCCTGCTCTGGAATAAACTCATACTCATCAATTCCAGCTGGGGCGCGTGCGCTGTGGCAGCTAGCCGTTGTTGTTGTCATGGCACTGCCACCGCCGCTTTCCGTTTCTTCTCGCTTCTTTCCAGCCGAAACGCTTGACGAGTGATGTGGAAACATTTTCAACACAAGTAAAAGCTGGCGTCCAGAGAGGCTTCCATCGTTTAAACACAGCAGCGGTCAAAATTATTGCCATTTGAAGAATTCATTCTGCCTCGATTTGAGACTCCGGATATTCAATAAAAGTAAAAATAATAATTCGTACATTTGTTCAATAAGTTTTAATATTGTTTAGAATTTCATTTAAACATTGTCGGTTATTTATTTCTTTTGGAACTAATAGAAGATAAATATAAAACTATATATTAGACCATTAGATACGGAATAATCCGAAGGACTTAAAAAAAACTATTTTAAAGATGTCTACGTACTTTGCAATATTTTTTTTTGATTGTCTAGACACTGCTATTATTTTGATCAGAACCGTAGGCATGTGTGCATGCATGTTGATAGTGAGCACAAGTCCAACGCACACCGGCTTTACAGGCTGTTGCTGCTTTTATTGCTGTCGGTTGTTAGGGGGCACGGCTTTGGCAACATTATGGAAAATCAGTTTGTGTTTGGATCGCGATGCGAGGAGCTCGTTTAGCGCTTCGGAGTGGTACAAATAAAAGCGTTTCGGCCAACTGTGTTCTTTGTGCATTGCAATCGCAATCATAACAATAAATGAGCTTAAGAATTTGTTAGTGCTCAGGTTAAAAACCACCGAAAGGATAAAGTGCGTGTTGGTAAAGCATAAATACAGTGTAACTTACAAAAATAATAATGAATTGTGTTGAATTTAAAATTCATGAGTCATGTGGAAAAGAGTTTGCTATTAAGAAAGTGACAGGATTTTTGCCTAACTTGAAATAACAATTTATGTCAGAAGATTTGCTGCGCCTATTAAAACCTTGCTTTAAAAATTTGATTTTTAAGGGCATGATAATAAAAGATGAAAGTTCCTAAATACCTTTGAAAAATCTTTAAGTATTTATGGCATTACAAATTTAAGTAAATATTGTTTAGGATATTATTTATCAAAATAAAAATTGACAGTTTTTATAAATTAAAACTTAGACACAATTTAGTATACAATTTTATGAGCTTAATGTAGTACTTGTCCTTTCATAACATCTTTTAATGATTCCCGGAATCCCCAATTAAACTTCCCATTTGCTATAAATCAGTTAAAATTTTTTTGCGAATCTGCAAGTGGCGAATGAAAAACCCCAGGGAAAACAAGTTCACAGCCCGCGCAGCAAGCGTATATTGAATATGTAACCGTTTTTACACAGGTGAATGACTTTTTTGTGCGCTTCTGCGGGCTTCCGGTCAAAAAAGCGTTTTCATTTTCGCCATCGGCCATCGGCCAACGGCCAGCGGCTGATTTGTATGCAAATGTTTGTCTGTCCTCCCCGAACCCCTTGATCAGCCACCCCAATGCAACACGCCTCTCACTCCTCACACTTTCCCCACCCACCTGCTGTGGTATGCCATAAATCCTGGCCAGGAGGAAGCTCCTTTGGGCCGTGTAAACGGGCGTTTGAAATTCTTCCACTGGTACGAAAATGCCGGAACCAAGGAAACAAAAACAAAAACATTGCCACCGCCTTTAGTGGCTGTGGTTGTTTTTACACCCTTTTATTTTGTAAAAGGTATTGTAGTTTGATCTTAAGTTGGTAGCCAATAGATAATATCAAGCATAATACATTGAATATCAGTATCATTTCGAAAAAATCTATTCCATTTTTCAGTTTGGTTTTTCAGGATCCTTTTTTGAGGTATCTTATTCTTTTGACACTCAGTATAACTCTTTGCGAAATGCAGATTAATATAATTAGTTAATCCAGTTAGTATGGAATTCTGATCAATAGATTCAATAGGTGTTATGAGAACTTTGCATATATATGTTATAAGTTATTTTAATAAAAAATTAAACAGGGTATGTAAAGCCTCGCTTTTTGAAAGCATCATCCCTTTATCGCTTGTGTTATTCTTGGTGTTGCTGGTGGAATAAAATACCGCCAATTCCGCTGGTGACAACAACTAAGGCAATGTGGCAACCGACCAAGCGACCCGACTCCAACTTCCACCTCCAAACTTCCAACATGTGTGTGACATGTGTGCGACATTTGCTCCACAACCAGAAGACAATGGAGAAAAGGAAGCGGTCGGGGTGAAAAATATGCTAAAGATGAAGAACAACTTTCAGTTGCTAGATGGTTAGGCGGTGAGGAGTGCTAATGTTCCAGTTGCTTTGGTTTCTGTGCCAAAGTGTTTTGTCTATCTAATAATCTTGTAATAATCTAGAAGACTAGTTTTTCCCTATCCAGTTATCCATTTCAAATTGCCATTTTGGTAATTTAAGAAAAGTTGCACGTAAATTTAATTTGAGAACGGTTATGGTACATCAAAGATATATGCAAATTTATTGCTTAAATAAAAAATAGCGGGCAATAACTCAACAGTAATAACCAAACACTTAACACTTTCTGGTTAAAATAGGAAACTAAAAATTTATTATGAAGGAATTTCAAGTGATGTGAACAAGTTTTTACTGCAAAGATTTAACGATCATTTTATGATTTGTGCGGAAGTGTTATGTTGCTCTAAAAAGCTAAAAAACTTTAAATTAACGTGATTGCGGGTCCTAAGATATTGTTAAACAAAATGTGGATAAATCATCATTGGATATGCTATTTGATCTTCGCCTTGTGCTATTTAAATAATGGTGAGTTCTTTCAATTTACTATATGTACTTTCTCTACTTACAAAAATATATAAATCTTAAACATTTTTGTTCTTACACAACATAAGAAAGGACTGCAGTCTTAAACAAATTGAATACAATATTTAGTTCATAGCATGACAATAATAACCTCCTCTTAACAATGTGTATAGTTATTGGCTTGGAATGTTGGTTAAGTAATTGTGGAATCAAGTGTCGTCTTTGATAATCGAAAACAAACAAAGTAATTAACCGCATGTAACCCTCGAAAAGTAAAAACTGAAAATGGTGAAATTGCTAGCGAGACTCGATAAATTAAAAAGAAAAGTCAGCCAAGAAAACGAACGGAGACATCAACGTCGTTCTGGTCCAACGATTTATGACGGATAAAACTTTTTACGTGACTAACTTGGGTTTTACCACCTTCCAGCCCCAACGAAATCCCAACTGATAAATAGTTTTCCTTTTCTGGATATGGATACGCATGGATCCAAGCCGATTGTGGTCATGAAGTTGCTCCAGTTTCAAGTTCCATTTAGTGCATTAATTTCGGTTCATTACATTGTCATACTTGAGTGCTATCGTTACTCCACTTGGGCAAAGAATATATCATGTATCTTTAATGGGCATGTCACAGTTCAAGTTCTTCCCTAACGGGTTTTGCCATAGCCCACATATAGCTTGACCTGTGCCACAAAAATTGATTGCGAAATACTTATGCCGATGCTTACAATGTTTAACCAGACAGAACTCGCATGGTACGGAGCCACAAGTTGTTGTTACTGTCGCTGGCAGGCCCCAATCCGAATCCAAATCGGAATCCCAAAAATAAACCCCTTATACCTTATACCTTATGCCAAAGTCAGTGGCCCAGACCGAGGAGTTTGTCTTTTCGTTGGCGTTTTCATGAAAATCACCAAGCTGAACGGGCACTTTTTCTCTTTTTGGTTTTTTTATGGTGTTGTTTTATCAAAAGAAACCAAAACAAAACCAAATGAAAATTTGTTTTCTGAACTTTTTGATTGTTGAAACTTTTCTCCCCCATATTCATATGTACATTCATGTATTTGGCCAAATTTGTTCAGCCGCCAACTCACTTTCATTTGTTTTACACTCTCCGACTTTGCAAAATAAAAATAAAAGTAGAACTTATGTAATCGGAAGGTGGGCTTGGGATTGGTCTTTAATCTCCACTCTATTTGTGTAAAGCTTCGCGGATTTACGCTCCAGGTATTTGCACCTTATGGATGAGTTTTGGAATCCGATGACTCTAATTAGTCTTGGTTTTTAAATAAAGTGGATTGCATACATGCATTTGCTACTAATTAGTAGGTTAGTTGGGTAATCGAAATATGTTTTTACAGCGGGATTCCAGTGCGTAGTCCCGATTTCAATTTGCGATTTAAAAACTTTCCATTTTCTCCGGAAAGTAGTGCATGTAGTTTATGTACGTGAGCTATCAGCACACATCTGAGAGATTTTGTAATAAATCCGCAGCAATTAGACTAATTTCCAAAACTTTTAACTGTCGAAGAAAGTCCACGAGCAGAGATCTTCATTGCCATGTGCATTGCCCAATGTCACAACAATTAACCTACAACAGAGATCTTGAAAACAAGTAGAAGATTTCACTTCGCCATATCTCATCTGCACGCCACATGGAGAAAATCCCGGAGATGACTGCCGACCCCCAGCCAGGGTCATCGCAAACCGTTTGGAAACCAACAACCAACAACCGTTTACCAGAACGAAATTAAGAAAACAAACAACAATTATGCTGTTACCACATAATAAGAACTTGTTGTTTAGATGGTCAAGGGGTTGGAGGTAAAAACCGGAACATATGATGGGGGATACTTGTAAGAGTTTATAATTGCATTGGCCAAAAAAGGTGTTATGTCATGCTCCCATGGGAGCATGGGCTCAGTTTTATCCCTTATATAATATAATAATAACAGCTCATAGCTCTTTAAAAAAGGTTAGAAAAAACAGAACTGCTAAAGAAACTAGGAAACTCAAGATTTTATTTTACAAAAAAAGTGTTCCATATTTGTAAAGTAAAACGAATATAGGGCTTCAGAAATAAAAAGCAATAGCATAATAAAATGGGTCAAATAAAGTAAATCCCTCAAAAATAGTTGAGCAAATTTAATACTTTCTTCCACTATTTTTTTTTAAATAAAATTGTACCAATTTATTTGCATACGAGGAGGGCAAGTGTTTGCAAAATTTGCATGACCGTCCCAAGTTTACCCATTGCACACTAACACAATTAGATATCAGAGCTTGTCCGGAAACGAAAATCGGCTGCGAATCACCCAAAGAGGAGTCGAGAGATGTTTGATGTGGCCAGTTGCCCACTTGGATCTACTTGGACCCGCAGTGGTGGTCTTCGCCTGTGCAGCGCTGGCCGAGAATTGCAGCACTCGAAATGAAAGAAAACGGAAGCTTAGTAGAGCGTATCCGAGGTACGAGCAAACATGTCTGGCGATTCGGACAGCTGGCTCACTGGAACACAAACACTGGACCAACCGGCACTCTCTGTGGTGGCTTCCTCCACCTGTCGCTGCAATTTACTTTTAATTTGCAATTATCAGGACGGACCGAAAGTAAGCCTGAAAGGGAGAGAGTTCAATTTGTAGCATTTTGTACACAATTTTTTAGGCCAGAGAAACACAAAATGGTTAAAAGGTATGCTTAAGTTTAAGCCCAAAACAATGCAAAAGAAATTGTTTTAGGAAACTGAGTGATAAAATAAGTCTTAGCTGATACGATATTTCCCTTCATTTTCTGAAAATTGAAATTATAAATAACTCTTTCCTTGTTTTCCTATCTTTCTAGCCACTTTTGGAGCTATCCTCGACTCCCGTTGTTATCTCGAGGGTGGTGGTTCCGCGGAAAGTTTCCTGGCGACCGAGGATCTGGCGGTGGGTTCGATTATCGGCAAATTAAGGATCAACGGGGATCCCAATGCTGAGACAGGGGACATCACCCTTTCGCTGAGGGAAAAGAATGCTCCCGTAGAGATCCATGCCGGCACCAAGGAGCTAGCTCTATCGGTGGAACTGGACAAGGAGGGCGTGAGAGGTCCTTCATCCATCTACGTGAATGTCATCTGCATACGACGACATTCAACGGATCCGGTAAGAAATTGTTTATTGCAGTAAAGTATGCATTTGTGCCCCTTATTTATAAATCCATTGGGGTTAATTCTATGGTATGAAGCTTAAACAGTGCATAGGTTGAACCCTAAACCTATTATAAATCATAAAATATCCTATATAACAATATTGGACAAGAAAGTTAATTTTTTTATAAGGGAGTAAAATTAGGTCAACGAGAGCGGACTCGGAAATAATAAACCAGTCTTTTCTTAAGAAATAGCCACAAAAAACGAGGGTAGATTGAATCAGTTAAAGCCAGCATAATGGGAATCAATATAGGTAGCATAGCGAATCGAACCCCTAAAGTTGGTGGCTAAGCACTTGTCGATCAAGTTAACGCCGCAATTAATCAGGCGGCCTGGTCACTGGCCCACATCGACCGCATTTCCTTGAAGTTCTTTCTGCCGGCCACTTTCCAACCGCATTCCGCACCTGCGAAGGACCCTTTCGTGCAATGGCCATCCAATTGACCTATATAGAGGTAAGTTGCCACCTTCTTGAACCTCGTACTCTTCTAAACAGTGCGTGTTCCCTGGGGCCAGCTAAGCATGTTAAATTTCGGCAAACACGATTTTATGCTCCTGGCGTTGCGGCTTTTCGAGGAACTCTATAAACAATTGAAAACTTTTGTTAGACAATGCACGCCCATTTCAATTTTAGAATCAACAAAACGCTGGCTCCAACTTCAACATCAACTTCTCGTATTGCAGCTGCAAGTCAAGGAGCCACCGAAGGAGGAGCACCCAGGAGTCAACCCCTTTTGGCGCCTGTGGTTGGCCCCAGCTTGGTGGCCATAAATTAACCATTAAGGCTTCCGTTTGCGGGTAGAAATGTAGGCATGGGCGTTTTGTGGGATCGGGGATGTCCTAGTTGGGGCAAGAGGTCCGCTAAACATGCAAATGTATGCAGGACATTCGGCGGCGTGCTTGGGCTTTGAACCCCCGGAGGTCAGTGACCAGCACATTGGCTACAAAATAAGGTGTTTGTCTTGAAGTGCACACACTCGAAAAATTGGTTGAACTACACTTTTAAAAGAGGTTTACCAATGCGGAACAAATTAATATCATAAGTAAACTATCAAGCTTTAGACAATTAGATATTAAGAAAGCAGAATTAATGATCATAATGAGAAAATTAATAATCTGTTCTTAAGATAAGAGAACATTTTCAAATTTTTCCGATTTAGCTTTTAGAATAAGGCAATCATGGTTACATTTTTTTTTAAACTGTAAAACCACGGACTAGTACAGCCTTTGGTAACTACATTTTTCTCTGTTCTTATGTTCTTCACAGAGCTTCGTCATCCCCGTGAATGTGCGAGTTACTGATGTGAATGACAATGCCCCCCAGTGGATCGGCACCCCCTACACTTTGACCCTTTCGGAGGTGACGGTTCCGGGAACTCGAATCCTTCAGGGCGCCCGTGCCGAGGATGCCGACCAACCAGGTCCCTTCTCCACGGTGGAGTACCAGGTGCTGCCAGGTCCGTACTCGGAGTATGTGCAGTTCCTCAATCCCCTGGAGGGCACGCTGGTGCTGAGGAAAGCCCTGGACTACGAGCAGCTGCAGAACTTCACTGTGAAGCTGAGGGCTCAGGATCAGGGCACACCAGCCCGTCACTCGGACACTTTGCTTCGGGTGGTCATCACGGATGCGGATGACCAGAATCCGAAGTTCCAGCGGGAGTCCTACACCGCAGAGATACCAGTGGACGGCAGGCCGGGTGAGCTGCGGATGCGGCCGGAGCCTCTGAAGGCGGTGGATCAGGACGAGGGCATCTGTGCACCCATCCAGTACACGATAGTCCAATCGCAGGACGCCAAGTACTTCCGCATCCATCCGCACAACGGAGCCATTAGTTTGCTAACACCGATTGGATATGCGGACGTGGCCAATGGCGCCACTTTGGTGGTGAAGGCCACGCAGATCGATAATCCCGATCGCTATGCTCTGACCACTGTCCAGTTGACGCGACCTGGCAGTCACAGTGATCTGAGCACTCTGGCTTTCGTCCAAAAGAGATTCGTCATGCGCATTCGCGAGGATACGGCGGTAGGCAATCGGATCCTTGCTCTGCCCACCAATAAGCCCGGAAAACACCTTAAGTATACTATTCCCGATCCCGTGAACTCTCAGTTCTTCACAGTGGGATCGCTGGGGGAACTTGTGCTGGCGAAACCGCTTGACTACGAGAAGATGACCAAGCATGAGTTCCAGGTGCAAGCCACGGATGGAATGACCAACAGCACCGCGGAACTGACGCTGGACGTGATCGATGTCAATGACTGGGAGCCGCGGTTCCGGGAAACGCACTACGAGTTCATGGTGCCCAAGAGCGTGAGTAGCTACCCGATTTGATTGGTATGAAACTACTAGCTGGAGCTGAATTCTGGTTATCTTATTCATATCTTATTTAATGTTTATACTTAACTTTTTATCCTTCTCCTTTCCAGCAGTCCTTACAGTCCCGCGTTGATTCCTTTGAGGGCGTGCTCATCGGCAAGGTTGAGGCAGCTGACGGGGATCGCAACGACAAACTGGAACTCTCGCTGCGGGGCCAGCATGCCGGATTATTCGAAATCGACACCACCGGGAATATTTACATGCGCCCGGAGCAGCTGCAGAGCCTTAATGAGTCCACGGTCCATCTGATAGCCATCGCCACGGACACAGGTGTGCCGCCCAGGAGCACCTCAGTCCCGGTGAGCGTGACAATGGAGGGCCTGACCTTGGCCCAATCAGGCTGGAACAGCAACATGCTGGGCATGTTTGGCATGATCATGGGCCTCTTCCTGATGATCATAGTGGCACTCAGCTGCTACATTGTGCGATCCAGAAAGCAGGGCAAGAGTGCCTCCAGCGGATTGGGCCTCGGTCGGAATCGGGTGCACAGCCAGGCGCACAGCAGCGTGTCCTCGGCCAATTTGGTTACCCACGAGAAGCTGGCGGGGAATGGCAACGGCAACGGAGCCAGCGTGACGAGCGGTGGGGTCTCAGTGCTGCACATGAAGCACGGCGGCAACATCACCATGGCCAATCCGATGAACAATGGCCTGCATCATGTGGCCAGTGGAGCCAGTAGTAGCATGGCCCTCGGAAGCTCCGCCGCCTTGTTGGAACGGGAAAGGGAGCGGGATCGGGAGCGTCAACGAGAGAGCTATGCCGCCACAGTTCGCAGTAAGAGGCAGTCAATTTTTATCTACCCCAGGATGCAAGTCTTATTTGATGAAAATGATAAACAAAAGAAATGAATCAATGAATCAGATTTGCATCCCCGATCTTTCCCAATTTTTTACCCCAATCTCACCCGAAACATTCACTATTAAAAGTCTTCTTGCCAGGCATAGTGTCGCGCGCCTCCGCCAATGGACAGCTCTTCGAGGAGGACGAGATCGAGCATGACTCCTTGCAGACAGAGAATAACAACAGGAAAGGAGCAGCCACGGGAGCGGCAAGTGGCGGGGTTACCACCATCACCACCACCTCGGCCAATGCGGGCTCCAATCTTCTATCTGCCACCGATGCCATGGGCTCCTCGGAGAACAACTTGACGGTCTACTTTTAGAACTGCGGGAGGCTGCTCCTCCCGAAGAGCTTGTAAATATCGCTGCTAAGTCAGTTTAGGATTAGGTTTAGGCCCCGCACACGTGTATGTACATTCAGTAGACCAAATATAGCATTGTAAACAGACCCAGCACACGATCTAGGCTAAGTCCAAGCGATTTCCATTGTAAAGTTTTGCTTCCCAGATTTTAAGTGGATCCGTCCAATAAAGTTTTCGACCATTCAAGCGTGTTGGCCCTTCCATGCAAACAGTTTTGCTTACGAATCTCGTTGTTTATATTGTTGAGGCTTACGTTCTACTTCGATTCTGGTGATCTTCACAACTTTGGCATGGATAAAACAAAAATAACTAGGATTAAAAACGGTTCACTCACTTAGAATAGATAGTAGGTAGGATTTTACAGTTCAGTGTAGGATAGAAAGGATTAAACAAAATACAGTATGACTCTATGGGGTGGAATTTAGTTAGAAAATACTTCAGATCCAATATGAATAAGATATTGGAGCTATAGTTTCATAAGTGTTTGGAATTTTACATTTTTTAATAAAAGCAAATGTCTACCACCCCTTCTGCTAAGTATAAAATGCTATTTAAATGGCACGGCCTGCCTTTACCTGCCGTTGCGTTTCGTTTTTCGCTTGAGCAGGTTAAAGTCTCCATACTGAATGTGATTGTCGGTCAGGAATGGCACATAGAAGGCACGTAACACCTTGTGCGACTTCTCCGGGATGAGGAAGGGCAGGCTCTTCATCACCGACCACTCCTTTGATCGTTTCGAGTAGTTCGGTTCCAGAGGCGTATACTTGCCCTCATCGAAATCGACGAGGAAATCGCATTGGTCGTAGTCAAAGTACATGTGTTCATTCTCCTGGTTAAGATCGTTGAAGTACGGATGCACCAATTGAGTGGCATTGTGGCCCATTACATAGTAGGCTGGCAGCATTCCGCGGAACTCGGATTTTAGGAAACGCAAACGGAAATTCCTGGCAGGAAAAAAGAAGCTTCCGGGATAGCGATGCCAGTCCTTGCCAATGCAAACGTTGTATATCAAGTCTGGGTTATATTGCGGCGTCGCCTTAAACTGGTTCAGTTCCAGCATCAAATCCATGGGTGCGTGATAGTTTCTGTACAGAGCAAATACGCGAGAAAGTCCTAGCAAAGTACTGGTCACCATTACTAGTATTGCAATAAACATGCTGTGGTCGAGATAATGAACTCCCGACTTGATCTTGAACACCAGCATTTTGATACGAAAGAAAATGCGTTGATACACATCCACGGTGATAGCTCCACAAAGCGAGATTAGTGGGTATACGGGAAACAGAAAGCGCTCCTCCTTATGTGGTTGGGCGAAAAAGACCAAGAGCCACAGATAGAGGGGAGCCAGCGAGATGTAGTGGGGGAAATTCAGCGTAGACTTCGACTTGGCTGGCACAATCAGATAGTCCATGACCAGCATGATGGGTAGTTGTAGAGCCAAGAGCTGACAGCAAAATAAATTCATATAAGAGGTCCTATAAGATACACGATTTCTACTCACCCAAATAATGTTAAAGTTAAGGAAACCATTGATAATGTAGTAGCTCAGCGGCTCGGTGCCAAAGATGTTGGGTCCATGACTGGTGAACACGTTATACCATACAATGTTCAGAGGAGCAAATGTTAATTTGCCAAAGTAGCTCGTATCGATGGCAATCATGGGTATAGCAATGGTGGCGCCAGATATCAGAGTCCACTGAATGAAGGTCCTCCAATCCCGCTGCCTCAGTAGCATCTCCAGCACCAGCGGAATGCCAATCAGCGCAGCAAAAGGCCAACCTAACAGAGCCGATATAGCCGTCAGGAATATGGCGAAACAATAATTTTGCTGCCACCAGGCGGCCAGGGCAGCACATCCGAAGTACATGGAGAAGGAGGAGGGTAGTAGAGCAGTGCTAGATACGAACATGCCCACACTAAAGAGCTGGAAAATCAGCCACAGACGACCAATGTGTATGCCAAATTCCTGGCAAATGGACCTGCAATACAGTTCTTGCTATTACCCATTCTGTTGGTATTGGTTATTCTCCAGCTAGACTTACTTGTACATATAGCGTTCCATCACGGCACAGGCGAATCCCAACATACACCGCACCATGTAGAAAATGAGAATGGGGCTGGGATTGAACATCTTCTGGTAAAAGTAACCGGGCACGCCCTGCAGGAGTAGGTAAGTGTAGGATCGCAGTCCAAACTGCGGGCTGTATTCCCACGTCTGCAGTCCGTGGCCATTAATGATGTAGTGCAGCGGCTCCCAGTAGTTGAAGGTCTCGTCGCAGTCGGCTATGTACGCCCAAATGGCGCTGCACAACCGGGCACTCACGAAAGTCTTGAAGGCGGTCTGCACACTGGGCATAATGGGTTTGGGGGAGCCCTTCTCTTGACCCCCACTCGCGGATTGCTTGCTGTGGATAAGGAGTAATCGCAATCAGTTGGAATCATGACATATAGAATCGCACTTACCTCTTCTTGGCATCTTTATCCTTCTTGTTGCCGGCCGGTGCGCCGTCCTTCGATTTGTTGTTGCCATTCAGGCCCAGTCGTTTTGGGGGCTTCTTCGACAGAATCTGGTTGTCGGCCTTGTTGGCTATATAGCGAGCCCGCGCAGCCGGAGGCGCCATAATCCGGACTTTCTGGTAAAATATCCGGATACGTATTCAGAACTTGCAAAGATTTTCTAGCTAAAGATTATGTGCGAAATGTTATCGATACCTTCGGAGGTATCGTAATTTATTAAGGGCATTCTTGCCAAAACTAAAGCGCACTCTACACTACCACAAGTCTGCTATCGATATGTATACAGATGCGAAACGGCTTTTTAAAATTGCAAATCATAGGAAAAGTTTTTAAGCCCATAAATAATGGGCCATTCCATTCAATGATATTTCAAGACTTACATTTAAAATAGTTATTTTATTTAACAACATTACTGGAATTATTCATATATTAAGTATAAGAAACATAAGAAAAGATGTTATTAAAGTTGGGGGGAAATCTGGAGACCTAAGCAGAGTTTCGAATCGGCAGGTAATGAACAATAACAATACACACTGAAATTACAAAAAATTAAAAAAATTGTTATGCAAGACAGTTTTAAAAACGTACCAATAAGAGTGCAAGTAAACATGGCAAAAGTTGTATTGCAGTAAGGTTGCAGCATAACTCCCATAAGATTTGTAGCTGCGATGATTCCAAGACGTCCCATGGACATGCAAAAGCTGACAGCCTTCGATCTAGTTGTAAAAATAGAGAATTAATTAAAATAAACATCAGCATGGGGTTTCAAATTTACCTTAGGTGTGTAGGGACCAGATCCACAATAGCGCCTATCATAATTGAAATCGAAAGCCCAGGCAAAAGAATGTAAAGGCAAAAGAGTACAAGAACTCCGGTGGGATTTTCCATAAAGTGTAGTAAAACGCCACTGAATACTGTAACTCCCAGGGCAGCTAAAAGTACATTCTTTCGACCCAAAGGATTTAGTATCAGTCCTTGGATGGAGAATCCAATTAAAAATGCAAAGCCAACAATCAAATTGTCAATATAGGTTTGGTTCGAAATGGTATTAGTGCAGACCTTGAGTAGAAAACATATAAATATGATGAGCATATATTTTGTTATAGAATATTTAGATTACTTACCAAAGTTTCCGTTGCATTGGGGCTTTCTACAGGCACGCTTAGTATTTCGCATACTGTGGAGGAGTTGGTTTGAGCACCTGAAGATCGGTTAACAATTTCTGGAAACCAAAGTTGCATGCCATTTGAACTTGAAAGAAATTAAATCGATTTATAAATTAAGATTAATGTAAAGAGCCCATAACTTACCTGAAAAACATGCCAAACAAAGCCAAATTGCAAAGGATGAAATTAAATCCATGGGGCTTGTGGAAAAGTGGAACTGTTGCCTTGCAAATTTTAGATAGTATACCACATCCCTGGCTTTCGGCCAATAAATTTTCGCCAGCTGGATCTTCAGATTTCAGTGTGAATTCATCGCAATTTATGACTTGATTTATCGGCTTTCCTCGGTTAAATTTACTAATCCATGAGACAGCTTCTATAGCTTCTTTATTCTTATCTTGCGATAGCAATAGCTTCGGGCTTTCAGGATAATTTAATAATATTAGGCCTCCAATGAATCCTGGTAGCAGACTAACTAGCAAGATCAAACGCCATGGTCGGAAAACAAAATCACCTATGGTTATGGCCCAGTTTGACGAAAGTACCAGCCAAGCAGTTGCTAAATTGTTTAAGGGGTTTTGTTACTTTAATACATAATTCACTTAGAATCTATATATAGTCTTGCATACCTGGTACATATATTGCTGTAACACTAACAAACATTGTCGAATAATTAATCGCCACAGCGCGATGTCGAGGTATGTTAAATTCACTTAGATATGCATAAAGTGCTGCTGAAACTGCACCGACACTGTGTTTAAATTAGAATAATTTAAATGAATGCATTGTTAAATCTTGGTAAAGCGAACTTTGCTTTTATTTTAAACGTTAATAAAATATGATTTCCCGTACACAGAAGCTTGTTTACACTCACCTAATTCCAACAAGTAGGTTAATGATGTTAAATAACCAAACACTTGTGACGAACATTAACACAAATTGCAGTGCGTTGCTGGCGAAATTACCATAAAGTAAAACCTTCCGGCGACCGATATCGTCACTGATGTATCCCCATATATAGGTCGATAAGAAGATGCCTGTGCAAATATGAGAATATTCCATTGTGATGCTGTGAAACCCCCACTCAGACCTCGACTCACCTGTAACACTAGCCGCCATCATCACGCCCTTTTCTGCCTGTGAGGTTTCGAATTCGCACTGGGAGGCGATCACAATAATACTCATGGCTTGTTGGGCTGCAACGGACGTGATTGTCAAGAGTCCGCTGACAAGCAGAAGTATCCACTGCGTTTTGCCATAACCTGGTGTAAAGATAATCCATTTTTAAGATCATCAGATTAAGTGGCAAGCTTAAGCTAATTTACCGATCTTCTCCAATATCATGTCGTAGTCCCACACATTGGGACCGGCGGTATTGCTCTCCAGCGGGCTGTGCATCTTGACATACCTGAGATACTTGGCGACTGGACAATGAGCTTGTGAGGCACCTGCTTTTAAGCATTGTATTGTAATAACCCCGCTTAGAACACTGAGAGACATGTGAACCGCAAACCCGTTTTGAGCTCAAAGCATTTTCGATTTAGTTTCAATTTAAGCATTTTACCGAGAGATCTTAGGCACGTGAATGCATTCGATTTTATTTGCAAACTGGTTGAGAGAGAACCCAAAAATGCTTTGTTTATATTTAAATTAATGTGGGGGTAGTTAACTTTATCTTGGTAACTTGACTTACATACAGTGAGTAAAATTGATTTATGCTGCACAAAAAGTCGTATGAATCAAAGTTTCAATCAAGTTAAAAGTTTTAAGAACAGTTTAAAATGTTATCCCAGAATATCACAAATCACCACATTGCCCATTTTAATGTTGTGGTTTGGTTTATTTATCTGGTTTTATTGAGTTAATGCCAATCTCTTTCTTACTGCCTTTTTTAAGAACAAGGTAATAAAAAAAAGCTGCTCGGCTTTATTTTCAATGGCTAAAAGAATCGTAGTAATAAAACCATAGGTAAGGTACTTCCTATCTTCCTTCTATAGTAAGATACAAATTTCTTACTCCAAGCCGAAAAACGAATATCTCTTTTATATATAATATTTATTATTATTAGCCTATATTAAATATAAATTATATTACTTAAATTATGGTGGCAAATCTCAAATGGGTAACAGTAACGTCAAGCTCGCACAAACTGTAAAGAGATAATACAAATATGATCTATCAGAGGAACATTAAAAACCCATATACTTACCCAGGACGAATCCAGAGAAGACCCCGAAGGTAAGAGAGCAGTAGGACTCCAATAGAACTCCAATGATGTTACTACCAAAAACGCTGCCCGTACGTCCCAGCATCAGGCAAATGCAGACCGCTTTTCCGCGAAGGTGCGTGGGTACAAGATCGACGACGGCACCACTTAGGATCGATACGCAAAGTCCTGGCAGTACCAGGTATAAACAGAAGCAAACCACAATCACCACTTCGTCCTTGATGAAGATTAATGCCACTGCACAAGCTCCGGCTAACGAAAGACCAATAGAAATGGAGGCCTTACGACCAATTGTGTTTATAACCAGGCCCATCAGTATATAGCCCACAATAAGGGCGGATCCATAGGTAATTGTGTCTATGTAACTCTTAGTGTTGATATGATCATCACAAATCTGCAAATTATTCAAAGAATGTTTAAATTGCTTATGAGCTTTCCAAACCTAAATCAATCCTAACAAGAAAGGAAAGCTAACTTCGGGCGGAGCCGAAGTTGAAATACCCTTGCAGAATATTCTGCAAATTATATTCTCCAAAATCATTCATAATGCATTCTTAATACTCATAAAAAATCCCAACATCCTAACTTTAAAAGCACCAAAGTTATATCATTTCCAATCGTTCAGTTATATGGCAGCTATAGAATATAGTCGGCCGATCCTTATGAAATTTGATATGTCGGATTGATTAGGCAAAAATAAAACCCATAGAAAATCCCAACTTCCTAACTTAACAAACACCAAAGTTATGGCATTTCCGATCAATCAGTTATATGGCAGCTATAAGATATAGTCGGCCGATCCTTATGAAATTTGGTAGGTCGGATTAATTGGCCAAATATAAAACCCATAGAAAATCCCAACTTCCTAACTTTACAAACACCAAAGTTATGGCATTTCCGATCAATCAGTTATATGGCAGCTATAAGATATAGTCGGCCGATCCTTATGAAATTTGGTACGTCGGATTGATTGGCCAAATATAAAACCCATAGAAAGTCCCAACTTCCTAACTTAACAAACAGCAGAGTTATGGCATTTCCGATCAATCAGTTATATGGCAGCTATAGGATATAGTCGGCCGATCCCGGCCGTTCCGACTTATATACTGCGTGCAAAGGAAAGAAGGGTGTGTGCAAAGTTTCAATTCGATATCTTTAAAACTGAGAGACTAGTTCGCGTAGAAACAGACAGACGGACAGACAGACGGACAGACGGACAGACGGACAGACGGACAGACGGACAGACGGACAGACGGACAGACGGACAGACGGACATGGCTATATCAACTCAGGAGGTGATCCTGATCAAGAATATATATACTTTATAGGGTCGGAGATGTCTCCTTCACTGCGTTGCACACTTTTGACCAAAATTATAATACCCTCTGCAAGGGTATAATAAAATCTAAATTACTTACTTTATTGGTAGTATTGGCTTGCATCTGATCAATTGATGCATCAATCACTTCGCAAACTGTCATTGAATCATCGGCAGTATTCGAACCCAATCGATTTTGTATTTCTGGATACCAAAGACCCATTCCCGAAGAACTGTTTAGAAAATATTAGTTAATTAAATAAATAAATCACAAATCAAATCAAAATTTCTTACCTGAAAAATAAACCGCACATAATTGTACAGCTAATTACGAAGTTTACCAAATGAGGTCTTTTCAGAAGAGGCAGAGTTTCCTTCCACATTTTCTTAATGGTGGTAAACCTAAAATAAACAGCTTAGTTTTCATATCAATATTTGACCAGCAATAAAAACTTACGCTGACTTAGATATAAGTAATATATTTTCTCCGTCTGAGTTTGCTTCCGTTTTCAACTTATGAACCTTGAATTCATGCAAGTGTTTTCCGGAGTTTGTAACTGCAATCCAATCCACAGCTGCAAAAGCCTCTTCATTCTTATGCAGGGACATTAGGATCTTGGGACTCTCCGGAAGGGTCCACAACATTAGAGTTCCTATGACACCAGGCAGCAGATAGCAAATTGTCAGCAATCGCCAAGGACGAAATGAGAAGTCCTCCGTCACATTTACACTCCAATCCATTGAAAGGATTAACCAAGCGGTAGCTGTTATGGGTGATTTCTAATATTACATATTCGTTTCAGGTTTAAAATGATAATTACCAGGAACATAAACAGTCGAAATTCCCACAAAAAGACTAGCATAATTAATGGCGATCGGGCGGTGACGAGGAGTAAAGAATTCGCCAAGATACGCATAGGTTGTTGATGATGCTCCCGCAATGCTGTTTAAAAAATATAACAAATTAATAACAATTATATAATAATTAATGAGAAGTCACATGCATGTGTAGTGCTTCGGTTTTCAGTACTTTGGATCTGTACTTCCATTAGTTTTAGTAATATCTACAATAGTTTTATTAATGGGCTTAGGACCAGGAAAAAAGCGGTTCAGTTGGGATAGGGCTGGCTCGGAATAGACTAACATCCCTTGCATAAAATAATGAAATAAATTTCCCTGATATCAGTTGAGTATTTGAGTAAGTTTTAAGTCACGTTACCCGTTGATGATAAAAAGTACTTACAAAAATCCAACGCCAAAGCGGATAAAGACGTAAAACCAGTAGTTTGGAATAACCGTGGAGCACAAGGATAACACGTTGCCGGCGATCGTTGTATATATCAATATTGGCCTTCGACCAACAGTGTCACTTAGGTAGCCCCAAAAGTAGGAGGAACAGAATATGCCTGGAAAGTAGTTAAGGCACACGTGAAATATAAACCATCAAAACGTGAAAGATAAAGTTTACAATAGCTTCTGCGATGCGAAAGCGAAACGCAAAAACTGCTTTCTCACCAATGAAACTGGCAGCACTCATGATCGCCTTATCCATTGAATTCATTTCAAAGTCGCACTGGGACACGATGGTTATGTATGACATGCCCATGGTCTCGTTTATGACCATCATCAGGAGTAGTCCTGCCGCCAAAAGGACGATCCACTGCACTCGCCCGAATCCTTGTGTAAATAATTAAGAACACAGTTTAGCAAGGGATTTCAAGTTCTGCACGAGATTTAAACTACCGATTAATTGAAGCACATCCTCATATTCGTGCCCAGCGTTGGGATCCTTGGACGGTGCTGGCTTCGACTCAACATCTTGAGGGACCGATTCCGAACTCATTTTGGTATTTTAGATCGACTATTAAGATTTCTGGCATTCCCGAACCTGCGACAAACTAAAACTGAAGAAGACTCCCAGTTGAAGTGCGTATAAAAGCAGTGGCTGTGGCGGAATTTGATTCGAGTGATAGAGGACGCCCCTAGAGGTTGGGTTATCAGTCATAACAATAAAGATAATTGGGGTCTAGATGATATTCTGTTTATTTATCAAATGTGTATCACTCATTCACTACGATTGTCAGTCTTTAAAAAGAAGATCGTCCCCTCTCACCCACCGGAACTGTCTCGTTTATTCCGTTTTTTCAATTCATTAGAGCAAATAATGCAAAGGTTGGCTTCATTCGCCGACAGGTGCTATCATAAATTCGCTTGTAAAGACACTGTTTAACAAATTGTTTAATTGAAAAATGGTCGGTACTTATTAATTACTCTTAAATATTTTAAAACAATACACAACTTTATTTAGAGTCTTTGGCAGCTATTTAAAATGTTATCTCTTGGACCCACAACTATCTGCTTATGTATTATCTTGGGTTAAAAAATAAGTTTAAGTTTGAAAATTTCCTTCAAACGTTTATTTTGTTGAAGAGGTATACTCTTTGGGGTAATAAATGTTGGTGATTATAATCAACTGTAGACTTACTTGCAGTAGCTACAGTTTTTTTTACAAAAAGTATTATGATTATTTGTTTACCCTCTAATGCTTATGGTAATTAAAAGTGTGAAAGCGGAATGCCACTTTGGGCTTACCGACATAAATCCCGGAGATACATGTCGACATAGGTATTTGCTTGGGGTATGTTGACTTACGAGACACCTTGAAGCGACCCTATTTGCATCCAACCAAGGCTTGCTACACATTGAATGTATATATAAATACAAAAAAGTATTTTTGTTTTTATAAAGTAATATTTAAACCTAAACGTATCTCTTGTACGTGAGACTTAATGTAAATGATGTAAACATCACGATACTCAAGAGTATTTTCCATTTCAGAATCCTTTTAAACAGCCATGTAATGCTTTTTTAAATAACTCGTTAAAAATTTAGCAAAGCTTAACAAAAAATATTATTTGTATTTATTTGTATTCAACCGTTAGCTAAAGCAAAAAGAATACCTTTAATTTTAGTTTAAAAATATCGATACTTTAACATGTTAAATTAATTTTTATTGAGAGTTAAATAATCCTTATGCAAAAGGCGTTTAATTCTATTTTTTCTTAATGTCTTTTTAAACACATCATGTGATCAGATCAATTAGAAAAAATGTTAATTCTTATGCTTTTGTAGGTTCACCTTAGCGAGCGCGCTTTGTTATATATCGATTAGACCACTGGAGTTATCGCTATGTGAGTATCGATAAGCTGATGACACGTCCAGTTTAGTTTATTTACAAATTGACCAAATCGTTTTAGCTTTAATTTATGGCTGATTTTCAAGAGCAGCTGCGACAATATCGCCTTCAAAAGAGAAGGAAGGAGACTGTTGACAACTTTAAGGACAAATTGCGCAGATTCTGGATGTTGGGGACTGGAGCTAACAAAGATACAACCATAGAGGTACAACAGGTAAGTTAAAAACTAATCATATGTTCTATGTGTACTATTTATTGTTATTAATTTATTTTAGGTACCAACAAAAGCGGAGGTTTCCACTGAAAACTCCCATGACGAAGCTGCGGCGTCCTCCAGTGACAATGAATTGCTGCCAGAGGAGAGCATCCCCTCCAGATCCACAGATCATCACCATAGGGAAAACAACGTTCTGAAATACACCCTATGGGCAGTCTATCTTCTGTTCTGGATAACTCTCTATGTGATAGCCATTAAGCTGAGTTTCGGATTGGTTTTCCTCATGTTTTCCGCGCTTTTTGGTATCTACTTCAATACCCGAACGGAACCCAAGAAACGGAACGAGATGAGCGCCTATAGTGTTTTCAACAAAAATTGTGAAAGCATCGATGGAACCTTAAAGGCAGAGCAATTTGAGCGAGAAATTCGCTATGGATCGGGAAGTGTACGGTAGGAATAGATTAGGATATCCCACTAAAAACTAGTATAGGCAATATAAAAGTTGTAAACTGTTGATTGTAACTATTAAATCCAATTTGTAGTTGTCTTCTTAACCAATCTATATCTCACCATACTTTATTTTTTGTACTACGTATTGTTTCCGATTTGTTAGCCACAAATAATAATGTAAATACAATTCTAAGGTCTTCATTTTTATTGGTAAAGTATAAATTCATCAATTTTGTTTAAACGTTTTACACAACAAAATACAAATTGAAGTCTTAAATTTTGTATATTAATGGCCTCAATTTGAATATCAATAAATTGATTATTTTAAATAAGTGCAGACAATATTTGAGTGTAGGTCCTATTTATTAGCTAATCTTACAGTCTGCGATTTATCTAACAACAAGTATTTATATACACTATAAATTATTGGATGCACATTTCCATGCGTGCATTTCATTAAATTTAGTAAGGCTGTTGAAATAGTTTCAAGAAATTAAATGTTTGTAGGCCTTAGTGAATAGATTTGTATGGCAAAGGATAGGTAAACAAACATCATAACGAGTAAGTAACTATATCCATCTATATATCCGTGCATAGTGTAACTGAACGTTCAGTGCTCAGGTGATCAATTCCGTGATCTCTTCTGCTTACCAACTACTTCTATGAGTATTATTATGTACAAACTAAGAAAGGGTTTAGTCTAGTTCCGTCCTGGATAAGGTCCTGTAACGTTGTTCGCCTGGGAAGCGAGGGAAAGCTATGATGTCCTGCATCTCATGTAGACACGAAGTCACCAGTCTCACATGTGAAACTCCTGATCCTGGGCCAGCAGGAGCTCCCGAGCGTGGGAACTGTACTCCGCGTGCTAGCACTTCGGCAGGAAGGATTTTTTGGAGGGCAGCAGGCACAAGATGCTCAGAGCCATCACCATGTGCCAGATGGAGTGGACGATGTGGTAGTTCTGCTTGGTCTGCAGGAAAGCATAGCAGACCAGACCGGCGACCACGAGGGTGAGTCCAAAGGGCAGCCACACCGAGAGGTACCTTCGCGAGGGGAACAGCTTGCGGGACTTGGCACATCGCAGCCCCCAGCTGGTCGAGATCAGGCAGATTCCCGTGAGAGCCGGCGCCAGGAATACCCACAAGCTCTGCTTGTTCAGCTCCGTGCCAAAGGCCAGCAGGATGGCTCCGAACATGTGTAGCAGCGATACCAAATCCGGCCGGACATGGGCCATGGCCACCAGGGTCACCCAGATGCTCAGCAGGCCGCAGTAGAAGTCGCAGAACTGCAGCACCCCGATCTTCACCAGGCAGAAACTGTACTCATCCTCGCCAGCGTCGCAGGCATGATAGAAGATCGAGAAGAACATGGCGAAGAAGTAGATGACACCCTCGGTGTAGTAGCGCCTCTTGATGGCCATGTAGATGCTCGGGAAGAAGAGCAGGTTGCTCAGCGTGAGCAGCAGCGTGGCCAGCAGGATGGACATGTTGGTGGGCACCTGGGAGTCCTCCGTGCAATCCCAGCCGCGATAGCCCTTGGAGCAGACGCAAGTGGAGAAGACGAAGCCACCGGACATGTAGTGATAGCAACGCCCGAAGCGTCCACATCTCCCCGCCACACAGGGACTGGAGGATACTGAAAAGACCACCGATGTGTTGCAGTCCTCCAGCACCACGTGCTGCTCCATCGCCGCCTTGTGGTGTTCCACGAAGAGCTGCGTCATCTGCTTAGAGTTGCCGCTGCAATTGCCTTCCATAATGCACTCCTTAACCTTCAGGGTCTCGGTCTCGTTCATCGCATCCAGGCACTCCGGCGATCTTATGCAGGCGGCGTACCGGGGAACGGATGCTGCACAGCCGCAGGGGGATTGCATTTCCGCCAGCATGTCCAGGTGCTCCCTGATAAACTCCTTGACACTCTCCATGATCGACACTCGAGCAGTTCCGGATCCGTGGCAGAACAAGCCCATGGTCACATACCTGCGGAAAGTAAGTATTTTCTTTAACTGCATTGTTTCTTAATATATACACATGTACTCCGAGATATGGTTATTTCTAACGATTTCAAAGCTACGGATTTAATTTTATAAAAATTGGAGGACTGCAAAATATAGCTGCTATAGGAACGATCGAAAAATGTATTGGAAAATCGAACTACCTTTATTGTTTTCAATCATCGAAATCGGAATATAGAATATTTCATTTTTGAATAAGCTGCCAGGGTATCTAATATTCGGCTTGCCGAAATTTGCTTTTAATTTCAACCATTTTCATGTTAGTTATTATTAAGTTTCCATTGACTTGTATAAAGTAAGAGGAAATAGGGTGGGTACTTTTTCTTATAAGTATGTAGACTCACCATCGTCCACTCTCGGGAAAGGGTATGTGGACCAGGCCCATGTTCTCCGTGTGGTTAACAACAATGGAGGCCTGCTTCAGCCGCTGTCCGTAGCGGCACTTGTCCGGGTATTCCGGTTTGCCCGGCTCGCCCAGCTGCATGCACACCACAATCTGCATGCTCTGGTTGCTGGACGTGGGGATGGCGGTAACAACCTCCTCCTTGGGATCCCCGATCAGCCTCTCGGCCAGAATGCCCCCCAAATCCGGTGACTGCGTGGGTTGGCTCATCCTCAAACTCGCGCGATGTGCCTCTTTCATGGAAATAGCAAATGTTAGGGTACCGCCGATATCGGACACCTCGCCCAGGTCAAAGGCGAAGCCCGAAGGAGTCTGGGTCGTGAGATTGAGGGTTTCAGGGACCGTGCCATTGACATCCGGCCGGAGATCATAGTCGAACATAAAGAATTCGCGGTACGTTTGCCGCAGCAGCGAGTAAAAGTTCATTTGGCGGAACTTGGTTGGCTCCCAGGGATTGGGAATGGAACTGTTGGAATTGTTTACCGCACTCTTGGGTTTCTCCAACAGGCTAGCCGGCTCTTCCATATTGTATTCAATTAATAGGGAATAGGATAAGCTGTGATTTGCAGTGCTATTGTAAATCTCTGTAGGTATTTCCGATGCATCCGCCCCATTGACAAAAGTAAGCAGGGCATAATGCCATGAGTTTGGCTGCACGCCGAAAGGAATCGAGATTTCCGTGGTCTGGTTTGGCCGGATAATGGAGCCGTGACCATGATCCGTACCTCCCAGTGGGTATCCATTGGCCCGCACATGGAAGCCCACCGCCGGACAGTCGTCACACACTTGGTCGAACGTTATCCGGGCCGTAGCATCGCCTATGTCGTCTGGCACATAGAATCTGTAAATGATTTCATTGTTTGCGGTCCGTGTGCTGTTGTGGTTTTCCGTGATATTCCGAAATTGAGCAGCTCCGTTGGAATCGCCCTCAGAAATGTATTCGGATTTGACGACAACTGGGGGCTTATGTTTCTGTTGTTTGGGCGGCACTGAACGGAGGGGTCTGGATGCGTTGAGTTCTTCCTTGATATTGGTTTCGTTGGCTCCATTAAGCTTGGGAAGAAAATGGCTCGTTAGATTATCCTGGTGTTCCTGGCCATTGTTTATGATTATCGGACGGAAGCGGGACACCGACATTTCGGCAGACAAAAGTGTGTCACATGAGGCAGTGAGTCCTGAAAACCGGAATTAAATTCATAAATATGTATAGGTTTAAACACAAAACGCAACATCACCACTATCGGTATTTTTGCATATTCAAAAAGGCTTTTATCTGCAGTCTAACAAAGTCAAATTTTGCAAATATGAAAAAAATATATTTGTTGTTTTTTAGTCTGTGGTGTCAAATAAATATTTGCATATTTTAAACAGAACCAATAACGTGCAATAATTTTGTGTTTTAAAGTCTATATAGATATACTCTATAAAGCACAAGTAAGTCCAATCATATATTGGATATTTTATATATTAAAATGAAAATACCTTGTTGTTCAATGCGGTCGTTATTGGGATCTGACCAACTCACAAATGCCACTGCAAACCAGTTGCCTACGTGAGGTCCTTCTATGGTAATACGCTGTTGCTGCTCATCAGATAGAAACTGCAGGTCGTACACCTTGAATCTGAAAGAAGATTAGCTTAGTAAAATATATTTCTTATCACTTTGTCAATTTCTACTTACCTCTGATCTGTAGTGAAGAAGTTCTTGGGAAATGTTATGTTTTCTGGACTTATTACTGGGTAACTGCTCGCCTTTAGATGCAAAGTGACATCCTTGGGCTTACACTTTCGTTCTGGAAAGTAATGGAGTGTGTTATACATATATTTTGAAACATTCCCATTGATTATACTTACGAAAGGCACTTTTGGGATCCTCGAACGCTTTGAAGGTGAAGTAAGCAGTCCGAGAATCGGGTGGAACATCAAAATGTAGGATGGATACATCCTTGTAGGATGTGTATTTGAGCAGTGAGTTTGACGGCAGTCGGACAACCAGTTCCTGATCCTCTGGCAATTTCAGTTCCTCGATCGGTACGTATTTGGTGTATTCATCTGACGGATTTTGCAGTACTGGAACACTTGTATCCACAAAGAGTCGGTGGTCAATTAATAGTAGCATAAACACCACTAGAGGACTGCAGTTGGGACGATGTGTCAGTGTCTGAATCATCGTCACGCTATTCCTAAATCCAGTCCTGATAAACTCGTCTTATATACGCTATAAGTAGTTGTTAGTCCTGCAAATAAATAAGTCCAAATTACAAGAGTTAAAAACACAATATACTATATAGGTTAATTGAGTATCAATTTACAAAAGCTCACATTTGCATTGTGTATGATGTGACTATACTGCTTAAACTTTCATCTGAGTAATTTGTTTTTATTTCGCGTGCCATTTCCATGGGTGAATGGGGAGCAAGCTGGCTCAACTAGAACGCCATGGTTTCCAACCCACGAACAAACACACAGGGCAAAATGCCGGGCCTACGGATGAGCATAAATGTACATATTCCCTCACCCAAACTTTGTGGCACAAGTACAGACATAAAGGCTTTTTGTATGTTGGTGCAAGTAAATTGCACCGTTGCAAAAATGCCGAATTCCGGCCCATTTATGTGGCGCGACCAAAACCAATGTGGAGTCGTAGCTGTGCAAGTTGTCCGACAAAAAGCAAAATAAAAAACTTTTGCACTCGATGCGGTGACGCTTGGCCTGAACTGAGCATTGTTGGCTAACACCTACTATAATTTATGGCAGTCTCGTAGTCCCCAAACACTCAAGAGCATTCTGGACCAAGCGATAGACAAACCTTTAGTGTTGAAAGGGGCTTACCTTTTATTTAACACAAATTGATATCAAGCGCATAATCTACTGGTTGAATTTAGACACCAAAATATAAGAAAGTTAATCAAAGTAAATACTATCTAATGGAAGTAATGTTCTTATCGTTTGATTACTGCAATCTATACATCTAATTTTGTGAGCGAGCTCTTAATTAGCAAACGTATGAAACGCGGAGAGACACGTTGAGTTTTCTGGACGAGAGACGCGAAACAACTGACGCTTGTTGTTTTGGTTTTACTTGTAGCATTTCTGTTTAATTTACAGGGTTATCAGTTCCAATACAAATTTCATTGAAGAACTGAATACATATGTGGCAAGCTTATCAGTGATACCTGATAACCTAATGTTAGGTTAGGTTATTCCCCATATTAATCTGTGACGATGTATTAGCAATTAATTGAATACTAAAAAATTTTAATTGTGCAGCAAACCAATCACTATTACAATGAGTTTTTCAGTTTTCAACGGGTGAAAGTAATGGATGTGTATAAACAATAGAACAAACATACATACAAATATGCAATCAGCATTTCGATCGAACATTGTTCTCAATGAAAGTGAATCATTTTTCATTTGACTCTAAGCTATTTGATATTTGATACAAATTGTATCATTAATTTTAATGGCTTAAATCTCTGCTACAATATAAAATTAATAAAATCTTGATAGATACCTTCTTTTTGCATGCCACTAATTTAATTTATGTTCGATCGAGATATGACATCAAACTTTGCCGGACGGCAATAGACTGAATCACAGCTTGGCTTACCTTGTTTTCAAATTTACATTTCTCGCAAAATGCAGGTTTTGAAATGGCAGAGACTTATGAATGAGAGAGACTTAATACTTTTTTTGGTTAGCACTGGTCCGCGGGAAAATCCGCGTGACGCATTCGAGTTTACGATGCATTCGGGTAAATAAATTAGTATGCTGGCACTTAGGTAAATAAGCTGTCGCGGAAAAGCTTTGTTGACTTGTTTTGGAACTTCCTCGGCGTTGTCATTGGCGACGCTGCTACTGCAATCGACCGCTGATATTGGATAGTATAAAACAGATAGCTGCTTTGATTAATAAATGGCCCTGGGCATAAAGCTTTATTGTTACTGGGAAAATGGGGGAAATTCCAAAACAAAAGCGTGATGAGCTCGGAGCAAATGCTTAGCAACACTTGTGATTATCATTTTGATTATTTGGACTCGAAGATTTTAAACACATTTATAATTTGTTAATCGCTTATACAGTCGTTTTTTCTAATTTACAATTAAGTTTCTAATTTAATTAAAAAATAATTTTTATAAAGCCATTCACATTATTACTTACAAAAAATAAAAATGCTTATCAACAATTTTACCAATCAGTAGACTAAAGTGCTTACAAACAAAGCAAATGTTTAGACATAATCATTGCATTAAATGAAAAAGCCATAATAATGAACTTAACTACAAAAACTTATCAATGAGTCCTATTTGTTTACAAGACCAGACTAAACTAGCACTTACTACTGATAATTCAATTAATCTGGCGATCCACAAACATAATTCTTTGGGAGAGGATTTAGTTGAGAGAGAGAAAGAGAGGGATTGTAATGAAATACGATCCACAAGAGAGCAAGTTCAAGTTCGTTTCTTGCGGCTCCTAAACAAGTTTTTCGTTTTTGAGAGGCAGAGAGCGGATATTCCATTTCGGGGGATCGTACGGGGAGCAGTCTGTGGGTCTGAACTGGGCGATCTATAGATTCAGTTGTCAGTGCGCCGAGTGGTTAAACGCAACGGTCGATCAAGTCCCGCTCTGGGATCGCCCCATACGCAATCCGTGAAAGTTTGTGGATACCAGTTTCAGTGGCTTTGTGAACAATCTATATACATATGTGAAATTCAGCGAAAAAATCCACCCTAAAATAAAAGTAATAATAGCTCGTAATGAAAATCAAATCTTTGTGCGAAGAGGTGACTCACTGTTACTAGAAGCGTGTGAAATTTGTCATTAGCATATTAGAGTGGCCTCTTTCGCTGGCAAAAACTAATATTTATATAATTCAGTTGTTAACTCGAGTCTCATGGCCTTTTCACACAGTGCAAACACACCTAAAACTGCAGTTTTCTTTAGTGTTGAAGCTTTTTTATAAATTATTTAAATACACAAAAGACGGGACAAAGCTAAGCATTCCCATTTTCTCTCTCTTTCACCCCAATCCGTCTGTCTCTTTTCGTGCGATATTAAACTATGCGAGAGTGTACATATACAGTTGCGGTCAAATTAATAATAATAGTTGTATATTTACTTTGGATCATTCTTTTTGTATTTTAGTAGCTTAAGAAAATATTTTGAATATAAATATAATTGAGTTTGAGGCCTATAAATGTTTATAATATCTGAATCATATACTTTTAAAAAATACATGACTCAGTTTATGAAATTATAATTCGCTTTTAAAAAGGGATAAAAAGTACCATCATTGTGACCGCAGCTGTACATATATTGGGGCTCGGTTGCCCAGTTTGTTTTGCTATTGCGCCATGCACCCGATGCCGTATACGTCAAAAAGAGAAATCGCCGACCCGCTTCATGACGCGCAGCGTCTTAAGTTATATTTTCTTTTAGTTGAGCGTGATGTGTGCCCTTCACTCACATATTTCCACAATCATATCCTGGTTCATTGCAGCCAGTTGGAAATGAAAGATTTCCGGGATGAAACATCTGACAGCACTAGTGTCTCCCCATTATTTAATTTAATAAAGCACATTCCTACGCTGGAATCTGCAGGATCCGGACAACGCCAACTCCCACGCATATGTTATTCGATTTTATTTTACCACAGTGCGCAGCCATTTTTAATTAAAATTTCATCACCTTGTCTCAGTCCTCGGACATCTGGCAGGCTGCCGCTTAGGCGGTTGATTGCGCAATGGTTTATCACCATCACAACCACGAAAGTCGGATAATACACTGCAGAAAACAATTAATTGGATGGCGGAGGAGAAGCCTGCTGTTGACCATTATTGTGGTCACAGCCACGCTGGCTTCCATGAGTTCACAAGCGGGTAAGATAAACAAAATGATTGATTTCTTTCCTTTCAATTATTAAAACTTGTATACTAAATGTGATACCTTATTTAGCAAATTGCCCAGAACCTAATATTATAATTATGATGCACATAAGCATTTACTTAAATTGACAAGAAATAAAAAAATAATAAGTACAAAGTACTAATTAATAATAAGCCCTTCAGTTTGGCTATCTTGATTGGCTCTTAAAAGATTATTCAGGAAATTGCATTAGATAAATATCAGGGTACCAGGTCAATAGTCTCCGTCTGTTTTGATGACAAAACACGTTAATAACCACAACACCGATGCGTAATTGGTACCCAAAACAATGCGAATCGCTCTTGAAGTCCCACAATGGTCCATTTGTCCCCGTGGGCGAGAAAAACAAATGAATCCGAGCTCCAGTACATTCAGCCTTGACCGTGAATGTTTCCCCAGCTCGGTGGCTGCTATTTATACGAAGGCGTTTAATTCCCGGTGTTTGAACTCTTAATTCGACTAATGGCCAGGAAATAGATTGAATAGATTTTTTGTTCAATCAAAATAAATCGCAAATATAATTTTTGGTGTCAAAAATTTCTTTCTGTTATCTGAACATATTTGTCTTTCTGTAGTGAGCATTAAGTGTGAATAATTGATAAATGAAATCGAATGTTTGCAACGCAATTAAAAAGATGACTCCGACCTTATAAGGTATATATTCTTAATCAGCATCGTCTGTCCGTTTCAACGCAAAAAAAAGAAAAATAATTAATTTTATGAAAATTTAACGACCAGATAAAAAACGATAACGAAAGATAAAAAAATGTATCAGAAAATGGACAAACCTTCTCTGTTTTTATCCATAAAATCAAAATTTCATTTTTTCATTTTCATTTTTACAAGCTGCAGGTATAAAAACATCGGCTTGCCGAAATTTGCTTCCGTTTTTTGTTTTTCAATAAATTAGCAAATAAATAAATACATTTTTCTGTGGAAAATGTATAAGGATACATTTCTCCCACAACTGAGCATTTTAAATGAAAATAATTTACAAAGCTCTTTATTAATATCGCTGTCGAGCTGAAACTCACGCACATGTCTCATCAGCATATTGTGCAATATTTAAGTGAAACGGAACACTTCTGCGAGCATCGTAAATATGGGAGTCGTGTATGTCTGGATGGGCTTTGCGCGGACAAAGTTAAATCCGCCCGGGAGCGTGTTCCAAGACCTCAGACCTGTTTGGCCACGCAATCCGCGGAGCAAAAACATTCTGCTCACTTAAGCCGCGCCGTCAGACACGCTCTTGGCCAAAAAAAAAAGCTACCCTGACTCTCCTTTAGCCGTTCCCCACACAGCTATACAGCCACAAAGCCATATATCACGTATACGTATTCGTTACATGTGTGCTGTGCACATTTGTATCTGAAGGTCGAGCGCCAGAAGAAGAGATACAAGTGCCAACAACCTAACCGGTTATCACGTCACGTCGCTTAGGTCCATTGAATGATGCTTATGCTTGACTTGTGGGGCGCAAAGAAATCATCTGAATATGCGAATATTTCACGGACATTCTCTGTGGACAATGAACCGATTGATATTTGCTAGAAAAACTGTTTTTCCCCGATGTTGCAATCTGGCCTTTTCCCAAATTGTATCTTTTGTGTGCGTTTTTGGCACTCGTTCAAAGCGGCTCCCAAGTGGGAGACATCCGGGTCAATAGTTGGCACTCGGAATATCTGAATGAACTTGGCTGCCAACTGTTGGGCCATAGTAATGCCAGCAAAGTCGTTGGCTTAACCAATTAATCGCTATGTCGTCATGGGATTGTTTACTGTAGCCCGGATTTAATAAGTGGTTGCTCTGAGAATACAAAACAAGTTAGTCTCTTTACACACACACGAGGCATTTTTAAATGATATCACGTTTTCATTTTGTGTTTATTGGGAAAAAATAACAGTGAAATAAATAATAATAAACATTAGGGAGCAATTTAAAAACCTCAAGTTTAGTTGCCTCAACTTGTTACTTTATGTAAGCAATTATATATAAGCGATTCCAAAGAAATGGCAATGATGTAACTTATACCCTGGTAAAATAATATCGTGACAATTTAGCTAGGGAAAATCAAATGAATTATTATTTTGACCTTATTATGTAAAAATGTTTAACTCAGATAAAACAATCTCTGTTTAAAGTATGTTATCTCTTAAGTATTTTCTTATTATTGTGGACTTTAAAAATTATGCATTGTAACCTGTATCAAGAGATATATTATTTTGTGTTTTCAACAAATTACCCATGGAAAATAAAATGTTTTGAAAACCGGTATTTAAGCATCAGAGCATCTCTGATATGTACGATAACCTGTTGCCAATGAACGTGTTATAAAACTGCATTTTAAACAATTAATATTTAATTTATGTATATGCACTTGCAGTCGCGGCCCACGATCAAAATGCACCTCCGATTCTGGTTGTTCACCAGCGCAACTGGCGTATTTCGGAGGCTGAGAAAGTCGGCCAGATAATAGATCGAGTGCAGGCGGAGGACCCCGATGGCGATGATCTAATTTTTGGAATAGAGCCAAGATTTAGTGGCAATGGAGCAGGGCCACCCGATAAAATCCCCTTTACAATTGATCGGGAAACGGGAGTTGTGACTCTCAACGAAAGTTTGGCGGGAAGAGTAAGTAAAATAAATATATATGTCATTTTATGTAGTTTTCATCACAACGTTTTCCTTGTTTTCCAGGCCGGTGAGAATTTTCTCATCTATATAACTGTCACGGACGGATCGTACACGGCGAAAACCGAGGTATTCATCAATATCTTGGGCGAGCGTGAGAACAGTTCCGGCTATCGACCGCAGACATCAATTTCGAACGTGGTGCACAATATATCGCAATTCCTGCCCCGTTTCGACCAGCTGCCCGGTGTTCAGTCCATCCGGAATGGATTGCCGAACAGCCGGCCGGGCGGTGGGCTGTATCCACCGGTGCCCCAGAACAATATATTCGGACCGCCTTCGTTTGGCAACTTTTACCCGCCACCTCCACCGAATTTCCCCGCTCAAAAACCCGTGGAAAGTGGCGAGGAGGCAGACGATGAGGTGACAGCCACAACAACCGCCAGGCCGAGCTCCACCACGCCGAAGAGTCGCACCAAACTAACGCCGATAACTGCCAATAATTCGACGAGGGGCGAGCAAAGCCCCACGGAGACGACGACACCGGCGAGTGGCAACCAGAACAACACCAGCCCCCTCTACGTTTTCTCCCTGAAGTCCGGCACCATTCCGATTGTGGTCGCCGTTGGCGGGTTTTTTGCCGCCATCGCTGTTCTTCTGGCGTGCCTCTGCCGCCGGCGGCTTTCCGCCATCAGCAGGACCCTCAAGACGTCCAAGGAGAAGGAGGAGCTGGCTAAGAAGTCCAATCCGGGCCAGCTGAGCAGCACGCTGACCGACGACAGCCGCAACTCGATGGTCATGCAGCAGTGGCAGGGACCCGTGGCCTTCGCCAATCGCTATGTTCCCTGGGAGCGGGATCAGCAGCAGGGCATTGTAAGTGGAGTTGCGCTAATTTTAAGGGTCACCTCTTTGGAAACTAATCCCCAGGTGGTTTTCGTAAAAACCTCTCGTATTACGAGACTAGAGTTCTTTAGGGTGGCTTACAATCTCTTTCATTTTGAGATTAGAAAACAAATTTTATTCAAAACACCAAAGTTATAAACATTTTAAATGAAATGTGTTTGACTACTTCATTCATTAAAAAGTAAAATGAAGAAGATAAATATGAGAACGTTTTTGATTTAAAATTTAATCAAAATAAGTGCAATCTAATATAATCTAAAATTGCCTTAAAAACGTTTGTCTAGCTCAGGTATTTTTAAAAGTTCCTCATGTCATATATAACATTACTATTATTGCATCCTAAATTTGAATTATTTTCTTTATACACTTTATTTATCATATTAAACCAACTTTACGACTAGAGAGCTAAAAGAAAAAGAAAAATTTAAGAATTTTGTTATTGGTAAAAAATCATTTTTAAAGTTTATGACTTTCATGAAATATTCGAAAGTGAATGAATAAAATCAATAGAGTTTTCAGTTGGCGAGTCCAGCAATAAGAGCCATTGCATCCTTATCGCGATTTCATACTTCCTGACATACACAGAAGGTCCTTTTGAAATGATTGCATAAAATTAGTGGGCGAAGCACAAAAGCTTATGCAAATATCGATCGATATTCCCCGGGGAGCGATTGGGGCTTAGGGCCCGGAGTCCTTAATCGACAGCTACTCGAGCACAGATTCGAACCTCAGTTGGCTCACTCAACGCCTCTAGAGCGGTGTTCGTCCTGCTTCCCTTCGTCCTTTCGTCCTGTCACCCACAGTGGCCTCAGCGGCAGTGTAATTGACAGGAAAAAGTAGCTCAATGCAGCTGCATGTTGGCTTAGAGCCTGTCTGCCGGGAATGTCCTTTCATTCGATTCCCATTTATTGACAGCGGATGCCAAACTTCAGCAGGCTCCTGCGTCACCATCGTAACCAAAATTTAGCATTCTCTGGTGCTGACAGGAGGGTTTATTTAGAATTCAGAGTGTCATTTAATGTTATGACAATGCATGTTATGTATTAAATAAATTAATAATTTATTGGAGGTCATCAGGTGGAGAACGGTTTTTGATAACTTATGGCCTGTTACTCCAATGCTTAACACTTAGTTATAAGGAGGAAAGAAAGTGATACTTTTAAAACTGAGTGGCAATAGGGGTATAAAGCCCATCACTCGTATGTCAATCCAATATTATCCTAGATTTCATGCCGTCACCGTGACGACATAATGACAGGCAGAAAAAGATCACGGCTAATCAATACTTTTTATCTTGTATTTCTGAAATGAAACCTGTGCCCGTCACAAATATCAACATCGACTGCATTTCCGCTCCCATTGACGTGGCCAACTCTCATCGACATGGACGTTAACTTGCGCCGGACTTTAACAATGCTGTCGCTCAAAGGCAACGTCCCAGTTATCAACAGCCATCGGAGAGTCCTCCGCAGGAGTGGCCAGTCCTGGGACAGGTGAGCCGGGATCCAACTTGGGACCTGGCTGTGTGGCAGGTGGAGCAGGAAGTTCCGGCGCAGCGGAAAGTGGTTTTGCCGGAGAGGCCAACTGCGACCGATGGGAGTTCCCCAGGTACCGATTGAAGTTCTTCAATATTTTGGGCGAAGGAGCCTTCGGACAAGTTTGGCGCTGCGAGGCCACAAACATAAATGGTAAGTTTTGTATCACAAAAACTTGGTAATTAAGTGAGCGGGCTACTCATAAAAATATCTCTGTTAAGATAAATACGAATTTGCCATAGAAACATGCATTATATTGCAATACTTTATACTCTTACGGTTAGACTAAGCTCATTAATAATTAATTGACAATCGATTTTTATTAGTATACCATCCATGATAAAGAATAAAGTAAGGACTACTATAATAGTGTCTCTACACATTCTATTATATATTTGCTGTGATTACAAATGATGTTCCAAAATGTTTTTAAGGCTGTTATTCTTCGTTAGGCAAAGTAAAAAGACTTAAATTTTTTCAAATTCTACAATTTCAAAGGAGTAATTTCATCAATTCGGCTATGATGGCGAAAGGAATTTAAAATGGAGCAGATTGGGCATTCAATCAGCGGAGTTTCACAAAGCTAGTGGCTCATGCAATCCGCCAGTTGTTGCCCCATATTCAAGTACTCAGGTGCTGCAAAATTGTGCATGCACGGGGGCATCTCCCACCCACTCGATATACCACATTCCAGTGCTCCACACTGAGCCCTTTTTTATGAGCACGTAAAATGGACATACAAAACGAAATGCAAGTGATTTCTGGATTTATGTAAAGGCACGAAAATAGCCCTGGTCTCTAGTGAATTGAAAACTATGAATATGTGCAGAGCAACGACGAGTGCCTAAACTTTGTACCTCTTTAACATTTTAATTAGAAATCTTTAAAGACTTCTGCTGCCTGTACTAAAATTAATTTTTATTATTATTATTTTTACAGGCACTGAAGGCATTACAACGGTGGCTGTGAAGACCCTTAAGGAAAGCGCCACCGAAGTGGATCGAAAGGACCTGCTATCCGAATTGGAGGTAAGTGGAATCCGAAATCGCACACTTCTTGTGAATTAGCATTTACAATTTTTTAAGTCATCCGTAAAGAGTATGCAAAATACCGACAAAATCGTTACATCCAAAGTTGGACCAAGTGACGACTTGCTAAGCGCAATTTCTCAGCTGCCTTTTCCTCTGTCACTTTTCATTCAATTGGTTACCATTCACGTCCAAAACCTCCTGGCTGTCTCGCTAACTCGACGACTGAAAACTGAAAAGTGGAAAGTGGGTACTGGGAAACTGGGAACTTGGTACTGAGAGGGCTGCTGGGCAAATCTTGTGAGTTTGTTTTTCTGGTTAGATGAAAAAGTTTTGTAAATTGAAAATTAACGATGCTGAAAAGTTTTGAAAGAATTTCTCTTCTACGCTTTGAGACTGCCCTTCGCTGGCAGCATTTTCCCCTTGAGTTTGGATTTAATGTTTGCCTTTTTAATGAAAACGTAAAGGAGTCTACTTATGTGTCTCCCCCAAATGTTTGAGTACCTCCAGTGAGTTTACAACTTCAGCTGTATTTGGGAAAACTCAAAAAAGTCTCTTCCATCTGTAATAATTTTCCCTAAGTGGCTAAGTTCAATCCACCTGATTTTAGACTTGATTTCTTGACCATTCTCCGTGTTAAAACATCTCCGCCTTCATTGTCAAAAACTGCCCTATTACAGAGTTTTCTAATTTAAAGTTTGCATTTGCCCGGCTTCTCATTTATTCTCCCGTCATTAACTTTATAATATTTTCTGTTTACTAATTAGCTTTGTTTTCTGCACCTCAAACTTCAATGGGCACTGTAATCTAATTAAGGGAAAAGCTTTTTCCGGAATTAAATTTAAAGGGAACTATCTGAAATGCAATTTGAGCATTTCGTTTATTGTCACGATGTAGGTTAAATGCCAATTCCAATATGGCCCGGTCTTATTGCATATTTATGTTCGCAAAAATACTGCGACAAAATTATTAATTTATGCCCTTATAAGTATCCCGGTGTCAGACGTGCATATTTAATGAGCTGAATCCTTGCAAGCTTACATATGCGAACTCCGAAAAATCCAGTCACTGGCTTTAAACATACATTTCAGGGCTCAAAAGTGGAGTTGTGTAAATCAAATTGCCCGTAATCAGTGGGCTAAAAATATTTTCATTCCGTGGCGGATCAATTTATGGTCCTTTAATGTCCTCAACACTTCCAGCCATTTGCATACTGGCGGGGGGCAATCAAAGGAGTGTGTTGTCATGACAATCGAAGTGACAACGTATTTATTTGGCACAAGGACACTGGCCCTCTGGTAAAGAGCCATTTGGATTTCACAAGCAGCAAGTCTCCCCCCCGAAAGTAATTCCGTAATGTTAGTGACACAAGAGCTAGGACCATTTTGCGTATCGATTAGCATTTACATACTATATACCCAGGGTGCATTATTACCTATGCCTTTGCCGGGGTAGAAAAGTCGATGGCTAGCTAATGAGTTCAGCATTTGGGGGCACTAAGAAGCATTTATTCAAAGCACACACACACACAACACATCTCGTGGGCAGAAACTCTTTTTGACAGCAGTTGCGGCCTGTAAACACGAATCTCCCGCAGCCTTGCAAAAATACGAGAAAAAACGCCTCCGCAGGATATATACAATTTCCGAACCGCACACACCGACGCCTTGAAACAAACTGATTCCTGTTGCTGCTCCTGCCACCAAAAAAAAAAAAGAAGCACAACTGACTGACAAACCGCAGCATCCTCTCGCCTGGAGGACAACCGTAGTGGATCTCTCTGAATCCCCCATCTCTCGACCTGCGCACTGGCTTTTTCGGAGTTCGAGACCTATTCTGGCCTAACCTTGCCCCCTGCAATCTGACTCTGACTTTGACTACGAACTATGGACCACCGACCACCGACTATGAAAAGGAATCTGAACGGAATCCAAGGAGCCACTCTAGGGTTGCCGTCACTCAGAAGGCGCTGGGTTGTCGTGTGGGTCGCGTCCTTCATCATTAAAGTCGCATTTGGTCCTGCTGCAGGCTGCGGCGGCAAACACACCGGCAAACGTTGTGCGCCGGCAGTATATCATGTTCTGCGGATTACCCCAGAAACGAGAATAATTGCACTTTAATTTTGGAACAATGAAAAATTATGAATGGCCCTCGGGCTGGGTTTCAGTCTCATTCCTCATTCCTCAAGCGGCATTTGCGCATTTTGCCATTGTGAAGGCGTTCGAGACCTGCAAAATTACCAGGCTCTGTTGCTTTCCCAGAAATGGCCCAAGTTTCTCAAACTTTGGATTTAGACTGGGGTGAGAGAACTTTGGGAAGGACTAAGTTATTAACTGAAATTAATTGCGGTCACTTTTGAAAATCAGATGGTCCAATAAATATTAGACGATTACCTTAAGATACAAATTGACAGAGTAGAAAATTCTCTTTACGCTTAAGCAATCAAAAATTATTGTTTTTAGATTAAAAACACCATTTCACTTGTAATTAAATAGTTAATAACTTATTAAGCAAATAACTTTTTTTTTGCCTGCAGGTAATGAAATCCCTGGAACCACACATCAATGTTGTTCACTTGTTGGGCTGCTGCACAGATAAAGATCCGACATTTGTAATTCTTGAGTACGTAAATCGTGGAAAGTTGCAAACGTACTTACGCAGCTCACGTGCCGAAAGGTAGGCTACATAATATTAAGCTTAACACAAAGAAAGTTTACTAGGATATATTATGTTTGCAGACACTATGGAAACACGCACGGAAAATCAAATATCCTTACTTCCTGCGATTTGACTTCTTTTATGTATCAAGTGGCTAAGGGCATGGACTACCTAACATCGCGAGGGGTAAGTTAATACATAGATAATACTCAGAAGTAGGCGATAAAACTCAAGTTGATACGAACAACTTTAAGGGAAGATATTTAGATATTAATTTCAATGTTCTTGCTTGGTGAAAACCTCATTACGTTACCTATATTTTAGATTATTCACCGGGACTTGGCTGCTCGTAATATTCTTATAACCGACGATCACACATGCAAAGTGGCGGACTTTGGCTTTGCACGAGACGTAATCACATCGAAAATTTATGAAAGGAAAAGCGAGGGCAAGCTGCCAATACGGTAGGCTTTCATCAAAATAAAGTGATAATATATGAAGTCTAAGGAATTTTTTAATTTTACAGATGGATGGCTACTGAGTCACTTTACGACAATATATTCTCCGTAAAATCAGATATCTGGAGCTTTGGCATACTGATGTGGGAAATCGTGACGCTGGGATCGACGCCTTATCCAGGAATAGCCGCAGCTGATGTTATGCGGAAGGTTAGTATAATTTGGATAGTTTTTAATTGAATAAATAAATTTATTGCACTTTTTAATAGGTACGGGATGGCTATCGGTTAGAGAAACCAGAGCACTGTCGTCGCGAGCTCTACAATATTATGTATTATTGCTGGTCGCACGATCCCCAAGAGCGTCCTCTTTTCGCGGAAATAATTCAGATGCTCGACAAGCTGTTACATACTGAAATGGATTACATTGAACTGGAGCGGTTTCCCGATCACAATTATTACAATATCGTTAGTCTTAGTGATGAGAAGTTGTGAGATAGTCCCTTATGCACTGAACCTGAACCCTAAGAGCTTTATTACCTCCAAAAGACTGTGGGATATCTCCTTCCAGTCTAGGCTCAGTAGGAGAATATTCTGCGAGCTATTCACGGGTTAATTCCCCAAACAGAGAGAAAGGTACACTGCCATTATGAATTAGGCTCAGAAAAAGAGTTAAACAAACTGCATCCTGGAAAAAAGATAAGATGTTCGAGCCTCTTATATACTGAACTCAACTTCTCCGTTGGCAAGAATTGTAATTCCTCTTTAATTGTAAGACAATTGCGATTGTGTGTATGTTAGTGTTCACGTTTTATTTATTTGATATGTATTATGTATTTTAATTTATCAACCGTGTATAGAGTTATGAATATAAATTATATTATTGTTAATTTGAAAATAAACTTAAAATATACACCTAAATTCTGCTTGGAACTCTCAACTTTTCTTTGTGTACTTTAATGCTTAAACATAGCTCAAACTTAATCCCTTTGACCCATTGTTATTTACGTTAACTGTGATAGAAGGCTGTGACAGACTTATTGCCATAGCAAACTTTGCAGCTTCGGCAAACAGAGTACGTGCATAAATGATGCCACTGGCGTCAAAAGCTTGTGAGGCTGATACCTAAAAGACTAACTACGTGATGTGCATCCTAAAATGTTGCATACTGGTATTAAATATATCGATTCCTGCACACTGCAGCAACGAACTAGTTTGTTCAACTGGAAATTTGTATTTATTTTTAAAGATACTTAGTTCTTAACCCCATTTCTCAAGATCTCCTTATATAAAGTTACTTTAATTCAGATATAATGCAACAAGTGGGCTGTGTAGTAAAATCAGATTTAAGGGGCTGCAAATAGTTGGCAGTTAAGCCTGAGGATTTAGAGGCTCTACGAAATTGACTTGGAAGCTACGTAGACTGGGATTAGCAACAAGTAATACTATCCAATGAAATTTGTATTTATTACCGACTAAGAACAGCAACAGACTAATTGTGGGTTCAAATGAGCTCGGCTTTTATATCTTCTAGGGATGCCTGGTACAACAGGGCGCATGAGTGCGCTCTTGTGAAGCACGTGTTTATGTTGTTGGGACCAGATATAAGCCATTGTGGAGACATATGTCCGCTTATTATAGAAATATTTGTTGTCATGCGGCAAGTGAGAGAAGAAAGTTAAGCGAGAGCACAGAACAAAAGAATCAGCTGTTTTATATAATCATAAACCAATAATACTATAGTCTTTGACTGGAAAATGGTATTAAATTAAAAATTATTACCTTAGAAACATCTAGAAATAGTAATAGTTTGTTATATAATTATTTATCAAAATAAAAGAAAATAATGAGCATTTAATAATAACAAACGTTTTTCGACATTTCTCTCGAAATAAAGCTTTTTATGAAGAGAGTGCATGCGCAGAAAAGGATAAATGAAAAGCTCAAAAGTGCATAATATTATGAAAAACTCCGAATTTCTAAATTTCAGACCCCAATTTTTCATTCCAATAAAACCAATTCATTTCATATTTGATCTTCTTAGTTTCTTTATTTATTATTTTCGTTTGAAAAAAAATACTAAAGCTATGATATTTTAATAAATATATATAAATGTAATTGCGGTTAATAATATTTGGCATAAGTAACTAGTTTAACCTAAAAATAAGTCCAATGCCAGCATTTGAACCCTGATTGCACAGCCCTCTACCGATTCCTCGTATATATTTCAATGGATTTAAATGAAGTCATCATTGGCCGAGCCGTGCAATTTGGTTTCCTCGTTCTCCAGCTCCCACTCGTTCATTTTGGCCTGCATAATCAGGTCCTGGAAGGATCCGTACTCGGTGTTTTGCCGAGTCTTAGCAGTCAAGCCCACGTCGCCTTCGTCGTCGTAGAAATTATCAGAGTCGTAGTCGGTATCCCTGGGCATGTCCAGATCGGGATAATCATGCTCCTCGGTGTTCTTCGGAATCCCGTGCTGTAGATAAAACGTATTCAGGAGGCTCTCGATCTTCCAGGATGGCATATCGGAAACCATCTTGACGGCGATCTTGCGCCGAGGCCTTTTGTGGGTTTTATGGGGCTTGTCGGCCAGTTCGAAGTTGAGCGAGGTTTTCAGTGTACGCTTGGATGCTGTCAGTTTCTTGAGAATGGATCTGTAGAGTGCCAGGAACTGATCGGGCTGTTTCTTGACCTTCGGCAGAGCTTTGGGGTTCTCTAAGATAAAGCGATTGAGCAGCTCCTTGGTGCCCTGTTGGTCCTTTTGCGATTTAAGTAGTTCAACTAAGGAGAGAAAAGAGTTTCAAAGTAAGTAAGAGTTCTAAAAAGGAATTTTTAGTTTAGGAAACCCACCTTTTTCTTGGCTTAGTCCGAGTGTGTTTTTGAAGACTCCCCAGTCGTCCTTGGATGGAGATGGAGCTGGAGCTTTGGCAGGACTCTTCTCCGCCTTCTTGATGTACAAGGCCAGGCAGCTTTGCTGGATGGTCAGCATCAGAATGATAGCTTTTCCCAACTGCATGTTGAATCTTTCCGGTAGATGTGCTTCGTTCGGAGTGTGAGGCGAAAGTGATGTCCTTTCCACCGGCGAGCTGCCTCTTATACCCTCCACCCAACCTGATCCGCGTTAATTGACATAACCGCAGCACATCAGCATCAGCTTCGGCATCGGCGTTGCGTGGCCGATAATCAGACAAAGGCTGCAAAGGCGCTTGACACTCGAGACATCCGGGGCGCCTCCTGCACAAGGAGTCAAGCGACAGGACGACATGTGCCTGATTGAACGCCGCAGCGCAGCGATGCTCTTTGTTTTTCTGCGGAACACTTAGCGCGAGCCGCGGCAATTAAACGGCAAACTGAGCACACAAAAATTAGTGCTTACGCATCTTGCCTCAGACGGCGTCCAGGTAGCGGGTCCTTGCCGCAGGACGAGCGGGACAGGCGACACCCAACGACAGGCGACGAATGTGGGAATCAAAGTGCGTAATTGAGTCGCTTAAAAGCGCCAAATGGTTTCATGAATGTAGCGATCGCCCAGGTAGACGCTCGCCTTTCAAATGCGAAAGGAAGTACAAATAAATCCTAGCGCCAGCCATAAACGGATCAACTGCGCCGATCTCAATCCGCTGGTCTCCGCTGCTCGACAAGTTTTTCGCTAATTATTCCTGAATGCGGGTTTTATTGATGCAATATAAATAATGCAAATGCAATTTGCGGTACACGCAGACAAGGGGGTGGTCCTTAAAAAATGTGCCACCACTGCCATCTGCGGAAGGCAGGCCGAGAATGTCAGACGGTTAATTATGTAATATGTTAGAAATAATTAAAAATACTCACTAGTAATTAGAAATACTAAGAGAGCAGCAATAATTTCGTTTTTTCTTTTTTAAGATGCATGTGAACTGGCAGGGTTTTTTTAATCACAATCAAAAGAAATGAAAAAAACAAATTGAGAAGAATATTTTAACGCTAAGAAAATATTTAGGCATGTAGGTTTTAACTTAAAGATTGACGAATTGTATACTTGTATTTTTGGAATCTTTTATTCCCAAAAACCAAAAAAAATAGGGATAGAGTGCTTCCGAAAAAGTTCAAATATTAAATGATTTCCTAAGCCTGATAGTGATTTAGTTGTTTTTATGTGGCGCATCTACCACCAGTTTTCGGGATCTTTAGAATAGAACTTAAAATACAATATAAAGAAGGACCATTTTTGTGTGTCTTGTTAATAAAACGCCTACTGGGCTTCTATTAAAAAAAAAGTAATCATTATAAAGTAATTAATAATTATTTTAGGAAGTCTATTAATTTTATTTCACATGCTGAAAATCTAACTTTTGTAAGCTGATATCATCTTGAAAATACGAATTCGGATTAAAAATTGTATCTTGAATTTTTAAAATAAGTATTTTATGGAGTAAGTACACATTTTAAAAACACAACAAGTCTCATTTGTTATATAAAATTTGGCGGTACCAAAAATTCTTGATATGTTGCTTTCTACATTGATATTTTACATGAGAATTACGAAAAGCAGTAGAACAATTAAGCAGGGCAAAGAAGTTCAATTCGGTATTTAAGCAGTGTAAAGCAGTTCAAGCAGTGGTTTACTAAGGACACAAGCCATAGGAAAGGCTCGGATATCTACAAAAAGGATGTAAAATCTTGATGAACTTTTCCGCTGACTTAAACCTTGAATATCCTTGTTGGAAATTCGAAACTTGTAAAACGTAGGAAACCCTATATTTGTATTCTTATATGAACAAATAAAATATAAAACACAAGATCATCAACCGAAAAATAAAATATACAAGCAAATAAAATAACCTTTAGACAGATCCCTAAAGGTTAATAATATACTACAATTTGACTTTAAATGTCTTGGATTGATTTCTCTCAATAATTAGTTAGACATATATGTATATCGGTCAGCAAATTAAAAACGATTGGATCCTTATTATTCCTAAAACATTAATAAAGCGTTCTGTAATAGAAATCTTTATTTATCTAGCAACACACATTAAATTTCTGTCACATCTGCTCGAATAGAAAAATATATTTTTCTATAAACACCGTAGTTATAGAAACGGAATTTCTTGTTTATTATTGTAAATAGCCGGCAAGCGAGCCAACGACGCCAAAATGCCGAAAGTTCTATTCCAGAAGTACAAGAAGGTGGTCAGTAACATCGACCCGACTCGCCATTCTGAAAAATTCAAAGAAATCGACGAGTTTAGGCGGTCGCAAGCCACGGAGTCGGATTTCGCAGACGAAATGGAAGGGGAGTACGAGATGGAAATGGAGGAGATGAAGTCTAGTGAATTCAGTTTGTCGGAAGGCGAACCGGCGCTGAATATCGGAAAGATCGACTTATCCTTTCCGGAGACAATCGAGGAGTTCGAGAACAGTCCGCAGTGCTATCCTCCCTCATATTATACACTGTCACCCAAGGAGCGGTTGCTCCTCCTTTATGCCGAGAATTTCCGGAAGCAATTGGTTCTTACTTATCCAAAAAAAAGGGCGATGGTCTTGGCATTGCCCAACGAATGCAAAGTTCAGGTAAAGTGTTCACCATTTTCTTTGTTACTCGTTAATGTTATGATAAATCGCCCCGTTTAACCAACTTCCAGAAATTTGTGTGCACCACCATCAGGCCAACGGCGTTTATTCACACGCAACTCATATCAAGCGTTGACGAAATTGCCAAGTTTGTCGCGGATTTCATTCAGTACGAACCACTAGATGATCCAATTAATTTGGTAAGAGCATTTTTTATTTATCCAAAATATAAACTACACCCGAAAGATGGATGCAGCAAACAGTTTACCTTTGGATTGAAATTTGCGTTTTGAAAGTGATTTTAGTTGTAATTTGGCCAAATGGCTACTCACAACTAAAAACAGACTGTTTTGCACAGCTGAAGACTTAATCTAACGATCCCTATCACTTTCTGGTTGATTTAAAAAATTCGAATTTTTGCATTTTTTATAAGGGGTAACATCATCTATTTTTGCGAAAATAGGACAAAAATAAAGAATTCCAGATTTGAATGCCAGTTAATTGGCAATTTTGCTGCGAATTTAACGAAGTACTACAATCCACATTTGGACAATTATATGCATTGCATTGTCTAAAATACTTATTTTTGTTTATCCTAGAGTAAATCCGGATTTTTGGTTAAATACTTCATATTTTGATCTTAATTATCCGCTCTAACTTTACCATTGAAGTCTGCGCTGAATATTAACTATCTTGGCCGTTTATATTCAAATTCGTTCAACAATTGCACAACTATTTATTTTTCCTTGTGAGGTCATGGTTATGTTAAACATAATATGAGTTTGCTTAAAAATTTCCTGTAATTTCCCCCAAGAATAAATAAACACAACAACCATTTAAGAGTTTCATAAAAATTATCTAATTATTTTTTATTGAACATGTATTTAAAATTACATTTAAATTTGTAAATGTTTTTATTTAAATATCGCATTAATTTCGAATTAAGAAAATTCTTTTGAGCACATTTCCATAGTTATTAATATACGAAATTTAAAAACGTTTGATATCAAATGCGTGTTAATCGCGCCAACACACCTTGCAGTTCGAAAGGGTTGTTTCTCGTAACAAAAAATAAAGGCTATAACATTTTGTCTAGAATGCATTGGGTGAAACACAAAACAAACCGCTTGTTTCCGTTCGAAAAAGAAATGCATAATAGCTACAAATAGAGATTCTCGATATATACACATTAGCCGTACGATTAATTAATACAATGGAATTGAATTGAAGAGACTGAAAGTATGCTCGATAGGTTGTCACAGCTAGGAGATAAATTCAGTGGAGGATGGAGGGTGGAGTCCTCCGGGACCTTCATGATCTAGGGACCTAAAGACCTAGCTGCTGGAGCTCAGTTCGTCGTACTGCTGGTACTCGCCCGTGATCTGGCAGTCGTCGTCCGGTTCATCGTCGAGGTCACAATGTACAAATTCGTAGGGGGGGAAGAACAGGGAGCTGAGCAGGGTGGCCGACGATCGGTAGACGGCCGGCGCGTAAACGTGGTGGCCCCTGTGGGAGGGATCCTCGCCCGGCGCACCCTGCATCGGTGCATTGCTTGGGTAATCCTCTGTATCCGTGGCTGGCTCCGTGGGCGCCAACTTTGGCTTTTCCTATTTGCGGCGGCGACTCTTGCCCCGGCCGCTGCCCTCCTCCTCGGCATTGTTCTCCTCGTTCTCCTCCGGCAGGAGGCTCCTGGAGCAGGGCTTCTCGATGAGCGGTGTCTCGTTGCCCGACTTGATGGCCGCTATCAGGAATCGCAGCTGCATCAGTTGCACGGCCGTCACCCGGGGATTGCTGCAGTTCTCCAGCCACTGCAGGAACTTCTCACCGTGCCGGATGGCCTCGATGTCCTCGTCCCCGGTGCAGTCCAGATACTTGGCCTTCTCCTCCTCGTCCGTCTTGTTGGAGTTATTGTTGTTGTTATTGTTGCTGGCACTCACATCGTTGTTGTTCGTGTGCGGATTGGTGGTGTCCTGGAAGCTGCCCTCGGATTCGGACCCCGGTTCGGGCACCAAATGGTTACCACTGGCCTCCAAGCCCCCCATCTTGAAGAGCATATTGTCTAGGATCTTTTTGCAGTCATTCGGGGTCTCTGGGTTTTTGATCTTGCCCCTCGTTTCGGGACTTCTGCTGCCTGGCGGTGAATTTGCTATCGGACTTTGCGAGGGGGTCATCACCTTGCCGGCAGCCGAAAGATCCTCCGGCTTTCCCGACGCCTCCGCCTCCACCTCGCCATCCAGATCGGGCTCTCCCAGATCCTCGTCGGCCTCGGGATTCTGCTCGTTGGAGGACAGACTTCGCACCGACGGCGTCTCAGTCTCTTTGGTGAGATGCGAGTACAGGATGTTCGAGGGATCACTCAGGGATCCTCCCTCAGCTGCCGCGTTGGCCACCTGCTGTTGCATCGAGTTGGCTTGGAGGGCGGCCAGAGTGGCTGCATTGGGATTCAGGGTGTGCAGACTGGCCCCGAAGGCCTTGCACCAGTTGTACCACGCCGCATTCTTTTCGTCCATACTGCCGGAGGGCGTGGACGAGGGCGTCAGTGGGGCCGAGGGTATGGGCGGGGTCATCGCATGCTGACTCATGTGCTGCGGCGTGGAGGAGCGTATCGGGGGACTGTTCACGCCCATGGGAATCGTGGGCGGATACAGGGGATTCAGTCCCAGCATAGTCTGCTGCGACTTTAGCCAGTAGAGCAAGGGATCTTCGGCCAGATTGGAGAGCGTCATGGGTCCGCCCATTTGCGAGGGAGCAATCGAGGGACTGGGACTCTTGATGTCGCCTCCCTTCACCTCGTTCTTGATGCTCAGATTCAGACTGCCCTGACCTGACTCCCCTGGCTTTTGCTTGGCCCAGTTCTTCACCGACAAACCCTGTGCCCGATCTCCGCAATCACTCCTGGGACTCTGCACCTGCAGGGGCGTCTGTCCGCTCGGCTTCGCGTTCCTCAGGTTACCAGCACCCACCGGAAAGCTGTTCAGACCCGACATGGCCGCCAGTCCCGGGTTCAGTTGGGCCAGCAAGTTGAGGTTTGTGGTCAGCTCGTTGAAACTGATTGCCAGCGGGGACTGCGAGATGCCCGTGAGACCCGACAGGTGGGTCAGACTCGAGAGCGGACTGATGGCATTGAGGGAGGGATCGGCGGCGGGTCGGTTGATGTCGGCCCCAAAGACCTTGGCCTTCACCCCGCCATTGAAGGCCGCATAGTCCACGGGCAGGCCATTGTATCCCAGCTCGGCCAGGTTCTTGTTTGTACTGTAGTCCAGGCCATTCAAGGGGGATCGCTTGAAGGCCAGCTCGTCGAACTTCAGCTTGTTGGAGAAGTTCAGGGGCAGGGCGGCCTCCAGTCGCTGGCGCTTCTCCGGTGGACCCAGGAGTCCTCCACCTCCTCCGCTTCCTGGGCCATCCAACTTATCGCCCAGGGCGTCGGCGCACAGGTTGTCCGTGGTGGACTGGCGCGACATGAAGCGCAGCTTGTCCTCGTTCTTGCACCAGCCGCGCAGCGTGGACTCCGGCACTCCGATGTCCCGGGCCACCGAGGCCTTGGACTCACCATCGTGGATCCTCTGGATGGCATGGATCTTGTCGCGCGGCGTCAGGCTCCGCAAAGGCCGTTTGCCCTTCGTGCCCATGCGGATGTTCATGTGGGGGTAGCTGGAAATATCCAACTTCAGGCCGTTGTCGAACAGCTTGGCGCCTGCGAGGAGAAGAGAAGAGGAAAAGCGTTTCTTAATTAATTACCGTGACACACTTGGCATATCGCATATAGCATATCGCATATCGCACGGCGGACCGATGCGCTCCCATTCGCCAGCGGTGAAGCACATAGCGGTATATATGTGCCACACCGAATGGCGAATGCCGAGTGCGCGCGTCCATGTACTTTCAAGGGGGTGGGGGGCTTAAGGGGGGAGGGTTGGGTGCTCTTTCGCATGTTCGCACGGGGCTCCAATAAAATCGCCGCGCGCTTTAAAGTTTTACAGACAAGTCGCGGTGTAAATAAACCGCACAGCCGGGCGTATGCGCTATATTGCGTATACGTGTAGGTGGTCCACTGTACAGCCATATCTACATATACATAGGAATATAGGTATAGGTATAGGTATAGCGCTTCAGCCAGGATGACAAAATCTCTCTCTACGCTCTGCAGGCAAATGAGCTGCGTCACGCCCCTTGCCTCTTTTTCGCTCGGCGCACGAAGGATGCCAAATTTGCAAAAGGACACTCGGTATGTGTGTGTGTCTGGGTGTGTGTATGTGTGTATACGGGGAGACAATGGAATATGCTAATTGGTGCGTTGCCTTCGCGCCGCGACGCGCCTGCTCCAAAATGCAGCGCGCAACGCGAGCTACGAATAAGCAACAAGAACAAGCCATTCGTCGGCCGAACTTTGCCGAGTCCGCAAATTTATAACTTGTTTACCTGTTTCGGGCCACTTGGCGCTGCAGCGCAGAACATCCCCCAACTTGGGCCCGAAACTGAGGGACATGACTGTGACTGTGGATGAGGATCCATGCCAATGCCAAGCACGCCTGTTGCGCCTTCCCAGCCTTCCTTTCCATCCATCCGAAACTGAAACTGAAGCAACAGCAGGTGCAGCAGCGTCTTTTGGGCCAAGTCTCTCGAAGTCTTTTTCGACCAGGCCAAAAGTGCGGGCCAAGAACCTGAGCGAGCAACAATATGCTCCGCCTCCATCTCTCCAGAAAGTGAGACATGCAAAAGAGCTCGCCCCATGGTGCAATTTTAAAATGAAAAACACGTTTTGCGCATGACTGACACATGATTTCTTTCCCTGCATACCCGCATATACATATATACAGCATTCAAATATACAAGCAACCCAAGTCGGTGTGTGTGTTTTTTGCCGGAGGAAGAGAAACTTAAGAGAGAATGGTGGGGAATTAAGAGCGCGGACAGACAAACTGGTGGAGTCTTTCGTTTGGCCATCTATCGCAATGCTGTTTACAAAACGTGTATCGCAGCCATTTGAAATGGAGTTTACACGTCGCCAGCTATTAATTGGAGGTTCCTGAATCACTGGACTTATCTCCTCGAGTTGGTTGCTTAAGTAAAGCCAAGTACATGTTTGGGAATAAGCAGTTGGTAAAGCGCCACAAACACAAACTGCATAACTGCCATATATCTGTTCCGAATTTTGATTGGGAATTATCTTTTTGATATCAGATTGTCAGACTGGCTGTTTTTTGTACGGATAAATACTTTCTGTATTATATATATATTTAGCTGCCTAAACAAAAAAACCAAAATGGAGGAATCGGAAAGATACTTGTTCTAATTTTATAAATTTACAAATTTAGATTTTTATTTCTTGAAAAATAATATGCTAACAACATAATTATCTTTCGAACTTTATTGATTTACCATACAACTTTTTCCTAGTAATTTTAATTAATCAAAGTAATTTTTAAATGTTAATGATTTGAAGCCAATAAGTACTATTATTAATGATTAAGTACTTGAAAGATTAACTCCATTTATTGACCCGAATTGCTAATATTAACGCCTTGACAACTAGTTAAACATGTGGCTTACTGCATACTTATCCAGGTGGTGACCCCACACCAAACAGACACACTGGGATGCTCATAACCAATAGAGCAGCAAATAACTGTGTCGACGGTGGTGCATGTGATCCCTGCCCCATTGCCTGGCACCTAAACACCACCCCACGATCCACTGGGCAACCTGCACCCAAACACATATCGAATAAAACTTTTACAGCTGTATAAAAATTACAAGGTCTTTGGCCATTCAGCAGGAGCTGAATTGGATGGGGCAGAAGGAAAAGAATTTTTACTTTCGCTTTCTGCACAGGGTCCAGTATATTCCGTCCTTGTCCTAGCCGGCTCGCCATTAAACTTTTCACGAACCGAACTGGGACAGTGAGAAGTGTGTAAAAAATCTAGTAACAACAGAAAAAGATGAAAGAAATAAATATAAAAGAATTACACCAAGTTTGTCAGAGTGTGTGTAGGGAAGGGGGGGAGGGGGTTCTGTCTGTGTCTGGTGTTGCTGCTGTGCACACATTCACACACACACACACCTAGCCACGAAAGGACATATGTATGTCTGTATGTCTGTAATGGCCAACCGTCTGGCCATTCGACTCCGAGTGTGTGTGTGTGTGTGTGGCTCTGTGAGCCTGTGTGTGGGCTAAGAGCTTCTGATTTTCCTATATACAATTATAATTTTATTGTATTTACTATTTTTTCGTTTCTTTGGCTTCGTATTGAACTCACTCACAGACAAACAGGGGCAATGCATGTGGCAAGGACACCAAGGACCAAGTGGGCGGAGGGGGGTGGGCCAGGAAGGAGGAAAGTCTGGCAAATGGAGGTCAACGACTGAAACTAGTACTAATATGTGCAAGCGTTTGATAGCTCCATTCGTTTGTGCTAATGCAAAAAGAAATAAAACACAAAAAGAGGCAACAAATAAAAATAAGAATTCCGTAGATAAAAGAAAAAGTTCCCTCGGTCTGAACCCAATTGTGTGTGTGTGTGTGTGTGTGTCAGTCTGGAACGTTTCTCACACCGCAGTTATGTGTGTGCAAATACACCATGTGTCTGTTGTAATTTTGGACCTGTTGGAACCAATGATATATGTGGCTTTAAGCACTATTACACCTTTTTATTATGTGTTTGTTTATGATTAGCTCGATTAATGTTGCTCTGGATTATGGCAGTGGAGTGTATTGAGCTTAAGACAGCTATTTTGGAATCGTAAATATATGAGTAGGTGTAAGAATAGATAAATAAGATTAAGCAAGCATGTTATAACTATGAAACTCTGTAGAAAGTGGCAACATGTAAAACATATTGATTGTAAAGACGTTTAAAATTACAAGTTAATTGTTTTAAGAATATAATAGAACATTAATATATTTTCAACCTTGGTCTTATCAAAAGAAACCTTTTATTTTAAAGATTTTAATGAATACTGAATGTATTTTTTTAATAATACAAAATGTTCTTTAAAGTCGTTTTTACCTACTTTATATTTTCTATATTTGGGATCTTCTGAGACTTAATGCTTCCACGCATTTAAAACCATTAATTATTTCTCTGTCTTTTATTTTAATTTTTAACGTCCTTACTATCTGACTAATTTACTTCTGAGGGATATAAACAAAAACAGTTAATAATATAATCAGGGCAGGTTAAAAATTATTGAACTAGAAAAATATCTTGAAATATTTATAGGGCTTTCACAATCTGGAAGTATACCACAACTTTTTCAATTTCAAATTTATTAGCCACTTCCGGGAGTTACGAAATATAGTACCCCATTTCATCTGATCAGGGCAATAACAAATATAAAATAATATCTGGTATTCTAGTCTTTATTATTGTTGAATGAGACTGATCTAAATTAAGTTGATTAAATTAAAAATAATCAAAATTAAATCCTTTGAAGTCCGTGATAAAAAAACAAGTGTGTAAGTATTGTAAAAATATTTGTTGCATATCTCCGGGGGCTTGCTTAATTGATCTTTTAAAATATGCAGAGTTTCCATAATATTCAATTTATAGTATTTATTCATTGTGGATCTTGAAATAAATACTCATATTGTATTATTTACTTCCGTTAATTTCTGTACAAAGCATATTAAACATACAAAGACGAACAATTATATTGAATTAAACAAATGCTGATGGCTATTGAATTGTTTAGGAAAAAGTTATTTTTAATAGAGCTTCGGTCGTCAATTTAAACGTAAGTTTTTATGTTGATTGCCTAATACCGTAAACTTTTAAAAAACTAAATGGTCCGATAAATATATTCATTCGTTTTTAGTGGCGATTTAACATATACCAACTAAACGATTTTTTTATTACTGCAAGGCTGCTAAAACTGTTCGTTGCAATGAATGATTCCCATATGATCGTGGGAGATATTTTTAAAAAGAGTTATCGCTTTTAAAACATTTGAAGTTATTTTAATTTTGAAGGATTCAGTTTACTTTTCTCTTCCGTATTCATTGTCTTTAAAAATAAAACTGTTGAGCCATATTTATTAGTGGGCAATTATTTATAAATATATTCAAAAAAGACACATAGCTAATAACTTTCATTTTTGAATATATATTAGTCCTTCAAACGTTGATTTTGATTACTTGATAACATGTTTTTCTTCTCAAAAAAATTATTATGTTTGGTAATTAAAACTACATACATTGGTTGTAATTTGCTCTTCATAATTTATATTGTACTAAGTGTTCAATTAAAAAGAAATTGATAACAAAAATACGTCATTGAAGACTTAATTTAGCATATTTTAATTTAAAACTGTCAATGATTAAAAAAGTTTCTGGAGTCACAAATTAACGAAAATCTAATTTTACGGGCTTAAATTTTTTAAACACTCTTTAAACTAATTGTAAACATTATATTTAAAGTACATGGACCGAAAAACACTTCCATAACTGCCTATTTCACTAATCAAAGGCACATACTAACCTTTTAATTGAACTTCCGGTCCGAAATGTGATCTGGGCCTTCTTCCAGCGAAGGCGGGAGAAATTCGGTGTTAGCCTAATGAGCCCCGATAGCACAGCTATTTACTCCTGTTTTTTCTTCGACCAGCGATATTAAATTCACGATATAGGTGGTTCACATGGGTAGCAGTAATTGTTATTGTTTATTTTTCTTGGCCATAAACAGGCAAACACAAGCGAACACTTTATACGATTATTTGGCGTGCGAATTTCAGCGACAGGACATGCGGTGCGGCGACCTCTCTCGCGCTCGTCGAAGGATATTGTGATATTGTGACGCTGCGGCGCTGCGACTGTGACGTGGATGTGCGAACCTGAGCGGCTAGCGTGCGGCGACAAACTACCGCGGCGGACTTGAGTGAATTTTGATTTTAGCGCGGCGAATTTCCGCACGGCGACGACGGCGGCGGCGACGTCACGGGAAATTTAAAGTCGCACGTCCACGAAATGCGGCATATCGTTCTCACTCACACACATAAAAACGGGCGACTGTATGGTGGTGGTTGTGTGCTGGTCAGTCCGTCCTGTTAGTTGTAGTTGTAGTTGTCGTTTTTGTTTCTTTTACGTGGCCGTAGGTGTGCGTGAGTCGCTCTCTCTGTCCTTCTCTCTTTCTCAAACGTGCTCTCTCTTTCGCTCCCTCTATAGCGAAATTCGCGGCCTTTTTCGGTGACAGGACAGCCAAATGTACAATGATTAATAACGGCCAAGACGGCGGCGAAGAAGTCCTCTCGCTTTGGCTTCCCCGTTCGCATTGCTTTTCGGCCTTTTCGCAATTTCGCATTTTGGCATTTTGGCCGGCCCAACCACAGGCCACTGTCCACTCACACACGCACACATAAACACACACTCCAGGACATAGCTGTGTGCAACGAAGACGACGCAATACTCGTGCTAGGCTTTTCCAGATTGAGAGACGCACATCCTTTTCGGCCTCCTTTTGCGCGCCCACGTGTGTGTGTGTGCACAGGGACAAATATTTCTTCACAAATTAATATTTACAATTTATAAAATTTAAATGTAGAAATGTAATTTAAATCAAGTATACGTATCAAATAGTCATACATTTTTATATTAAAAGAACTGGCTCCAAAACCTTGAAACCATTAATTCTCATCACATGGGGCATAATATGTAAATACAGAATTGATTTTTAAGCATTGAAATAATATATATATTTTTTGAAAGCATTTGAAGCGAAATATATCTTAGTCTATAATGAATGTATTATTTTAATCTAGTTCAAGGTTAGTCGATTTTATTTGTACTTGACTGTATTATCATTTAAAATACATACTTAAACAAAATATGGTTTGAATTGATAAAAGGTTAGTAAAAATAAAAATAAATATATTTTTATTTTTTAAAAGCCATCAGAAACTTTTTAGAACGTCTACATTAAAGCCATTTTTCCGAGTGTAAGAGTTTGTGTAACCTCAGGAGGATTTTGCTTGCGTTTAGTCAAACTATATTCTCCTTCCTGAAATGCCGGAGAACCAAAAATAAGGATCTCCTCTAAGAACGTGAAAACCTAGCCGAAATCCTTGTCTAATTTTCGCAGTAGGGGTTCCAATTTATCGCCGCTGATAATTCTGTTAGTTTTCCCGCTGTCATGTGCTGCAGTTGTTGCTGTTTTTATTGTGGCCAGTTTTCCTCGCTTTGTTTTGATACATGCCTTCATCACAGATTATGCGGACTCGCCTCTCTTTCGCGCCCGCTTCAGAGAGTCAAATGAGTCCTGAGAGCCAAAGAGCCGCTTCCTTAAGAGAGAGCGAGAGAGAGTGGACAGCTGGGCAGCTTTCGTGTTCGGCTTTTTGCCGACCGAATGAAACTTGGAGGAAGGAGGTGGTGACCCCCTGGGAAACACCCCCTTGGGAACCCCCCTTTTTTGAAAACAAGGCGAATCCGTGGCTTTCTTCTCTCTTTTCTCGCTCTTTTCGCTGGAGCGCGACCGGCGATCGCCGAAGAAACCGGAATTCTCAAACGGGCTCTTGATCGGAACAGCAATCACCCAAGATATAGATATAGTGGTTGTTATACCCTTGCAGAGGGTATTATAATTTTGGTCAAAAGTGTGCAACGCAGTGAAGGAGACATCTCCGACCCTATAAAGTATATATATTCTTGATCAGGATCACCTCCTGAGTTGATATAGCCATGTCCGTCTGTCCGTCTGTCCGTCTGTCCGTCTGTCTGTCCGTCTGTCTGTCCGTCTGTCTGTCCGTCTGTCTGTTTCTACGCGAACTAGTCTCTCAGTTTTAAAGATATCGAATTGAAACTTTGCACACACCCTTCTTTCCTTTGCACGCAGTATATAAGTCGGAACGGCCGGGATCGGCCGACTATATCCTATAGCTGCCATATAACTGATTGATCGGAAATGCCATAACTCTGCTGTTTGTTAAGTTAGGAAGTTGGGACTCTCTATGGGTATTATATTTGGCCAATCAATCCGACGTACCAAATTTCATAAGGATCGGCCGACTATATCCTATAGCTGCTATATAACTGATTGATCGGAAATGCCATAACTTTGGTGTTTGTAAAGTTAGGAAGTTGGGATTTTCTATGGGTTTTATATTTGGCCAATTAATCCGACCTGCCAAATTTCATAAGGATCGGCCGACTATATCTTATAGCTGCCATATAACTGATTGATCGGAAATGCCATAGCTTTAGTGTTTGTTAAGTTAGGAAGTTGGGATTTTCTATGGGTTTTATTTTTGCCCAATCAATCCGACATATCAAATTTCATAAGGATCGGCCGACTATATTCTATAGCTGCCATATACATAACTGAACGATTGGAAATGCCATAACTTTGGTGTTTTTAAAGTTGGGAAGTTGGGATTTTTTATGAGTATTAAGAATGCATCATATCAATAATTTTGGAGAATATAATTTGAAGAATATTCTGCAAGGGTATTTCAACTTCGGCTCCGCCCGAAGTTAGCTTTCCTTTCTTGTTTTTTAATCGACTTCACGCAAATTGCTGTGGCTTACATACGACAGTTGGCCAAATAATTAAACGCCATTCATAGCAAAATGCAATTGCTTAATACTTATGTAGCCGATAGCAAACATTCGTTATTATTATTTTAATATGCTATACAATTTTTCAATTTAAATCTAAATGGACGCTTAATAAATTTAGAAAAATAAAAAATTTAAGGACCCAACCATTTTGTTTTGTTAACAGGTTACAGATTATGCCAAATTAATAGCTTTAAAAGAGTATAAACTTCATTATTGAATCGAATATAATTCGTTCTGAAGTGTGCTTTCTTCATTTACATAAAATTAGTATAATTTCCTTTACATTCATTTTGTGAAATAAATTTTGATAATTTCCAAAAGAACTTTGAGAGCTAAACATCCTGACAAGTATTTGCACCATCGTGGGGTATCCCTGAGATTGCGATCTTATATAATGTGTACACGCATAGGCATTTGAGGTCGTAGACTTTGTAGTTGCTATGCAAAACATTTGCGCAGGGCACACATACATCTACACTTCTCTATTGTATCCTGGCCAACGGAGGCGGCCACTGACCATAATAACAACAACAACAACAACAACAACGACGACGGCAACGAAAAAGACAGCAGCAGTGTCGCCAGAGCAGCCTTTCGGGAAATCGCTAAGAAAGGTTTTTGAATCCATGTCCGAAACGCACACAAACGCACATATAGAGGCCCAGAAATACATATAAGTAGAGGCGTATACACAACAAGGAGCAACAATAACGCAGGACTATGGACTTCGGACCACGGACTACGGACTACGGACTACGACCACGAGTACAGATGGCCGGCATGGGGCCGCATTGGCAAGAAACATATCCTTGCCACTAAAAAGCCAAGCAGCCTGCCCGGGTCGCTTCATTTCGTCACACACACACATCGCACACTATGCACATATACGCCACACACACACAGACCCAGTTTGGCAACACGCTACCCACACAGACGCACATTCTTCTTAGCATCCGCAGGACATCAGCATCTTTAGCGTAAATTTTGCTGCTGCGAAAATTTAGAGTTGTTGCTTTATGCCAATGTGCGTGCTGATGTGTGTGTGTGTGTTTTTGGGTATATATACTTCAGATTTTCATCGGCCAACCTAAAACCCCCCACCCTCCCGATTTTGCGGAACCCAACCCGTCCGACCGACCGATTGTCCATTGTCCATTGTGTCCAGTCCACCAAGGCAACATTTTCCATTTTCGTTCGTCCTCTCTTTGGCCGCCGGACTTTCTCTCATATCTGCAGCTCCTTGCCAGCCGCCTTCGTCCTTCCACCATCTAGCCATCTAACCACCCACCCATTCACCCATTTGCCCACTTACCACCCCCTCAGATGGTCAAAACCCCCTTTTCGGGGCGTGTGTGTGTGTGGGAGATGCCTTAATGTTGCTGCGTGTGTGTGTACAATTACGAATTCGTCGTCCTCGACTAAACTCAATTCACTTTCTCCCCGACTCTGGCCAGCCCGCGTCGCTGTCACCGTCGTCCTGCGATGTCCTTTCACCCTCCTGCGACCCCCCTCTCCCACGGTCCCCCGCACTCAACCCCTCATGTCACACCTCCGGATGGCGAAGGAAATTTTCGCGTGAATTGAAAGATGAAGGCGCATTGGGCTCTGGACGCTGGTCACCCCCGATTGTTGGCTATATGTACACGTACACGCATAGGTCCTTGTTAATGCGTGTGTGTGTGTGCTTGTGAGTTGGTGTGCGTACATATGCTCGAAGACGTGTGCGCTTGATTTTCAGCACCCATCGAACGCCCATCCTCCCTGCGAATCTGCATCCTCCGCACATTGTCTTTGTATAACTGTTCCTAAAACTAAATTTTCAGTTTGCCTTCAAAAAGATAAATGTGTGTACACGAGTTTTCTATGTGGTTCTCGGTGTTTGTGTGCGTTTTCCCCCGGCTACATGTACACTGGGATCTACTCTGAACATATCCTGAGATGCGTGCTTGCTTGCACCTTGCCTTATACTTGATTTGTCCCTGCGTATATCAATCAACTAATCGATCATTTATTTTGATTTCGATCACTATCAGCTCGGTCCATGTTTTCAATTCGATATCAGTTGGAATCGAATCTGACATTGATGGTAGTCGAAGACTACAAAGTATATTTTACCTGCGATACAAAATAATCCTTATTCTATAAAGTATCTTAATCTCAACTACTGATTTGGGGTTCATAACCTTAACATTTCTGGATTAACACCAGTAAGGTCGCACATGTCATTTTTAAACTTAAAAGATAGACAAAATTCAAATAATGAGGATGCATTTAAAATTACTTAAATTTTAGAACTTAATTATTTCTTTTAACTTTTGAAGTGATTGAAATTAAGGTGTTCAATAGATTTAACAAACTCATTTTTAAAGCTAGTAGGTAAATATTTGTCATCTTCTTATACTCATTAATTTACCAAAAGTGATGCTTAGAATATAAATATTTCAAATCCCTCAAATGTTTAAAAACAAATGCATAAAGTCGTAAACCCTTTTGGGGGTCATATTAAAATCATTTGATATTTGTATTACAAATGTCTTGGAGACGTTAAAAATTTATAAACAGGCCAAAGGCTATCTTCGCCAAACTCGGATATTGACATAGGTATGATGAAATGATTCTTTGAATAGGAAAACATATTAAACATAACTATGTTTTAGAACTATGTTTTAACATGGGAAACCATTTTATTTGCAATGGATTCTA